TTTTTTTTTTTTTTTTTTTTTTTTTTTTTTTTTTTTTTTTTTTTTTTTTTTTTTTTTTTTTTTTTTTTTTTTTTTTGTTTTTTTTTTTTTTTTTTTTTTTTTTTTTTTTTTTTTTTTTTGTTTTTTTTTTTTTTTTTTTTTTTTTTTTTTGTCTTATTGACTTTTACTTCTTCACTCCCTCCTGTCATTTCGCATTCGACGTTTTCTGTCAACCTCGCTAGTTGAAAAGGCGCCTCAAGTGGCGGAGAAAGTCGGATCTCAACAATTTCTGAGTTTATCAAGCTCTTCATGATAGCGAATTGTTTTTATCAGCCTCATGAAGTCCAAATAAAAAGAAAAGAAAAGTCCGTACCCCTCTCTTTCCATGGGCAAGCATCTTGCATGGTGGCAACCGGCCTTGGCAACCGGCTTTAGCGACCGGGTCTCACAGCCTGTCCTGGCAACCGGTTCAGATAACAAGGATATTGAGATAACATGGAGAACCAACTAGGCTCGTAATAGCCGGGACTTTTATACGCATCATAACGCCTCTCGAACTCGATCGTCAGTCTGCATTGATTTCACGCTGTGATCGAAACTTCTTGCCGTCATGGTTCTCCCTATCAATAACCCGACGAAGTCCTTCTGGATCGAGGAAGCCAGTTCTGAGCTTCGCAACTTTCGATCAACTGAAGATCTTCCTCAAGAGACAGATGTCATCATAATCGGCAGTGGATATTCGGGTGCAACAACGGCATACTGGCTCAACAAGGCAAGCTGCATACATTAGACTTGCGAGACATATTCTAAAGGATATTTGCAGTATACTGAAAATAATGCCCAAAGGCCCCAGATTCTCATGCTAGAAGCTCGAGATATCTGCGGCTCTGCAACAGGTCGTAATGGTAGGCATCTCGCGACTCGGTTTGGGTATCGTCGGGACTAACGGGCTTTTGGTGCAGGAGGACAACTAAGACCGCATGTTTATTCCCGCTACCCGACATGGTCTGCTCGATTCGGGCCTGATGGGGCGATGGATCTCATCAAGCATGAAATCGCACACCTCGATGCTTTCCGGGATTTGCTGAGCGAAGAGGGCATCGCCGATGAAGTGTGTTTCCGACTTGGCGAGACATTTGACGCAGCGATGTCAGATGAAGCCTGGGAACGCCTGAAGGGCGCATACGAAGCAATGAAGAAAGACCACGGTGAAGGTCACGAGGTGGTCAGGGCCTGTAGGCTAATCGAGAATCTCAGCGATGCGGAGGAGTTCACCCAGATGAAGGGGTGTCTGGGAGCAGTGGTGCATCCGACCGGTCAAGTGTGAGTTTTCCGGCAAAATTCGCTTCCTCGTCTCTTTCTTTTCTCTTGTTTTTCTCATCTCTCATTCTCTTTCTCTTTCTTTCCAACTCAGGAACTAACTAGATTTCTACAGATGGCCGTACAAGTTTGTCCATGCACTACTCCGGACAGTTCTCAAAGCTGGTAATTTGAACCTCCAAGCACACACTCCAGCGGAGACTGTCTCTGAGAGGGACGAGTCCGGCTGGATCACAGTCAAGACCGCCAGGGGGGATGTACGCACCAAGGCCGTGATGCATGCCACAAATCGATGGGCCTCCCATCTGCTACCGGAGTTCAGCAATCTCATCTTTGGGAGTAGATCGACTCTAGCATCCATCAAAGCACGAGAAGGCTTCATCAAGCATACAGGCGCCCAGCATTGGGACAGTATGGTGAATGTTTGTGAACCAATCTACGGCAAGATGTGGCCCCTCAGCTAACGACCCCAGAATTATCATCTGCAACTCCCACCACCTTACAACAGCATCATTATCGGCGGAGCAAGATCTCTTCTGGTGCACTCTCCTCAAGATTGCTACCGGAATGATGAGGAGGATAAACAATTCGATGGGGTCCCTGAGTTCTTCCAGTCATGGCCTAAGTCGGACATTGCGGAATGGCCCGGTAGCCATCCCGCAGAGCTAGCAAGGAACGTCGACGACGGAGGCTGTTGGTCCGGAAGTAAGCCTCCCTGGGTTCTGAAGCTAGCGGACAGACACTGACGAGATGAAAGTTGAGTCTATGAGTATTGACGCGTTCCCATTTGTCGGTGACATTCCAGACCGGGATGGACACTTCGTCGCGGCGGGCTTCTCAGGCCATGGTACGTGTTTTCTATGATTGACTGCATGGGAACTAACATATTCCAAGGCATGCCTCGTATTCTACTCTGCACGGCTCATATAACACCACTGATTCTGGATCACTTGAAGATCAAGCACACTGCTCCCTCGCTTGTTGCACCACACCCGCCTCTTCCAAGACCATTCCGGGCCACGACCGAACGGATCAGCTCTCTTCAAAAGGTGGATTCTGACGCCATCTTCGAAAGAATCTCAAAAGATTGTCTGGAAAGTGCAAAAAAGCCCTTTTGCAATAAAGACACGAGGCGCTAAATGACTGAGCTCTTCCGGCAAGGGGCGGCATACTCCGCCATGCCATTCGGGCCGCACAACGGGGATGGTCTCATAACAGTCCTTCTCCCATGTCGCTTAGTGCTATGCCGGAGATATATGGAGATTTTTTGCTGGTCAGATTTACATGAGGAAATTCTGCTTTCTCGGTTCTCATCATAATTGTGGCGAGTGGAGATGAGAGAACAAGTACAGTCGGACTTTTCTTCTCGGCCGGTCCCGCTGATTCCCAAGCAGTGTTTACGGCCGAGAAGACGTGGTTTTGGAAGCCTATTATTTTTGGGCAGAAGAACTGAGTTGCCGAACTTCGGCGATCAACTCCGGCGATCGCGGGCCCTGCAAGGGCCTCCGGGGAATCTTGCAAATATTGGACCCCGGCCCCGGGGGCCTCACTCCAGGGCTACGCTGAGGCCTATAGAGCAACTAAACTTTGGAGGGTGTTTTGCATCTCGTCATTTTCAACTTGGGTGAAATCTCAAGATATACTCATAGTTCAATGTAGTCAAAAGAGCTAAGTTGACCCAACTGTGTTTTCCAGCCATCTGCCCGCCAAATTTGATTCGGCGATTAGATCCCGAGACTTGACTCATCATGGGTATGCTCCAGGCTCGGTGGCCAATGTGACCAACGTTTAAGGCAGCCGGAAAGACCACAAAAGCCATCGAAATACTCCATCCCTCGATGTACTCCCATATTTATCTACATGTCACAATCTACCAGTTGCGCGAACCCCCGGGGAATAGACCACCACTCCACTCATCATGCCGGCAGGGAGGAGACTAATCATGATCTTGAGCTCATGATCCACGCAAAAAATCAGAAAGGATTGAGACGAATTGTCGTCAACTTCACTCCGTCGTATGTTTTGAGACTTTTTTTTGTGAAATAATCTTGCTAATCATGGTTGGACAGATGGGTAAGAGGCAGAAGCACCAGTTGACCCGGAAATTACTTCATTTTCTTACTGTCTGGTTTAGTTCAGTGCAACTATGGGAACGGGTATCGTTTCTATCCTGCTTCACAATCTTCCATACAACGGCACCTGGCTGTATTGGATCTCCGTGATTGTGTTCGCTTTGAATGTGTTCCTCTTTCTTCTCTTCACGCTCATATCCCTGGCCCGGTATACCTTATTCCCGGGTCTTTGGACAACAATGTTGAATCACCCAACTCAATCACTATTTCTAGGTCTGGATGATGCACTCTTCTCGAATGCAGATTGAATGTTCTAACCGGGATCAACAGGAACATATCCTATGGGACTTGCAACAATCATCAACATGATTTGCTTCGTGTGTGTCCCCGCATGGGGTCAATGGGCTGCCACTTTGGCATGGGCACTCTGGTGGATTGATGCTGTCATCTCTCTCGCAAACAATATGTACTTGCCTTTCGTCATGTATGAACTGCTGATCAATGCCCCCATGAAAAAAAGCACTAACTTGAAGTCGCAGTATGTCTCGGCACTCCAATCAACTCTCCGGGATGACCGCCGCCTGGCTACTTCCTATAGTTTCTACCATTGTCGCTGCCGCTTCGGGTGGGATCGTGGCTTCGGTGTTGGAGAATCAACAGCATGCGCTCTGGACCATCATCATCAGTTACATACTCTGGGGAACCGGGGTACCCCTTGCAATGATGGTGCTGGTAATGTACTTCCATCGCCTGACGATCCACAAAATACCGCCCAAGGAAGTCATCGTGTCTGTCTTCCTTCCTTTAGGCCCATTGGGCCAAGGCGCCTTCGGCATCATGCAACTCGGAAAAGAGGCCCTGAGGGTCTTTCCTAACACTAACAGTTTGCCTAACGAAGTATCAGCTGGTCCCATACTTTACATTTTCGGCTTCGTGCTTGGACTCATCATGTGGGGATTCGGGCTTGTATGGCTCTTTTTTGCACTGGCTTCTATTACACGCTCGAAATTCCCGTTCAACATGGGCTGGTGGGGGTTTACTTTCCCGCTCGGTGTTTTCACCGTTGCAACTACCACCATTGCGCAGGAGCTCCCGTCGTTGTTTTTCAAAGTTCTCGGAACGGTGAGTTGTTCCCATTACTGGTGTTCAGGTTCATAAACGGTTCTGACATATCCAGATCTTCTCTGTCGTCGTTGTCTTGCTTTGGATTGTTGTTAGCATCGGTACACTCATTCAAACTTGGAAACGAAAGATTTTCGTCGCCCCTTGTCTGAAGGAATGGGAGAAGTTGGAAGCCGAGCGCCGCCGGAAAGGCTCTTGTGCTACAGACACCGCTTGATAATTTCAGTGAACACCCGACCGTAGCTCAAAATACATTATGAAATCTAACTTGAAATGTCTCAAGTCCAATGTTGAAAACTTTAATTTCCTTTCAAGATTTCTGTGACGGTTCTGGGAATGTTGCAGTCCAAAAATGAGGGCAAAGGGAGCAAAAAGAAATGACAAGAGTGGGATTCGAACCCACGCCTACAACGTAGATCAGGAAACTGAGAACAGTTATTGAGTTAAGGTGGACCTTAACCTGACGCCTTAGACCAACTCGGCCATCTTGCCTTATTGGTTGAAGTCGTCTTATTTTGCGTTATCATCGGGCAAACCACAAAGGTATGAACATTTTATGCAGACAGCCTGTTCTGCTCTTTTCAAGGCCATTTTCTATTCTTGAAAGTTCAGTTCCAAGATTTGAAAAGCTTCCTGTGGGTAGCTTCCACCTGTAGTATCTTTTTCTTAGACACCCTCAATGGATCCATGGATGATGCCCAAGTGGAATCAAAATTATTTTTGACTTACCAATATACCGAAAAGTCTCGAGATATATATGTCGCAAAATCAACTACCCGCAACATGGAATTTACAAACCTTAGAAACAGCCGTATCCGCTTCAAAGCTTGAAACTTAGGCAGGGCTCCCGGGCTCCCGGGCTTGAGTTTGGCCTTAATATTTCTAAGCTTCCGTATACAATTGAGTTTAGTGAGAATGATTTTCGGAGCTATTCAGTCCTTGATTTCGAATTACAAGAAAAATGGACTGGAGTGGGTCCGCAAGAGTTATGCCTGGCATGCCTTGCTCATCGAGGAACAGTGAAGTAAACATGTGAAGGGGTCAAATAAACAGAGGTTGAAGAAGGGGTTCAAATGTGTAGGCGGTGCAACCAGAAGCACAGCGGAAAGTGACCAGGCCCATAGCAACCACAAGGCTCGGCGCCCCATCATGATGATCTTGATTGGTGGGAGACCTGCTGGGTCACCTGCCTAATTTGGTATGTGGCGCCGCACTCGTGGATTTCTCCAACTTCAACTCCAGGGCTGTTCCCCGTGCATGAAATTACTCATTGATATGTGGGGGCACCAGATGTGCATGTTTATCCCTGTACTCCGTGCTGTACCTGTGCACCTCTTGACCCGAAGTTTTGCCGTAGCTGTGGGGTCTCATGATCAAGCATTCCTGTATTCTCGTATGGAGTGCGGAGTACTCCGTGCAACGATCATCATATATTACATATATTATTAACACAAACCCGCAAGTGCTCCTACGGGGACTTGCAATTGACATCATGGTACACTAGTAGTGTTAGTACTGTATATCGAAGTGGAGAATACCCCTAGGATCAAGGTTAGTCGAGCCAGTTGCGCCGACTCCGGGGAGTATTACACATGTACTCCTAGTAGTACATTGGCCCATATCCATTCCTGTCCGGTGCCCAGGTAAAGAAAACTACGACGTAGGACCAGCTTACAATTTAATGTGATCTGATAGCTAAGAGAGTTACTAGGAGTCGGTATAAATGCGGCTATGAGGACGCGATCATCCACGATTAATTATCTACTCACGTTGCCATTTGCAAGACGGGCCTTTCTCGAGACCCTTTGTTCCTACTCGCTGAGTGATGATTCGATCTTGCAAATTCAATTCGATCAATCAATCAAATCTGACATTCGATAGAGGCTGCGCGATAATAAAATTCTGCAATAGAAGAACGGAATATCTAAATCTCGATCACTCTGCATATCGGGAAGTCTCGCAAAGATCCCATGAAAGCACCAAGTAGACAAGACACGTATATTCGCATAGTAGGACATGTCAAAAATCGGTAGCCAATATCGTAATACATCTTGTTGAGTTGAGATCAGGCGATAGGAGTGAAGGAGGTTGAACCGTGGAAGTCTCTGCTTGAGAGTCCGACAAAAGCCTGAATCTCACCGCTGGGTACAACCCACTGCTGCTTGACAGCATCCCAATTGCTAATATCGCGTCGATTCAGGCTGAAGGTGACTTTCTTAGACTCTCCGGCATCCAGTTGCAATTTCTCAAATCCACGAAGGACTGTTTTGGCAACATATCCTTCCACCGACCCACGTTGGAGTTGAAGGTACAGCTGAGGCACCGCAAACCCAGCGACTTTTCCTGTGTTTTGGATTGTCGCTGATACTTCATAGACAACATCCCAAAGATGAGGATTACCTCCAGGCACAATCTGCGCAGCTGGAGGGCTGTGAGAAAGATCGCCACTGAACTTCTTTTGTGCAGAAATTTCTTTGTGGATGGCAAATGTTGTGTACGAAAGGCCGTACCCAAATTCATACGCAACGCTCTTATTGTAGTAGTCGAAGTGGCCTGGTAGCAAGGTTAGCTCCGGAATACATGACTTTCGGTAGGATTGTACAACTCCACTTACGATAGTCGATGAGTACCCCTTCTTTGAAGTCAGATTGCCAAGCCTTAGGGTCATGAGTATTGAGTAAAGATGTCGAGTTTGTGATAGGGGCAAAATCATAGCTCTTCTCGGAGTGTGCGATTGTGTATGGCAAGTGACCAGATGGGTTCACGTCTCCCCAGAGCACATCCACAATGCTGTTTCCAACCTCTTGGCCAGGGAGATGAGCGGCAAGGATTGCTGTCACGTTTGGATTGTTTGCCCAGGGCATGATGTTGGCACCACTGGAGTGGGTGACCACAACAGTATTGGGGCATACAGAAGCAATGCGGTCAACAACCTTGTCTCCGTTCCAATCAGTATGCAATGTTTCACGATCCATACTTTCGGTAGCCCAACTCTTCAGGAAGACAAGGCAGACATCTGGAGGCGACGGCTGGAGGGAGGACAGACTTTGTTTTCTGTCAGTGATTGCGACAAACTGCATTGTCAAGCTTTAAAGGGAAAACTCACTAGGGACTGTCTTGTTCAATGATTGCACTGTTGTTCAAGACATATTGAACCAGATTGGCTTTGAAGTTTGCCTTCTGTTTGATGGCTTCCAGAGGGCTGACAATATAAGTGAAAAGTCCGGAGCCAGATCCTCCTCCAGTTGCAAGAACACCATATTCATAGTTGTTCAGGATGCCATTGAAGGTGAAGTAGGACATGCCATTTGTGAGATCTCCCGCATCGTTGCCAAATACTCCAATATGTTGAGGATTCTTGAGAGGCAAAGTGTTGTTGGTATTCTTGAGGAGAACAATTCCTGCCGCACCGGCCTCTCTGATGGCTTGGCCGTGATTCTCCCGAACGTCGACATTGGGTTCAGATCCGAAGGTGAAGTTGTACTTATACTGGTCCGCTTTTTCCATTCAGTTAGCATCGCTTGACATACATATTTCGATCGATACAGTGAATACTCACGGCTAGAAAAAAGAAGCTTGTTAAAATCCTTCGCGTTTGGATCAACACCCGGGAAGTTTTTATCCTGCTTCAGATGAAAGTATGGGGTCATAACGCGGCGGCACATATCGTCTAGCCTTGTGGATGGTACGCTTCCATTCTTGACTGCCTTCACGAGTGATTCGTGCCAATAAACAGGGGAAAGCTGGTCAGTTCCAGGCATGTCCATGTCTTCACCGGCGTTCACTGCACGAGAGCCACTGTGAGTGGCGGCCCAATCAGACATGACGTATCCTTGGAAGCCGAGTTCTGTTTTCAAGATTCCATTCAGGGTCTTGCTGTTTTCGCAGCCATATGTCTGGTTCAATCTGTTGTAACTGCACATGACCTGGGTTGAGGGTTAGTTGTGAGGTCAAAGTATTGCTAATTGCAAATCTTACTGAGGCGACACCAGCTTTCACAGCCTGTTGGAATGGCCAGACATAGAGCTCATGTAACGTGCGATCATCAATATTTGAAGAGACACTCTCGATAGTATCGCCATTATCGTCCGTGGAAGGTTGCCGCTGGGTCTCTTGCTCATTGCCAATGAAATGTTTTGCGCACGCTTGAATCCCGCCATCTTGTATGCCCTCGATTGTCGATGTAAACAAGTCACCGGTGAGATAAGGATCAGGGGAAAATCCCTCCCAATTGCGTCCACCCATGGGGGATCGACCAAGTGGTCCAGCGACTGGGCCAAGTATGACCTGTGAGCCCTTTCCACGGAATTCCTCAGCAAGATGGTAGCCATGCTTGAAAGCAAGATCTCTGTCCCATGTGGCAGCTATAGTAACACCAGCAGGGAAGATGGAGGTGTATGAACCCTGTTCCAGCGCCAAGGGTCCATTCTGGATACAAATACCTGTAAAATTCAGACGATATATTGGGGCAATGTTTCCGACACAAGGACCCTCAGTTCCTGAGACAAGTCCGACTTTCTCTTCAACGGTGAGCTGAGAGATAAACTCATCGGCCTGCTCAAAGGCCTGATTCCAACCCAGACCCTTTGTATTGGCTACGTTGTGTCAGCATGTGCGCACTCCAAGGAACAAACAATGTGAAAATCTCACGGTTGGGATACTCGTCTGATGATGGGCTTGACAAATACTGAGAATGGTCCCACGAGAGTGCAGATGCACTTGCGAAAAGGGCAAGGATGGCCGCCACATTTGTACCTCTCCGTTTCGAGGCCAACATAATGGATATTTTGAGTTCGTGGTTTTACTCGAGTGGTTGTCAGTATCAGGAGAAATCGCACTGTACGGTTGTTCTGGAGAGCTTTATAAGAAAAATCCCATCTACCGTGTCTGTTGATCACTTCCAATCCTGAAACTATAATTTATTGCGTAGTATTACAGTACGGAAAGCACGGCTATGTTGCATTCTATACTTTTCTCCGCTTTGCAAGGAAAATGTATGTCCTTGCGGGGGATGCCGGTTGAACTTCGGCTAAACGGTGATCTTGCTTCTTCCTGGGTCAATACCCAATCTGGTTTTCCAAAACATAAAATATCCAATAAGGTAAATATTTGAGCTCCGGGCACCCGTGAATAGTGAGCCTGCGTCTTGGAGCAATGATCGTCGCCAATATTTTTACTACGGATACTCACGCTATTACCAACCTTCCGGGGCCCCGGCCTGCTGAGAGAAATCGATATAGTGCCCTAGTACGGAGTAGACGTCATACGAAAGAAAATGTTCAGATTAAATCTATATTTTAATGTGTCACTGTTCTTTTGTATGCACAGTAGTCCGGTCGCTTTTCTCTATGTGGAGTACTAGGCGCATTCCGGCGTGATCGAGACAGCACAGATATCATTCAGAGAGATGAATAGTATCTGTATTAGACTCTGTTCTCTTGGGCGGCATACATATCTGAAATCTGGCCGAAGTCTTCTGTTGACATCAGCTCCTTGAGTTGAATTCAATTATAATTATCTATTTCGAACTCCTTTCCAAACTGCTACTACTGCTACTCCAGACGGTCTCGGATTTCGACACGGCCTCGCCCGCCTCCCCAGGTCAACCTTTGAGGAGCTTCCCCACAGCTTCACGTTGTTTGCAGAATATCGGAATTCCCGATCCGAGTACGGGGTAAGTCCTAGATTCATATCAGACTTGGGAGTCTGACCATAAAAACCATGATTTTCGCCTAAGGGGATTTCGAGGTCTAGTTTGACCTTTTCTTTATATAGCAAAGCGGCGGCCATGTTACTATTAATAGCCCGGGTGGTCTAGTGGTATGATTCGCGCTTAGGGTTCACCCAAAGCACAATTGCGCGAGGTCCCCGGTTCAATCCCGGGCTCGGGCCTATTATTCTTTTTTTTTTTTTTTGGCTTTGACCTCTTTTTACTACAGAGGTCAGAAGAATAGTGAGAAAAGATAGGTAGGTGAGGTGCTAAGAGTGCGAATGTGCACGAATTCTATACATAGAGGATGATCATGGGCCCGTAGACAGCGTAGGAAATTGCGTAGACGTGGAGCCTCCAGGGCTTTTCATTACAGTCCACACCGTGAGATAGCACTTTGAAAGAGGGTCTCTCTGAAACCACAATCGGAAAGAGGTCAATTGACTATCGAAGTTCTTTCTCATAGAAATATACCTAGGTAAAGTGGGTATATGACACATCTTACATGAAGGTGTCGTCCACAAGTACTCCGTACCTAGGTACCGATTCCAAGGTTGGCGATGACAATATGAAGGTATTTCCGCCTCAAACCGAAATTACAACAGTATCCACCTGTGTCTAAGACTGATTTCTAGTTTCAGTCCAGATCTCTCGCTCAATTCGAGCTTGCATCTCATCTTCAGTATTGTTGAGAGTATCCCCAAAGACATCCGCGACCTGTTCCAAAGACTTGTTTGCTGTCTCTGGGACAAAGAAAAAGGAGAACGTAGCAGCAGCAACGCAAAACAACCCAAAGAACAAAAAGGTACCCCATCCAAGGGAGACAAGCATTTGGGGAACTACAACTCCTACGATGAAGTTGGCCAACCAGATAGTCGCCGTGGCGAGACCAACGCCCTTGGCTCGCCTGGAACTCGGAAAGACTTCAGCAGGGAGGACCCAAGCAAGGGGTCCATATGAAGCAGCGTAGCAGGCGACGTAGATGTCTGGTTAACAGAAGTTAGGATAGGACTCGAAGCTGGAAATTTTGGACTTACATATCAGTGCAACTCCGAACCACCCCACACCCTTGTGAGATGTCCATTTGTCACTGAATCGCTCATATATACCTGCCATTATGAGATGTGGAATAGCCATGGCTATTCCACCGAAAATGGCAAGCTTTCGTCTACCAATTTTATCCAAGTAGATAAGGGTAGGAATGCTAGCCACAAGTTGGACGACGTTCACTAATCCGGAGAGGATCAAAGATGTATTGTAGCTTTGGCCCAACCTGGACAGGAACGTGGGGGCATAATAAACAAACGCGTTGATACCCGAGAACTGGCGAATATTGTTAGCGATTAAATCTTCCACCTTGTGACAGAGAATGAATACCTGCTGGAAGAAAGGAATAGCAATAGCAACAGCTGTTCTGCGGAGATACCGAGGACGGAACAGATCAATCCATCCCTTGAGTTCCAACATTGCTGGCCCTGTATCAGGATATTGATTGTGCATTATCTCTCGCTGAAATCGAACCTCAGTAAGAATTCCTCTCCATTCTAACTGGACTGTTTCATCCGACGGTGGAAGTCGTCGTAGCTGTGCTAAAGAGATCAGACTTTCCGTTTTCCGATCACGTAGAGCGAGCCATCGAGGCGAGAAGGGAAACAGATGAATACCAATTCCAACCACTAGGGCTGGAACCATTTGCAGAAGGAACGGTAAACGGAAGGCCCAATCCCCTTCAACCGCCCTGTTCGATGCGATAAATATGTGTGCAAAGTAGCGCGTGGGATAGGCTAGAGCCAGCACATACCTTGTACCATATGTGATCCAATATGCGACCACAGCTCCTATCACGATGCTAATGGCCTCAAGGACCATCAGAGAGCCTCGCAAGTTGGGAGGTGCAATTTCGGAGATATACAATGGCGCACCCATTGCCAATGTGCCAACACCAATACCACCGATAAACCTCCCAGCCACGAGTGTGTCGTATTCATTTGCCGCTGTTTGTATGATGGCGCCGACGCAGAAGAATGCAGTTGCAATGCTGATACCCCATTTCCTGGAAATTCGATCCGCAAGATATGGGAAGAAAAGGCAGCCAACAAAAGCGCCAAGCTCTAACATTCCGGTGAGAAAACCAGTGTGGAACCCGTACTTTGGGGCATCGGGATCGACCTGAGGAAACTGGTCGATGAATTGAGGCATTACCAGAATCAATGAGATGACTCCTTGGTCTAGATGTAACGTCAATAACCCAACAGTCTAGAAATTGCTACGAGGCAACTCACCATAACCAAACGATAATCCTCCGAATGATGCCAGCAAAGCTGCACCACAGACAAAAGGTGAATTAACAATCCCCTTGATGCCATTACTTTCGTAGGCTATCTCTTCAGCGACGAAATTGGGCTGATTGTCAAATTCACCTTCATCATGAATAAATGAAGCTTTCTTAGCAGCCTGTTCAGAGGTGTCTTTGAGATCTGCCATTCTCGAGATCGAGCGAAAAAGAAGTGAGATCTCTGATCTTGAATAAGAATAATAGTATCATAGGAATTGGGCACTGAGCCAGACCTTCATCTTAGACTTAAATACCCCAGAATGCGACAGGAATGATATCTAGGATTTCTTCAATGCGCTTTCGATCGACTGTGATTCGTGAGATTGTGCGGAGTCTCTTGGCGGGGGATCTACCCCGTGGGGTTGCGGGAAAAATGTCCCTTTTGGGTGCATTTCCATCATGCAGATAGACAGCCCGGCTATTGAGTCGATGACATCCCTATTTCTTCTTCACAGGGCTCATTGGCTCTCGGGCATTGAACTGACTATGGGTTTACCGCGACCTGAGGGGACGACCGATCAAATTCCGACCTGAAGATCCGATAGGCAACATGCGAACAACCCTTGTCGGGGACTTGACCTTAGTATGATGCTTTGCATCGAGGAAATTTAGGGCGAGAGATGGCCTATAGGTTATCCCATTACAATGTTGACCTTTAGGAGATAGTCAGTGGTCCAAACGGAGAGGTTGCGTTGTCTGCCGAGGTCTTCCCGAGGCTCGGGGCCCGCGGGCCCCCCTAGCTACTACATGACTCTCTTCATCCTTTACGTGTTCTCCAACTCAGTAGCATTGAATCAAATTGATAGTCTACTAATTTTCTTGCAATTTTACCGAGCAACCGTTCTAAAAAGGTTGGGAGACTTACGAAGAATAAAGCGAAAAGAAATGCTCATTTTGAAGAAAAACATTCAGATTCGATTTCGTGTCATGTTTTCGTGTCATCTAATTCCTAGCTTGATGACAAAAGGCGAAGAAAGCATAAATACCTAGTGATATCCTAGTTCCTGACAGGGATGTCCCTCCGCCAAAGTTTGATAGGCATCTCTCCCATCAAAAGGTTAAAGGCCTCATGTCGCGTCAACTCCCATTCAGGCCCCGGCAATGCAAACTCATATCTATGCACCAATGAGGCCAGCATGATAGTCTGCTCGAGATAAGAGATATTCCGCCCAATGCAGCCCCTTCCACCCGTTGAGAACGGGATGAAGTATGGTTCCATCCTCTTCCTCTCCTCAGCCTTCATCCAACGATGGGGTTGGAATTCATCCGGATTTGGAAAAACAGTAGGATCATGGTGTGCCCCGTAAATTGTCATAGAAACGCTCGTGTCACCTGGGATCCAATTCCCCAGGATCATAGCTCCCTCTGGCGGTGTTCGGCGTGGAAGTCCGGCTGAGGTTGGAGGGATTACCCTCATGGCCTCATCGATGCAAGCCCGGAGGAATGGGAGATGTCGGACAGTGTCATACGGGGCAATGGTTTCATTTTCGTCGAGGACACTGTCAACTTCCTGTCTTAGAGTCTTCAGGTGGTCTGGGTGGCGAATGAGAAGATAGATAATTTGAGTCAGGGCAATAGCGGTGGTATCAGCACCGGCATCGATGATGGCGCCAATCTCGCCAACAATCTCGCCCCATTCCAGATTATGCGGCTGACCAGTTTTGTCGTCCATCAATGCGGAGAAGAAGTCATCGAGTTCATCTCCGTTGTTGTACCGATTCATGCGAGTGACGGCCTGGTGATAGATGACGTCTTTCCACGGCTCGGCATCCTTCCAGACCTTTTTCCATTTGGGAAAAATCTTGGACAGAGTGCTGAAAATTTCGAAGTTGTTGTAGTCCCACACAAAATGCGATGTCGCGAATGCGCTTTGGTTTTGGGCCTTGCGGTACCGCGCCTGGTACGTTGTACCATCCATTCGCTGTGCAGTCACAATATCATCGCCCTGCTCCAAGAGACCCAGTGTCGAAGAGAGGGCGATGTTGTTTATAGCCTCAATTGTAAAGAGATTGGCCCAATGATTGAAATTCACAGTCAATTCGGACGGGTCCGGAACACAGTTTAGCGGCAAGGGCTTCGTGCAAAGCTTGTCGAAAGCAGCAAAGAGACGCTCTGTTGTACGCACGACTTTGAATTCCCACTGCACCAGATTCTTGATAGCGAATGCAGCCGAGAGCCGCTTCCTCTTTGTGCTATGGTCTGCTTTGTTGACCACGTCGAACAAATTGGGGTGAGGCCCGCCAGTAATTGAATATTTGAGATCTTTCACACAGGTCGTTCCATGTCCATATATGTCACGGACGGCACCGATGTCTCCGAAAGATAGATTGTTGGGACCGATGCGTAGGATGGCCGAATCTTTATGGGCCTCTGTGAGGTCTCTGGATCGAAAACCACAGGCGCTCAGGTAGCAGTAGGGAATATCTGTAATCCCGGAAAATGCGGAATAGTTTTGAAACTTGCGAAGGCCCTTTGGGTCATGGAAGTAGCGGCAAATGGGCAACCCCACCCAAGAAGTGAGGAGATAAAGCAGTATTACAATAATAGCAATGGTCGATATCATGATTGCGAGAACTCACTTTGCAACCCCTTTGATTTAAAGGGACCAGAGGGTCTAGTTATATACCTCTCTTGATCGAAGACTGAATTGGTGGGTCATGTTCCCAAACACCATGCAGCTAAGATGAGCCGGGGAAATTTTCCCAACATCATAGCATTATTCTGAGCGTGCCCAGATAGAATTTTCCGATCAAGTTTGGCAAATGATCTGATGCACAAAGGCTCTGCTCTGGGGTATCAGGCCTTGGCGCTGAAAGGCGAATCCCAGTGAGGGGGTCGTGCGGAAATCTTGTCCCATTTGGGAATTGCGGAAATTTAACACAAGCTTGGAATCTTCAAACTTCGCCTCCTAGATGCTATGAACACCGCCCAGGCAAACTTTTGATACGCAATTTTCACACAGAGAGCCTAGCTGGACGTAATGGTCGATATGATTGGGTCAATTCCGACAACGGTATCGATGCCTAGCATCATTGATATGAAAATGCCACCCTTGCAAGTAAGCACAACAACGGCTCACGGGTGATCTGGTTCACGGTAATTGCTATTCCTGTAAGATTTTCTTGAGTCGATAGTGCACATGATTGTCGTTCGGGCGAACGATGCGGCCGGCACGCAATAGCATAGACGAAACAGTCTCAGAAAACTAAGAATGCATTGATTGTTCAGTACAAATCTAGAGGCGTATTGGCATAATCAAAGGGTGTTGGGTAGATGCCCGGGGGAATTGTTGAAAAGCCAATCAGGAGGTGGGTTTGTCGCGCCAAGCCTCCCTAAGAACCGCTGAGGTAGCGGCTGTCGGCCATGCATGGCGATATTCCAGATCAGCCAGAAACTTCAAAATGGCATCTTGCTCCGCGGGATCAGTGAAGTATTCCCCGCACACGGAAATTCCAACTGCGGCATCAACCATCAAAACCGGATTGGAATTCGATAGCGCGATACCACACAGTCGGCGAATGATCGCTCTCAACTGCTCCTCTAAGGCCAAAGTCGCTGCACGCGCTGCTAGCCCAAGCCGGGAGAGTTTAGGATCCGAAACGGCGAGAAGAATTCGGGATAGCTCAATGTGCTGCGCCCCAACGGCTTGACATGCGTTGTTGTGCCAGATGATAGGGAAGAATTGACCGCTTGAAGGATCGGCTTCTTTCATATAAAGAGGTTTGAATCCTAGGGGCTTGTTTGTCTCCCAAGTAGTCTCGAATTGCTTCAGGATGGTCCACTTTTCCAGCTGCTTCCGAGGCGTAAGCGACTTTCCTTCCCCGAAGCAGAACTTGAGAAGATCGGCACACCAGACGAGAATTCTGTTAGTCCAAGAAAAATCTCCGGCGGACGTGAAGTTTGTATAGTCGTTGTTGGGACACAGAGGGAGCCTGAAGGTACGTTGGTTGAGAAAAGCACTCCAGATCTCTTGTCGCAATGCGATCAAGCAAGCCGAATGTCGTAAAGATGCCGAAGGAATCACCTGGAGCTCTTGATCTCTTGGGGGTCCCTGGATAGTATCATAGGCGTAGAAGGAGTCATTATGCTGTGTTTGGACAATGAATTGAACTGTGTTGAGATATGCCTCAGAGTCGATTCCTAGAGACGGTGCTGCCACGAGCGGTTAGAATCAATGGCACCATAGAGCGAAACCCTTGAACATACCATCAATCTGCTCATAGAATCTCAAGATAGTTGCCGCAGTGAGTACATCTTCGTTATATTGCTCATTTGGGTCCTTCGACAGCTCTATGAGATATGAAATGCACGTATCATGGTAGCGCACAGCAGAGTCACTCGTAAGGCCTTGTAGTCTGATTCCCCCAAATACTATGCAGTTAGAATCGTCGCGATAGGCTGCCAGTCGGGTCAGATGACCAGCAGATGCAGTATAGATGGCAAACCGCAAGACGGGACAAAACAATGCCCTTTCTGGGACATTTAACTGGAAATGACGATCGCGATCGCACGTATCGAACTGACCTGGCGTTACTAAGATGGAGCGTTGAAAGAGGGAAAGAAAAGGTACCCAAAATGAAAGGTTTTCGGCAAAATGACGCATCAAACATGCTTCCTCCAGATTGGTGTACGAATCCTCTGTGTTGTGCTCGGGGGCGCCCTTCAAAGGTCCGGACGGGTACTGGTCCCTGTCAGGGGGAAATAGCTGGTATCCTGGTGATGATTCGTACTGTAGCTTCTTGTCGGATGAGGCGATCGGAGAAAGCGATGGAGTAGATCCGGTCCTGTTGATGGACGGGCCACCTTGCGTGTCCAGGTCGCCAAACTCGTCTCCAACGCTTGAATTGGTGTGATGTATCTCGCCAAAAAGATGATTAGTTGCGGTAAGTGGTGTATCTGGGCTCGGTATTGACTGCTGTGAGGCTGATTGCATTCGAAGATCAACAGATGGGGTTGCAGGATCAGGGTCGGTATTCCCTTCCTCTCGCTCTTCCTGTTCCTCCCAGGTCTGCTCCGTATTCACAAAGTGCAGTTGCCCTGAAATACTTCATTAGCCCGCGGGCATATTTTCTGACGCTCAAAATAAACACCTTTCGGGCTGGGGCCAACCCATTTCTGAATGGGAGAAAAGTGAAAGCCTTGACGCTTTCGACGAGCATCTTTGAACTTGAAATTGGATGAGGTTTCACATTTGGACTTGGACTTTATGCAAGTGGCACATGGCCGTTTGCCATCACCTTCACATTGGGGTCAGAATATCCTCGGCAAATCATAGGAGTGAGACTACATTTTCGGTGGCGGGCTAGGCAAGGATGTTAATAAGAGGCCCACCCTTTTCAACCAAGACTTACCTTTGCACCATTCGCATGGATTGGATGTATAGCGCTTTCTGGTCGTCATGCCTCGTACCTAGTAGCAGAGGGAATCCTAAAACGGAGACATCCCAAGTGCGGAGAGAGGAGGGGATGTCTGCCTGGATATCAAGGCATCAAAACAAAACTCAATCCGTGGCGTTGGATCTCGATCCAGAGGATATACATCGATGAGCGTGGGCGCTGACAATTTGGATACAATCTTCATGACCCTGGGGAGAGCACGTGGCCACATGCTTCTAGAAAAGCATCGACGCAAAAAAAAACGCAAAAACATACAACAGTGAGGATTCGCTGGTGGTCACCCACCCAACTACTAACTCACCGGCGTGTGGCTTAAGTACGGCTGAGCGGACGGGAAGCCCTGTTTTCCACACCCTGTGGTCGTATGTGCTTGAGAGGAAGGAATGGCAGATCATATTATATCATATTATCAGGAAATTAAGAGGATAATCTTGGAACACTGGAAGGACTCATAGTCACAGGACTACCCGCGAGGGCTATTCAGGTGACAACGTGTTCTCGGATTGTATGATCTCTTTCTCATGTTACCTACTCGTGGACGCTTGATTCGTTGATTTTTTGCGACACCGGGGTTACCTCTTGGGAAAATTTCCAGATTTGATTTGCTCTTAGATTTCCTTTGAAACCATACGTCTGCACCTGGCTGTTTAGCCACTAGTGCAATATCTTTGATGGCAATCTTCATCTTCATCTTTCATCCAAAGATATTATCATTCATTAAGACAAAGTCATTCACCAGTCGCACAATGCCTTTACTCTAATCTTTAGCATGCCAGAAGGTGTTAGATCGACGTACTAGCCGCCCTTGGATGGTTTTTCTTTTATCTCTTTGGTTCCTTTGACGAGGATTTTACCTACGCAAAGCCATTGTGAAAGAAATTACCATTATGTCTTTATTCCTCTTATACTTATTTTCCAATGTCTTTGTTAGCAAGAACAATGCTCGGTGCGAGTCTTGGAAGCCCATCATCGAGGATAGGTCGAGTTCGAGTAGTATAAATAGTCCATGACCATCCACTTTAAAATTCTTCATCACACAATCTACAAACAAATCTACAAACCAATCTACAAACCAATCTACAGACCAATCTACAGACCAATCTACAGACCAATCTACAGACCAATCTACAAGCCAATCTACAGACTCACCTACAAGATGTCTTTCTTCAGGGGATCTAACGGAAACTCAGGATCTAACGGAAACTCTTCCAATGGAAATTCAGGGTATAATGGACGCTCAACATATGGAAACACAGGATCCACTGGAAGCTTGACCACAACCTTCATCCAACAGCGCCAGATGCTCCAAACAGATCTAACCAGACTCGTGCAGCTGCTTACCGGTCGATACGCACCCAACGCAAACCAAGTCATCAACGAGGTAAGTGAGATACTAGCCTCAGTGTCAGAACTCTCCAATACCGCTGAAGGAATGCTCCGTACCTCCTCGCCGCAAGAGATCCAGAGAGTTGCAGAGATGTGGTACTTTTCCGACGTGCTCCCACGCCACGGAAATCAGACATCGACTGAGTTTGAATGGGCTTGTGACTACACTATTAGCTCTCTGGTGTTGCTACGAGAGTATGTCTCTAACAATATGGCGATTAGTGGAATCGCTAGGAACATTCAGACGCAAATTGGTCTGTGGGAGATGCGGACTGCATGGCCCCAAGTGCTTCCTGAACAAGATCCTAGCCTTGAGATCCGTATCACGGGTCTGTACCAGGCCCCGCCTAGCCGTGGATTTAGGTAAGTAAGAGTTCATCGGGTCATCGAGGATGCGAATTCATTTTTTCAGCTGGATACTACTAATTGAAAAACAGAAAAAGAGCTTTGGGGAGGCTCCACAAAAAAACGAGAAAATATAAGCAAAAAAAGCAAAAAGAAAGCAAAAAAAAAAAGAAAAGAAAAAAAGAAAAAACGTACGAAGTACATACATATCAAAAGATAAGCAAATGGAAATTGATTTTGCTCGCAATTGTCTCCATGCAAAGCTCAACTGGGCAGTAACCGTACGGAGTGCTCCGTACATAGTGATGGATTATGGAAATTACAGGAAACAGACTGTGTTTCTGTCGGGAGTCATAAGCCCGACACATGGTCCCATGTCTTGGTAGGTAGCTCGCTCATTTCCCGCTCAGTTCAGTAGATAGTCTTCCCTCTTCTTCTTTAGAGAATTTGGTCACCCACCCAACTACTAACTCACCGGCGTGTGGCTTGAATGCGGCCGATAGTCGGATGGGTGTCACCCAGGTGAGCAATGGGTGAGCGCTGCTTTTGCGTCGTGCGACAGGGGGTGAGCAGACCTTGGAGTGAGTTGGTTGTAGAGGGGAAGGTTGGCCGGTGAGAGTTACTAGGTACCTTGGATCCCGCGATGCTCGCGACCAACACATCATGAGGTCATACACAATTTCGAATATACATTATAATTGGATCATCACATCCCTTGACCCTTTACTCCGTAGATCTCTTGGCATCTGCACATAGCTACAAACTACCTAGTACGGAGTAATCCAGCATCGATAACCATGAAAACAGATGGAACGTGCTTGTATATAGAAGATTTACTATTCGAAATATCTAGACGTACTACTTAAGTAACACTAGTACTTAAGGACATATTTCTATTCTTTTAGGGAGGTGAAATCACAGTTATTGTTAGCCTAGAGTATGAGAGGTGAGAAATATATATTTCGATAACTTTGAGCAGTGGGTGTTTCAAGGTTAGTCACAATTACTCGCTCTTCCTGGATCACCGTTCTTCTCGAGGTTTTCTCTTTTTCATTTCTCGCCCAAGTGATCTCTCAATAGTGTTGACCTTGCTATTCTCAAATAAGCGAACTTTTCTCTGGAGATTCAGATTGACAGCTCGCATTTGTGACTTGTCCGACAATTTTTGGGCCTAGTCGTTTGTGATGCCGCCTCGATGTGTTTTTCCCCCTCTCCCTCTATGGAACTGGTGAATCGGACGTGAAAACGCGCTTCGTGTGGTATGCTTTGGGGTTGGACGAAATGGGAGATGGCCGCGGATAGCATTGCCAGGCACAAAGGCCTCTTGGACCAAGAGTTGCAGATATTGGTGGAAGTCGGGTCTTTCTGCTGGGCTGTCATGGGAAGGAAAGCACAAGGCTCATTCTCTATTCCTACAAACAAGTACCCAGAAAAAGAAAACAAGCAGTCTTGAGCCCCCAGGACCCATCCCTCCGGATGTGGGAGTCTGGAGTCAGATCTCAGACATCATTGAAGGCAACGTTGAAATATTTGAGTTCCTGTTTGAGATACAGCAGGCAAGTTGAATATGTTCACTGGTTGGAAACAGGGCACCGACTCGTGTGCATGCGTCTGCAGTCCTATGCTGCGCGACGGATAGCCTTTGGGCTGTGCAGGGATGCCCAATACACCCAATGTCGTCACCATACAGGGCCTTCGCCCTTTCAGTTTGCAGTCCCCGATAGTTGTGAGATTATTCCCCGTCACATCGCTCACTCCGTTCTTCTTGTCGTGACAGTCCCAGTCGGCTTTGCTCTGGTAAATCTCAACCATTGTCAGCACCTACCATGCACAATTCTTTAAGCGAAACCTGGGGCGACGCTCACACAGATCGGCTGCCATCCACGGTGGAACAATTTCATGATTCTCTTGTCAATTATTCCGACAACATCGCCTTAATCTGTACCCATCAAGATGCGGGCCTTTACGGCATCTCGACCAGAGATTGTTCATTCAAAGATGCTCAGAGTGCGCCGTACCTCCGTTGGACATTTCAAGATTTGAAACTGGGAGTTTCCCGGCTGGAGGGAAGCCTAAGGTCACTGGGTGTCAAGACAGGCACACCGATCATCACACTACTTCCAAACTGCGCGGAGTTTGTCTTGACATGGTGGGCAGCCATGGAGATTGGAGCCTTCGTGGCTCCTCTGGATCCAAGCCGACTGTCAAACGCAAGTGAGACCAAGAACAACCTTGAAACAATAATGAAAGTAGCAGACGATAAGCCGCCCGTCATCGTTGCCTTTGACGCTGAATCTCTCGACTTCCCGGGCATTTCGTCGATTCCGAGACAGGCAGCGATTGTCGTGTCTACCACCAGGGGAACTGAGAGCCATGCTTTGTTCAAAGACCTGATGATGACCTCACAAGATGCAGACATTGATTTAACCAAAAGGGTGGAGCACGAAGTCACCCCACCTGGCCGGAGTTGCATCCTCTTCACCAGTGGGTCAACCTCCTTGCCCAAGGGTGTGATTCGCAGGCCGAACCTCCAGGCATCTTTTGCGCGGGATGTGTTCAGGACGCCCGGGTATGAAACTCTACCTGGAGATCTCTGGTGTTGTGTAACGCCAAACAATCACTGTGTTGGCATCAACAGTTTGATTTCCCCCATGTTGGTGGGCGCCGGCGTCTTGTACCCAGGGGAGGCCTTTTCAGCGGAGGCCACGGCCCAGGCACTTTTGCAAGAAAGATGCACGCACATGATCATGGTGCCAACCAATGTCAGCCTGATTGCAGAGTATCTCGCGGAAGACACTGGCGATATGCGCACAAGCTTGAAGGCTGTGGCGCTGGCCGGGTCTCCGCCAACGATCCAAACCGTTGAGACATGCTTGCAGGCCCTTGGAACGCGCGGTGTTTGCGTCCGATATGGGAGTACAGAAGGCCTGGCCTGTGACAGTGAGATTGTGTCAAATATGCAGGGTATTATTGGCGAGAACGGTCTACTGACAGTGGGAAGACCGGTAGCCAGAGACGGAGTCAAGATTTGCCAGCCTCACGGAACCGATAGACTCGGTGTACCACTCCCCCGTGGGATGACTGGGGAGATCCACTATAGTGCCGGTGCTTGGCGCAATCACACCATGTACATTGGACGTGAGGACACCGATGACACGTGCTATACGGATTACGCAGGCAAGCGCTGGCTAATCACCGGTGACGAGGGCATGATGGACAGCCAAGGGCGTCTGTACGTGGTCGGTCGACTCAAGGATACGATAATCCGGGGAGGCGAGAACATTTCCCCGGTGGCCATTGAGGTGCGTCTGGCCAATAATCCGAAGCTAGCATCCAAGTCTATTCAAATTGTCGGACAACCGGACCCAATCAGCGGAGAGGTTCCAATCGGTGTGATTGCCAGCGGTCCAGATTTCAGCGAGACTGCAGCAGAGATCTATCGCTGCATCCGTGCCGACATGGGCCTCATGTGGGCTCCGCATGAAGTCATTCACCTAGCGCAGCTCGGTCTTGAAGACTGGCCTCGCACATCCATGGGCAAAGTGAATCGCAATACCCTTCGAAAACTGGTACATAAGCGTTATGAGAATTCATTGGAGGCTTCAGGGGGGAACGGGGGCCAGTCTGGTGCGATGACTGGCGATGGACACATTCGTCAGCAGATTTTGAGAGCCTGGGCGAGCGCCTTGGCATTGGATGAAGAGCAGTTACCCCTTGATATAAGTATTTCGCAATTTGCCGACAGTCTCTCGGTAGCTCAAGTGAGAGGACATCTTCGACGTACGGTGCCTGGGCTAGGAAATATCTCTGTGAGAGATGTTTCTGGGAACAACACGTTGTCAGAGCAGATTGACTTGGTAGTTCAAGCGTGGAGAAGGGAAGGTCATAAAAGTCCAGAAGAAAGTGATCATGAGGGTCCCCCGACTGCAGATGAAATGGTAACCTTCTTTCCGTCTCTCACCCCCCCCCCATCTGTGAATGTTTCTTTACCAACGACTGGCATGAGCCTCTAGCTGCACACGATCGGCCAACCAGACCTCTTCACGCCCACCAAGACGCTTGTTATGGAAGTCATCGAACAACAGGGCTTCCGCTGGGACGACGTGGCGAGCGTGTTTCCTGCGCAGAATCTCGTCGACGAGCTCTCTAGAAATGGCATGCTTGACACGCTCAGGTTCCAATATGCCTTCACTACAAAAACAGAGGGTAGTCTCGAGGTGAGTTGATCGTGATTGTGGGAATCCTTGCTTCCAGGCATAGGGAGTTGAGATACTTATAGCAATATTTTCAGTCAGTGAAGGATGCTTTCAAAGCAGTCTTGCGCGCGAACCCATTGTTGCCTTCATTCCTCGTCTGGGACAAACGGGCCTCGGAATTCTCTGCGGATAACCATGCCCTCCACGTCACATTGAAACCAAGCGAAAAACTCTACGACCTGGTCCTGCAAGATGGAGGCTCTGTGGGAAAAGAGGAGGATCTCCTTCACTTGGCTTGGAATCACCCCCACCCAGAGTGGGCTCTGTATCCTGGGATTTTGTTGCGGGTGCTGTTGTTTAAGGTGGAGACAACTAAGTCAGTAGGCTTCGTTGTCAGTGGTAAGCCCCTCATATGTCTTCCGAGTCCCTCATTCAATCTAACCTGTTGACAAGTGAGCCACGGCGTCATGGACGCATCATACATCGATGTTTTTCTCTCAGACTTGGACAGAGCTCTCAATTACCCAATACCGCAGCCTCTTGTACCCCACACCAGCTACAAGATGTGGGCAGAGTCATACTACTCATTCCGAGAGTCGCCGCAAGCGAGAGCATCGGTAAGGTGGCACGTCGAATATCTTCACGGAATTCAAACCCATTTCGACGAGGCGCAGTGGCCTAGGGTACAGAGGCGGAGTGCCTTCGATCCCACAGAGAACGCACATGGCAAGGGCGCACTCCATAGTTTCTCGGTCCCCGGAATTGCGGCTCTTAGGAAAAGTCATCCGCTGATATCACCGGCGGTAATAATCAAGGCAGCCTTGGCACTCTTAAATACGCACCATACTGGCCATGACCATGCAGTGTTTGCAGGTACACAAGCTGGACGGACACAGTGGCCTTTTATGCCTGCGTCATTCGGCAAGCATGTCGGACAGGGACTCTTCGACGAGGCAACAGACGTAGCTGGACCGTTGATGCAGTCGGTAACGAACTTGATCAAGATTTTGCCTGATGAGTCCGTGCTCGATATGCTGCATCGTCTACAAACAGATCAGGAGGCTTTGACGCTGCATGCCCACGCACCATGGCCTGCCATCGAGGAGACCCTGGATAAAGCACAGCGAAATCGGTCTAACACAGGCTTGCTTGGCAGCCACCGTGGGCTGGCCAGGAAGATCTTCTCCACGCAGGTTTTCAACTGGATCCCAGGTATGGGAGCTCAAGGGGGTGATTTGAAGGAGTTTATCAACTTTCGCAAGCTCACGGCCGTTACTTGCTCGCAAATCGGGCTGGTCGTTAGGGCCGGTATTGGGGGGCTTGCGGGCGACACCGTTATTCTTTTTATCCGCGGAGACGGGCTAACAGATGGTCAAATTGAGGAAGTTGCACAAAAGTGAGATTTGTTTACCCCGCCATTTTTGCATAGAAAACTGACTGATATCTTCTTGCTCATTCAGAATCGAAGTGCTGGTGCGGTCATTGACATGTATCGACAATTGGAATGCCCCTATTTCACGGTGTATGTTGCATGAAGATGTTGTGCTCCAGGAATCGCTGTGAGCAGTTGACAATCTCGGAAGTGACAAACTGCCCTAAGCTCCCAATACTACCGGAATTTATCAATGTCTGCTATAGCAAAGAAGACCTCGGTTTTCCGTGGTTGTGCAATAAAAAAGCCCGCCAAAGATCCGCGGACTTCTGCTTAATTAGACGAATGTTTACAAGCGAGTCGAATGGACTTGAAATCCAGATTATGGAGATGAGATGTGATTTTTTGCCCAGTTTCAAAGTAACAGGAATGACATGGCCAATTCAAATGATTTTGATGCGCAGGAGGGTGCTGATATACATAGGGTCATGCTGATTCACCAGAGCGCCAAGACTCTGGGCTGTGTATTTTTAATTACTATGGGAGAACCAGTATTAAAATGAAACCAGGAGTTGACAATAGCGGCCATTTGGAAAAAAACACTAGCGTGGGTGCCCTGAGCAATCCGTGGGTGCCCTTAGCAATTCCCATAGCAAATTGGAGGCTGAGAATTGACCGGGTCCATTTATCAGCTGCCCACCAACCCCGGCAGTCCTTCGATAAGCCAATTACAGTTGATTGAGATGGAGCTAGAGAGAGAGAGCAAGAAAACCGAGTACCTATATAAAGGGGAAGTGGACGAGATCAAGAATCATGTGATCTACAACATTTGGAATGCCACTCCAGCCCTGGAGGGCTGGGAGTTAAATCGACGTGATAGCCCCCTCGAACAAGTTTTAGTTCATCTCTTTGATCCTTCGGTAAGTATGTTACGCAAAGCCATTGTGGAAGAAATGACCTTAGTGTCTAGTTAAGTGGGAGAAGTTGTACAGGAATTTCCAGGAAAACAACGCAAGATTTGGTGTCATTGCTGGATAAGAGATTGGTGGACGCCGCTTTGGCATTGAGCAAGCTAAAAATAGCATACTACTCGATCCAAACAATAAGAGCAAGCAAGGCAGCGAGCGCTGCGCATTCTGCAGAGCTGACTGCAACTGTTTGTGAAACCTCCTCGGCTCTGGAAGGGAATTTGGGGGCGAGATTGGTTTCGAAATCGGCCCGTGAATTATATCGGCGGTTCTCCATTCCGCCGCTATCGAGTTCGGTATATTAGAGAGCGGTTTCTGGGTCCAAGTGGCAACAATGGGCTGCCAATCCAACAACGAGGGAATCCAGACGCTCAGAGCTGTTCTCATCGAGATACTCGTTTATCTCTTCGGGGATCTCCCCTGGATATCCATGTACCCGTGACCACACGGGGGCGTATCCATGAGATTCTCACTCTTCTATTGTTCATGGAAGGTGATTAGGGTCACCCTCCATGTTGAGCTCATGTCTCTGCGGTGGAGTGGGTGAGACATAGTGACAGTACTGTGATGGTACTCAAAAGAAGAGGGATGAGGTGATGCAGAAGTGAAGAGGGTGTGCTCTGGTGAACCTTGGAAGTGAAATGAGAAGTGAAAAGAGAGAAGATCGGATTTAGATTAGATGTGGGTACTGTTGGAGCTGCCTGGGTCCGACATGAGAGATGGCAGCGAAGAAATTGAGAGTGGTGGCACGGAGTCAATAGGGCTCATAGAGTTTGTCGGACTGGCTACCAAATCCGAATTCGGATTTGATGACGGGATATTTTTCCAGATCCATGACTTTAAAAACTTGACGCAGCGATTCGTTATTGAAAGGCTGTCCTGCAAGATTTCCCTTGAACCAACTCGGGGACTTGGGGCCCTGTCTCCTTCTCGTCACTCCCTGGTTCCGTCTCGGCGTATTCATGAGTGTCAGGAGTGTATTCCGTTGGTCTTCCAAACAACGAACGCGGGTAATTGGCAGCGGACTGGCTCTCCCGACGTGGCCCACCTCATTTTGCCGTCTCGTTGGAGTTTGTCAACGACCAGATCGGTTTCTAGTCTGGCTTTGGGCCCGACGTGGTGAGGCTGCGAGACTGGGATCTTGGCATCTGGGTGCAGTCGCAAACGCATCCAACGCTGGGGTGGGATACCCACGAATACTGGTGGTAGGCCAGGGTATAGGTAGCCAAACGTCGTGTTTCATAAATACCTCGGTGAGCATTTGGACGGTGGCCTGATCGCCGTAAATCGCAATGCAGCTTGGTAGTGTCACTACTAGTGTGGTCAGCAAAGAGTCGCTTTCTGTAGCACTCGTCCTCCGGCTTACATGTCTCTGCGCGGAACATATCGTATTCATCACAATAGACATCCCACTATGCGGCCGCTGCATCGGCGTCGTAATATGGATCTGCTGCGTACGCCTTTGGCTAGTCACAGGATCTGTTCCGTCGAGGAACTGATCTGACCACTGCTGGGGACAAGAAGCCAGAGAAGAGATTGATTGTCTATCTTTGAGAGGAAAAGGTGAAGGAGGGAAAAGCGAAGAAAGCAAGAAGAGCGAGATTTAGGAAACAGCCAGACAACACTTGAGCAGGAACTTACATGCACTCATATTGTACTAAGGTACCAAGGTTAGGAAGGAGTCACCTGGTCATTCGAATGTTGTGAATCATCATTGAAACTCTACAATACGCGGAAGCAAAATCGACGTATCTATACACATGATCTGAGAGAAGGTAGATTGGCTAGAGACCATGTTAGGGCTCCGAATTACGTATATCAGGTGAACTGACGCCTCACACCTCTCGCTCCTACCCTTACTCCTTCTCTTTTCTCTCATCGCCCGTCTGCTACTTCTTTCCACTCTTCCTTTTTCTCGAGGTTATGACCGTACCTCCGTCAGAGAATACTCTTGCACGTTTTGAGAGTCTTCTGGCCCAGTTGTGATCTCACTTTGCTTCGAAGCCTTTCTCTGTTTGAAAGTCGCAAACGCAACAACTGCAGCGTAAAGCGAGTATATTATCCCGGCAACCACTCCGAATCCAACCAGTGCACCGCGAGATCCACCCGAGCTGGTAGATCCACTAAGATGACGCCCTAGGCCTCCGTTGATAACACCCAAAACGAGCATGCAACGTCCGAGCCAGCGGTGTGCATAAGCCCACCACGTCTTGCGCTGTGTCTTGCGGAATATCCTGTGTTGGAGGATTCCCATGATGGGCTGAACTATGACAAGAAGGACGATCACAATGGCACCGATCACCTGGTGATATTTATCCTTGGTCGGAACTTCGCGAGTGAGATATATGCCAAGACCAAAGCCGGTCACGGTCAGCGTCGCAGTCACGGACTGAAGAGCAGCGTGGATCTTCACAATTGGCAGCGATGGTGGAAGCAAGTGAATGAAGCTCGCGAAGGTGGGATAGAGGAGGAGAAACACAACGGACATGATCGATCCGTGCACCGTTCGGATTTTCATCAATTTGTTGATTTTGGCCATCCATGGGCCCATATCTGCCGGGGTTGCTGAGGTTTATTGAGATGAGCCAGAGGTTGCTTCATCAGCTGGGAGAGCTGACCGTCCCACTAGTTGCGGCACCGGGTCGACATCGTTCATGTTGTCATTTCCATACGTCTCGACTGCAGTGATGCGTATCGGACCGGAATATATTTGACCGTGTTCCTCATATGCCCAGGTCCAATCTTCCAGCCCACCGAAAATGTGTTGGCCCATACAACGGAACTCGGTCACCACAACGCCATCATGGACAGAGGGTGGCTCCTTGAAAACAAAACACTCTGGTGAGCTCGATCCTGTCTCTGTATGAACTGCATTCTCACTAGAGGAGAGAAAGAGCGACATAGTGTCTGGGGCCATGACTGACGGTATGCGAGTACAGCCCAGTCGATGTCAGCCGGAGCAGTAAGTCGAATGTAGGTATCGTCGGTTTGTATAAAATGGTAGGCTATGTCACTGCGACCTGGGGGATGAAGCACATGGCTTTGACCCATCACAAAGTGAGCTTTCGAAACTCGTTAGCTTTCGATCGAGAATAGCAAACTCGGGGAGGCAGTGGAATGTGTGTTTAGGGGTTATGCACACAAAACTCATGTAAACGCACCGAATCCAGCGAGCAGGAAAAAGACTGCCAGTGAGAACATTTTGTCGTGGTATTTGATGGAATACAATATAAAAGATGCTCTTCAGCTTGGTTCATATCCTACAAAGACATAGCACCCTTGAATTTATATCTAAAAAAAACCTTGGAACTTCAGCGAGCAGTTTAGGCATCGAACACCTTGTGAGATAGAAGAGCCACTAGGCTGGACTTGGAAAAAGGGCATCGGGCTTTCGACTCCGGGATTTGCAGATACTCCCCGATTAGGCTTAAATCCCGAAGGATATTCTCCATCATCCCACATAGTCAATTTTAGACTGTGTAACAGATCTAGATGGGGAGCTGACAGAAGTGAGAAAATCCGCGGCTTTGGATTGGACCGCACTGGAAACGCGAATGCGAATCCGAATGCGCATATTGGCTTTCGACACCAGGAAGCTTGGGACGCTCATTTTCGGGAGAACCCATGAATATATCTTATCTGTGAAGACTGCGTATATAGTTTTAATTGGTAGTCTAGTCATGTGTCATGTTTAGCTACCGTATCTATGCATGCTGCGCCCCTCTTGAGGTTGGCATGGCATCACATAGACTGCGAGTACCAGATACTCACATCCGCTGCCCTCACCTGTACCATCGAAAACCTCTGTTGCACAGCCTTCCTCTCCTCAGTCCATGACGTGTCTTGAAATGCCTTCATTTTCTCCAAAAGGTTTAGCAGGAGAAATGGTGGATATTGGAGGATGTTTGGGCTACTTGAATGGTACCTAGGTAGTTTTCAGGTGAAGACAGAAGTTCCTCCTTGAGCAGAGAATGAATTTTCAGGACGAACAGTAAGAGTAAAAGTTCTTATCGGTTCTATAAACATGTGATAAAGGTCCAAGACTACCTAGTCCCACTTCACATCGGGATTCCAGGCGAGTGTCGTGCGGCCAGACTTTGGAAAGATAGGACGTCCACGGTAGTTATAGACTGCCGTATTCTGCACAGGCGATTCGAATGTTGTTATGTCTCATACAATATATGTAGGCTCTCAGGGCTAGTGAAAGTAAACAGCTCCTACCAGAAATGACCAATTGGAATCGTGGGTAAGACAAATGGGTAATGTTGGCATGTTATTTATCCAGTAAAATAGGAATATCGCGATGGTGGTATGACGAAGCAGACAGGATGATGGGAGTTCTATGGACCTGCAGGCAGTGGTGAATAATGCCTTGGACTTACGAAGCTTCAATAGGTAGGAAAGGTGTGTGTAATTGCCCAGGCGCTTGGTCTTTCCAACTGTAAAATTGCGGCATGAAATACCCTACCATGCTCAACGAGTGCCCGATGCGATATTGCAGCGCTATGTCACACGAAAGTAGAAAGATAGCTTCACTCGGGTACAAAACAAGTATTATAGAGCTCGAGGAGGACCTTGGTCGGCCGCCCGGGGCGTCTGTCTCAACTGTTTAAAAAAATTGGAAGAGTTGTTGAGAGGCAGTGGGTACGGATGCTACTGGCTGAGAAAGAAGGAAAGAAGGAGTCTGCTAGCTACTACCTATGTAGCATGCAGGGTCTTTGGGCGTCTTGGGCGTCCCAGCGCCTGGAAGGAGAGAGCTGTGGAGCGAGGGCGGACCGTGAAGGCGGCCCGGGGGGCCCGGGCGGGGCGAGGAGGACGACACGTGACCACATATCACGTGCTGTTGGTCACATGACCCGGCGCAGGATCCCACCTGGCCCCGGGGGCAGCCCGACAATTGAGCACTAGGATCCTTGAACGGTGCCAACTGTTCGTATACAAGAAGTTTTCCCGGCGGTGATGAAACCGTCGCTAGTAGACTTTGCTATCTGTGATGGAAATAACTCCCCACTGTGGAGTGTGTTTTATATAAGCTTATGTTTTAGGTGAGCGCTACTCTGCGGATGCCTCGTGGTTCATTTTGTAAGTGGCCGAACTAAGAGATGGGTTCTAGAGTGGAGTTCTCTTTGTCTGCCCGTCGATCCATGGATCTTGCCACAAAGAGTCTCACTTACTGCGAGATCTATTAAGAACGATAACTCTAACGCAACAATGAAAACTCGAGTAAATTTGTTTTGGGTTTTTAAGACCCAGCAAATGATGCGCTGAGCTCATGAGATCTCCCGTCCATTGGAGGAGATTCCGGGCCCGTCCGGGGTCAAAGCGCGGGGTAGGGAACGTCCGGGGTAAAACTCACCGAGCCTCTGATCTGCGGATGAGATGACACCGAGAGCTGTTAAGGGGGGATCAGATTCTCGAATAATTTAATATATTTCATTTGGATCCTGCAAGCCCAATTGTCTCCCAGTCTCCCACAGAGATCATGAGCATCTGACTTCATGTCCAGAGTCCAGCTTTCGGGAACGCTCTGAATGGGTCACGGATGTTGAAAACGTGCTGGTATTCGACACCAGAGCTGAGGCAGCGCGCGAAAAAAAATAATCAGCGCTTACCCTCAGCCCGGTTAAGTTCCCGAGGTCACTCACTCGTGATAGGCTCGGCAGTGAGCCACCCTGGCATGGCATCAGGAGAGAATTTAAAGTGCGCAACCAGAAACCTGAGACGGGAGACCAGTATGACTCGCACAAAATAAACGAGCCAGGACTCTGGCCTCCTTAAGATCCAAAGCAGGAAATTATCCGGCGCATAGGACGCCACAAATCAGACGGACACCACCACTTGTAGACACCAAATTGCCACTTCAGCATATACCCCGCAAAGGAGCCAATGCATTTACTTCCGGCTAGTACTTATCAGGCCTAGAACCTATCAGATTCGCCAAAAGCCCCTAATCAAGTGACGCCCAGGCTGCTACCGTAGTGTCCGGAAAATGACCCTGAATGGACATAGGGTTGGGGAGGTCAAAGTCCGGGGCAAGCTTCTCTCAATTAAGCCAAGACCCGGGATCTCCATTACGGGCGTCGCACGTATAAAGATCCGAAGCCCCCCCCAGTCGGCCCTGCCTCTTTTTCATTCACCCGTTTCTTTTGAGGATCGTCAACATGAGCAACGACTTATCAGAGAAGCAGAGTTCGGCGATGGAGGTCGAGGACCATGCCACCTCCGCGAATGAGCCGGTGTACGATGTCAGCGAGAAAGTCGACTACGACAGACAGGGTGCCATCGATGCCGAGATCGCTGAGCGTAATATGACTGTGATCCAAGCTGTCAAGGCCTACCCCGCTGCCAGTTGGTGGGCATTCGTGATGTCTTGCACCATTGTAAGCGCTTGTCCGTGATATGCAGATAACTTCATCTGACACTGCGATAGATCATGGAGTCATACTGCGTTTTCTTGATGGGACAGTTCATCGCCACGGATAGATTCGCCAAAGATTTCGGTGTACACAGCGCAAGAACAGACAAGTGGATCATCGAGGCCTCATGGCAGTCAGCATTCCAGTGCAGTGGACCCATCGGTGCCTTCATCGGTGTATTCATCGCGGGTCCTATCACGAGTTATGTTGGATATCGATGGGCAACTATTGGCGGTCTCATGGCTCTGAACGGCTTCATCTTCATCTTCTACTTCGGAAACAGCCAGGGAATGTTCTTTGCGTCTCAGATTCTGGAGGGCATCCCGTGGGGTATTTTCATCGCCAACGCACCCGCCTACTGTGCCGAGATCGTGCCAATGAGACTACGAGCTCCGGCGACGCAGATGTTGCAGATGTTCTGGGCAATTGGATCCATCATCGTCGGTGGTATCACCTACCACTACCAATCGAAGGATGATCCCTCGGCGTACAGGTTCGTTCGCATCCATCGTTACCATCGAGGAGCACTGTGCTAACAGCTCACACTAGAGTTCCCATTGCGCTCCAGTGGATGTTCCCTACTCCTCTCGCTATCCTACTTTTCCTTGCGCCTGAATCTCCCTGGTGGCTCGTGCGACAGGGTCGTCTGGCCGAGGCAGAGAAAGCCGTCAAGCGCCTGGGACGCGCGAGTGCAACCGATAATCCCGCCGACGCCGTTGCAATGATGCGTCGCACGATTGAGCTCGAGAAGACTGAGAAGAAGCCCAATTTGATTGAACTGTGGAAAGGCACAGATCTCTACCGCACATTGATCGTGTGCGGTGTGTACGCGTCTCAGAATCTGACGGGCAATCTGATTGCCAACCAAGCGGTTTACTTTTTCAAACGTGAGTCCAGCCACCCCCCCCCCCCCCCCTCCGCAGTCATATGGCAGACTAACATCTTCTCAGAGGCCGGTATGCCAGACAACACCGCATTCGCACTTGGCCTTATAACTTCTGCCCTGCAGTGGGTCATGGTCATGGGCTCTTGGGTTCTAACCACATACCTTGGCCGACGCACCATCTATGTCTACGGTCAACTCATCAACTGTGTGTTCCTGATCGCACTCGGGATTGCAGCTTCGGTCGGCGACAGCGATCCGGCGAGCAATGCACAGGCTTCGCTTGGCTTAATTGTTTCTGTCCTGTTCTGCTTGGGACCCGCGCCTACATCTTGGGTCATCATCGGCGAGACATCTTCCGTCCGCCTCAGACCTTTGACTACCGGTGTTGGACGAGGTGCCTATTACTTGGTCAATATTCCTTGCATCTTCCTTTCCAGCTACATGCTCAACACTGATGAGGGCAACCTGGGCGGCAAGAGCGGCTACGTTTGGGCTGGTACTGCCTTCTTCTGCACGGCTATGTCTTGGTGGTTCATCCCGGAGATGAAGCACCGGTCCTTCCGTGAGATTGACATTCTGTTCAAGCGTAAGGTCCAGGCTCGCAAGTGGAAGAAGACGGTCGTCGATATCCGCGATGATGAGTAGATGGATTTCATTGAAGAAGCCTGGCTGGTACTCTTTGTGTTGGCCATGATGGTAGAATCGAGTTGATCAATATTTATGGGTAATAATTCAAAGATTTGTCGAAGAGTGAGGATCGAGGTGAAAGGCCCTACATCCTCCACTCTCACCGGCAATAGCTTTTACAGCACCAGACTTGCTTTTCGTATATCTAAGTTCAAAGACTAGCACGAAATCATCCCGATAGGAAAGGCTTGTTGAGTCTGGCTCATGCACACAAGCTTTCTCTCGTTTTGCCGGGGCTATAATCCCGAAAGTAAAAGATGGATCTTTTTCCAGCCTTATAATAGGAAGCCTATAGCAAATCCAATTACAATGAACGTGAATCGCAGTGCATCAAAATGCATTGACCTACGGAATAGATTCGATCGTGACCATAGCGTTCATCCATCTACCGAAAAGGGGCAATTAAATCCCCGAAACTGGGCCGCGTGGCAGCGGTTGATTTCTCACCCTGTACCAATCACCCATCAGCCAAGCCTCTGTTATGAAATTAGAACAGCCTCACGTGTGGTGGCCTTGACCTTCAGCCCCTGGGGCCAAAACAAGCCGCCAATGAAGATTTAGTACGATTATGGTCATCAGGCTAAATTCGGAGCACTAGGAATGAAACAGGGGAATTATCGAGGACCAGTGATTGCGGAGAATTGCCTAGATGGGGATCTGGGGCAATTAGGCTACTATTTGTAGCCAATAGCCCAAAGTGGTAAATGCTTCAACAGCCACGGAACGCCGTTGGCTGCCAAGTCGGCTAGCTCAACGGAGACTTCGGGACATTGAGGTAAGCTGATGTCTGCATATAACATTAGCCAACCTACATGTGATCGAATTCAGCAATAATGATCGATTTGCCCATAAGGGAGAAAACTGGAGAGGCGACAGCCGGTGAGCCTTGAGGGCAAAATGGTCAACCGAGGGGGATTTTGATTCCAAGCCCCGGAGCTAGGTGCGGCATTCATAAGCAGAGCTCATTTCAGCACCAGTCGAATGGGGTATTTAGATCCTCAATGTGACCAAACCCGTCACATGCTCACCCTCAGTACCCGTGGACGGAGTACTAGCTCAAGTCGGGAGTTGGTCATGGTCGGACTAAGGGCGAGTTTTCCTGATTCGGCTCAAAACCACGCCCTCGACTCAGCTTCATCTGCTTCTCTGGGAGTTTTACCAGCTCTTCCATGCACCACAGCTTGTCCTCTATTCGGTTCATGCAGAAGAAGCGAAGGGTTTCCAAGTCGGGGGACCCCAGATTACCTGGTCGGGCAGCCGGTGGCCTGCAGGGCCTAGCCCCGATTAATCCCTGCAAGTTAAAAGTGCCGTTTGATCCACCGGGGCATTAAGTATCGGCGACAGAGCTGCCCTCGGAAGCGTGCATGAGCGAATAAGGACAGAAATGTCCCGATACATAAGCCGCATATCGAGTCCGATAGTAATTTTGGCGTCGGCTTTGAATTTTGTATGATTCCGCGCAGGCTTATTGCCAGCAAAGTCGAAGAAAAATCCCCAAACTTGGCACCAAGAACCCTAAGAAGCCAACGCGGACATAGAGCTGTTCTGAAACCGCGTTTCAATATATCGTGAGCGCTCGGGCTGCGCCAAATGTGCCCGGCAAGATCAAGGACGCTGCTGCTCATATCATTCCAGAAGGATAAACACCGACGGTTATGCCGGCCGCGGCATCAGAGGAGCCAAAGCGGTGGCGAATCTGTTTTAAAGCACGAAAAAACCTTGATATTTGTAACCGTAGCTATGTGCCATGCCCAGGTGGTTTGGTTTGAATCGTGGTTCGATGGAACGGGAGGGCCTCGTGCGGCTCGGTTTTACCGCGGCAGTGGAGCCCGGGGCTCAGGCGCGTAACTCCGGGGGAGAGCCCTAAGGAATCGTATGCTGTACTCATAACCACTAGAATCAAGCATTAAAGGAGGACTTCAATCGATTATTACCTCGGAGTTCTCACTGTTTGATGCTTTTTTTTTTTTTTTTTTTGAAAGGAAAAGATTTTTTGGTTCTTGTGGTTACCTCCTGTCCACCTGGGCGGGTGGGTGGCCTCGTGACCTCCGTGCATTTCCAAGGTTGTTATCTTGAGAATTTCCTTAGTCTATAGGCGACTACTTTTTTCCGACTATCACATACGACCACAGGGTGTGGAAAACAGGGCTTCCCGTCCGCTCAGCCGTACTTAAGCCACACGCCGGTGAGTTAGTAGTTGGGTGGGTGACCACCAGCGAATCCTCACTGTTGTATGTTTTTTTTATTTGTCTCAATGGTTTTTTTTATTGAAAGCAAGCGGTCATGTATCATCAAGGTCCACGGTTGCATATCTGGTAGCAAAACCGGGGCTCATTGGGGTGTGTCAGGGAATATTTGATGGAGGTTCTCCTGACTGAGTCGAGGTGCGGGTTGGAAATGAAAGAGCATAAAAGAACGACAGACCGTGAGAAAGGTGAGATACAAGTCGAAAGATAAACCGCAAAATCCATACAGCAATTTGTATCCATGCGGCATCGCCGAACCATGGCATCAAAGTATTTCGACGATGTTGTTGTATTACAATTGGACAGCCTTACTTTGATTCCATGGTTCATCCGGCGACGCCGTACCTAGGTATCTCGATGTTTTACACTTCACGCCTGGTATCTCCTGCCTCATCTTTGGAGTCTCACTGTTTCCTGTCAATCTTCATCAAACTTTTATTAACTGTCATCGTCTCTACTCCCGTGGATTCTCGCGTTGAGTCACTCTTTGTCCGTTAGGTCGTCATCTCTATTGGAGCAGCTACTGCCTAACACCGGAAAGAGAGAACAGAGTAAGTTCAATTGACTGAGGAGGGAAACTGAGAGGGAAGAGAAAATTGATTCTGAGAAGCAACTGCGAGGTAGAAGCAGAGCAGAGAAGAGAGCTACAACTGAATTAGAAGGGCATATAACCATCCATCTCAACAGCTACTTATGAGCTCATTGTCTCAATAACCTCGTGTCGAGCTGCTTTGCCTTTCACCCACTTATCAACTCATTATCTCTGGACTCTCGTGTCTAGACACGATGACTCCTTCGCCACCAAGGCAGAATACGCCTTCAGGCTCATCCAGGACTCCAGTCAACAATTCACCATTGATTGATTCGCAGCCACTTCCTATGCCTCAAGGCAAATATCCCCTCCGCCAGATTCTGGAAGACGGTTTTCGAAGCCCTTCAGGTCAGCCTGCTCTATCCCACCGCATACCATGCCCAAACGGACGGACAGTCCGAGAGAACCAATCAGACCATCGAAATCATGATCCGATTCTGGTGTTCGGCCAACCCGGCTAAGAACTGATCGGGAGACCCGAGCCCTCGCTCTTCTGAAATTTGCAGGCAAGGCAAAGGAAGCAGTCGCAGAGTTCAAAGAAGCTCTAGAGAACATTCCAACTTCACTCGGCATTGAACTGAGTGATGCATATGAGATGGATGAGTCCGTGGGCATCTTTACGATCATGTTTTGGGTTACATTTGCCCGGCTCCAAGATCAAACAACGATGCCTATTGAGCCTTTGCTCGAAATACTTGGGCCTTCGTTGATCCATGGCAAGTCGCTGAGCGCAGTATCACGAGTGGGAATGGAGGTTTCTCTCCCGCTCGGCAAAGGGAAGGAAAGGTCCGAAGACGGGGGAGAGTAGTATGTTGTGTGGGATCTGTTATTGTGCTCTTAATCACAGATACCTAGCAACTTGAAATCTGAAATTTAATTTCTTTAACGGCCTAGAGAATTTACATAAAGCACCTAGGCACCCAGACAGCCAGATACCCCTTGTCATCGCTGCGCTGAACGGGCATGCCCAAGCCGCCGAATTGTTTCTTAATGACGAGTACCAGATCCAATTCCAACGAGACAGACAGGGCCGATTTGACAGCTCTTTCTGTTGTAGGAAAAGCCGGGCATACATACATGGTCCAGATCCTGCTCGGAACGAGCGGAGCCAACCCTAATATTCTCCAGGGCTGCCACGATTTGCGATACTTGGCCCTACACAATCGTGAGATAGTTAAGGGTAGATGCATACCGGCAGAGCTCAATCCAGCATTTGGAGTAATTTGTCCTTTCTCCATTCCTTCAAATCAAACTTGCCCGCTCTCAACTTGTCGAGCGGTCCATTCCACACGAAGCAAACACCTTCGATGGTCTTCACGACTTCGTCATCATCATTCAGTATTTCAATCGAGCACGATTGACGTCTGTATCTATCCGTTTCGTAGGCCGCGAGACGATCAAGCTGTATGGTCGACAAGGGCTCACTAACCATGCCATTAACCGAATGGCATGGCTTATCGACCAGAGCCGGGTAAGGACCCCAAAGCTGGATCTCATAGCCAAACACCCTCGCACGTCGCAGGATAGGGGTGATCTTGGCCAACCCAAGACTTGACGTAGCGTGTCTGGGTCCTGTAATGTCCCGTAGAAAAAGCAATATTGATCTTGGAAGGGGTCTTCGGGGGACGGCCGCTCAAGGGGGGGATCAGGTCCCGGGATAATCACTGGGTCATGCCCGGTGGCATCCGCGTGAAGGGGTTCGCAGGCTGTTGGGGATGGTTGGGCGTGGTGCATCGTTGGGATGCATCAATCGACGATGGAAGATGAGTTGGGAATATTGTCGGGAGTATTGTGAAGAATTGACCCAGGGCGAGACCGTGAAGATTACATCAATGCAGCGTCCTCAGGTGACAGCCCTGCTTCCCTCACTGGTCCATTCCATCAACACTTCCACGGCTCGAACGCTGGACACTTCGCGGTTCCACGGTTCTGGTCCCGCCCCTCGGGAAGTCCCGAGCTCCAGTCTGCCAAGATCAATATACTATACACGTCTCTGTTGGGACTCTGTCGATTCTGAGAGCACGATTTTACACAAGGGGGACAAAAGTGTGAAAAGATTAAGCCTCTAGAGCGTGGACTCGAACGCAACCTGAATATCTGCTGAAGGCAACTCTGAGCAAATTACCAGTTGAAATCAGCTACTTACCCATACCCGAAGAGGTGTCGTGTACGACCGGCAGTAATAACGTGTAGGAAGAAAGCTTTATCTCCATATAATCATCTGTTTGAGAAATAATTTCCCACATGGGGTCTTCGACCTCGGGACTTCGTATTCTATATCAGAGCTCCTCCTCTATTTAATATTTTTTTTCGCGTGAACTTTCGCGGCCGCAGGCCATATGGCTTGGACGGAGTTTTGTCGAGCAGCACGATGTTTCGGAAGCATTTATCAAGGCTGGAGTGACCATCCACCTTCGTGCCGAAAGGAAGTGCACGCCACAGCGCAAGTCCCGTGGACCCAGAGGGAGCGCAAGCGTCGCCTGGGTTGGTCTATGCTGGAGACGATGGTGGAAGCCTCACAAATTTCTGTCACATCGACGAGATATACGCAGACATCAAGAGAGTCACGGGAGTCGCAGAGACCAGGATAGAGGTAGCCAGTCAGAGATGTCTCAAGCCTCTTCTATTTCAGACCTTCTATTCACACCTGCAGATCCTGGCAACAACGGATGATACATTTTTTGATCTATCTACCTGGTGCAATGTGAAAACGGTGCAATACGAGAGACCAATACCTAAGCTCTGGAGCCCTACAGGCTTCTGGGACTTCTCAATGGACAAATGGTCCACGTGCCCTAGTCTGGAGGAAATGTACTGTAGCTTGGGAGCAACCTTCCAAGGTTGATATTTGCAAAGAGTGTTGACCTCTCTGATGTAATTATCCATTATACTGATATAGATTTCCTTGCCAAGTAAAGCCGTCCATATTTGGTATTCATACGATTTGTTCTATTTTATAGAGCAGAAAAGCAATGACCCAACCTTGGGAGCTTTAAGAATAAAGTGGGCCCCGGCAATGGCCCCGCGCTGGTATCTAAACCTGCTTGACAAGAGGCTTAACCCCTTATGAAGTCAACAATGCCCCTAAGACGTCGCCAAGACCTCAAAACAAGGCACCGAACTCAGACCTGAACACAGACTTTTCTGTCGCATGCGAATGACTTGCAAAATGACACAATGGCCACGATCTACTTGATCCAGTGGGATTTCAACCCCTGCAGACTTGTCTGGCCTGGAGAAATGACATCATGTCACACATAGGGCCGAGGCTGGGGGGTGTCGATCGTGAAGATCTAGCCAGTCGTAAGGCTGTGACTGCCGGAATACTGGACCACCAATCAGAGATAGTCCTCGGAGGAGCTGCAGGTCTTGGTATTGGCATGCAGAGAACGCTGGGCTTAGGCCTTCAGCATATCGATGTAGCCTACTGTATGTACTCAAGGGCTTGACCTCTTAGGACTCCAGGTTCTGTGAAGGCAAACCACCTCCGCTACGAGGGTCTGAGCTCAAAAAAATAACAGGATTTCATATTCCTATGATGAAGCAACGCTATCTATGTACAGCCAACGCCGTGAATGCCAAGGATCCCGCCAATATCAAAATTCAGGGCTGAAGAAACAAAGCCGAAACGACAAAAAGATACAAGAATTGGAGGGAGTGGATCACCGATCGAAAATTCCTCTCATGGATGCACAGGCATCCCGATATAATACGTCCACGCTATCCTGGTCTCGCCAAGGGTTCGGCGACTTGTCCCATGCATGCCGAGCTTTCTCGATGAGCATGGCACGAGGGCGTTTGCCAAGCGTTTCCAGACGACGCACAAACGCCTGACCTTCTTTCATCAACATGTCCCACTCACAGATGAACAGGAAGACATCACGGGGAAGACCCTCGGACAAGAGACGGTCGGTTGCGTGGATGGGAGAAGCATATGGCGAGACACGCTCGTCCAGATCAGGCAGATAGGATTCGTCGAACAAGGTAGTGAAGAAGGCGGGAAGAGTCTTGTCCGGCATGAGACTCATGGCCCGACGGTGGTCACGAGATTCCTGGAAATCAAGAATGGGATACCAGCAGAACAGAGCGACGATATTCAAATCAGCGACCTGGCTCAACAGATTCTGTGTTGACTCTGCTCGGCCCAGATTCTCTTTGATTTCGGACGATATGCGGCCCCGTAGCCGCAACGGCACAGTTACGGCTAGGTTGCCACCCGCCGAGAACCCGCTCAGCGCAATCCTACTCACATCGAGACCGAGTTCCCCAGCGTGCATGGCCAGGTACAGGAGTGCTTCGACTCCATCGTCTACGGCGGCCGGGTAGGGGTGCTCCGGGGCCCGCCGGTAGCTGACACTCACCATGACCGCGCCGGTGTGGTCCAACACGGATTTCGCCCAGCGAGAATCATCCGTAGCCGCCCCGAGTGTGAAGCCCCCGCCGTGGAAGTTGACGCATACTGGGAATTTGTGACCCAGACGTCGTTGTTCGTGGTAGTTGGGTGGGACGTAGAAGTGTAAGACGAACGACTGCTGATTGTCGACGCGGACGGAGCGGGTAAATAACGGTCGCGGGGGTCGGGGGGGACCGATGTCATGCAGAAACATGCCGATGCGCATCAGGAACCGCCAGAAGACGGCCTGCACGTAGAGCCACCAACGAGAGGAAGCCATGACGGTTCGGATGTGATCGTGTTCCTCGTTGACATGCGTGTCGGAGGTTCGGATGCGCAGATGCCGGAAGTCCGGTGACCACTGATAAGGCGAAAGTACTCCGTACAGACACGCGCTGCAGCGTGGTGATTCCTAAGGGATAGAGAATAGTAAATCGAAGCAAGGCGTACACGGGTTTAATGAGGTTGAATTAAGGTGATCAGAGAGCAGTGTCCCGACTCCATACCAAGAAATCAAGGATTCGCATTTCTTGGTTTCGGGGGTGATGTCATTGGATTGTCGGTTTCGTCGCCTGTTTATTCTCCTATATTAAAACACCCACTCTTCTACTCTGTACTTACTCCGTACATTTCTGACAATTGTCTGTTCTTCATTCCATTGAAGGCTTTGAGCTGGTTCCTTGCTTACGATCCAACGATCGCCGGGTCCGGGTCCTCCCCCCACCATTCTCGTATACAACTCTCCCCCTCTTCACTCTGTGTGCGAATAGACCTCTTTCACCATGTCGATCAAACGCGCCCTTTCCAAAGCAATTAAAGGGCATATGGGAGGCGAGGATGACTCCTCGGGCTCCAACATTCGGACAGCTCTATCCGCTAAAACCCGGACCTCAACCTCGCGGTCCGCGTCCCCCACTGCGTCCCCTCGGCGCAGCATTCTAGGGAACTTCCTCCGCGATAAGAATGACTACGTATCCTCCTCCGACGATGTCTCTGATGACTCTTCTACTGGTGCCTTGAGCAAGAACCAGCAGAAGCGGCTGGTGCGCCAACACAGGCGGAGCGAGCGCAGCCGGCTCAGCGAGGAGATGTTCTCCGAGACCGACCACCGTCGCAAGGAAGAGGAGATCACCAAAGCAGCGGCTGAGGAAACTGCAGAGATGAAGGCCCGGTATGGTCAGCTGCCTTTGATGCAATCGTCAGTGCGACCCCGGGAACTGCGGACTCGGATTGACGACATCACCCCTTCCATGGAGGGACAGGAGGTGACCTTCACGGCACGACTCCATGTAATTCGCCGAATGAGTGCCAAGCTCGTCTTCTTAGTCTTCCGTCAGCAACTGGGTACTTTCCAAGGTGTGCTGCACGAGAAACCGGGCGTCGCCTCCATTGCGATGATACAGTGGGTCGAGCACCTCCGAGTGGGGTCGTTCGTGAAGGTCCGCGGTACCTTGCAGAAGCCCGAGGTCCCCGTTCTGGGCTGCACCATCCATGATGTGGAATTGGCAATTGACTCCGTTCACCTTCAAGTTCACCGCGAGGAGCCTGTGCCCTTCAGTGTGTACGAAGCTGAGATTCGGACCAATGAGGAAGAGAAGGCCGAAGGTCGTCGCAACCATATTCCTGACCGGACTCGTTTGGCCAACCGAATCCTCGATCTGCGCACGGCGACCTCGCAATCTATCTTCCGTATCCAGTCTGCCACCTGCAATCTCTTCCGTGGCGCCCTCGATGATCGCGAATTCATCGAGATTCACACCCCCAAGCTGCAAGGTGCCGCCACCGAGTCGGGATCCAGTGTGTTCCAGGTCAACTACTTCGGTCGCCCTGCGTTCCTGGCCCAGTCTCCACAACTGGCCAAGCAGATGGCCATTGCTGCTGATTTCAACCGCGTGTACGAAATCGGTGCTGTCTTCCGTGCCGAAAACTCCAACACCCACCGCCACCTTACTGAGTACACTGGATTGGATCTTGAGATGGCCATCGAGGAGCACTACCATGAGATGCTCGAAACCCTTGATGCAGTGATCAAGAACATCCTGCAGGGTATCTACACCAAGCGCCGCCGTGAGGTCGAACTTGTCAAGCACCAGTTCCCCTCGGAGGATCTTGTCTGGTTGGAGACCACCCCCATCATCCGCTTCACGGATGGTATTAAGATGCTGAATGAGTCTGGCTGGCTGAATGAAGAGGGTGAACAACTCCCTCTCGACGAAGACTTGGGTACTCGGGATGAGATTCGTCTTGGCGAGCTTGTCAAGGAGAAATTCGGCACCGATTACTACGTTCTGGACAAGTTCCCTCGCAGCGCACGTCCGTTCTACACCATGCCTGACGCCGAGGATGACAAATTCACCAACTCGTTCGATATGTTCATTCGCGGTCAAGAAATTGTATCTGGTGGCCAGCGTATCCACGACCCTCACATGCTTGAGGAAAACATGCGCCGCGTGGGTATCAACCCTGATGATATGGAAGAATATCTTGAAGGCTTCCGCTGGGGTGCCCCGCCTCATGCCGGTGCAGGTGTCGGTCTTGAGCGTATCGTGATGCTTATTCTCCAGCTGGGCAACATTCGATTGACCTCGCTCTTCCATCGCGACCCCAAGAGTCTGCCTGCGAAGCCAGTCACGGAGAAGCTCCGCCACCCCGAGTCTTCTACCCTCGAGCCCGTATGGCTACATGAGCGCAAGGCCAGGCTCGCCGCAGACGTCAGTGAGCTGCAGCCACTGGAGCACCTTGTAGCCAACTATGGCGATGCTACATCGACCTCCTGGTTCGATGAACGTTTCAAGATCTGGCGTGACATGGCAACTGGTGCCGCTGTAGCCTACGTCCCCAGCTCCAACAACTACGCTATCATCCCCGGTGACCCCGCCTGTGACCCCAAGCAATTCACCCGCACCATCACACAATTCCTTCAATGGCTTCGCCGCGAAACCAAGCTCAAGCCCGTGTGGATTCTTTGCTCGCCTGCCGTTGAAACCATCCTGGGTGAGCGCCTCGGCTGGCGCAGCTTGTCTTGCATCGCCGAAGAGCGCGTCGACCCTTCGCGCAACCAAGCCGCCTCCGACGGAGAAATTGCACGCAAGCTCCGCCGTGCCGAAAACGAGGGCATCAAGCTGGTCTCGATGAACCAGGGCGAGATGGTTCCAGCGGACATCCGCGAGAAGATCGACACCCGCATCAGCGATTGGCTTTCCAACCGTAAGGGTACCCAAGTCCACCTGTCTCAGATTCGCCCATGGTGCGACTCCGAGCACCGCTGGTACTTCTATGCTCTCGACAAGGAAGGTACTGTCTGCGCATTTGTGGCCTTGGCTCAACTCTCCCCTGCCCACGGCATGCAAGTCAAGTACAGTCTTGACTTCCCTGGCGCCCCCAACGGCGTCATCGAGTACATTGTCACCCATGCCATCCAGACAGCCGCCAAGAGCGGCGTCAGCGGCCTCACTTTCGGCGCTGGTGCCACCTCCCAGCTCATCCCCGGCCACAACATGCACGGCACCAAGGTCAAGATGCTGGAGCACACCTACGAGGCCCTCGCGAAGCAGTTCCACCTTGTTCGGAAGAGTGAGTTCCGCGCCAAGCTCGGTGCCACCGAGGACCCGCTGTACATCTCGTACCCCTCGCACGGCCTTGGGTCGAAGGGTATTCGTGCGATCTTGAATTTCTTCGAAGATTAAATGATTAATTCGGTCATGTGCTACGACTTTGACGTTGTTCGATAATCCTTGGCTGTGTGCGAGATCCCTACTCTTCTAGAGTGTCGGGAGATGCATAGAGTAGACAGACGGAAGACGAAAGATGAGGCTTTGCTTTTTCGGCGTCGGTTGTCCTTTTTCACCTCCCCCCTTTTTTTGTTTATTCCCCCTTATCGCTCCTGTCAGCCCCTTTATGTATGTATCTTGATTTGGTGGTTCTGGCATCTAATGGCTTTCTTACGTTTTACATTTCTGTTAGCACATCTTCGTGCTATATTCTTTTCTCGGTGTGATGTAACAGCCACCTGGGCTCACCGGTGCATTTCAAGTAGTCCGTAGGTGCATACGGAGTAGTCAAGGCCATACTAGGAAGGGATCACGTCCATGGATCTTTCGGCGAATTAGAATATTTTTTATATTACACTCCTATATACTCCCGAGGTCCGACCTAGGGAGACTTCCAAGCTTGGAATGAGTCAGATTTCAGCACAATTCAGGGCTTCGGTTCCAGATTATTTGTTCTTCATCTCCTCCAAGCTCCGCTGCCGCCTAGCATCATCAATCACCCTCCCCACCTCGCCCACAATCCACCTTCCAAGCACCACTGAAAGAACAGTAACAACGAGAATCCACCCCGCAGTCGGCACCAAGGAGCGCGGGAAAACATTGAATAAGAAAGGATCGAGAATCAGATCCACCGCTACAGGCGGAACTTCCCGCATCAGAGTCTTGTTAGTGCTGAAATAATCCGCCGCAGCGTGAACGCGTAGGAAAAGCACCGAATCGCTCGATGGTGCCGTGTCAAGCGATTTCATCTCTCTAGGCGAGCCAGCTCGACGCGGAATCGCGTCCTCCTGAAGCTGGCTGTCTATCGTGGCCAGACGAGCGGCCGTGTAGACACTGAGTGAAGACAACAGGGCTGTATCCTCAATCGTTTGGGAAAGAGGATACGTGGTGAGAGTGAATGATGTCGGTTGCTGTTTAGATTAGCCCAGTACCTAGTAGTGAGAACATGCGAGTCGAACTCGCATGTAGAAGATGATGGGAGAAGGACTTACGATTGAAAGCCAGCAGACTCGCACTTCGTACCGCTGTCCCGGGTTCAGGTTTTCGAGGAAGAACCACGAGTCTGAACCCTGGGATGCTGCGGTTGTTGGGAATGAGGCATTGAGTCTCGTGCGTACTACGGAGTTTTGGGGTGAGAGTCTTTCGACGCCGAGGTCGTCGAGGGATGGCTCCTTGGAGGGAATGGTTGATGCTGGTGGTGCGAGGAAGATGGTCTTTTCCACGTTCGCTTGCACTGAAATAATTGGGAGCAGCAGCCCTAGTAGTGATAGGGGTCTGATTTGCATGGTGTTGCTGCACCTCGGTGACGTGATGTTCCCAGCGTGATGTGATGTCTTAGCGACGGCTGATAGCAGCTAATAGCAGCTCATGGGAATCCCAGATTTGGGGGATTTTATTGAGAGACTCTGGTCAATTAGCATTGATTCATGAAATACTCGAATTGGATTTAATACTTTACCGATGTATGTGTTGCTAACAGGGCATCGGAGTAGATAGCCAAATGGTTAGATTTGCGGGTGGATCCGAGCTGACCGAGTATTTGGCTCCAGGGCTCCAGGGCTCTTCTGTTTACCACACCTGGGCAGTCTTTGTCTACTCTGTACCTACTTCTTATTTCGTCTGATCTCATTTCTTTTATTTTAGCTATTCTCCTTAATATGACTATTCCCCTCAGCTGGTCGAGTCAAGGCAATCACGTGCCATCACGGGACTCCGGACGAGGCGGTCAGTAACTGCAGCTTGTCGCCGGGAAACAGCCAATCAGCGGCCCCGACGCGACCCAACGAACGGATCAACAATGAAGTTCCCCCCCTGTACAGCACAGACGCTCCTCCTCCACAACATTTCTGGTCGACTTTGTTTTCCCTTCGACATCTTCTCGTCCATTCCTCCCATTCTTCAGGTAGCCTCCCCCCGCCCCCTTCCGTCGTGCGTGAACTGACCCCTGACCCTCAGGCCGCCGTGTTTGTTGTTTGGGTTTCGATTCCCCTCTCCTGATTTTTTAGCCTGAAAACACCCACCACAATGAGAGAAATTATCAGTTTGAACGGTAAGCCACCCTCATCCATCGATTCTCTCCGTCGGAATCGATGAGTTTTCGATGAATTGACGCGCTGACTCGCTTTTTACAGTCGGTCAGGCCGGTTGCCAGATCGCCAACTCCTGCTGGGAGGTAAACAGCCACTTCCATTGAGTCTTCACCAGGGGGCCAGTAAACTGACAATCGTTCGTGTATAGCTGTACTGTCTGGAGCACGGTATCCAGGTATGTGAACATTCCAATCCAGACTCGTGGCGCCCGATCGTGATTCGGGCACCCGTACCCCTATTTTCTTCCCGCGATGTAAACACCCGCGACTAACACGGAAAACAGCCCGATGGATACCTCACTGAGGAGCGCAAGAAGGCCGACCCCGACCACGGCTTCAGCACTTTCTTCTCCGAGACTGGTATGCAATTGATTTTTACTCGTCCTTTTGACGTTCTCCCCCGCTTTTGGGTGCAAAATTCCACGGCCCGTCACTAACATTCCTCCCCCACTTGACAGGCCAGGGCAAGTACGTTCCCCGTACCATCTACGCCGATCTCGAGCCCAATGTCGTCGATGAGGTCCGCACCGGTACCTACCGTTCCCTTTTCCACCCCGAGCAGATGATCACCGGTAAGGAGGATGCTTCCAACAACTACGCCCGTGGTCACTACACCGTGGGTAAGGAGATGATCGACGAGGTCCTCGACCGCGTCCGTCGTGTGGCCGACTCTTGTGCCGGTCTCCAGGGATTCCTGGTCTTCCACTCCTTCGGTGGTGGTACCGGTTCCGGTTTCGGTGCTCTCCTCATGGAGCGTCTGTCCGTCGACTACGGCAAGAAGTCCAAGCTGGAGTTCTGTGTCTACCCTGCTCCCCAGAACGCCACCGCCGTCGTTGAGCCCTACAACTCCATCCTGACCACCCACACCACCCTGGAGCACTCCGACTGCTCCTTCATGGTCGACAACGAGGCTATCTACGACATCTGCCGTCGCAACCTCGGCATCGAGCGCCCCAGCTACGAGAACCTGAACCGCCTGATCGCTCAGGTCGTTTCTTCCATCACCGCTTCCCTGCGTTTCGACGGTTCCCTCAACGTCGACCTCAACGAGTTCCAGACCAACTTGGTGCCCTACCCCCGTATCCACTTCCCTCTGGTCGCCTACTCTCCCATCATCTCCGCCGACAAGGCCGCCCACGAGGCCCACTCGGTCACTGAGATCACCTCCAACTGCTTCGAGCCCAACAACCAGATGGTCAAGTGTGACCCCCGCAACGGCAAGTACATGGCCACCTGTCTGCTGTACCGTGGTGATGTCGTCCCCAAGGACGCTCACGGTGCCGTCGCCACCCTCAAGACCAAGCGCACCATTCAGTTCGTCGACTGGTGCCCTACTGGATTCAAGCTCGGTATCTGCTACCAGCCTCCCCAGCAGGTCCCCAACGGCGACCTCGCCAACCTCAACCGCGCTGTGTAAGTCCAACCCTCTTTCCCGGGGGAATCCTCCCCCATCCACTCTGACCCCGATACTAACAATTCTTTAGCTGCATGCTGTCCAACACCACCGCTATCGCCGAGGCCTGGTCCGCTCTCGACCACAAGTTCGACCTCATGTACTCCAAGCGTGCCTTCGTTCACTGGTACGTTGGTGAGGGTATGGAGGAGGGTGAATTCTCCGAGGCCCGTGAGGATCTCGCTGCTCTCGAGCGCGATTACGAGGAGGTCGCCTCCGACTCCATCGAGGGTGACGAGGAGTTGGAGCCCGAGTACTAGGTTAACCATGTTTTGTGACCGGCTTCGAGACTCTTGGTTGTTTCTCTTCTACGGGTTGGCTAGGGGACCAGCGCCGAGTCTGGAAGCTTGGCTCCCATGCCACTATCGGGCTTCTTGCAAATAGAAGGGATCATAAGTTTTGCTGCCAATGATTTTCTGGCTTTGTTGTTCGATATATCTTTAATATCCCTGAAGCAGCGATGAAATTTCCCCTCGTTCCATCTACCTTTCGGGATGCTACATACGTATGTTATTGTAATTACTCTCAATCTTTCTTCTCTTAGTTTGTATTTGTGTAGCCTGGAGGTATAGAGTTGATCGGGCAATTAGTCGTGCGTAAGTCGGGCTCGGGACCTCGGGAGTTTCCAAGGTTGACCTCGGGATCCATGAATGATTTCCAATGCCCAGTGTTCCGGGGCCTCTACTCCTGTTCAGTCACCTATGGACCTGTTCGACAGGGCATTCATGCCAATTGTAGAATACCTTGGTAGGTATGAACTGAAGTTAGGTATACCTGACATCCCTGGATCTACCTAGGTAGGTATGGACATGACGATAGCCTATTCCAAGGTTGTCTTCGGGTAGATGCGTTTGTGTTCCATGTACAAAACACCTCGTGGTTGCACTATATATACCTCCGAGACACCATGGATCGCCATATGTACATAACCCAAATCAGTATACCCAAGCTAAAGTACTACAAAGGGTCTTCCAAAAGGCAATTTCGAGTGGAAATTAAAGATTTCAGACACCTGCCCAGGTGGTGGAAACTCGACTGGATGGACAGTAGTATAGATATAGACTGTGGAGACACTGCTCAGTTGTCTAAGATGGAACATCGCTGGAAGTGTTTGTTTTGAGTAATCAATGCTAGTCTTGAGTGAGAATCAAACAGATATCCTGCCTTCAGCAGAAGTATCTTGCAGAAACATCATCGATGAACAAAACCCAAGGTGTAGGGAGTAGATCAGAAGTATTTAGGCTGGAATGGACGCTAGACCTGACCGCCTTGCCGTGCCCAGGAACCTCCGTTCCTTACGACATCGATTCCAGCCACTGGGTATCTTCATTCTCCCACTTTATTTTTCTCCTTGGAGCTTAAGATCTGTTTCTTGCTCTCCCCACTCAAACCCCCTCGAGATCTGTTTCTCACCCCATGCCCGTCGCATCTTCTCGATAAGTTGACGGCATCCCGGATCCCCCATCGGTACCCCAGACGCCCAATAATCGTGAACACATTGAAAGGAGGGGAGTGAAGCTCCTCCCAAGATACAGCAATGGCTGATACTGGTGCGTACTACCATCAAACCCCCTGTTACAAGGCTCTTGGACAATGGCAAGGGAGCTTCGCGCACTTCAGGAGAAGACCCGCAGGCCTCCGTCATTACCCCCTCCCCATCCAGCACCCGTGTCAACCTTGCGCAACGTATCAGAGCTGACTGGTCTTGCTGTATCAGCACAACGGCATCCGAACCTTAACCTCTCGGCGGAGGAAAAGCGCGTTTTCTACCAGCTCTTCCAGGCTGCGGACACTACGAACCTCGGCGTTATTACTGGTGAAATCGCCGTTCCATTCTTCGAAAAGACTCACCTTTCCCCCGATACCCTCGGCCTGGTATGTGCATGCAGCAAGCATAATCGACTTGCAAAGAGGGGTATGGCTAATGGGTACTGGTACAGATATGGCAGATTGCGGACAAAGAGAACAGGGGTCTTCTGACCCCATCAGGCTTCAGCATTGTTCTGCGACTGATTGGACATGCCCAGGCTGGTCGCGCGCCCTCTGACGAATTGGCTTTGCAAAGTGAGCTATTCAGTGTGCTTTTGGGTTACAAGTACTAATGGTCTATTTACTTCATAGGTGGTCCTGTTCCTCGCTTCGACGGTATCGTGGTTGATGCATCGGCAGGCGCAACAGAATCAGGAGGCGCAAGCCCTACCCCCGGTGCTGGAGCTCCTATCAGAGTTCCTCCTCTCCAACCTGAGGATGCGAGCAAATTCGCCGCGCTGTTCATGAAGTCGGATGTGCACGATGGACTGATTACAGGTATGTGATGTTCACGGTTGATGAGATGAGCAGGTCTCTAATCTAACGATCGTTCATTGCAGGTGAAAGCGCGAAGCAGATTTTCGAAGGTGCGGGACTTCCGAATGAAGTCTTGGGCCGTATCTGGTCTCTCTCAGACACCAAGCAACGAGGTGCCTTGGACGCTACAGAATTTACAATTGCCATGCACCTCTTGACCTCGTACAAGTATGGCACATTGCGCGGAATCCCCGCCACATTACCACCAGGCCTGTATGATGCTGCAGCTCGACGGGGCTCCGCGGCTGCGCGTGGTTCCTTTGGGGCACGGCCCGATGTGCCTCCTGTCCCTGCCATCCCGAGACAGTTTACCGGACCTCAACGAACCACGAGCCCCCTGAACCCAGCCAGCCGTCAACCTTTTGGAGGGTCTCTCTCTGCCCAGGTTACCGGAGGTGATTGGTTGGTTACGCCACCAGAGAAGGCTCAGTATGATGCGATTTTTGAAACCGTCGACACAGCCAAACTGGGGCTGATCACTGGAGACCAAGCTGTGTCATTCTTCATGAAGGCCCAGCTTCCCGAAGAGACTCTGGCTCAGATTTGGGATCTTGCCGATATCGATGCAGACGGTCAGCTCAGTCGGGATGAGTTCGCCGTGGCTATGTATCTCGTGCGACTGCAGCGCAGTGGAAAGGAGGCACTCCCACAGGTTGTGCCGCCTGCCCTCATCCCGCCTAGCATGCGCCGTCAAGCGCCCGCCCCGATCGCAGCGCCCACACCTCCCCCAGCACCAGTCAGAACTGCTGCTGATGATCTGTTTGGATTGGACACCCCTGCACTGCCATTTGCTCAGCCTCAAATGCCCCAGTCTACAGGAGGGTCCAACAGTGCTTTCCAAACCCCGGCCTCTCCATCCAGAGCTTCCCCTCAGACCGCCTCTAACACATTCAAACCTTTTGTCCCAACATCCACCTTTGGTCAAACTTTGCAGCCCCAGGCGACTGGCGCATCTGCCGGAACTCCCTCGGCAGCGCGCTCGCCCCCGCCTCCATCGGATGACCTTCTTGGTGACAATGACCCCGAAGAATCAAACAAGCTCACTCAAGAGACGACCGAATTGGCGAACCTGTCTAATCAAGTTGGCTCTTTGGCGAAGGAGATGCACAATGTGCAGGAAAAGCGAACATCCGCCGAACAGAATCTCACACAGAGCACCCAGCAGAAGCGTGACTTTGAGGCTCGTCTTGCCCAGGCACGTTCCATGTATGAGCAAGAGGTGACGAACTTCAAGGCACTCGAGGAGCGTCTCAAATCATCCAGGGCGGAGACCACTAAGCTGTCTCAACAGTACGCCTTGCTCGAGGGCAGCCGCCAGGATCTCCAAACCCAGTACACGCAGGTTTCGACTGCTCTCGCTGCTGATGAGCAGGAGAATCTGAGTTTGAAGGAGAAGATCCGGCAAGCAAATGCCGAGGTTGCCCAACTCAAACCAGCTTTAGAGAAGGCTCGCTCTGGTGCGCGCCAGCAGAAGGGATTGGTCGCCATCAATAAGAAGCAATTGGCCACCGTTGAAGGCGAACGTGACAAGATCCAGGGCGAGATTGACGGCTTTGCAACGGCGACCCCACAAGACTCCCAAAGGTCTGCTACTCCTGCCGGCAGTGTGCCCGAAGTCTCGAGCCCTGCAGTCTCCACTGCAAGCCACAACACCAACCCATTCTTCCGCCGAACTGGTAGCGCAAGTGAACAGCCACGATCGCCCGAGGGTCCAAGTGATCAGCAGAAGGCATTTGATAGCCTGTTCGGACAGTCTTTCGCAGGTTCGGCTGCAGGACCTCCTCCCACCTCATTCCGCTCTGAGTCGCCTCAAGTTGCAGTCAGCTCACCACCCACATCTTCCGCGCCGACTCCATCTGTCTCTCCTCCTCCAGGAAACCTGCCTGGCGCATTCCCTACCGGCCCTCTTGCCGAGCCTCCGGCTCCCAGTGTTTCCCGTCAGTTGACCCCCAATTTCCTCCCGTTCAACGACAACCAATCAATGACCTCGTCGACAATGGTTTCGCCTCCTGGTAGTCGATTTGGCGGTGCTGAGACTTCTGGATTTGGTACACCATCCCAGAGCGCCGCCAGTGATAACGGCGCGCCATCAATCGCCGAATCCAGCGACTACAGTCGTGCACCTACCTCGGTTGTTGAGAGCACTCCTGTGCGATCTCCATTCGAGGAGGAGGGACTGGATACTTCCTCGAAGTTCCCCGAGGTCCCTGCAGCAGGCGCCCAGCAGCCTGAGTCTGCCGCGTCTCCTACCACCCCTCAAGTACAAGGTGGAAACCAGGATCTGAGCTTTGACGAGCTGTTTGGAAGCAAGGCGCATAAGCGCTCTGAATCCCAGCAAGGCAATGATTTCGAGGAGGCATTTGCATCCATGAAGCAACCCTCTGGAGGTGAAAAAGCAACTGGTTTTGGTGCGGCTGGTCCTTCGGAATTCCCTCCCATCCAGGAGCTCCACCACGACGACGACGATGATGACAGCTCCGACGATGAACGTGTTCTCGGCTTTGACGATAACTTCGCGCCACCCACGCCTGCTGCCCCTAAGGCAGCCCAGCCTGACTCGATTGATGCTGCCCAGCTGGCTGCTTTCCCCGTCCCTGGGCACACCCCCAAGCCTCCATCCCCGGAAGCGCAGCAGAGTCCTCCGGGTTATGAAGCACCCAAGGAAGACAACACCCATCTTCCCCCGCAATTTAATGGTCTTCTACCTGACCGGAACGACCCAACTGTCGCACCGGACGCGCCCCACGCAGTGGAACATGACACTGGAGCGCCAGTAGTCACCAACGAAACCCAACGGGACTCGATCTCCGAAGCGGGTCTCCCCGCAGGCGGCGCTAAGGTCGGAGGGCCTGATTTCGAGGCAGCCTTTGCAGGAATGAACCTTGCACCAGCTGCTGAAGCGGAAGATGACGACGATGAGCCCGAGACTCACGTTAAGAACACAAACGACTTTGACTTCTCCTTTGACACCCCGGCTCAGAAGCAGCAGCCTCTTTCGGCCACCAACACCGGCCAAGGAAACTCATCCGAGTTCTTCTCCTTCGACAACAACACCCACGCAGCCACTGCCCAGCCTGTTGGTTCTCCCAGCGAAGGTGGACCCAAGCCCGCTGCTCACGAGTGGGATGCACTCTTTGCACCCCTTGACAATGCCCAGCCTAGCACCGGCGAAGACTCGCACGAAGACAAGTCGAAGCAGCCCGGGTGGGCCTTGGATACCGACACTGGCGAGGATGACCAGATCCTACAGCGCTTGACCGGTATGGGCTTTGACCGCAACGCGTCCTTGGATGCGCTGGAGAAGTTTGACTACAACCTCGACAAGGTAAGCATTTTCCTCATCCAAACTCACGTTCTAACTGATACTAATCTACGAGCAGGCTGTGGACCACTTGACTTCGAAGCCCTGATTATGAGATCTCCTTTCTTTCACTGCACATATCTCTTACATACTCTGTTTTTGACCCCATGCCTTCTCTTCTGCAACCCGAGTGTCCCTGGTCCTTGACCTGCGACTCCTTTGCATTTTTTTCCATTTGTCCAGCGCTGTGTACATCCCCCTTTTTTGATTTTTAACTAGGTTCTTTGGATATCGCCCGGAGTGGGCAGGACCCGAGATTCTATTGTAGTGTAGTCTACGATAATCCATAATCAAGTCCCGGAGACACATTGCCACATCACATGAAAAGCCGCGTACCCACCTCTGAACGGAAAATGCCCAATATCGGGTTGAACCGAGAGGGCTAGGATCGACAGTGACCCACGCTAGAGTAGGCATGACCAGAAAAAAAAAGTATACATAGGGCTACTAGGATCTGTGCTGGAGATCAGTTACTTCGTACCAGAGAATCCATGGATGTCCAAGTTCGCCTAAGTCCTGACTAATACCCCCCCAGATCAACCCCGCAACATTCGATCGGACATCTTCTCAGCAATGGAAGCATCATGAGCACAAAGGGAACGCCACGCCGGTACAGGTTCGCCTGTTTGATGTGCCGACGTCGGAAAATCCGCTGCGACGGCAAGAAACCCAATTGCGCCAACTGCGTCAAAGCAAAGGAGATTTGCAACTACAAAGAGAGCTCCAGTTACAATGCCCATATAGTCCAACAGCTCCAGCAGTCCAAGCGTCGGGTCGAGGACCTGGAGGGTCAGCTCCGAGACTTGGCACGCCTGGACCCCGAGGAGCGCGATCGTCGGCTTGCAGGGATCCTTCGTGATTTCGATGCACTTCAACTGAGCACGTCACCTGACCGCATGACGGAGGCTTCGTGGGATGAGGACAAAGAGGAGGAGTTGCCGTTTAGGAAATCCGAGGATTTTAGTGTCGGTGAGGATGGAACGGTATGTTTGCCTTTTTTTTGATTATTTTTTTGGTCTATTCGAAACGCTCTGGAGATTGACATGGATTTTAGTATTTCGGGGCCACTTCGCGCTTTCACCCCCTTGAGTCGGGGGATGATCCCTTGCCGAAGGTGCCCAGCTCCGGAGGCCCCGGAGGCCAGGAACATACCGCCACGGAGGAGTATCATCGCAAGTGGTTTGCGTCAAACGCAAGATTTCAGGAATCCCTAGAGAAATTGGCTCTGGCAAATCTCCACCAGCATACGGATCTTGATATCGATGCGTGCACGACATTACTGGGGATATATTGGACGTGGCAGGCTCCACTACACAACTATGTCTACCGTCGATGTAAGCGAGCGAGATTTCCGCATCCGGATGACGGCCTTTGCATGGATCGGATTTTCTGACCAGAAATTAGGTTTTTATCGGGATTTGGCCCTGGGAGGCCCTTATTTCTCGCCCTTCTTATTGAATGTCATATTGGCCCACGCATCTCGCCACACGAAAGATGACGATCCAAAATTTGCTCGCCTGGAGCGGGGCCGGTTCTTTATGCAAAAGGCGCGACAGCTTCTTTTGACTGAAATGGAACAAGAGAAGCCGAAGATATGTACTATTCAGGGACTTTTGATCCTTGGTGGGCGGCAATGCGCAATCGGAAAGAGCAGTGAAGGCTGGCTGTATACAGGCATGGTTTGTGATATCAGATCGGCCAAGGTGGACCCTGAGCTAATCTCACTAGGCTAATCGCATGATCATTGATCTTGGACTCAATCTCTACAGGGGAAATCTAGACGGATTAGATGGGCTTGAGCCCGACGACTTGGAGGTTCGAAAGCGCCTTTACTTATCTGCATTTGCGTGGGACAAGTATGCATACAATTTCCAAGGAAGAACATCCACTGACTCTTTTCAAGATCAATCAGTCTCTCTTTGGGACGTCCACCGTCCCTTCCTGATCTTCCATTCTCCCCCGATAGCTTATGTACGTGCTAGCTTCACGCGTGATGCGCCGAGCTAATTTCTGGCAGTTGATGTGTCTGACAACGACGCCGAGTGGAAACCGTTCTACTTGAAAGGGATGAAGAATCCATACCCATTCACGAAATCATACAACACCCTCTACTTTATTCATTTCTGTAAATTAGCCAAAGTGAGTGTTTGTCCTTCCCGAAAGACCTTGCGCTAACATACTGTCTAGTTGATAAACGAAAGTTATGAAAGGGTCTATGGTAAAAACATCCAGGATCTCAAGCTCGAGACCATTTTCCAGCTTGAAATGAAGCTTCGCGCATTCCATTCAACGCTTCCTGACCCGCTGAGGCCGGATAAGGCTGCATCTTCATCACATTGCCTACCTCCCCATATATTCTGTCTTAAGTAGGCAACCTCTTCCATAAAATCCACTGTGAACTCGCTGACTGTGTGAAGTATTCTCTTCCACACGATGTTAATTTTGATTTTCCGACCATTTTTCGGCTGGTCACGAAACGCAAAGCTGCAGGGCCATACGCTGGCACTTCGAGCGCAGAAGGTATGCACCGAAGAGGCAAACAAAGTCAACGAATTCTTCCGTCAATACGGGCGGACGTTCAACTTCCAGAACCAGACTTACCTCGTCTCTTATTGTGTATACACCGCCGCCACCATAGACATTCAACAGATCCAGCACGAGGATCCCAATCTCGCGAGTGCGGCAGCAAATCGGCTCTCCACGACTCTCAAAATGCTCGAGTCCGAGGCCCGTCAGACTCCCGGGATCAAACGCAGCACCGACATAATCAAGTCTCACTTGACGCAACTGACGGAGCAACTGTCAGGCCAGCCAGCAGCCCGTGCCGAGGAAGTACATCCAAAACCAGATACGCGACAACGATCAATCCCGGGATCTGTATCTGAACATTCGTCCTCATACAGTGAGCCTATAGTTCACAGCCCGCCTCATCAAATAGAGAGACCGGTTCATCCCCCGCGTCCAAACCTGGTAGCAAGCCATGGTCGCTTCCAGGCGAACCCATCACTCGTGCCCGACACCAGCCACAGCCAGCCAGCGTATGACGCGGTCCCCGACGAGAACATCGGCACATTAATGACCCAAGCAATGGACGTGGATGCGAGATGGACAGATTGGGACTTTTTTAATGCCGGTGGAGGATTCGTGCCGGATAATGGTGGCTGGGCCCCATTCGATCCTGCATATCATTTCAACCCGCAGTACCAGATATAGAATACTAGATAATGAGACCCAATTTTGTAAATCAGCTTTCAAGCTGGGGTCTTCCCCCGCACAGAGTGCAAATCAGTGCATTCCGGTTACTTGGCGTGGTTCAAGCAATGATCGCCCGGGTGTGTCCACTGTGGCTATTTCGACTCGCCAATGACCGGAGGACACTCGGTAAGATCCCGAGGGCCCGCGGTCTGGAAAACCCCGCGCTTCGCTGGATACCGACTGTTCGCGTAGATCATATTCTGGCTAATTCGAGGGTCCAACCACATTCCCAGGACTGTCGGTAAGATTCCTCGGTCGGTAAACGCGACAGTTCCTGGGAGCTGAGATTCTTTATTAGGGCTCTTCGGACGTGAGTTTCCATTCAATGCAGGCACTGTCACTTGTTTCACTGTGAGATTTGCGATTTTTCAATTGTCGGAGCATGATGTCTTCGCTCGACAGCGACCTCCACAAGGCAGAAGTCCTCACACTTGAGAACATCGAGTCGGACAAGAAACCCAGCCAAACAGCCGATTATACACCTGAAGAATTGAAAAGAGTAGTCAGAAAACTGGATCTGAACCTCTTGCCGCTATGCTTTATACTATATACGTTCTCCGTCTTGGACGTAAGTCAAAGGCACCACCTGGGCAAGCAAATTTCACAAATGCTGATCTTCGCAGAGATCCAACTTGGGAAATGCAAAGTTGGTCGGAATGAAAGACGACATCGATATATCAGGCAACCGCTACGAATGGCTCGGTAACATCTTCTACATCGCCTACATCATCTTCCAGTTCAACACTCTCGGATGGAAGATCTTCAAACCCCACAAATGGGTCGCATTCGTCGTCATGTACTGGGGTCTAGCTAGTACCCTCCAAGCAGCAGCCTTCAACTGGAGTGGACTGATGGCTTGTCGATTCTTCCTCGGATGGGCCGAGACCATGTTCGGCCCGGGAATTCCGCTATACTTCTCCTTCTTCTATCCTCGCGACAAGCTAGGAAGGAGATTCGGAATCTTCCTCGCTGGATCTGCGCTTGCAAATGCGTACGGGGGCGCCCTGGCGTACGGGCTTGGGCATGTCCATTCAAAGATCTCCAGCTGGCGCTTTTTGTTCATCATCGAGGGTGTCCCGACAGTTCTGCTTGCTGTTGTTGCTTGGTTCTGTATCCCGGATTCGCCATCTGAGGCTCGGTTCTTGACGCCTAGAGAGCGGGAGATCGCTCAGGCTTATGCGAATAACCAGCCTGGGGATTATAAGCATGAGGGGTTGCAGTGGAGCCAACTGGGGGATGCTTTCAAGGATTATCGGAGTATGTTAATATATGTTTCTTGGATCAGTGCACTTTGCTAACAAGTGAATCAGACTATATGTTCGCACTGCAAAACTTTTGCAACAACGTCAGCTTCGCCTCACTTCCATTATTCCTGCCAACCATCGTATCGGAAATGGGAACCTTTACCGAAGTACAATCGAACGGAATCACCGCATCACCTTACCTTTTGTGTTTCATTCTGATCATCGTGGTCTCGATGATATCAGACAAACTCCGCATGCGAGGCCCCTTCGCCGCGTTCTTCGCCGTCCTCTCTGCGATAGGCTTCATCCTCCTCGGCACAACCGACACTGTTGGCCCACGATACCTGGGAACCTTCCTTGCAGTGATGATTTTCGTGACAACTTCAATCGTGTTGATTTGGAATTCGAATACCAATTCCACGGGCTCGAAGAAGGCTGGCGGATTATGGATTATGATGACCGTTGGACAATGTGGGCCGTTGCTCGGTACAAACGTGTTCCCTGATGCGGATAAGCCGTTCTATCGAAAGGGATCGTGGATATGTTGTGCGTTTGCCCTGTTGTCGGCAGCCACGGCTTCTACCTTGAGCTTCTTGCTCTGGAGGGAGAATAAGAGAAGAGACCGGATTTATGGACCTGTGCGGGAGGGTACTCAGGTTGATATGAGTTCTACTGAGAGTCAGGAGGCGAACCTGAGATATATCATCTAGCAGATTATCGTGCGAGCGACGAACTCTGCTTAGGCACTTTAGTCCCAATTCCGCAGCATTCATGGATATGATATGAAATTTCAAATGAACGCTCATCGATATGCACGCCATACATGTAACGATATCTCTCAGAAGATAGCCGTAGCATTGGCCGGACTTGCTACACCACCTGGAAGATCTAAAGGCTGACTTGTTAACATAAATGTCCATCGCCCCAGCTCCTGACATATTTGACTTAGTGATTCCAAATCCCAACATTCACCAATAGGCATGCCCCATCCGCTCAGGAGGACCTTGCGTCGATCAGCACAATATCATCATACCAAACATTTAGAAACTCACCTCATGCATACTAACACCCCAAGCCTTCGGCGAAGGCCAAGCCTCATATGCCACCGTGTCGCTTGCAACAGCCGCGAACCCCTGCTCCCAATGCCACCGCAAACTCTCCTCCGTCGCCTCCACACCGACAGAAGCACGATCATCTCTCCCGCCCAGACGCTCTTTCTCCTCATCTGTGAGAAGGTGATACGCGGCTGTCCACCCAGTGCGAATGAGTAAAATATCACCGCGTCGGAATGTCACGCCCTGTTCGACTGCAATTTTCTGCAGATGCGAGAGTGGTATTGCTGAATTCGTGAATGGGCTGAGTGCTAGATTTTCGCGCTTTGCATAGCGATACCAATCAATCAAGACTCCTCGTGATACCATTGGATTTCTTGCCAGATCTGTTTTGAGTCAGATTGATCAATGAACAGTGCAGGCATCGACATACTCTGTACACCTATTTTGGTGGAGGCCTGGGGCCCGGATATTTCATCCTGGGTTGCCCCATTGTAGAACAGCTTGGATTTCGCGTATGGGAAGTGCCGAAGACCGTCCCAGTGACTTGAGCTTTGGGTGTTGATGTCGATCTAAAAACAATTTAGATCGAAGCTGAGATGGAAGGAAAAGCAGAGCAAATACCTCGTCATCGTTTGCATGGCCCTTTGCAACGATTGTATGTGAACACTTCTTTCGCTGCGGATTCATTGGTCTGAGAGGAACATCCAATGGCAAGCTGACTGGTTAACTAGAGGAATCCAATTTTAAGCGCAACTCACTTCAAACTAACAACTTTCCCAAGGACGACTTCGGAACTCGCAGCCCGAACTACATCTTCCGTTAAGAGATTCAGTGTCCCACACTCATCGTCGTCGCCCCAAAGACCCCATGCGGACCCCTTGGGATGACCGGGTTGCAGGGGCAAGTCCTCGAACCGGGGACGTTTCCCACACGTCATTGCATTCGCGTGCGATCGAGCTGTATGTCCATTTTGAGGATAAAGATGTGCCATTGTGATCGTCATGGTTGGGCTTTGGGTGAAGAGGAAATTCTTTTCCGCCAGAAGCTGGAGTTTGATCACTGGGATGTTGCACCCGGGCAGTGCGAGGGTTGCGGAGATCGGCATCATACCGAACCCCACCTGGTATAAGCAGTCGGCATGTTCTGCTATGCTTCATATGCCCTGCTAGGTGATTGCTATTGATATCATCTTTCGACTGCTCTCGGAAATAATAGCCAGGCTTTCAACCCCCGGGGCCGACAAATCAGAGATATATCGGCATATAGTTTTCTGGGAGAAAAAACTGGAAAGTCTACTGCTATGGTGAGACAAGCTATCACAGCTCTGGAATTCCGCTGACTTAGTCTTTCTTACCCATGAAAGAGTAGGTTTAAAATTGGCTGAGGGTGCGGTTTGGCAGTTGATCCCCCGGCTAAGGAAATGCTTAACGGGAGTGTTGAGCCCTGAGATGAGCAAGTGGCTACATATGTATCGTGATGCGAAAATTGGGGCCGGGTTGGGAAGCATGGCATTGTCATTGCTTGTCTACTAGCAGGTCAGTTTGAGATTTCTCCAGCGACAGCAGTTTTGAAACACCTGCCACGCATATTTACCTAGTCACTGCAGGTTGAATTGATGACTGAAGAACGGCCTCCCATCCCCAGAAAATGGCATTCGTTCCAGCAAGGTTATTATTAGCCACTGGCTATTGGCAGCATATATCCGAGGAGCCACCACAGAGCCTAAGGATCATGCTCGGCCTTTCGAAGCTCATGTATAGCATTCGCGACGAAGAGAACAAGTCCCCAAGAGCGTTCAAAGATGTTACTTTGCCAACCTGTCCTCAAGGTGATCGACTGCTCCATGTGCAGAACGGCCATCTTCGTCGCAGACTTTGTCCTTATTAAGTGCGAACGCTATGGTTCGGCCTAGCATTCACTCTGGGGCAGACTTCTCCCCGAATGGAGCTAAAGGGGGGATTTCCGGTCTATCTGCTCACGCCAAACCACTGCCAGGTGGGTCCATTTGACGATCGTCCTAAAGAAGCCCCTGACGCTGCACAAACCCGTCACTAATGACTGCAGGACGCCGTCTCAAGCGCCACCAAACTGCTGTACCTACCACAAAAGGTTTGATCGGGGAGGGGGTGGGGGACCTTCAATGTTTGCTTCCCACCTCGGCTGCCAAGAATGCAATGCGCATTTCATGTCATTGGTGCTTGTTGGACGACCTGGTAGACGGACGCATGGATGAGAGTTCCCCTCACCTGGATTTTGAAGGGACCCTCGGTTAGACTGGAATAAAAGAACACTCGAACCTCCCTATCCAAATGTGCATTACCACATCCCAAATTTGGTATTTCTCGGTGCCCTCTTTAGCATCCTGGTTCCACAAATATCGCCATGAGACAGCGCTCACCGACTTTCGACGCGGAATCCCATCTGGCAGGTTTCAATGGGATTCCACAAGTGCCCAGTGCAGCCCAGCCATGTAAGATTGAGGAGAGGGCAATCGATGAAGTCCGTCCATTGAAGGTGATTGTCATCGGATCTGGTATATCAGGAATTCTCAGCTGTATTCGGTTAAGGCAACGCATCCCAAAGCTAGATTTGTGCATATATGAAAAGAACGCAGACCTGGGAGGGACCTGGTTTGAGAATCGATATCCAGGTTGCGCGTGTGGTATGTTCGCATTGTCTATCACACGAAGAGGTTCCTTTCTGATATGAAAATTGTCCAGATATTCCATCTCATACTTATCAGGCTAGCTTTGAGCCGAACAAGGAATGGTCCAGCTTTTATGCCAAAGCACCCGAGATTCATGCCTATTGGAAGAGGCTTGCGCGGAAATATGGATGTATGGATTTCATCAAGTTCAGCCGGCAAGTTTCTGAGGCTGTATGGGACCAGGAAAACTTTAAGTGGCAGCTGAAGGTACTGGAGCGAATTTGGCATTACATTGATGATATCCATGGATGCTGACGCTCTCACTGCAGGTCGAAAATCTGCAGAACTCGTCCACGCTTACTGATAGTTGTGATATCTTGATCCAAGCGACAGGAACACTGAACGATTGGAGGTGGCCATCCATTCCCGGCCTGCAGAATTTCAAGGGCAAGTTGATGCACAGTGCCTCATGGGACGAGAGTTATGAGGTCAAGGTAAGCCGGTCTATCTTCTTGCAATATTTTCCGCTAAAGAAACCACAGGGCAAGCGCGTTGCAGTGATCGGTAATGGCTCGAGTGGAATTCAGATTGTTCCTGCGATATTGCCCAATGTGCCTCATATTGATCACTACATCCGAAGCCGTACCTGGATCTCGCCACCATTTACGCAAGGTGAGATGGAAAAGCGTAAGCATGGAACAGACAACTTTGAATTCACGGCGGAAGAGATCAAAAATTTCAAGACAGACCACCAGTCATACCAGGCGTTCCGTAAGAGTGAGTGACATCATGAAGCGTTGATACTTTGGCATTGTCCATCTAATGAAAATGATAGACGTCGAGCTAGAGCTTCAGTCTGTTCACGGAGTCACCCTGGTGGGTCATCCGGTGCAAAGCCAAGCTCGAGATGCATTTGTCGACAATATGAAACGCCGTCTGGCAAGGAAGCCCGGACTAATCGATCATCTGATACCTGCGTTTCCCCCTGCTTGCCGTCGACTCACCCCCGGGCCTGGATATTTGGAAGCCCTGGGCGATGATAAGGTGGACGTCGTTACCTCTGAGATCGTCAAGGTGAATGAAACTGGAATCATCACTGCAGATGGCCAGCACCGAGCAGTCGACATGCTTATTTGTGCCACCGGATTCGACACTTCGTTCTCGCCGAGATTCGCGGTCAAAGGGCGCGGTGGTAAAACGCTCACAGAGAGGTGGAAAGAGACACCGGAGACATACCTCTCGATTGCGACTGATGAGTTTCCGAATTACTTCATCTCATTCGGCCCCAACTCCGGGTTGGGCGATGGTAACCTTCTCGCGCTGATAGAAAAGTCGGTTGACTATTTCACTGCCTGTATTCAGAAGATGCAACGTGACAACATCTGCGCCATGAGTCCCCGGCATGAAGCCGTAAAGCGATTCAGATATTATTGTGACAATTATTTCCAGAAGACGGTTTTCACCAGCGGATGTCGCAGCTGGTATAAGAACGGCACTGAAGATGGCCGAGTCACTGCTCTCTGGCCGGGTATGTGCTGGCGGTCTTGAACTGGGTTTATCTGGCTAATCCTTGTCACGTATCTAGGTTCTTCGCTGCACGCCATGAAAGCCTTGGCTCACCCCCGGTGGGAGGACTTTGAGTATGAGTATGTGAGCGACAATGCGGTTGGCTGGCTTGGAGATGGCTGGACGGAAAACGAGAAGAGGAACATCATCAATGTTGATTATCTCGACGACGACCAGGTTGACTTTCCTCCAACATGCCCGTCTTGGTCGATTTGATGACCTGAGGATACAAGGGAAGCACAAGTGCGGAGTGCGGAGTAGTAACGAGGCAGTGTTAGAGTAGGACCCTGACCCGCCAATGTGAAACAACCTAATTGAATGTCTTCAATGCGAAAAAAGATACGCAGTAGCCGTACAAAGAAAGAAGAGAAGAGACTCAATCTTGAGTCCATAGTCTTGACGTCGATTCGCGTAACTTTGCAGCACAATACCCGTATTATACAGGGACTGTAATTGTGGTAAGTACAGAGCCTTACAGACTGCGCCTAAGGGGTACTCGTGAGCTCAAACTCCAGCCGTAATCGGATTACCCAGACAACCCCCCTTCTTCATCCTCTCCCCCAAGCCCTTCCTCTCCTCCCCAATGGAACAATATGAAACCGACAGACAAGCACTTCCGCTGCGACATCTGTCAGCGGGGGTTTACGCGTGTTGACCATTTGAAGCGTCACCATTTGCGCCGTATGCGCCCCACCCTGCAGCTACCCTTACGGAGCACTGAAAAACCCGAACAGACTCTGGGCAAAGGCCCTATTCCTGCATCTTCTGCGCGGATTCTTTCGCAAGGTGGTGAGTCTCGCCCAGAACGAGTGCTCGCGGTGAAGCTAATTGGCCAGTGATAACCTGCGCGACCATTATGCGGACTGCCCCAAACGCGGGGGTCGCGAAGCCCCCGAGACCGGTCAGAGGGGTAGGCGGCGACATGCGTGTCAATCGGTTCGTCCATCCAGTCACCGACGATATGCTTGACTAATGCTCGATCAGTGTACCCTGATGAAATTGCGATGCGACGGACAAAGCCCCTGCGGATCGTGTCAAAAGCGGAACCTCGCATGCAACAACCAACGAACGGGTGGGAGCAATGGCTCCGACGAAGGTACATTCCCCTCGAGTGGCATGGGCTACAGTGGGAGGCTCATCCAAGGGATAGGGACCCCCGCGAATCACGAAACCTGCTCGCCGTCGTCATCGGATCGAGGATCGATCAAGTTCCTACTGAACGGAGGCACCGAAAGCTTTACAGAGGGATTCCGACTCCCGCCGCGCAGCGATCAGACAACCAGCGTGGAATATCATAATGAGTTGGGCCTGGAGGATACCTCCAAGAACAACCTTGGGCGCACAGGTCCTGAATTTGGCTCTGGCTTCACCAACTCCGACCCGGCCTCGCAACAGTTCTTCCAAGAAAATTTCCTCGATCTCTACTACAGCCCGTTGATGTACGGACGGAAGCCCGTGGACAGCCCGTATGATAATGGCCAGCTGGACTACTCGGCAGTAATGCCGCCTGTGCAGCAACCGAATTTCGGATTGCACGCGGATGCGTCTGCCTTCGAGCCCGAGCGACCATTCGCGCTGGCGCTGATTCAGTCAATTTTGGCGACGGCGTGGCAGGTACCGCTCGATCTCAAGGCACAACAGGAGATCTCCGCGAATTTGAATGTTCTGTTGACAACCGCCCGCATACGAAAGTTCGTTTCCCTCTATTTTGAATGTTGGCACCCCAGCTCTTCGATCCTCCATGTCTATTCCTTTGACCCTGAAGCGGCGCCCTTGACCCTTTTAGCGGCTGTTGTATTCATGGGCGCGATGTACAGTAACGACCACCGGGAGGTCTCTATCGCAAAGACAGTATTAGACTTTGCAGAACTCTTCATCTATTCAAGTGAAGTGTTTTCCACGGAAAGCGAGGTTGGCAGAATATTCCCGTCCGTGGAATGCCACAAGGACGAGAGCACCGAGTGGATGAGTTTCCAAAGCTACCAGGCCGGTGTCATCATGATGTTGACACAGTACTGGGCTGGGAGTCGAGTTTCTCGGACTCGGGCCATGGAAAGCAGACTCAGCGAGCTTGTGAAGGTCGGGCGGCGAATGGGGCTTGGAAAATCTCGTCATCTTCCAGAAGACCAAGCTCTCGAGCAGTTGTGGATTCAAAAAGAATGTCGAATTCGGTATGTGTCTTCCCTCGACGACAACTCGTTACCATTGCTAACTCTGCCAGCACTGCTTGTGTTGTCATTTCGATTGATTGTGCATTCTATTTCTTTCAGAATTTCCCTTGCCGACTGACACAATCTGAAATGCAATGCGATCTCCCGTCGGACAAGTCGCTATTCTTCTCTCGCCATCCATTTTCCGAGCCCAACTTCCGCTTCGCTCGCGACGTCACACTGGCCAAGGCCTTTGAGAATTTGATGGACGAGTCATCATCTACTCCTATGGACCTGACCGTCCTAGACATGTTCATGCTAATCCACTGTACGTCCCGATCCTCGAGTGCTTCCATTCTGCAAACACTGACCTTGGCAGTACTATACTCTTATATCAACACCCATATGCCCATCCTCGGTCCCGTAATACGGATGAGCCAGGTCAAGCAGCCCATAAAGCCTGCTTCTGATACCCTACAGGAAGCATATTCCATTCCCAACGACCCAACCTTAGCCCCGGTCAAGACCGCTCTATCGCGCTGGCGTGATCATTGGTTTGTGCTGCGCAACCGGGTCCCTAGTGAGGAGTGGGCTGCGTTGGGCTTTTACAAAAACGCCTACCATTTCTGGCTGGTGTCACAACTGCTCATCACCAATGGAAATGTCGTCGACGTCGTCATGCAAATGGAAGTCCCCTGCGAAGACAAATTAGACCAATTGAAGGTCTTGCTCGACGACCAAGGGGATGTATGATGGGGATGGGGCGCAAAAAATATACAATGAATAGACTTACCCGCGAGGCAGTTTTTTTTTGTTTTGAATATATGGGAACTGGAGTCTTTTGTGGTGTTCATATATCCTGGGCAGGCTTGCAGTCTTTTCTTCTTTTTTGTGACTATTGACATCATGGATACAGTATGTTTTCTATTCTACCTTTTTCGATCTCACACGCTCAGTCATGAGGTCTAAGCTCAACGACCCAGGAGAAATTACAACTTAGGTTCATCAAAATGCGTCCTTTCACGTCTTTGGCCTCGCACTGAGTACCGGTAGAATATCGACTCCGAAAAAGATGGCCCCGATCTTCCGGGGTTCGCTGTTAAAGGGGGGAAAGGGGGTGTTCACCGCGACGCCGGGACTTGGCGTGACCAACACAAACTATGTACGGAGTACCGATACCATGCACCTATCACACTTGGGCAGAAGTGCCCAGATGTTTCTTTTCCTGTGGTCCGATCTCGGGACATGTTAGTTTCTGCATTATGAGCATGACATGCAGTAGTTAGATGATGGATCGGCAATTTAGGATGCAGAGTACATGCAGTACATGTACCCTGTACCCTGTACTCCGTACTCCATACATAGGGTACATGATCCATGTGTTCAAGGCCAGAAAATTTGCACTGCAAGGTACAAGATACGGAGTACTCCAGGTGCTCGTATATGTCCAAGGTTACATACACTTCGGAGCATTGAGCAGACCCAAGTCTACGGGTGCTAGGTATGCGCTGTAATCAGCTCACTCCAGGGCTGATGTTCCTGCTCATTCGATACTTGTTAAGGATAAGTGAGCGTCGATCTCCAAGATCTGACTAAATACGTCAAGCCAATGCATTTCTCATGCGGGATAGCTTCATTGCATGCAACCTCGGCCAGAAAGACCGAAAATCGAGATGGCTCTCCATTCCCCCTTGGTGAGACTTGTTCATTGGACCCTACCAGTACAGTACTCCGTATTCCATAATTTTGTACGCAATAGTGTACGAAGTAGAGTACGGAGTAGCATACACAATGAGCAAAAATACTTCTAGTGCTCTTTACGAAGTGTGCTGAATAGTGGAGTCTCGGTCAGATCCAGATCGGATTGAGACAAACAGACAAACACCTCAAGTATCTGCAATGCAACGCGGGCTGAATGTGCTATTGGGCTGATCTGCATAATTCACGCTAATTGAGCTCAGGGGCTTGCATGTCCCACTGATCCTGGCCCGAAGAAGCAATCAAACCAAGGAATTTCTTGGTGTTCATGCAAGGTGTGCCGATCTTCGTGATGGATCTCCCGCACCGATTCCTCTCTCACAAATGGGGTCCACGATGCAATTCTCCTGCAAGGACTGGAGCGTCTCAATTCCGGACAAGCTCATCCTGGAATCCCCTGAGCATCGACTGTTACATCCATCCCAGTGAAAATGCTCAATTCCACGGCGGTGGGCCGGCCCGGTGTCGATCGTGTCCGCTCAACTTCAGCTTCAGCTCCACAAGTAAGGGAATCCCTCGCCGATCGCGAGCTTGAGGCGCACGAAGCTGGCTAGTTTCCCCACACTGCGCTTGTGATGATGTCCCACAGCATGCCGTGAGCTCACTGGTCTCGTCCCACAAGTACTCGGCACTAGTATAAAGAGTCCGTGGTGGGATGCTGGGAGATCCAACCCACTCATTCCTCATCATGGTGTTCAGCAAAGTCTCTTTCACATCTGCTTTTGTCTCCCTCTTGGCCTGCGCGGGCGCCCTGGAGGTCCCCAAGACGGACTACGATGTTATCGTCGTCGGCGGTGGTCCTGCAGGCTTGAGTGCCCTTAGTGGTGTCTCCCGTGTGCGGAGAACGGCTCTCTTGATTGATAGCCAACACTACCGCAATGACCCAACCCGTGAGATGCACGATGTCATCGGCAATGATGGTAAGAATTGATTATATTCAAATCACGACCAGGTACTCATGGAAATGTTGTAGGTACTCCACCCGCCGTGTTCAGAGGTCTGGCGCGTGAGCAGATCTCCAAGTACCCGACGGCGCACTTCGCCAACGAGACTGTGGACCACATTACCCCCTGGGGTACGGGAGACTACTCTGCCTTCACCGTGACCGACAGCCAAGGCAAGAACTACACCGCGCGCAAGATCGTGCTCGGAACCGGTGTCAAGGATGTGCTTCCTTCCACCCCCGGCCTCGAGGATGGATGGGGCCAGGGCATCTTCTGGTGTCCCTGGTGCGATGGCTACGAGCACCGCGACCAGCCCATTGGCTTCATCGGCGACATCACCGACCAGCTTTCCAACATTCTGGAGACCCACACCCTCTATGACGATGCCATCGCATTCGTCAACGGATCTCAAACACCCGAGGGCGAGGCTCGCGCAACTGCCAAGGTTGCGGACTGGAAGGCTCAACTTGCTGGATGGAACACCACCATCGACAACCGCACTATCAGCTCCATTGAGCGTCTCCAGGACGGCGGCGACAACCGCCAGGGGGATAGACAATTCGACAAGTTCCGCATTCACTTCACCACTGGCGAGCCCGTTGAGCGTGGTGCCATCATGATCAACGTCCCCACTGTTCAGGCTTCGGTTCTTCCTGCTGAGATGGGTCTTGAGATTGTTAGCGACAAGATCAACGTTACTAGCGCTTTGCGCACTAACGAGCCCGGAGTCTGGGCTGTTGGTGATGCCAACAGCGATGGCAGCACCAACGTCCCACACGCCATGTACACCGGAAAGCGAGCTGGTGTCTATGTTCACGGTAAGTAGTCTTCCTTCGATGTAAGACCAAGTCACTGACAGTTATTCTAGTGGAAATGTCGCGCGAGGAATCTGCCTCTCAGATCTCCAAGCGTACTGACCTCACTGACGCCCAACTGGAGCACGAAGCCAAGCGCGCCATTGGTGACGACCTTGAGTCTCTCTGGAAGCGTGCTCAGGGCCTCCAGTAGCTCATCCCAACATCATGAAGGAATGATGAAATCTATATCGTAATTTAATTAATGATATTTGAACCCACGGATGGCACTGCCACCATGATATGCTCAATTTGCTCCGATAATCTGCAGTAAGCTGGCCTAATGCCCGCGGCCCTTTGTATACTCGCAAAAATAGTCACAATGCACCACCGCATTCACAGCGTAATCCGGAACTTGAAAAGATCTCTCTCAACGATCTCATCCTTTTTCGACTCCAACTCCTTCATATCCCAATTCCCCCAGACAAACCTAGCATTCAACCACTCCCGACGCTCTCTCGAAAGCCATATAACAGTGTCTGCTGGAAGCTCCACAGCATCGACAAGCAAACCATCATAAATCTCAGGAAGCTGGTTCCCCATGTCCGTCATGATCGAACCAGGGTGCAAAGCAATCGCAATAAGTCCTTCCTCCTCATGCTCAGCGGCGACAATCTCCGTAAACCGACAGAGTGCGAACCGCGCATTTGGATACGCTGATCCACCAGACATGGCACAGTGAGCACCGACCGACGAAAGGTTGATGATCGTTCTCAACTCAGATGCCAAGACCATAGGAAGCAAGTAATGGCAGCATAGAAATGGGCCTTTCATGTTTACATCCCACCCCTTCACCCACTCATCTGGATCGCTTTCCACAACGCGCGTCATATCTGGTAGGTAGCCGGCGTTGTTGACGAGGATGTCTAGTTTTCCCTCGAATGAAAGCTGGATGACTTTCGAGGCGGCCTCGACTGACTCCTTGGAAGTTACGTCCATCTGGACCGGGAGGATCTGAGGTTCGGGGAGATTCGAGTTCGCGGCTTCGGCCTTCAGCTCTTGCACTACTTCTTCGAGTGAGGAACGGGCGGTGATTGCGATCTTTGCTACCCCAGCCTTGACACAGCGGATCGACATCGCTCGGCCGATTCCCTTGGAGGCCCCTGTTATGAGGATAGACCGCCCGGCTAGCTCTGTTCCTGTAGGTATGATGTGTGGGTAGGTGTCATGATGGAGCGAAACAAATGAGGCATGTTGTGGACCGTTTGTCGGTCTGATGATTCTCAATTGTTCAGCGTTCATCTCTGCTGGTTTTGGATCCAAAGATGGGTGTTTAGCAGCTTGTCTTGGAGTCTCCGGTCAGGCCAGGAGGTTGATGGGAACTTTCTACATCGGAGACATCTCAAGTTGAAATCTTCGTGCGGGGTTTTGTGCATCTATCATTTCTTGCTAGTTCGAGATTACACAGTGCAGCGAACAGGGATCGAGCAGCAATCGCTACCTAGTGCGAGAAGATCCCTGCACCGGTGACTGAAACTGATATTCCATAGACCGTGGGTATATTCCCAGGTCAGTCTCAATATTATCCTTCTCGGCCTTTCAGCTAGAGGCTTTACAGTTGACATCCAAAAGAGCATTATCGACCTGAAGTCATAGTTAGTATTAATCACGGCATGAATGGGACAGATACTGACATTGGTGCAAGTAAATTGGTCGTCACCGTCAGGACTGGAGACATCAATATTACTGGCATTGATGTTCGAGCAAACCTAAGTCAAGTTAGACAACAGATATTTTGACGGGGATTGGTTTCGATACCTCAGGGCTGGAGCAAACGATAGTGCCGACGTTGGGGTCATATTTGCCCGAGGTGACACCCTTGAAATTCTTGAAATAAACATCCTCAATAGCAAGGTTACTCTGTGTAAACAAGAATAGTCAGTCATCTGCAACCTCAAGTTTATACTCGCATATTGTCCGGGCAAACATACGGGATACTCATTGCAGAGAGTCAAGTTCTTTTGGCCATAGCACTGTGTGACCTCAATGGCATAGTCGACATTATCAATGGTCATTCCATCGAAAGTGATGTTTTTCACAAGGCCGGATCCACCGCCGCCTTGAAGATCGGTTGAGAGCGCAGAGGAGATGCCGGGCCATACTTTGATACGAGCACCGTCCTTCGTGGAGTTGTTAGGAAACCATCTTCGGATGAACAGTGCTAGGGTGACTTACCGAGGCATTGAACATGGACACGTTGTATACCAAGACGTTTTGCACAAGATCAACCTCGCCAGGGTATTGTCCGAGAGAGCCGACTGAAATGCCATGCGAGCCGTTGCAGTGCAAGTTCTGGACCAGGATATCGGTCACATTAGGCTTGAACGAAACACAGTCTGGAAAGAATTAGAATCAAAAGCTGATGACATAGGAATATGATTGCATACCATCACCGTTATTGATCACGGAGTTCTGGATGACAATGTTCGACGACCGGTAGACATCCCTGTGTATGAAAGATTAGATCCATGCATTTGACTCGAGGCTCCAACTTACCATCCGTCAGTGTTCTTAGCCACATGAGAACTGCTGCTGAAACCAGTGATATCAATGCCATCGAAAAGGATATCGGACGAGTTGGCCACGAATTGATACCACTGGGGCGAGTATCGAAGGTTCAAGGGTCCAATGGTACCTCCCTTGAGTCCAATGACACCCATCAAGATGGGACGCAGAATCATAGCGTCCTCGGCATACAAATCATACCAGACCTGTCCGTTGCCATCAAGGGTGCCGTCACCGTACATGTTGACATCTTCACCACCGAGCTGGAAGAAAGTGGTAGCATTTTGATAGATTTGCTTAAAAGCATTTGCCTGCCAGTAGTCCGTATCATTGCTGAATTGAACATGACCTTGGATCTCTGTTTGAAATATGATCAGCGCCGTGCTTCAATCTCTGGACTGCCATGACATACCCAAGTCGACGTGCTTCAAGAACGTCATATCGAGTGCTTTCGCGATGGTGTATGTCTTGTCGGCATCGAAAACAACCTTTCCACCATTGTTGCACTTCTTCAGTGCCGACAGCACATTCGCCGAGTCGTCCTTCCCATGCCCGTGGTTGGCTACATGACAAGTACGAGTTCGGGGCTGACTAGCAGGAAGGGGCTTGAGTGGGTGGTTTGGATGGCATGCCTCGGTTCGAGAGTATTTCTCTTTACCCTCGACGGCTGCACCGAATGAGACCAACAGGCCCAGGGCCTGTGTCAGACTAGTCGTTAACTTCATGGTTGGAGGGAAAGCCCTAAGTTGCCCAGGTTGTATAAAAGCGCGGATTGACAAACTCAATTGACTCCCAGAACCTCAGAGGAGCTTTGTCTAGCAGCTCATATATAGTCTCGCCGTCCACGGGTTGACAAATTAATTAGCTAACGTCTCTAGTTCCCCGAGGTCGGGGTTAACGCTAAGGAGCGCCCCTTGCGGGCATCTTGTGGGGTTGGCAGCATCTCATACATCTTAGTCCGGGGAAACAGACCAGCAACAAAACGCCTTGTGGGGCTCCATGAGCACAATGCTGTGTCGTGCCGTATGTGATTGCGTCGGAAATGGGCTGGTCGGGGATAAAGTGGTATACTATTGCGTAGGGATGGCCACCAGCCACGTCTCATAGGAGGAATCTTGGAGGCCTTTTCTCCGATTGGCAGGAAAATCCCGGTTAAACGCTGGAATGAATTTCCTTGCGGATCCAGCGTACCCAAGCATATGAGGCTGCTTGTTGTGATTGCATTGAATTTTCCGCTGACAATTGAATGTAACGCACGGTGTCAACGAAAGCTACTCGAGGAATCGAATGTTGAAACGGGCGTGTCTCACAGGAACAAAACCAATCATCTTCAAATGCTTTATATGTACATCAACTTCCCCAATGAAGCCGAATGATGGCTGAACAAGAACGACGCAGGTTCCGTGCCAAGCGTACATGCCTGATGCCACAATCCTAAGCTTTCGCATCGTGCCTGGGCTCGGTCCCGACCGGAATCCTCGATCGAGATCGGTCTAAGTGAAACCAAGCGCACTTTGCCACTTCCGTACTGTAACCGCACGCCATATCTTATATTTAGGTGGACTTCTCGACCTTGTCAGCAACCTTCTTGACGGCGCCCTCGGCCTCACCGGCAGCAGCCTTGGCGGAATCGACGGCTCCCTGCTCAAGAGTCTGGGCAGCCTCGGCGACGGTGCCGTCTTGGCTGCGCTGCCACATGAAGATACGGGTGACCTGGACAGCTCCGACACATCCAAGGAAGAAGTTCACGGCGGCAAGCCTGGAAGGTATTTGGTTAGCATAAAACCGAATGCTGACACTCAGATTGCACATACAGAACGTTGCGAGGCTTGATGATCATACACCAGCGAGTCCAGATGGCACCGGTACCCATGAGGGCAGCGTTCTGGGTGAGAGAGAGCTTCTCAGCGGGACGGGCGAAATCGGAGATACCGGCGATGACGAGGCACCACTGCGGATTGTTAGTCGAATGGATCAAGAAGCGCGTTTCGTGGAGTTTTTCAGCGTTGTATAATTGCAGGGAAAGGCGAGTTGTTGGGGGAGAGGTTGGGGGAAATATCATCTGAGACTCGAATCATCGTACCTTCATGACGGGTGCCCTGTAACCATGTAGTTAGCGCTTGTTCAAGTCTGCAGGGCAATAGAAAGAGCCATAGAGCTATAGATCTTACCAGAAGTGCACAGTCTTCACGCCGACGGGGCTGTTCCATAGGCGCTGGAAGGTGCTCTGCTGCTCCGCAGCACCGGCTTCGGAGCTCGAGAAGCGGAAGCCCTGAGCACCCGGCCGGCGGAATGGCGCAGAGGCATTGCGGAACGCAAAGCGAGTGTTGTTCACGAAGCGGAATCCCACGCGAGAAGACATGGTGGTAGTTGAGATGGAAGGTCTGGGGAGAGAGAGGAAGGATGGTCGTCCGGTGATCGGTGGAAGGGGGAGTTTTCCGTCGGAGAGCAGCGATAAGAGCAATTAACCACCACAACCACGCGCGATACGACTGTCAATTCAGATCTACAAGTATAAACGACTCTTCTACACAATTGGCACGATTCCAGCCAAGAAAATCGATCTCCCAGGTCAATGGCGATGACGGATTCCCAAGTTGATGCTGACATAACTCCGGGCTAAGCCGCATCCAGCCTAGCGGATTCTGGCTCTGCGCAGCGAATCACCGCCGTTGTGAATAATGCACCGCATCGCAAGACCTCTCTATCCCACTGCTTCCGACTCTACCCTTGGCTCCCTTGAGACCTCCCACATCTTTCAAATTCGTCAGACCACATAATGTCTGGCAAGTACGTCTTCACCCAGGGCCTGAAGGAGCTCCGCTTCCTCTTCTGCCAAACCTCTGAGGCAAGCGCTGCCACAAGGTGTGTACCCCCAAATTCCTCCGATAGCTCGGGCACTGATTGATTCCTCTTTGCAGGTCTTTCCTCAACCGCGCCTACCCCACCATGAAGAAGCACAACCCCCAGACTCCCATCATGATGCGCGAGGCCGCGGGCACCCAGCCGCGCGTGTTCGCCCGATATGGTAGGACACCATGCCAATTGGCACCGAGCACAAGACCAGAAGCTAATTCAAGCCGTGATGACAGCATTCGGAAAGGAGAAGCAGGAGGCTCTGACCGGTATATATACCCCCGCCAATTATGGCCTCAAAGAGGATCACAATACTAATCTGTGTTTCTAGGTCTTACCGACACCCAGATCGAAGACCGTATCACCCAATTGGTCAAGCAGTCATAAATTCATTCATATCATCTCGCACTATATTATGTCCTCGCCTTCCCACCATTTTACCCCCATCTTCTGTACCTATAGATGAAATCCAACCTTACTCAAAACATCCCACGTTTTCAACCGTGATCACAACTTGATATTACTTCTGACCCTAGCAATGCGATTACAACGAGCTAGCATTCCCAAGCTCTCCAAACCGATACTGCGCCCAACTCATGCTCCCTTCAGGGAACGTCCAAGTCCTCTTGCCCAAATCCTCACCCGCAGCACCGGCCCCGATATGAATCGGCAGCAAATGTTCAAAGGACGGATGAGCCTGACGCGCATCCGGTCGCTTCAACAAATTCGCCATCGCCCTTTGCCGCTCAGCCGGGGCAGTCGTCACAGCCTCCTTGAGCGCCTCGTCGAAACTAACCGCATACGGAAGTGGCGTCTTGCTACCAAAGGCAAATCGCAGATCACGCAGGTTATGCACCGCCATTCCAGAAACGATGATCAAGATGTTTTCCTCGCGGAGACGAGCAACCGCTTGACCTAATCGGTAGTGCTGATCGGGATCTTCGGAGTTGAATAACGAAACCTGCACAATCGGCACCTTCAACGGATTCGTTTCAGGCTCAAAGGCTGCTCCATGTTAGTATTCGGTGCGTATACTGGACTGGATAGCTCAACATACCGCACTTGAAGCTGGCCCAGACACCGTGGTCGAGCCCGCGCTTCACGCCCTCGGCCGCAATGCCAGCATCCTTCAGCAGGTCGAGCACTTTGTGCGCAACCTCCTTACTGCCCACGTTTGGATATTTCTCTTTATAGTAGTGGTCTGGGAACCCATAGAAGCTAGGCCGTGTTAACGCGACGTCAATTGGAAATCTCGGAAGCCGGCACAACATACTCATATATCAAATCGGTCATCTCAGCAGTATTGACCTGGATTGTATCACGACCGGCCTGCCAGTGAGCAGAGAATACCACCACGGCCCGTGGTTTTACCTTGGTCGTGATTTCGCGGCCAATCTGGGCTAGCTTGCGGTATGCTGGGTGCTCAACGTCGTACATCACGTTTGGCTGGCGATGTTAGCTCAAAATCAATGCATGTTTTGGATATGAACTCACGCCGCCATGGCTAAGGAAGTAAATAGGTGTCTTCATGCCGGGCGATTGAGTCCCAGGCGCGGTGTTGACTGCGGCAACCGATGCAGCTGTCATTGGAGCTGCGGTCTGCCCAGAAAAGAAACGTCGTAGTCCGAACAGATTGGCTGTGTCACCCCAGAATAGGGCGATGGTGATGGCGACAAGAAGAGCTAGAAGAGATGAAGTGGCAGTTCTTCGGCTGGGTGTAACCGTCGTCTGAGGCTCTGTTGTTTGCGAAGACATATACAGAGCAAAGAAAGTGCAATTTGTATGAACAGAGAGGCGTAGAATCTGAATCAAATAGAACTAAAAACAACGAACTACTTACTATACAAGCCGATCGCATAAGCCGGACCAAATTTTGTAAGCGCGGAATCCGGCCGCGGGCGGATCTACGGATTTGAGGATATAGACATTAGACAATCTCAATTGTTCTATTCATGCAACTGCAACCAGCTCCGGCCCATGGTATCCGTTCCGGTCATGCAAAATTCATATCAAAAGGGGAAAATAGAAAGTAAAGATATAAAAGAAACCCGAAGTCGAGTATTCCAGGCGAGCCTTGGATGAAAGAAAGACATAAAAATCATACACCATTGTTCACAAGCTCAGATCACAGAGGGTATAGATCCCACGCAAGAGAGAAATGTGCAAGTAGTGTGGAGAGGGGGGAGGAGCCATTTACATCAGAACGCAATCACCATCACTCTGCTTGTTGACAGCCGAGCGAGAGAGACGGGTCTTTTCCATGCGACTGCCGCCCTTCTTGAGATCCTCGAGACGCTCACGAGCTTTGGGGAATCCTTGGGCTAAAGGAAGGTTCATGATTAGCAAACGTAACATCAAACAGCAGAGAATGGCACTTACCAGCCGCGCGCCAGTACCAGCGCTTCGCATCATCCAGATTAGCAGCAGAGCCAATTCCAACCTCAGTGAAATATCCCATAGCATACTCCGCCTTAGCAAGACCGGAAGTTGCAGCCTTGCGCGCCCACAGATAAGCCTCTGTATCATTCTGCTGGAGAATCCCCTCCGACCCAGTAAGATACCAACCACTAAGCGCAAGCTCACTCTGATGTTCGCCCTGGGCCGCAGCACGCGTGTACCAAATGATACTGGTGCGGTTGTCAACAGGGCATCCCATCAGCCCGTACTCGTAGGCATTACCAAGACGGAACTGAGAGAACTTGTAACCCAGTTCAGCGGCCTGATGGAAGAGCTGGGAAGCGTATTGCTCATCACGGATGATGATGTCGTTCCCACCGGCATTCTGGTACATCAGTGCCAGCTCGTGGAGGGCGTGGGGGTTCTCTTCGTCTGCGCGCTCAGCTGCGCGCTTCAGCCAGGATACTCCTTCGCGTGGGTTGCGGGCTTGGCCCAGGAGTCCTTTCAGGCTGATCATTCCCATTTTGTACATGGCAGGGGTGTCGCCCAGCGAGGCCGCGCGCTTATACCATTGGACTGCTTTGAAGGGGTCGCGCTTGGTACCGCCGCCCTCCTCTTGTCCGATCTCGCAGCACACGGCGACTCGGTATGCGGACTGGGCGTGGCCTTGCTTGGCGGCGGAGTGGTAGAGTGAGAAGGCTTCTTTGGGGTCGGCCTCCAACCCGAGGAGGCCTTCACCGTAGCAATCGGCAAGGAAAAACTGCGCCTCGGAGTACCCTCCTGCCACGAGTTTCTTCACGATCTTGTGCGCATCCATGATGTACTTCTCCTTTGCTTTGGCCTTTGTCTTCGGGTCTAGTCGGCTGTTATCGCCTACCAGCACAGTGGATGCTTCAATAAGCTTCTTGGCGAGGAGGAGATGGGCTTTTTGATCAGCGGGATTGCCTCGCGCTATTTTTTGTAGGCGCTGCAACTCGTCAATTGTGACAGGCGCCTGCGCCGGTCCTCGGGGTAGAATCGCGGGCTGTGAGACCGGGGCAGGTGCAGCAACAGGAGCTGATTCCGGAGCGTTATATTGCCGTACTGGCGCGGGCTTGGGTCCTTGATCGTGGCCCAGGCGGAAAGGAGCCGGGTGATGCGGCAGAGCATCGGGATTTTGCTGAGGATCGGGGGCCTCAGGGTGATCAAGATAGCCTGGCTGGTTCCCTCTGGGCGGTGCGGGAGCCTGCGAGTAACCAGGATAATCATCATAGGAATTTGCTGCGTACCCATGGTCAACAGCAGGACCGGGCGGTGCTTCTCCAGGAATATCAAACTGGAATCCGGCATTCTCAAACTGGTTGGGGGCTACATCGGCTTGTCGGAGATTTGGCTGAGACTGAGAACGCATGAAGTCGTCCCCTGTGGGCGAGTACGTATTGTAGTTTCCGGGCGAAGAGTTTGTATGGGGAGCTGGTGCCTTGGACTTGGGTGTCTCCAGTCCCATTTCGTCGATGGTAGTATGACCAGCAGCCGGCATGGCGTCGAAATTAGGCATATCAGGCTCTTCGCCAGAGTCATAGTAGCTGTCCAAGAAATCTTTCGGGGCATATGAAACGCGGTTGGTAGGCTCGGGGGGAATCATCAGCCCAGCGGAGGGAATGATTAAGCCAGGGTCTATATCGTTGGGGGCGCGAGATTGCGAGGGGTGCATACTCCCCGCCGTGCTGGGGCGCATGGGAGGATCCATCGGGCTCCCTGGGTAATCGGATTCTTGATAGGTTGACTGACCGGGGTACGATGGCGCACCCATCGGCGCACCCATTGGCGCGCCAAGTGGCATGGTTGTGCTTCGTGGTGGTGGAGGCATCCGCGCCATAGGATCCGCATAGTCGCGATCAGATCGATCCGACCGACCTGAGCTCCCGGCTCGCACTGGACCCATTGGGTATCCGCCGCGACCACGCCCCGGCGGAGGACCGCGCGGAGGTGGCTGTCGCATCTCAGGGCGCCTCCCGTTTGAGGTATGGGGTCTCGGGGGGCCTCTTCCATTCATATCGACCGCCCTCCCATTGAGATCCATGGCAGACATGCTAGTCTCTAATCCTCGCGGCGGCGGGGCACGCCGATCCCTCGGATCCCTGGCCCTGGGGTCTCGCGGGTCTCTCGGGGGCCTCGCATTCCTGGGATCTCTTGGGTCTCGCGGGTCTCGCGGGTCTCGTCGGGCTCGTGGATCTCTCGGGTCTTGATATTGGGCGGGCGGGTATGAATTATCATAACGTCCACCTGGACCTGGTCCTGGACCTGGGCGTCCACCCGCTATAGTTGTCAGACGAAATATCTTCACTGTAGGATTTTACATACGGGTTCTGGGTCGCGACTGCGGCGGCACACCTCCTGGAGGGTATCCGTTTGGTGGGCGTCCATACCCCGGCCCTGGGCCCGGGGGTCCCGGTGGGCGCATGGCGCGCGGTTGGGATTGCGGGGCACCGTAAGCCGGCCCTGATTCAGCGGAATGAACGCTGTACGCTCCGTCGTCGTAGGCTGGATCGGCTGGGTAGTCGTGTCTGCTCATACCTCCGTCGCTATATCCGTATGAACCATCTTGCGAGTAGCCTCCGGGCGACGCGATGGAGGGCGAGGGGGCGTTGTTATATTGTCGGAGAGGCGGCGGCCTCTGCGCGGGAGGTTGGGGGTACGACATGGTGCGAAAGAAAAAGCGCACTATTCACAGTCCCACGATCCTGGTTGCGATTCAACGCATGCAAGGAGGGGCTACGGATGATCAGTTGGGTGCGCACGCTGCCAATGGTCGGTCACTTACACAGTCACGAGGTCCAAGCCAATGGAGAATAAAGAGCAAGTGTAAAGACAAAGGAACCTTGGAAGTACGGAGTCGTTAGGGCCGTCACGACTTCTTTAAATTAAAAACCCGTCCGTTGACCCACTGAGGTATTTCGTATGGAAGTTCGGACGCTAACTCCTTTGAGTAATTCTATACTTGCGCGAGTACGGAGTACGATGTGCCAGATCCCACACTATACTAATAGTTCAGAGTCTACCTCCATGCTCTAGGCTATCCCTTCGCCCTTCTCCCTTCTCTCTTTGTCCAGGGATCTACCGATGCCTGACGATCAGGGGATGTGTAACCGCCGACCCCTGCAGGATTGGGGTACCAGAAGTGCTGCCTTGGCGTCACAGAACAAATCCAACGGACATCGGTACATCTGAAACAGAATGACAGTATGACGGGGCTACACTCGAAGTGGAGGAGGTCGGACCAAACGCAGAATCGGAATGGAATCGGAAAAACCGACATGGAACCGATGGAGCCGATATGAGTACATGTCGCAAACGAACGTCACAGGGACCAGTATAGAAGCAGAGTGGACAGTGAGAACAAAAGCAATTGTGGGGAGAGATGAGACATTCCAGAAGTGGTTAGGCTCCTACTGCGCCACATTCTGCGCCACAGCCTCAGCAAATGAGAGCCGCGATGATGTTGATGATCTCTGCATAACCTCGGACTTGCTCATCTCTCATCATGTCTCGCGTCGGATTATGGGCCAAAGTCCTTGCCGGGTAAGTCTCTCTCTCGGTCCGAGAACTCCGCGCTCATCCTCCGTCCAGTGGCCTTCTCATGTGTGTCGGAGGTCCCGCCTTCGTGGAATGGATCCGCCCTACCGACGAAGAACTCCGCAAGCGATACAACCCAGAATTGAGACAGCGCAGTGAGCAGCAGGGCGACCGTCGGGCCCAGGAGTTCGATGACTATGTCGGCAAACTGAAGGAGTGGTCCAAGTCGGACAAATCCAGTATGTCGCGCCGGGGGGCTATTCCCCGAAGTCCTCTCCAAGTGGCGATCAGTGGCTAATGATGGGGGTTTACTTTTTTTCAGTCTGGTATGCCGCACAAGAAGAACGAGACCGGAAGCAGGCCGCGATCGATGCGCAGCGCACACAGGCCAAGGAGCAGACGAAGACACAACGCGAGGAAATGCGAAAGGAGATGCTGGGTGAAAAATGAACGCTACGGTCACTCTGTGATTCTGCCATGATGGCGGGGGTGTATCACCTCTGCAGTACCAGGCGCCTACTCTCGCGCTTGAATTTCCCCCCGTTGACATTTGCGAGTTTTGGAGCCTCAGGCCATCACTCTACATCTGCGTTTGCATTATGATCTCTATTGGGTGTACGATACGTTTGCGAATCTTCTCTCCTATATCTGCCTCGCCAGGCATTGTACAATTACCGACCCCTGGGTCTTTGATATCACAAGAACAAGCATGCAATAATCATTGTCAATTTGGGCATCTATTCTGACCATCATTCCAATTTCTCGACTCTTTTGAGTTTAATGATGGCTGCAACTGCAGGTTCGGAGGCAAGGAACATGCACAATGAGTCATTCTGCTTGGAGGTCGCCTCCAAAGTAGCTTGGGTAGCTTGGGGGACGCCAGACGAGAAACATGATCTCTGTCATCGTGTCTCGAAGATTGAGGCCGAGTCAAGAACCTCGGAATGTATATCATTTCTGGCTTTGGTCAAATTTCTTGAATGAAGCCAAAAAATAGAGTCGGGAAGATCCTTTCCTGTCCGAAATTTGTGTGGATGACAAGCTTCACACTATCAGAGGGAGACCCTTGGACGCTGTAAGGAGATGCTGCAGGTGCAGCTAATTTCTCGGAGCCGTGGACTTGGCGTGGAGGGTATCAATATCGGCAATTTGATTCCAAAACTGAGTTTGGGCCAAGCCACTCATGGGCATCCTGTCTCATTCCAAATGCTCGTATCCTGAACATCGAAGGTTCAAGATAGCACTATGAACAAAGCACCGCCAATAGGCATCAAAACTGCCAAGGCAGCAAAGATGGCCGCACCAGCTTTGTCTCCTGTTGTGATTGCCCGAGTCCGAATATCCTCGTCGATTGCACTACCATTGTCTTCAGCGCCAGACCCGGAATTCCCCTTACTGGTGCCGCCTGTTTTTACAGTCACAGGCGCTTTGACGGTGTGGACGAGATTGGCCTTGAAGATCTCGAGCGCCGCCATCTGTTCGCCAATTCCTGTACTGCTTTTATATTGGGTCCGATCAGTCCAGATCAGTCCACAGGCATTGTTGGGGCCATTGCATTGCTCGGCGGCAGCCATAGAGGATCCTCGGATTTTGGGCTGTAGTCTTTTCTGTGTAAAAGGAGCGAGAGGAATGGTTGCACCCATGAATCGTGCTAGGTAGGCTTTGAAAGATCGAGAGTTGAGATCACACTTCTTCTGTTCACATGGCTGTGACATGATGTCTTCGTTATCCGGGAAGAATGTGTCAAGTCCACTGATCAGGCCTTCTATTCGCTCTCTCCAAATATCGGATCCATCGGTCTGTGGTAAGTCAGTGATGCCTATCTCCAGGGTGGCATGGATATTCCCCAACCCTCGCCGAACACTTACTATGTTATACATGTTTGCTGCACCGTGGAGATACACCGCAGGCAGATATGCATGTTGCAGGATATTGACAATCGTGCAATTGTTCTTGCTATCAGCTCCATCGTGAACATGCCATTCGTCGTCGATGAACCCTGTAGCATTCGTCCAGTCCCAGACTTTATTCGCCCAGTCTGTAAAAGTCTCGTTGCCCGTATACCTCGCCAATCGGGCCGCGACATCAAAGAAACCGCCATTTGAAATGGTGTTCTTATACGAATATCCACCGTTATACTCGAATATCTGCCAGTGCAAGCCGCCACCACAAGTTGCCGTGTCCCATCGCGTAGCCTGCGAGTTGAATACATTCTCCGCAAGCGACAGCCACTGCGGTTGGTCTTTCGGTGGATCGGGGTACCCCAGCTCAGCGGCTGCCATTGCTGCAAAGCCCCAGAAAATCTGATCGTCGTTTCCAAGTGACAGTGTCTGATTCTGCGGCATGTAATTGTTGTCGTCGCCTACTTGGTGAAGCAATGCCTGGGTGGTTATGTTGTTCCAATGATCGTCTCCGGTGTAGTACCAGTATTCGACCATGGCGCCGAACATTGCCCCGGCTTCCCACCAGTAATAGGGGTCTGGGATATTTCCTGGTACATCGCCTGGCTGATCACCAGTATAGTAGTCCATCATACCAGCAGCGGCAGTTCTGGCCGCGGCCTTGATGGAGTCTGGTTATGTTTAGAAGGGCTCTACTGTTCCAAGGTTTAATTCAGCTCAATGCGACACACCGTCATCGTCCAAATCGAGGTCAATAGAGGCCTGCGTTAATTTGGGTCCCAATGTAGACAGAAGGAGAAGACTTTCCCATGGTCGTTTCGAATATCTCATCATGAAAAAACATTCATGAAAGGATGTATATAAGTGGGGGAGAAAATGGATTAGATATGGTCGAGACGTACGTCTGGGTACTAGTAACTTGTTTTTGATCGCTATGGGCTGAGCTGGGGCATCAACGGCCAAGAATGGGGCCGCGGGGTGCTGAACAGCCCTGGATGGGGCGGACGCCAATCTGGGGCCATATGGGGTATATGCAAGCACCCAGCGAGTGAGAGCCTCACATATGGGGGCTGGCGCACCCGGGCCAAAAAATGTGAGAGATCGTCGAAGGATGAAACGCAGGGTCGATAGCTAGGGTTTGTGCCTTGGCGGAAATACCTGTCAAGGTTCTATGGAGGGTACTAGGTATATTGCAGATGAGTGTCCCAGGTGATTGAGGCTTTTGTTTTTAGTTCGATCGTAACTTCGTGGGCAAATGTGCGCATCTTCAGATGCATGGCAAATCGGAGGGCTCCAAGGCTGATAGAAGCTTGAGGTCCTACCTATGGAGACTGGAAGTTGTTTGCTAATTATGCATCTTGCCCAGGTGTTGTGTGCGGGAATTGGAAAATTCCAAGTTGGGGCCGCCAAGGTCAGCCTTGGGGCCACCCTGTTGGGGGCGTTGTAGCTTAGTATAAAGGGTATTGAATACCTTTCAATATAAAGTGTCAGTCTGGCAGGAATTTTCATACGCAATCCTTTCAAAACTTCATTAGATAGAATACATCCATGGCTGAATTGTTGTCCATAATGGGCTACATGTATGCGTCATGGAGGACGCCGCCAGTGGTGATTTGGCATTGGAATGAAGTCGGGTTTCAACAAGCATTTGGAATCATCGGAGAATGTGCATGGATCTAGCTCGGATCATCTACCCGAAGAAATCAGGATAAATCAATAACCTCATGGCTCCAGACGTCGAAGTATGAGATGACATAATGCTGGCGATGTTCCAAGGTTACCTAACACAGCTAAAAATAGACTGCGTTCCTTCAGCAACATGCTTCTCACGGCACAAACAGGCACCCGAATAGAGTACACTCCCGAGGCCCAGTGTCCGGAGTAGAGAATGAAGTATGGCAAGGAAGAGAAACATTTCCAATTTCAATTAATATCTTGGCCATTTGCATATTAAATTGGTTCCACAGTGTTCTACGGCTTTAGTTACTCCTCACTCTCAGCGAAGAGGAATACCTCCAGGGCGTTGACACTGCTGCATGAATAGAGCACACTACGAAGTAAATAACTAGACAATAACGTACCCAGCCACTCTTAAGGCCCAATTGAATCTAATATTAGGCTTTGACCCTCTATACTGGCAATGCCGGAAGCCTGCGCTTTGTGAGACAACGCCACAGCACGTGACATTCGCCCAGCGCCTCAGCGGCAACCTCAACTTGTCAGCTTCAAGACAACAACCGCCAATCCCCAAATCTCATCCGACGCTTGCCGTTCCGCTACATCACAATCTCCAGGTTTTGTGACATCACTCGACTCACAACTCCCTCCTGAATCGATTTCCTCCCCACGGTCTCTCCCACCCAAGGCAACCCCGAGCAACCCCTACTGCTCCTGCAAGGTCGTCTAGACGTCCCCGACATCCCCGACATCTCGCCCACTCCACTCTGAGTCTCCCTCAGACCCTTTCACGACTTTCATAATGGCTCAGAACGAAGCACCCTACGACCCTTACATCCCTTCCGGCTCCAACGGCGCCCAGGGCAACGGACAAAATGGCAACCAGCGCACCGCCGCATTGCAAGCAGTGAGTGGCATCCGGATCCCTTGATGTCTCTTCAGAGGCAATCAAACAATCGCACAGCCATCGGGAACCCGACCATGGCCGGGAACTGCGAAGGCTGGGATCTCCGCATCAGGTCTAACACCTCTCTAGCAAATCGACGACACCGTCGGCGTGATGCGCGAAAACATCAACAAGGTGTCGCAACGTGGTGAGAATCTTGACTCTCTGCAGGACAAGACCGACAACCTGGCTGTCTCGGCCCAGGGCTTCCGCCGCGGCGCCAATCGCGTGCGCAAAGACATGTGGTGGAAGGACATGAAGATGCGCGTGTGCTTGGTAATTTGCGTGATCGTCCTGCTGGTGGTGATTATTGTGCCCTCTGGTAAGCCCCCTCACACCAGACCCTGACCCCAACCGCGAGACCTGATCCTGACCCTCTCTAGTGGTTGCCACCAAGCACTAATGCTCGCGCGACTTACGACTTCTCTTTCGACCATGGACTCTTGAATTTTACTGGGTTTCCTGTAGGGCCGTGGGGCCTCTTTCCTGTTCCCAGCCGTTAATACCTCCTGCTGTTATTTTTTCTGGGCGTGTTTTCAATGACCACATGTTGACCTTTATCATACGAAACGGGATCCGAAGTTGGGTTTATGCGACTCGATGTAAATGATACTTGATGCCGTGTTTTCAATATGCGTATTCGATGCTCTTTCCAATGTGTTACCAGTTCCCAGTAGAATGGACATGTCATATGCAGTAGCTCCAAACCTGGAGAGCGACTAACCTCGGGAGACGCACCTGGGCATCTTTATTTCCCCACGTGGCCTACTAGTACCCTTCACCTGGGCTTATTTCCGAGTCCTGCCCTATGCACTCCAGTGTCTCAGTCTCCATTTACCAGTTCGGAAATTATGACCGGACACGCGTCGGAATGTCACCCAGCCGACGAGAAGAAAAAATCAGATAATGGTGAGAGCTCTTGGCAGCCAGCCGGTGTCCACCCAGATTCGGCAGCAAGCCATTGGGAGCCCTCTCGTGTGTGTCCCGTCGGAAAGAAGCGCAGACAGGGAGAAACTAGATCCAGACAGGGTGGAGGGAAGTGGATAGCGGTGTCCGGCCAGGAACGAGTGAGAGACAGGGACAGGATCAGATAACCTAGACTAGACCGGAGTGGGCTGACGTTTCAAGATTACCGAGTGGACTCTCGGGGTTTACGTTGAGAGAATGGCGCTGGTTCCGAGAAAAGCGCGCAGGGATTTTCGCTTTTTTGCGTTGGCGGTCGTTACTTTACTGCGCGGAAGTGCGATTAAGAAGCAGATTAAGTATACGTGAAATCCGATGAAGTAACGTGATTGGAAGTGCACAAATCACTCAAAAGAAGAGAGCAATAGATCTAACAAAATAGTAATAGAAACAAAAGCCGCACGTAAAAAAGCGATAAATCACTCGCTAGTCTCCACCGCCTTGTACCCCCGTCATTGGGCCCTCCGAGGTCCGGATCCCAGAATTTCTCTTGACTCACCTTTCTTCACCCACGCTACCTTAAAACCCTTTGGGGATACTCTCTTCTGACCGTTGAGGTTGCCGCATGCGCGTTGCCACAATGATGTCCCTTCGCTCCGTCGCGCGGAGAGCTTCGTGCAAGCCCCTCCGTGCCCTCTCCGCACCGACTGCTCTACGAGTCTCGGCTGGCAAGGTCTCCGCCCTCCAGACTCGCACCTACTCTCGTGCCACCGATCCCCACCTCACCGCTACCCGCAGCACCGTCGTGCAGCTGTTGAGCAACATTGGATCCAAGCGCGAGGTCCAGCAGTACCTCTCCCACTTCACCTCCGTCTCCTCCCAGCAATTCGCCGTGATCAAGGTCGGTGGTGCCATTATCACTGAGCACCTGGAGACCCTGTCCTCCGCGCTCGCTTTCCTGAACCATGTCGGTTTGTACCCGATTGTCGTCCACGGAGCGGGTCCCCAGCTCAACCGCATGCTGGAGGCCGCCGGTGTCGAGCCCCAATTCGAGGACGGAATCCGAGTGACAGACGGCAAGACCCTGGCCTTGGCCCGCAAGCTGTTCCTGGAAGAGAACATGAAGCTTGTTGAGGAGCTCGAGCGCATCGGCATCCGTGCGCGCCCCATCACCGCGGGTGTCTTCTCGGCAGACTACCTGGACAAGCCCAAGTACAACCTCGTCGGCAAGATCAACGGTGTCGACAAGGCTCCCATTGAGTCCGCTATCGCCGCGGGTTGCCTGCCTATTCTGACCTCCATGGCGGAGACCTGCGACGGCCAGGTTCTCAATGTCAACGCGGACGTGGCGGCCGGTGAGCTCGCGCGCTCCCTGCAGCCCCTCAAGATTGTCTACCTCGCCGAGAAGGGTGGTCTATTCAACGGTGATACCGGTGAGAAGATCTCCGCTATCAACCTCGATGAGGAGTACGATCACCTCATGAGCCAGTGGTGGGTCCGCCACGGCACTCGTCTGAAGATCAAGGAGATGAAGGATCTCCTCAGCGATCTGCCTCGCTCATCCAGCGTCGCTATTATCCACCCCGCCGATCTCCAGAAGGAGCTGTTCACCGACTCCGGTGCCGGTACCCTGATCCGTCGCGGTAACAAGATCCACGTCAAGACCTCTCTCTCCGAGTTCGAGGACATGAACGCCCTTAAGGAGGTGCTGATCCGTGACCGTGAGGGCCTTGACGCCCGTGCTGTTGTGGACCGTTATGTCGAGGGCATGAAGGAGAAGGACTTCAAGATCTTCTACGATGAGCCCATGGAGGCCCTCGGAGTGGTTCTTCCCCCCCAGCCCGGCTCCCAGATGGCCCACCTGGCTACCTTCACCATCACCAAGTCTGGATGGTTGACCAACGTTGCCGACAATGTCTTCGCCAGCATCAAGAAGGACTTCCCCAAGCTCGCCTGGACTGTTAAGGAGGACGACGAGAACCTGACCTGGTTCTTCGACAAGGCTGACGGCAGCTTGAGCCGCGATGGCCAGGTTCTCTTCTGGTACGGCGCCGAGAACGGCGAAGAGGTTAAGCAGCTCGTCCAGGAGTTCAACCAGCATGGTCGTCAGATGTTCGGCGACATCAACCTCGAGTCCCGTCTCCACCGCGCCGCTGAGGCCGCCGCTAACATCGGCAAGGGCTTCGGTGCCAGTGGTGCCTCCGCCGAGCAGAAGCGCGGTTTCTCCACCGTCACCAACGCTCTGCGCATGAACCGCACCCGCCCCGCCGTCGCGGTCAACGCCTTCCGTTCCTACTCCACCACCAACCCTAACCCACCCCTTGGAGAGAAGAACAACTCCAACACCCGCCCCGCCAAGGTCGCTCTCATCGGTGCCCGTGGCTACACTGGCCAGGCTCTGATCAACCTGCTCAACGCCCACCCCAACATGGATCTCCGCCACGTCTCCTCCCGCGAGCTGGCAGGAAAGAAGCTCCAGGGATACGAGAAGCGCGAGATCATCTACGAGAACCTCAGCCCCGAGGACGTTCGCAAGATGTCCGCCAACGGCGACATTGACTGCTGGGTGATGGCTCTGCCTAACGGTATCTGCAAGCCTTTCGTCGATGCCGTCGACGAGGGTGCCAAGGAGGGCAACGTTATCGTTGACCTCAGTGCCGACTACCGTTTCGATCCCAAGTGGACTTACGGTCTGCCCGAGCTGGTCGAGCGCTCCAAGATCGCCCAGGCTACCCGTATTGCCAACCCCGGCTGCTACGCCACCGCGGCCCAGCTCGGAATTGCTCCCCTTGTTCCTTTCCTCGGCGGCCAGCCCACCACTTTCGGTGTCTCTGGATACTCTGGTGCTGGCACCAAGCCCAGCCCCAAGAACGACGTGCAGTTCTTGACCAACAACCTCATCCCCTACAGTCTGACCGATCACATCCACGAGCGTGAGATCAGCGCTCAGCTGGGTACATCCATCGCCTTCATCCCTCACGTCGCCGTCTGGTTCCAGGGAATTTCTGTAAGTTTCATCCTGTATTTCCTCGTACGTTGCTAATGATTTTTCTAGCACTCCATCAGCATCCCCCTGAAGCAAAAGATGACCTCCCGCGACATCCGCAACCTCTACCAGGATCGCTACGCCGGCGAGAAGCTGGTCAAGATCGTTGGCGAGGCCCCTCTCGTCAAGGACATTGCCGGTCGCCACGGCGTTGAGATCGGTGGATTCGCCGTCCACTCCAGCGGCGAGCGTGTTGTCGTCTGCGCTACCATCGACAACCTGCTCAAGGGTGCCGCCACTCAGTGCTTGCGTAAGTTTGCCTTGGTCCCTTGTGCCGAATCTCGCTAACCTTCGCAGAAAACATGAACCTGGCCCTGGGCTACTCCGAGTATGAGGGAATTCCCCTTGACTAAGCTTCTTTAAGTAGCTTTGTGTTTGTGTACTTGCATGTCTTCTGTCTCATACCCTGCACATTATGAATCACATGGGTTAGAGATTTGGTTAATGTCTGGGTCTTCCATAGTTGATTTCGTCTAAATCTGTGTCAAAAGAGTTCGATTTCTGGTTTCAAGATTTCCTTTCCAATATTCTCTGTTTGGTCCTTCCATTAGAAGCTTGAAGATACGTTGATCTCGAGGTCATTGTGCAGCGATCAAGCCCGTTCAAGAAACAATATCGTGCGTGCTCCGCCTGAAGTTGGCTTGTATGGGATGTAGTCCCGGGACTCTGGTCCTCAACCTCCCCATGAATGCTCAACTCTCCACGCACTTCTTTCTCTCTCTCTCTCTCTCTCTCTCTCTCTCTCTCTCTCTCTCTCTCTCTCTCTCTCTCCTCATCTCCTCATCTCCGCACACGAGCCTAAACTGAAAAGCGAAGAACACTCTGCAAAAAAGCATCGAGACTCGGGTGACTACAGTCACTTGAGTCTACATTGCAAGGATGTTTTACAGTCACGAAAGTATGCACTCGAGATCCCAGCCCTGCGGGCAAGATTGTGAGGCTGATCAACTCTGTTTTTCTAGTCCTCACATCCCCAGAACATGGTGTCGCAACCATCTGGTAAAAGCACCCAAGCCAAGATCCTCACACGGTGCTGACCACCTCTAGGCTCGTAGCCACCCTAGGCTCCCGCTCCGTCTCTAGACGACTAAACCGAAAGACAATCCAAGATGTGGACGTTCCAAACGCCTGTAGGGTCATCATCAATCCGGAGGCACCAATGGCCCTACGACTCCAAGGAAGTCTACTGTAAGTTCAAAATCCGTATGAGCGACCATCTGGCTCACGAGAACCAGATACGGCGTCTCCCGAGTCTACAGCCAGCAGTGCGGATATACCCTGCTGGACACGCAAGCCATGCACGACAAGATGGTCACTCATTTGAGAATTATTCCGGGGACTGGTATCGATCCTACTGCCGGAAAAGCCAAGTGAGTCGTCGATCGTCAATATATCGTCTTGTCCTTCTTGCTCACAATTTCAGACCGAGTACCTTAATCCTGCCATACGACCCGTCATTCCTTCCTGAGACTGGCCTCCCGGGCTTGGAGCTAAATATGTCACATTTCGCTTCTGCTGATGACAGTTCCCAGTTCAGTAGTCTGTTCAGCAGATCGCCGGCCCATAGCTTGACGGCCATATCGCAGCTTTCGAGCCTGCAGCTTGATATTCCTTCGGATGGTGGTATTGGCGAAGGTAGTATCATGGGGTTCGAGGATCACCCGGTAAGGAAGGATGTCGCCGTTGAGATTGCAGCGCTTGGACCTGAAGAGGGTGGCCTTCTCCAGCCGGACTTTGAATTTGACGAAGATGGGAATCTCATTGAGCTTGGAGGAAGAGCGATTTCTCCTCAGAAGAATACGAAGGCTCAAGCGCAGAGAGAGGACCTGTTCAAGCACCATACTCGACAAGACCAGCTTTGGGACGATCAAGTGAGTTTTGAAAAAGCTTTGAGTTCAAATCCAGCTAACACGATGTTAGATGCCTGTTGATGAGCCGATCAATATTCTTGAAGCTGACCAGATGGAGATCGATAATCACATCGCACAACCTGATGTCGACGATGTACCTTGCCCAGTCGAGGAAGTCAACATTCAGCCAGCACGAATGCGTCGCATCCGACACCCAAAGGTCATCATCACCGATGAAGCTACATCCCTGCGCAACATGGAATTAGGCAAGTGGAACACTGAATACGCGGCAAATATGGTCGAGGCACGAAATCAAAGGGACCAGAACAAAATCCCAGCCATGTCGAAGAAGAACGCCGCATTCTGGGTCTTCGGACAAGGAATCGGCTCTGTCGGAGTCGGTCTAGGTGTGCACAGTGAGCCACACCCATTGAAAGCATTCTCAGGGAAGGAGCTACTCGACGCCGTCTGCAGCACCGAAAGACACAAGCGAAAGCGTCTCAATGAAAGCGAGAACCCGGATGAACGCCACGTCCGCACCAGAGAGGACGAGCTAAGCCGCGAAAACATCGACCGACTCAACATGGACGTCGAAATCGGTCGTGACGCACCCTCAAGCCTTCTAGACGACCGCTCCTCCCAAATGCCATGGAATATCACCGCCTCCATCCAAAGCTCCCTCCGAGCCCGCCGTTACGGAAGCGTCAGCGAAATGTCCTCTCGCAAAGGCCGCCGCAGCCGTCTTCCAAGTGCCAGTCCACTAGCTGGCCGCAACTACCGAGACATCCAGGACTTTAACTTGGACTTCGGCGACGACCTCGATCTCACCCGATATCTGGAAGGGGAGCTCGCGACAGACCGGGGAAACATCAGTTCCATCTCTCCCGGTGTACGCTCCGCACTGGAGAATGCCAAGGCGACGCTCGATAAGGAGAGTTTGAATTTCTTTGAATTTATGAAATCCAAGATGGGTATGGAGAATGGAGATGCTCTGCGGAGTAACCTGGCAAGTCCGGTTGTTGCTCGACTGGAGACTATCACGTTTGCGAGTCTGATGCCGCCGGTTGTTACGACGCGTGCTGTGGCGACGCAGGCGTTGGTCAATTTGCTTACGTTGGCTACTAAGGGAGTGATTCGGGTTCACCAGGATCGGGATGGTGGTGATGAATGGGGATCTGGAGATATGTTCGGGGAGATTCACCTGAAATTTACGGGGATCTGAGGCATACGCAAAGGTTCATTCTTTATTTCTCAATGGCACTATTCTTAGGTACGCATACCCATAATCCCAGATCTGAATCAATCATGAAATCATTATTCCAAGTTTATCTGGGCAGCACTACGTAGGTCCTACGCTTGGATACTACTTAGCTACGGAGTACACAAGTCTTCGGCCTGAGCACTCCATCCGATGAGTCTATTTTTCACCGTTTCAGGAATTGTGGGTTGCAAATATAATCACTCATCTTCTAATCTTCAGATATTCAACGATAATACTTGGGTGGCTGGTGTTTTCTAACGGCTCTTGATCTTGATGTACCTTAGCCCTAGAGTCTCGTGAAACAGCCAGTAGGCTGATTATCCAAATTGTGAGTGATGGCACCGGGAATCATATCAGATCATCAAATATACACATGGACATGCTCAGGATTCACTGCCTGACTACATGATGTTCGTAAAGAAAATATAGTATTGTGTATGGAGTACCTGACGGGGAGGTGACGGGTATATGATACTGTCGTAGTAACAGTAATAAATACATCAGGATATTGAACCTTGGAACAGTAACGAAACGACCCGTACCTATACTTTGGACGCGCTGTATATCAGACACACCCGGTCAACATCATATTTATGGCATTCGAGCTCTTCATTTCTGCCTGTGCGAGACTTCGACACGAAAATCTCCACCAAGCCCAATCATAGCAAACCCCGACCCGTTCGCTAAAGCCGATGTCCCAGAGCATTTGATGCCTCTCGGGGATTGGGTGAGGCATGCATGGCTTAACAAGAGTTCGATATGGATGGTTTGACTGATGGTGCGTCCATTTATGAAGAGAAATTATTGGTTTGGGGATCATAAACTCTTACATGAACCTTCAAGGCTGAGCGCTGAGAGTCCAAACTGCTGTGTCACGTGGCTACTTACTCATCATTTCTTTCGCGGGTTTACTTGCGTAGTGTATAACGCGAGCTTTGGATGATCACGCGTCATCAGTAAATTTAATGAACAGCTTGAGGGCCAATCAATGCTGATGAGCTTTCTTTAGGTTACGCTGTCGACCATTGAATTGCATTCAATCCCGAGGTCAGAGATCACCGTATCACGATGTCTCAGTATCTCACTGGTGTATCTGTGTGTCAATTGGCAGTGGAATCTCCTTTCGTAGAGAGCTAACGGAGTAATTACACCAGACCCATAGTATTTCTTCACTGTCTTCATTTTATTGACGAGATGAGAGTAAATGATATCGAATACAGAGTGACGAGTGTAAAATTGAAGTGGGGTGCTGAGTCAGATACACGTGACCGGATACCCGCTGGTAACTTCAAATCCGCATGATTATACCAAACCTATACGACTTCACGCTCACAACCAGCCTGAGATCCCCCCCGAAAAGCCTCGTAACCATGGGCAGAACCGTTGATCAGGAAGTGCATGCCGCTTTCGTCGAGTTTCGAGCGAAGGAAGATGACAAAGTAAGTTCGAACGCCCTTTCCAAACCCTCGTACACGTGTGTTATGGTGCTAATACAGGAAACGCGTATTTCAGTGCCTTTCAGTTCAATGTATTTACTGCCAGCAAATCCGCGCGAAGAATACCTCGCGACAGAAACAACATCTCCTTGAATGCCCTGGCCTGCGCGGCCATCCTAACGCGCCGCAACCGTCTCAGCCCACCCAGGCAGCGCCCAACGGAATCGGACCTCCCAATGGATACCCCGGCACCCCGAATGGCCCAACAGCCACCCCATCAGGCCCAGCGGGCCCTGGTACAATCGGAACCCCGAATGGCACGCTGATGACCAACGGTGTCAATCCGCATGCCACCCCATTGCAAGCGCCGCTGCAGGCTCTCCAGAATCGCGCCGCGATGGCGACTCCCGTGCCGCCAACCGGTCCCCCCTCAGCACCACCGAGTGCCGCCCCGTCCCGCCCAACACCCAAACCCAAATCCAAGAACTCGACCTCGAGTCTGCCCGCGCCTCCCCTCGACGACGTACATGCTGCGTGAGTATCTTTCCTGCCCCCCGAGCGCAAACCCTGCTGACCATTTTAGATTCGGTAAGATCACCCGCCGTCGGGTCTGTTTCTCGATACTAACCTATAATCTCCAGTCGAATTCCGCGCCAAAGAAGAAGATAAGTGCTTGTCTGTACAATGCATCTACTGCCAACAAGTGCGCGCAAAGAATACAAGTCGTCAGCGCCAACATCTGCTCGAATGTCCAACCTACTTGAGCGTGATGAAAGATTCGATCCCCGCCAACAACCTGCTACACACGTTCCCTGAAGGAGACTTAGCGCGATCGCTTCAGATCCCAGCGCCAACACTGGAACTGGACTTCCGCATGAGCATCAAAATGAACCCGAAGGTCTCCGTCGGCCCTGGAATCTGGGGTCAGCGCGAATGGGTTTCCTTCATCGGTGGTCAGTGGGCCGGCCGGTGGGGCAAGGGAATTGTCCTGGTAAGAATCATTCACACGTTTGTCGCATGATGCCTTCTAACTTCTTACAGCCCGGAGGTCAAGATACCCAGCTTGTGACCAAGGACTCAACTACGAACCTACGCGCCAGTTACATCCTTCAAACCGTCGACGAACAGCCTGCGTTTATCATTGTTCGCACGGAAGGCTGGCTGACCGGCGCGAAGGATGTTCTTGAAAAGGTCATCGATTCCAACATGGCGGACGGCGTCAACCCGGGCAGCTACAAGTACCGAATGACCCTGTCCATGGAAACTGGCGACGACCGGTACACCTTCTTGAACACACTGATGTGGATCGGCAGCGGGTGCCGCCGAGGACATGAAGGTAAATCCAGCCACTTCTCTTACCATTGCATCATGGACTAACTCTCCTGCTAGTGATCTTCGACTCCTTCCGTGTCAATTAAGTTGACACATGATCAACCCATGATATCTTATCCGTTATTCAGCGAGTTCATGCTTCCTAACTTCGACTTCAAACGCTGGGAAAACGGTGTTTTTCTTTGCCCTCTTTTGCGGCGCAACGTTAATGATTCGCTTGCCGAGGTGCTCTTCGACTCTTTGATTTGATGCACCGGTTGATTTTCTTATGTGCCCCCGACCACCCCAGCTGATGATGAGCTCTTTGGTGCCTTTGCTTCCTTTGCTTTCGTGTGAAACTATTCCCACCCTTCTTTCTGATGTACTTCTTTCGCGGCCGTCTTGATCGGCATGGCCCAGTTGGGTATTCTTTCTGCATTTTATCTTTATCTTGCTTTTGATATCAGCTCGGTCTTCGTTTTGCTCAAAACATTTGCGTTTCCATATTTTTCGTAGGGTCCCAGGTTGCTCGTAGTTGAACCGGGGGACTCACCTAGATGATTCCAACCTTGGAAAGTTGTGCCTGATTTTTGTAAAGATAATTTCAGGTCGCCTGTAATTTGCTATTGATACTCAGGTATTTCGCTGATTCTGGCCTGATTCCATGGATCGTCGAAACGAAGTAGAAATAAAGTTGTTTGGTCATTTTCGGTCAGAATATATAACCCGCGTCATTTACACAGTATACATACAGGTACCAAACCAGAACTTGGAACGTGGGAAACTTTTCAAGATCGACCGGTATAATTCCAGGTCGATGATACTCCTTGCATTAACTTGGAAGTCTTTTTACTATATCGCCAGGATTACCTAGTATGGATATGGAGGGTCCAAGGTTGCCGATGGAAGACAGGAATACCAGCAGTACCGCAGTATACAATTCAAAGTAAATCATATGGCAACAAGAGCTCAGTCTCCGACATGTCCAGCATGCTAGCAAAGCTTTCCTCACCCGTGAAGGCAAAGTCGGTGTTATCCCAAGACATAAATAAGGGGTTCACCGGGTATGCGGTGTCCGCGGGGTCCGCCAGTAATTGCATGTTCCGCTCGTCGCCGAAGAACCCCTGTGACAGACCCAGGAAGTTCTGGAATAATGTGCGCAATTGGACAAGAGGGTAACTGATTCCTGTCTGGGTCAGACAGTCTGCAATGGATTTCATGAGATTGAAATCGCCGATATCGGATGTCGCGACGACATTGCAGAAGAGGACCAGGTATGCTGTGGCGGGGTATAGTAGGATTGTCCTATGAGATGTTAGAGGTGTTCTCTGGTTCTAATCTTGGAGATGTTGTACTGACCAGTTTAAGAAGCTGACGGCCGTTTGCTTCTCTGCTGTGTGACACATGGAGACCAAGGCAGAGAGCTCCTGGCGTGCTGATTGGAGATACCCGTCTGTCGAGCGAGGTGGTTGGTCCGAGTCGGTTTGGAGTTGGTAGAGAATCCCAGTCATCACGGATTGATACGCGAATCTAAGGGCTGACATTTCGGTCTGGCGATGGAGTCCTTTCCATTCCGACGAGAGGGTATCGAGCTGGGATCATCAGTAAAAGTGGGAATAGAAACAAGAGGGACAATTCACCTGGTTCAAACGCTGTTCAATGCTTTGCATTTGTAAGAGCATGTATTCTCCAGTGTCATATAGAGATGAAGCATGGTGAGCTGATGAGTCCGGAAGATAGGACACCACCGTGTCTTGAACACGAGCCAGATCCAGATAGATCAAGAGAAACTCGGCGATGGGCGGGAAATGGGGGTATAAATCGGCGAACGTGGGTGGGAGATGAACGTCGAGCAAACATCGCGAAGTTCGTACTTTATAAGCATGGGTTCGGTCCAGGTTGTAGCACCAGAGGAAGCAGAAAAACTCCTCTTCGGTCGCGTGTCCACGCAACACTTTACCTGGAAGATCGAGATCCGTGCAGGTTTTACAGGCAGCCTTGGTGAGGTCGCCGCTCAGTCCGACATCGCCGGATCCTTGGTGGAGGAATACCTAGGCAGGGTCAGTGGGTTGGGTTGAGCGACAGATCGGGTTGACTTACTCCACTTAGAATTGCCTGCAGTAGTCCAAGCGAGGGTGGAACCAGGAGAGGTATCTGCTTCAATGCCGTCTGAGCAGCTGTTCGATACTCCATCGCATTCTTTCTGAGCTCAATAGCGATATCTTGGTCGTCTTCAAGGTTGATCGTGGTCGTGAGGAACTTGTAGGCCACGGCATTGACACACACTGTATATATGATTGACTCGTTTTGCGAAGCCTTGTGACCAAGAAGTGAGAATCCCATGTGCTTCAAAGTGCTCGTTGAGATGTGTCTGAAGAAGTCGGCAACGAATGTCCCAAACCTGTCGGTCGGGATATCTACAGAAGTTTAAGATTGAGCTTTCCCTCGAGGAGCATTGCCACGGACATACCTTTTAACATCCATACAAGAAATTCAGTAGGCGGAATTCGAGGCGATCCGGCGCCTTGATTGCCGCCCTGGCTATCTTGCACTATGAAGCGTGAGTTGTCGGACAATAAGTTCATGACCGACAACGCGGTTTCAAGCACACCGCGTCTATCCAGAGTGAGCCCCGGTAGTTGTCGCAATTGGCGCTGAATAGTTGACTGCGCATCATAAACCGGATCATATAGAATGTGGGCTTTGGAGGCAATCAGCTCATTTGCTTGATATGACCTCGCCCGAGAAACCGGTACAAACGGCACCATCTCATTTGGCGTATTCACTAGCTCATCGAATTCGGAATTTGGAATCGCTGGCCCAGCAAGCCGAGAGGGAGCAGGACTCGAGATCTCCTGACGGCGTTTGCCTGTGCATCTACGCTTTGTCGCTCGCTGGCGATTACAGGGGATTTCTGCATCCTGGCAGTTTCCACAAGGATCTTTTCTATCGCAACGGACCTGCAATGTGATCAGTAATGGTCATTCAGGGAAGGTGCAGGTCATACCTTGCGTGAGTGACACAGATCACACTGCAGTACATGTTAGCGGGAACGGGCTTATTGTCTCGCATAGAGTCATACCACCGATAAAGTGCCCCGGGCACTCGAAGTAAGCTCATTCATCATTTGGAGGTTGCAAGGCGAAAGCCATGCACTTGTATAATATGGGGCACATCGAAAGTGGACCCTTTTAAATAAAAATCCGTTTTTTTGAAAAAATTCAGACGTTCGCCAAGAGAACTCAGAGACAACCAGTATTGATCGGCTTGGCGGGTTTCATCAACTTCTTGGCATCGGTAGGCATTCATGTTCTCCATTACCGGACTACGGCTCTAACCGCCATAACGCCCCGCTGAATACAGAGTACGGAGTACTTGGTACATGAATTAGTCCCGGCGTTTTGTACCGGCTTTGGACCTTTGCAGCTTCGGCAATTGACCTGTCTGAGGGAACTTCAGCTTCATCAAGCACAGCCTTAAACTAGAATAGAAATCGGTGTTCTGCAAGTTCAATCGTGCGACCCCTGAGCTCGGGACTTTCGGGGCCTCCGCTTCGCTATTGAGCTTAGCAGGCTTAGTATCCGCTTTGGAAAAAGGGTAAGTCCCGTCCGTGAGCAACTGTGAGAAAGGTTCGTGGGTCTATCGAATTAATTATCAGTAATTTACTTCGTAGTGCTTGCTAAATCCCTATAGACCATGAGTCATGGATACCGGTAAACCCGTGGACTAATATAACAATGCTGCATTTTCAAAGTTGCATGAGTCGGCAAAGATACGATTTCAATGAACAAAATCTCAGTGGCGAAAGGACCGCCGTGATTTGGCATTGAGCGAAGGTTGCCCTAGATTTAGGTGCTAGTCGTTAAGGCGCAGGCATGATCGCTGCGTTGGCTAAGCCCCATGCCCGGGCCCCGGGGAAAATTCATTTTGACCAAGTCCGAAAATTCCGAGAAATGGCCCTCAACTGGGCCCTTATTTACTAGTAAAAATGGCCTGCACGGACCAGCTCCATAGTAAAAAGTTCCCCACCAGCACTTCCCAGACACATTTACTGTTGCATGCCTTTTTATCCCCCAACAATGGTCGGTGAGTATGCGTAGAAGATATTTTAGGTGAAGAACCTAGAACTAGAATGGGCTTGATGGCGATGAGCCGTGTAGTTGCTTTAATTAGCCCACAGCCACATTCACAGACACCCTTTCATGGGTCGTAACATAGTTTAGATATTTGTATTTACCGACTCCGTATCTAGGGTATACGGTCCGTACCGGATACTCATACCCATTTTCTGCATACGAGAGCGGGCATACAAGATCCACGGGATGGTGATACACTCGGAATTACTGCCTTATGAAAGAGATCGATCAATTCCAAGCTTGATGCATGACGTACGGAGAACAAGAATGATAATTGATTATTATTATATTGCATTCTAAACATAGACGTATACCTCCGCTACCTTATTCCTATAAATACCACCGATGTAGTTTGGAACGGAGTGAGCGCGTACGTACGCCATTGCGGTGCCCGCGGGCCCCGATCAAGTAGGCCGCAGCACACCTAGAGATGAAACTATCTCCTAGAAAAACAACACAAAACTCCCGTCTTCGCCAAGAAATAGAGTGCCCCGATGAATCGGAATATAGAAAGACCTGAAGTCCCCCACAGAATGACTTTGAAATACCACGCCGTACGAGTTGTAGAAGTGGACTATGGTCATTAGTCAATAGAAACAGATATCATGGATCAAGAACGTAGAACTCACCGTCAAACAAAGTCTGGATATGCTCATGTTGTTAATACACAACGCTAGCAAACCATTGCTGAAAGTCCAGAGCAAGACCAAATTGGTCCGGAATGCCTTGTATGAGTCGTCAAGAGCGACTCCCTCATTGTCTTCTGGTTCCTTCCAAGGAGTCAAAGCTCGCTTCACAGTAGAAGCGAATTGCTCATCGATATCGATTTGCGGCTTATCCAACTCCTCCACGAAGGGCGTCTCGTCTTCTTTCTTTGTTTGTGCTGACGGAAGTTTTTCCTGTGCATCAGATCCTTTCGTTCCCCACGACACATCATGCCAGTTGCAGAATGCGTAAACCATGAGAACGTTGATTGTAGACGGCATCCCGAGGAAATAAGCCCATGATGAAGTGAGCATGTGCCATGGATCCGCATAGAGAATACTTGCAATGAAGTAGATTCCGTAGGTTGAGACCAGAGCGACTAGAACAATGCCGCCGGTTGAGCCAATGAAGCCGGAAACCAGGGCGGAGAACCCATGGTCGAAATCGAATTGAAGATTCTCAGGGGTCAGTGCCTGTGCAACGAGGTAGAATGATAGAACAAGCAGGTAGGCCTGGACCACTGAGAAGTAGAGGAATGAAAGTGTATACAGAAATTTAGATCTATTTGTCGACGTCAGCGAGGCATCAATCTGCGAGGTGTGAAACATACCCTTTGGGTCGATTGCCGAGGGCAAGGATGAATTGAAGCATGAGAAAAGCCAGATACCCGACCTTGAGCAGGTTATTCACAATAGGTGTTGCGTCGTTGCCAAACGGCCAGCCGTGGAACTTGTTAGATCCACTCGGCGTTCCCACGATATCCAGAATGACCGAACTTGTAAGCCAGTACGATGCTAACGGAGGAGTCAGTCAATGAACCTTACGGGATCCGTATGTAGCCCATAAAGTAGAACCCACGTACCTAGCGAAAACCATGTCATGATCAACTGGCAAATGTTATAGACCAATTGAACATGGAGAGCAAACAAACGAAAGATCCCATGTCCACTCTTGTATATGCGGTTGAAATGAATGACCGAATAGAGAGATGCAGCAAAGGAGCCATTCAGCCAACGTCGCCGTTGACTTAAGAACTCCGCTGGTAATTCAGGAACATCCGTCTCTCCTTTCGACGGTTTCACATATGTCAGACGCCATTGGCTACCCGCCTTAGCAACCAATTCAAAGCACAAAATGCGATCTTCAGCAAGAAACATATTCTTTTTGAAGATATTCATCCCATCAATACCCTTCTTACCCAACTTCGCCGAAAGCGTATGGTCGCCATGGAAATACTGCTCCAGTGGCCGGCCCATAATCGCACGGTATCGATAGGCCGAAAATGCACCGGGAAGCACACTGACATATCCAAAACTGCTTTCCAAGGGTTTATCCAAAATATTCGAGATTTTGTATTCGAAATTCTGAGCCGCGACCAATGGATTCAAGAGCTTCTTCCATCGATGACCCAGAAGTGCATGGATCTCGCCGCAAGCCCCGCCGAGGTTTTTGTCGTTGTAGAATGCCTGCCAGAGGGCGAGTAGCGACTTCGGCCCTGGCCTTGTACCTGCGTCGATCAGGATGCAGATTTCGGGGTTCAAAATGCGACCGAATGCGTTGAATAGCCATCGATGTGAGTTGATTTTCTTGGTGTTTTTGTTTTTGAGACAAAACATCATCTGCACGGGGGGTAGATTCATCGGGTTGTCTTTGTACGGGCGCACTAGCTCTTGCTTGGGCGTGATCGATAACTGTGTAGTATATTCAAACTGGAATAGTTAGTTGAGCTGTCCGTCATTAGAGAATGCGACTCACAATATGCGCAACAGTCTCCCTTCCATCCACATCCTGCTTCATCACACCATCTTGGAACACCCCAATAGTTGCCAGAACGTCCAGGGTGTTCTTATCGCATGGGTCTATCCCATCAAAAACAAGGCAGACAACGATCTTCTGCCAGGCGGGTCCTCCTCTATTCCAAAATTCCGTTTTTTTGAGATTGACGATATCTCTGACGTTTTGCATGACTCCATGCAGGGTTCTTGCTGTGAGGACCTTGTCCTCGTTGTAGTACGTGATCGCGATGAGAAGCTCGGTGTGTCTGTTGTACATCGAAGGTCGCAGGTTGTAGCCATTCCGTAGCGTAAACTCATCCGGGTCGCAGGTTGCGGCGGTATCTGAGGGGAAATCAGCAGTGGTCTTTGGAGTAGGCGCCTCTCAGATCTCTTCACTCACACCTCATTTGCGTAAATTCCTCCGAAAGCTCTCCTCCCGCGTCTCTGTATTCCGGTTGGATCGCATTGCGAATGGGACTTGGGACTGGGTAATTGACACTCAACACTGATCCTTGTACCAGTTTGATCCGTCGCGTCGGATACCGGCGTATACTGCTGCCTTTGTGTTGTGGTGCCGAGTCTCTTGACGAAGCGACAGCGGAGCCTCGATTAGACAAATTTTGTAATTTGAATTGGTCGGGTATATCCTGCGACTCCATGAAGTCGGCACCGGGGCCCTGGTTTGTCAGAGAAGTAAGGCTGTAAGATCTCTCCAATTCTCTGGAAGGAATCGGGTCGGCGAAAGGACTCTGAGACGGCGCGAACGTATTTCCTGGATCCAGGAGGGAAATAGTCTGCTCATGTACGGGTTGTGGGTTCTGGTTGATACCGAGACTGTCAGCTCGGCTTGCCGCATATCGGGAGATCGAATAATTTCCATTGCACACACTTACCCGCTGCGAGTACACGTTCATGCCGTCGGTTTCCTCGCTGTGTCGTGCATACTCAAACGAGTATGGCCGCTGATATGAGGAACCCATGATTTAGCAACTCTCAACGTGGGACCTGTTTGAAGGGTACTTGAGCTGTGAGTCCGAACTGCAATCCCTGGAACCAAGCCAGTTCAAATTGATAGAAGTTGCAGTATGACAGGCTGTGTGCTTCAGGATCATTTTTGAACAGCGCATCCCATGGTAGAATCTCTAAAACGGAGCACAACCCACACACTGTTCACGCTCATTTTCCTTAGAAGCGTTGGTCGAAGTATAGAAGCCGGCTATTTTAAGCCGGTGCTCCACACCATGGCTAGTACTGAGCCCCTGGCCAATGAGAGTGTATACATTCGTTTTTAGCGTGCGGCTAAAACGATCTTTAATTCCAGCCAATGAGGGAAGAAATTAAAACGCAAAGATCAAACTATTAAGGGTACAGTGTTGAGTCGCTTGGGTCCCGACTAAAAATATTATTCCGCGAAAGTCCACGAGGGACAGATTTTTAACTGCGCCGAGACCTGGAGCCAGATGTGAGACAACGTGGTCAAGACTCATATCTGCCATACCAAGTGACGATCATAGTGGTTAAATGAGATTGAAGAACCTTTCAAACTTTAGATATCGACAGCATTCAGCAAAGTTCAGTGTGCCCCCTCATCCTTGAAGATCATCTCCCATGCTATCTAAGCTGAGCTCAGCCTGGCTCCCACGAGCACCGATGGAAGTTGAATTGAAGTTGAATCAAGAAGATTCGATCTATACCCCTCGGGATACGATTTCAGGCGAAGTGATCTTACACAGTGATTCAGCGGCCGATTTGTCGACGGTGGTTCTAAAGTTGTCGGGAACCGCAATCTCCAGACTCAGTCACAACAGCCGCACAGAAACTCATCAGGTGGGTGCGAGATTGAACTTTTTGAAGTGAAGGGTTTCTCACGTGAAAGCTTCCAGATTTTCAAAAAGTGCCAGCGGATTTTCCCTCCAGATGTATTGATCAAAGAGAAAGGCTCGAGTGTAACCATTGGGAGTGGAAACTGTACCCTGCCATTCTCTATCACAGTCGGTTCAACCAAATCTCTTCACGAAAGGCATATAACTGACTAGAAACATTCAGGTGCCTCAAGTTACTGAATGCTACAAGACTGATCATTGGTCAAGCAAATCAGATTTCACGTGCGCAAACATTGGCCGCTGGAGAACGCAAAAGGAGCACTTGATGAGGAAGTCTCCCCCGTCAACTGGCGACTCGGACTCTATTGCAGAAATTAAATATTCACTAACCGTGTCTGTCACGGGGAGAAGTGTGGTGAAGAAGGTAAGAGCAGACCATTCAGTACACCATGACGCCTGAAAATCCGACATGCTAATGTTACAAAGACACGCGATGTTCAATTCAAGTACTTGTCCGACCCACTACCTCAGCAGAAACCACTAAAGCAAGCGTGTGAGCTTACTGTCAACCCACATATTGTCGCTGGATTCCCGTTGTCATTTCGAATCAACGCCGAGCTTCTAAATGGGCCATGTCTTCTCCTCAACCAGTCAATACCTCTCAAGGTTGACATCATGAAGCAAGGAGATGTGCATTGTGGTATCATACTGAGCGAGTTCCAGACTATGCTGGTTGAAAAAACACAAGTCAAAGCTCAAGGCATCAACGAGTCAGCAACTAGCACGTGGATTGTGCAAAGTACAGCAAATATGAACTACCCAGTCTCACTCGCAAACAGCCCGAGTGGAACAGTTTCAACACTGCGCGATGTCATCTATTGCAATCACCCACTGCCTCCGGGGCTGACTTCCAGCTTTGAGGTCTGCAATATCAAGCGAACGTACAGATTGTTTGTGAGGCTTGGCTTTCTGATTGGTGACCAAAAGGTGATGATCCCGACTCTTCTATCCATATATTGGACTTTGGCTAACTTGCTGTTTTTGCAATCCAGACCCAGAGGATCATTCATGAATTTGATTTTCCGGTCTATGTGATGGGTTCGGCGTCGCTTATTCCAGTATGACTTTAGTCCGTTGTTCCAAGGCTGTCAATTTTGTGTCAAAATTTTGAATTTGTATGTATTTAGCTAAAATGTTATAGATACCCTGAACAATCTTTCACAAAATTGTGTTCAGTATAGACTTTAGATGTCAACTCCGTAGTGTAAACCTAGAAAGAACATTTGATGTTGCCCAGGCTTATGAGAAAAGTTTTTCAATTCATATCTCCGTTGCTAGTACGGATTACTGCGTATGATACATTATTTTGACACAGCTCGACTCGGTGAGTGGGGAAGGCCTCAGTAGGTGACCTTTGGGCCAAATTACGGTGGGGCCGTTATAACCCAACCTCACGGAGTAGGCTGATTAGACCTCCACGGAGAAACCACCTAGAACTTTGGAAAGTTTCAGCTACTGTTTGAGTAAAATGAGAACAAAGTTTTCGAGTCTCAATAGTCGTATTCCCTCTCTCTTGGCATTGAATTTTCATTTTAGCGAGGGAACGCCGACAAACCCGGCTAAAAATAGCCGGGTCGACACGTCCAATCATCGGTCGCCATACAGCTCATCTATAAAGATTCATAAAGAGTCAATTTTGAGCTGCCATTGAATCAAGCCACTCGTTTAAATTTGCAGATTCATTTCCCTTCTTTTTGTGCTCCAGGCCAGAACCTTGGAAGAAACCATGTCTACGACTACGACCGCGGCCTCCGCCACCAGCACCGCTTGTGGGACCTCTTTCCAATACGAACTCCCCGTGAAAGATGCAGCATGTGGAGTTCCCAGCACCGACAAGTACGAAGGCTATCTTGCCAAATGCGCGAAACCTGCAGGTGTCACCAAGTATAACAACGACTGTGCCATCTACGCCCTAGCTGTGGACCAGTCCGTCCAAGAGCTCACGGACTGTCTCTACGATGCCGGCGTTGAATGGAAAGACGTGTGGTGCTATGGCTCCACCAATGCCACTGCTACTGCAACCTCATATCCGACTTCGTCGGAAACCTCGGCATCGAAGACCGACAAGACAAAGTCGTCGACTTCGACATCCAGCTCGGAAACCAGTACGAGCACCTCGGGCGCGAGTGACACATTGCCCAACGCGCATGTTAGCCTGAAAGCTGCTGTGCTTCTTTCCACTCTCTTTGCTTCTGCTGTTTTCGTTGGGGCATGAACAGCTGTGGTTTGCGCTGTGATATCCGATCTTTTCATTTAATTTTGTTTGTTCTGCGTGCTGGCAAAATATGTAACTGTTACCTGTATTTTTAGATGATAAAATATCATTCTCACCGACTCATCTCCGCAATTTTAGAACACGTGAATATATGCGGCCTCGTATCCAGTGGTGATCTTAGCTATGCAATCGCACATGCCGCCTCCCGTCGAGTCACGGCAAGCCGCAGACAATCCCAAGAACCCTGAATACTACTAACATTGACCTCGAGAGGTTGAAACTGTGACCTACTCCAGGGATGTTAGTCCAATGAGTGAAATACAGGCGATAAGGCCCGAGTGTGATCAAGTATCTCTTCCAATACGCGCATTGTGCACATGCGATAGCCGAGAGCGTAAAGTTTCTCGATACTCGCATCTCGATTTGGCGTATCTACTGGTAGTGCTTGGTAATGTCTTCATTCTTACTCCGTGGACAAGGTCGCTTGTGTCTGCCTATGAGTCGACGTAAATGATGCCTTGCATGAAGGATTCAAATCGCGTGACATATTCAGGATCCAAATGCTGAATCTCCGAATGGATGTAAGTATTGGTACCCATGTAGATAGTATCGAAATGTAACTCTAACCCGGTAGTCTAGTTCAAAATATCCAAGACTTTTATTTCGTGCGAGCCGATCATAGGGGGGTTTGGCACTGTTGGTTAGGAGACAAAATGCATTTTTTGAACATCCACATAGACAATAGACTGACTCTTTACAAGGATAGATTAGCTCAATACGATACCTTAACTCTGGCAGCCAGAAAGTGGCCATCTGTTATGTGACCAGAAACCACCATGCGCGGTCTACATCACAATACAAACAGAGCCAATGTAGAAATCGGACAAACTGATGCTATAAACCATTGCCACCGAGGATGAAAATAGCAGATTATGAGTATATATCGTAGTACAGATAAAAATCCGATTCTATCATCAGATCTCAGTACTCACCTGTGTGAATCATAGACTGTTGGTAGAGCCAAAGTAGCACTGACTGCTCCGTACTCCGTGCAAGGCAAAAGGACAAACAAGCAGGGAGCACCTGTCAACTCTGACATTACTCAGGGCTCCCGCAGGGTCAATTGGCTAATGGGAGTCGAATAAGATGTTTTATCTACGCGCAAGACTTCGCTTCACACTACATTTTCAGAACTTTCAAACCCGTCAATTCCATGTACAACCGGCCTTATGTCGGGACTCGCCTTTGCGCTCTCAGGCAAGGGCTGAAATGCATTTGGGATTGATGTTTTCATGCAATCGATCCACTACAGATTTTCTATGCATCTTGTAACACATACAGAATACGGAGTAGTCAGTCAAACATTCCAAGAACCCTGGAAGGCAGCCATCCGGACGCTGTGTATAAATACCGTCTAATGCCTTCTTTCCTCGCTATACAATATCCTTTACAATCCTCTAAACAAACCACCCCCTACATCCAGTACAATATGCGGTTCCTTCTTATTGCGTTTATGACCATTCTCGGCACTGCTATGGCGGCAGAGAAGCCATTGGTAAATGAACACCTACCAATGATGTCGCGCGTCTGACTTTCTCAGATTGGAAACGGCCACCCATGCAAGACCGACGGTAGTCTCGGAAACTGTGCCAGTGGCTTCTGTCTGGTAATATTCCCATCAAATTGCGACGTATCCGATAATGAGCTAACTTTTTCTATAGCAAGAAGTTGGACAGACCGAGGGCAAGTGCTCCTAAGCGATTGAGAAATTTGTTAGCCTATCCGGCATGGGGGTGTGTGAGTCGAGAAGGAAAATCCCATTCGAGGATGGATATAGCAGTCGCTGGTTCTTGGCGTTAGCAACCAGCCTTTGGAGCTAGAGAAATCGTGGCGTCAAATTGAGGGAGATCGTCTTCCATGAAGGGAACCACGAGATCTTGATATCATGCAATGTCTCTAGTTGTTGATTGAATTCAGATGTTGGGTTTATGTCGAAAACGACTCCCTGTAAGGCGGTTGAAATATCTCAACATATTAGCGGGCAAACATACGAATCGTAGCAGAGCTGCAGATTTATGCTCTTCTAACAAGGAGTCTATGAGGCACGGCATTTGGGTAATGCATTTGTTCTGCTGGAGCCTATTGTGAAAAGACATCTAGAGTTATGGAAGTAGTGTACAAAGCGGACGAAATTTAGAAGCCTATCACTCCAAGTTAGTAAAGTTCCAATATTCAAATCAATGGAGACTCACCTTTCTCTGTGTTTCCTTCACCCATACTCTTGCTACTGCTGCTTCCGCTCTGAATGGCACCCATGATGCCGTCCATGTAAGGTGCACCACTCCACTTTTGGTGTGTAAGGACGTCGACGCCGAGATCCTTCTCGCGTGACTGGACCAGACGAACGTAAGCCAGCATGCCCTCGTCCTTGAACGCACGAGAGAGTTCGGTAGTAATCGTTGCGTTTGTGTGCAGACCCGCGAGGGAGATAAGTTGCAAGACAAATCTGGAAGAAGTTAGTGAATTTCATGAAATGAACAAGGCTGTAATCTTACCCTTGCTTAGCAATATCCCAGATGAAAGACTTGAGAGAAGCCTCGTCAAATCCTTGGCCCATCCAGTTGAATGAAGGGCTGAGGTTATAGACGAGCTTCTTACCGGGGAATGCCTCGCGGACTTCACCGGCAAGACTACCGGCCTTCTGCACGTCTGGATCACCGGTTTCAACCCAAAGGAGATCCGCATAAGGGGCAAACTCCTTAGCGCGCTTAGTAGCAGCGGGGAATCCAGCGCGGTAGTGGTAGAATCCCTCTCGAGTGCGCGGGCTATCGCACGACCACACAACGGGGGTCTTTGCGTAGTCGTTTGCGAGAGCACGACGACGAGAGAAGGAAAGATCGGGATTGCTCTTCACGTAGGCCTTGTAACCATCACGAGAGGACTGGGGCGCTCCCTCATATTCGAGATGGGCATCGACAGCTGCGGCTAATTAATCGCCGTCCGATAAAATAGAAAGTGAATAAGCAACATACCTTCGTCAAGAGTGACAAGCTTGTGCTTCTTGACCCAATCCAGCTCGAATGCATCAATCTCGGCTGGGGAAGCACCCTCGCGTTCCATCGCCTGAAGTGTCTCCGCCAGAGGCTCCACCTCTTCCGTAATACCGAGGATGAATTCGTGATCCCGCACATCGATGGCGCTACTGATGAGGCGACCGCTCTCAGAGTCTGTGCGGGCAATCACCAAGTTCTCGCATCCCATCATGTCCCACTGGAATCGGGCTGCCACTAGTCGGTTGATGTGTTCTCCCATGGGAACGAGCACCTTGCCGGCAAGATGGCCGCACTTCTTTCCGCCGTGCAATTGATCCTCGAAGTGCACTGCCGCGGCGCCATTCTCCGCAAACAACTTTGCGAGCTTCAAGACTGCCGACAAGCCTCCGTGACTAAATATCAAATCAGTACGGTTGGCGGTTCCCCATTACGATGTTAGACATACCCGGTATCACCATCCGCGACGATTGGTCGCATATAGTCCGTGTAGGGCGTCGCCTTTCGCTGATCGGGAGTCATCTTTCGTCTGGTATCCCACTGCTTCCGGTCATGCATCGATTGAGCCTTGAAGAGGCGCTGGACCTGGTTCGGAACGGTGTTGTAGGGGTAATCGCCAAAGTCAGGAGAAACCTCATTGGTACTGGTGAGCAGCGAAGAGCAAGCCCAGCCAGATACGTAGAGGATTTCTTGGTTTGGAGCTTGTTGTGTCATCTGTACGGGGTCGATAGCTCCCACTGCGCACGGATCGTCAGCTCTGCCAATTGCCACCAGGATAGCTCTACTTACTTGTGTGAACAGGCTGACCAGCAGCGGCTCGTTCATTGAGGAGATTGAAAAGCTTCCGCGCCATCAATGAGCTGGGGTATGTTTGTTGGAGTGAGCCGCGCTTGCTGACGACGTCCGCAGCCGTGTAAGGGCGCTTGATTCCCTCATAACGAGGTGACTCCCACCAGGCTTTCACATCTTTGATCTGTTGGTCATAAAGGGCGTCTTCAGCCTCACCAGCCTTTTCTTGCGTGGAGAGCAGCTGGTAGGCGTCTGAGGGCAGGGTGGTGGACACCGGGGGGTGAACGGGCGTCATCCGAGGATAACCGCACGTGAAGGGCCGGACTGCTCGTGAAGTGATGGGCGTAATAGGAACGCGTCGAGGGAGGCGTCGCATTGAGCGAAACATGATTGAAAGACAAAAGCTGCAGTGAGACTCAGGGAAAAGAGAAAAAGGAAAAGAGTCGAGGAGAGACAATAAACAGCTCCGCGCTTGACCTCGGGCCGTGAACATCTGGGGTTTCCCCGCCGCTTTCACATCCGAAAATCGGTGCCTGACTAAGCTTGCTGCAACTTTTATGATTTTGGGGGATTTCGAGGGATAAGACCTATAGGTACCTAGGTAGGAATAAAATAACGTACTTTCAAATATCTTTGAAAACATATCGCTTTACAGGGTCATCGTCGGTGGGTTGGTTGTATCGTGAAATCTCAATGTCTTAGCCAATGGGATATGTATAAATTTACAACAATTGCTTTACCCAACCAATTGTGCGCTTCGAAAAACACTTACTAACAGACCAAGTAGTAAGGTTTGCTTCTCGACCTGGTTCCGACCAGAATATCAAAACATCACGGCCAACCTTGGAAGGTGATCGATCTTGATGGATAACATGCGACTCCGCTGATCCGAGCGAGTGTGTATGCGAGGGCGATATCTGCAGTAGCAATCCAACCTTAGAAGCAGCATTCAGATTACGAACAGACCTCGAGATAGAAGCTTCCCTCGACTCTGGGGTAAATGGACATGCCCCTCCATTTCCAAGATACCTCTTATAATCCCGATATTCTGAGTCTCCATATGAAAACATTGAGTTCCACAATCAAAACAACCCTCTAACAGTAACGGACAAGGAATTGACAACAATATGCAGAGACTTGGACCAACCTTGGAAGTCTTGTCGGGCCGCGACAATGACGGTATAGTAATCGTTTTGTGGAAGTACTTACACCAGTGCCTACTTCTATGTCAGCGACAGCTACCTCTAAGCTACGTTGCATCGTGGATGTCAACAAGAAGTGGATCGGTGCGTTAGTGGATTAGACCTGTCCGAAAGGACAATTCGCATTGTAGCTAAGGCGCGGTTCACAAGCGCGAACAACAAGCTAAGTCCCTAGCGTCGGAGACAGCTACAAAGTCGACTAAAGTGGGCTTGAAAAGTGGGGACGCTTGTATAACCCCGAAGATCTCGCGATGTCCACTGCAGAAATGCCTCGGTCCCTGGGCTTAAACTTTCTGCTTTGATTCATATTGCAATCTTTTCTGGTTCATCAACCTCCCTCCTTTACTATACAAGTCATACGCTATCAAACCTCACAATGCCTTTGACAATTCACCACCTGGGCCGCTCCCAATCCGAGCGCATTGTCTGGCTCGCTGAAGAGCTCGGCATCGAATACAAATATGTCTTCCACAAGCGCGACCCCATCTTCTCCCCTCAATCCATCAAAGACCTCCACCCCGCCGGAACTGCACCCGTGATCGAGGATGACAGCTCGCCTTTCACGAAGAACAAGGTCGTCCTCGCCGAATCCGGCGCCATCATCGACTACATCATTGCCGCGTACGGCGAAGGCCGTCTCTCCCGCACCCCGAAGGACGGTGAAGAGTACGTCCACTTCCTGGAATGGTACCACTGGGCGAATGCCTCTCTCCAGCCCGCCCTGTTCCGCGTTCTGATGACCCGACGCCTGAGCAACGACCCGGAGGCAGTGCACGTCAAAGTGGGCACTGCGAAGCTGGAGCGGGCGCTCTCGATGATCGAGAATCGTCTCGGCGAAACCGGATCCTATCTGGCCGGGAATGACGTCAGTGCGGCGGATATCATGGCGATCTGCACTCTGACGACGATGCGAGGATTCTGTCCCATTGACTTCGATGAGCAGAAGCATAAGAATATTCTGGCATATTTGAAGCGGGTCGGGGATCGTCCGGCTTACCAGCGGGCTATGAAGATTTGCGAGGGAGAGGACTTTGTGCCGATGTTGGGCCCCAAGGCTGTGCAGTTCAGTTTCCCCTATTAGATTGCACGCAGAATGTAAATTCACAATGAAATAGAGTTGAATAACCTTCTTCAGAATGCAAGACAAGTAAAGAAGCACAGGGAATAATCCTTACTAGTGCTCATGCAGCCACCTTGCCCCACTACGAACTTGGGAAAAAGGCCCGAAGACGACCTCGGGAGATTAGTATTGAATTTGTTCTCTCCATTTCTGCTTCCACATTTTCTCTCTTCAGTTTGATAATTCGCATGACATTCACAACTCATCATGACTCGCTGATCTGCTAGGTTGCGAACCCTCGACGACTCCCTTAATAGTAAGGATAACTCGTCGGTAGCTGACCTGGAAGCCGCTGGAGACTTCCAGAATGAGATGCAAGTGCTTATCTGCATGAGGATGAACTCCTCTACCAGCCTTTCTCAGCACCTCAGCCGAAGGGACATCAATGGAGATGATGGGGGAGTTGGCATCCTCGATTTCCAAAACTGTCACATCTCGCTTCGGCGTGTTGAGGTTGGAACTCGGCTCCAAGTACTGCCACCACTTGTAAGAGAGCACATCGCCATCAGGACTGCACGAATCAGACGCGTCAAAGCTGATCTTCTGGGTTGGCGCAACAAGATATTCCAAGACGTCACGGGTGGAACTTCCATTGACAATCGCAACGGGCGCATGTTTTCCCTGTTCGAAAGTGGACTGGATCGTCCATTGCATTCGTGCTTTGAAGTCATTTTGGAAAGCGGTCCGCCATCGCCAAATTGTGACTTGAGAGCCCATCATGGTGCGTCCGTCTTGGTCGACCAGGATATCTATGCTGTCTGCAAAGTGGCCCTCGCCCCATACAACGGGGTCATACCGACCTCCCCAGGATCCCCATTCCGGGTGCTCGGGGTCGGATAGGCCATTGGGAATCATGTACAGCAAAGAAGGACTGTCGCCTAGAGTACGCGATCAGAAAACCGGAATCAAGACTCGGATTAAAAGAACCCTACCTTCCATGATGAACTCGCTGCTTGGATACCTGCCACCCAAAGGACCGATTTGGATGTTTTTCTCGATCCAAGTAGGGGATATCACTTCCTTGTCCGCATTGTTTGGGAAGTGATAATAGTCATCACCAGACATACCTCCCCAAGCTGCATTGCCATACCGATTGATTGCATGCACACTCGCGATATAAAACAGACCTGGCCAATGACGTCGGATCCACGGGCCTGCATTGTCCTGATCGGAAATGGAGTAAACACGCAATTTCGACACGAAGTGGTCGATATCCGACCTAGTGGCATTAACCTGCCAGAGTGCTTGCGCCAGAGTATTTGCACCACCCCACACAGGGACCCAAAGTGGCTCATCAGAGGAGTCAACAGCGTCAATCAAGAGATTTGAGCCTTCACTGTTATGGCCTTCCCCCACTCCATCCATGCCATAGAGAGTCGACCCTGACTTGATGAGCTTCAGAAGGCGACTCGGCTCAGGCCAGCCAGACGCATGAACCTTCAAATTTGGAAGCGACTTTTCGTAACCCCGTACGATATCTTCCATGTGATCAGGCCGAGTGGTGTCGTTGAGCCAGAAGCTCGTTGTGGCAACAAGACCCTCGATCCGAAACTCATTTGAATAGAGCAGAAGGCGCACCAGTGACTGGGCGTCATCTGGCTCATTATCGATGTCGCTCAACAGGAACAATCGTGGTTTGGTGGCTAGTTGTAAATGACATTTGGGAGTCGGATCTGCCACACTGTTGACAGCAAATAACCCAAGAGCTGCAAGGAATACCAACAGACGCGTTATGTGGAACATGGCGGTTTGACATGCAAACTTGGAAGCTGTTAGATCAGCTCACTAAATAACCATCCCGATGTAGGTGAGCGCTTCGATTCCTGGCGGTTGGAGATGCCAAGTTGGGATGCAAGGTTGGGCGTTAGCGTGGGGTGCTGCATCTCGCGCATATGGCGAAATATTTGCGAAAAACCGCAGCTTCTCGGTGATTAATTTAGTTGAGATGAGTAATTCAGTGTAAACATCTAAACTTTGCACTTGGTCTTGGAAATGAGAATCTTAAAAGAGGCAAGTCAACATCCAGACGTTAAGTTCGGTGAGATGTAGCTATTCTGTCTTACAAGATTTTTGGACATCGTAGTCTTGACAAGCATTGGAAATCACTGAACGAGCAACATTGTCGGTGCATTTCTTATAGAAAAACTCATCTTAATTACCTAGATATCATGTACAGCGATATAGTTTCCACTCTCCAACAAACGCTCAGCGTGTGGACAAAAGACTCAATACAATATTCCACCCAAACCCAACAATCGAATTCACGACCACTCGCCATTGCCATGGAACCCAGATGAAATTGATCAAAGCCATGGCAGGCCAAATCTTCCACCCAGCTTTCAATATGCCCCATATTCGAGCATCAACTTCACGTAAAATCAATTGGCCGCTCTGAAGCCTTGTGGCCGATGTGCACACGATGAATGCAGCATTTGTTACGAATAGTCCAATCGTTTGGTCCAATGTCAATTTGAGGATTATATTCGTCCAGTTCAGACGAGCAGTGCCGGTCTTTTGGGAGCTGGGCCCAGCGCTCAATTGTGTAGGAAATGTTTCTTCGAGAAATTGTTGCCAAAATGAGATCAAGGGCGCAGAGATGACACCGAATACAGCGAACTCGACAACGCGATTCCAATCAACTGAAACCGTTACTGCGAGATCCCGCTGGTTAATGATTTGAGCGGTGATGTTGGCGACTGCTTTGAGCAGTGCAGATTGAATGGTGATAGCGAGGAGGGATGGCATGGTGGACTTTTGAGTCGGATATTTGCAGCTACCGATGGACCTGGGATTCATATGAAGCCGCTTCATTCCGCGAGTCTCAAACCTTTCAATATAAGTACGTTATAGGGAATGATGTGATTGCCAAAAATGTACTTTCCCATCCAAGCAAGCGTGGCTCGCATTTCCCCATTGAGTTGTTCTTTGAGAGATCCCTGTGTGAACGGTGAACCCCCACGCCCGGTTGTGATTGCCATTTCCCCGGATTTCCCAGTTTCCCCGAACTTGAACCGAGCTAAGCTGAACACGGTATCAGTCCATCATTGATATTTTGAAGTATAAAGGACGCATGCCTTTTGCGGGGATATCACAACCGTCGTGGGCACTCAATCATTCCGAGTACTTGTCAACAGCACATACAAAATGCTAGGGCCTTTGAAAAACGTTCCTCTCGTCCAAGATTTGAATTGGCGACTGGTAGTTGTTGGTCTCACGTCTTCTCTTGGAGCTGTCGGATTCGGCTTCGACAACGGATGGTGGGGTGGTGCCTTGGGTCTATCCGAGTTCAAACAGAAGTATGGAGCGTATAACCCGGCCCTTGGAGAATGGGCGATCCCTTCACAAAAAGCGTCTGTTGGCACTGGAACAGGATCAGCAGGAATCATCCTGGGTTGTTTAATGGCCCCGATCATCACCTCCAAATTCGGTCGCAAGGCTGGATTTTTGGTTTTGTCGCTGCTTATGATCCTCGGTGTGATATTAGAGGCCAGCGCAGTGACTTCTTTCTGGCAACTCGTCGTCGGAAGAATCATCGTGTATTCCGGGATCGGCTTGGCTTCGAATGTTGTTCCGACTTATCTGTCTGAATGTTCACCCCCAAGGGTTCGAGGTTCGTAACTTGTCATGATGGACTGAAGAGACAGCTCATGATTTTTAGGTGCCTTTCTCGCTCTCTATTCATTCTTCACCTCGTTTGGAGTTTTCATTGCAACAGTGGTTGTCTATGCTTCTCGCACCCGCAGCGACCAATGGCAGTACCTGTATGTCAACTTACAGCTCTAGATGGTGCATTCATCTCACAATTTCCTAGTATCGTCATATGCTGTCAGCTTTTCGTGCCAATCGGATATCTGATCACGTTGCCGTTTCTCCCCGAGTCGCCCCGGTACCTCATCTATCGCGGCAAATACGCAGAGGCAGAACAAGTTATGAAGACATTGCACAATAATCAGGACAGCATCCCCCAAGAGATCGAGCTGCTCAAGTTCCAGATTGAAGAGCAAAGAGATCTTCACAAGGCGACCTCGGTGCTTGACTGTTTCAAAGGGACCAACTTACCTCGAACCATTGCGTGTATGGGTGTTCAAATATTGCAGCAAGCCCAGGGTGTATCTTTCATCCAAAACTTTATTGTTACCTTCATGCAACAGCTCGGATTTCCAGATCCCCTCAAGACAAATGTCCTGGTGACAGGTTGCTCCTTCGCTTGCCATGTATTCACGTTTGTCACCTTCGACCAACTGGGTCGTCGGTGGTCATTGCTTCTTGGCTCGCTTGGACTAGCAGCTACCATGCTGGGCACAGGTGGCGCTATCGAGTCCAGCGCAAAAGTGGCAAGCTTATCCATCGAGGCTAAGAACGCATGTGTGGCCCTGCTGATTCTGTGGTACTGTATTTATGGCTTCACCTGGGGCCCCGGATGCTGGATTGTGACAGGTGAGGTGGGAACTGGTCAACTTCGGGAGCGGACTGTTTTCCTCGCATCGATGGGAAGCTTTTTGACATCGATTCCTATCAACTTTGTCAATCCGTATTTGCAGGCTTTGATAGGCGGTCGTGTGACGTTCATTTATGGTGCGTTTTCGGTTGCATCGCTGGTGTTTGTGTGGCTTGTTGTGCCGGAGACTAAGGGGCGGTCGTTGGAAGACATTGATGAGATGTACCAAGCTCGTCTTTCGCCTTGGAAGTTTGAGCAGTATGTTTGCACGGGTATTAGCGCACAAATTGCGAATTTGAGCAATGAGGGAGGAAAACTTAGTACTGGGGTGGAGAAGGATGATGATCCCACTAAGGAGGAAGTGGAATGATAGCTCAATTAGATCTTGTCACCACTTCCCTGGTTACGAGTGCCTTATGAAAATTAGAGTGAGTAATGCCTGGGTACATGTATGTTTTTTTGCATATTCTCTGTGTTTGGGCAGGAAGTAGACCCATAGCTCCACCTTCAACTATTCACCCAAGCGGTATTGAGAATAACATCCCCAGGTATGGCGACCAGCTCTGTGATACGAAAGCAATACATTTGTTCAACGGTATTGGATTGGGCTATCTTGAGCGAAAGACCCATTCTTCATCCCATTCAATTCATGTGACGTCCACCGCATGCGTGACAACAGTCAAGAGACTTCCTTACCCGAGCTCTTCCCACATCCCTGCTTTCTGCCTCCCGAGGTCTGAGTCCTCCCTTGGCCCTTTGAAACCGCTTCAATCACTTCCCTGTGTCGTAGGTGTACTGCCTAGCGCATGGGTCGCTCCCGAACCAGACCTTGGTGATCCGAGGACACTCATGCAGGATCTTGAACGCCCGCATGGCCATTTCAATCGAGTAGAAGAGCACCGTGACTTCACTCTGGCATGGGTGGTCCTTGAATCCCTCGACAAAGTCCGTGACAAGAGAGGATGAAAGAGCTTCAAAGATGATCTTTTTGACATTGCCGTTCGCGTTGAAGACTGTCAAAGCACGGGTCCGGCCACGATTCACGATGCGATCTTGCAAGATGCGACGCATCGGAAAAGTGGGTAGCTTGACCAGCCTGACTTGAGCCTTATGGAAACCAACGAAAAAGCCATCGCTCTGTACAATATTCAAGAAACCAGCTGCACCTGCTGAAGTGGTGAATGTGATCAGGGCAGTCTGGGATCCAGTGATGGCGGCGGTGTTGCAAATGGTTGCAGTGAGGACCTGCCCGCCACGCACAGAGCGAAGAATCTCACCCAGGGTTGTCGAAGGAAGTAGATTGGTGACCGTAACCGTTCGGAGGTCTGGGTCGTCTCCCTCAGGGATGTATCGGAGGCCGATCCTGATTACGGGGAGATTGCAGAATTTGGTTTTTCCAGTTTCTAGCAGGCGAGCCTCGCCGATTGGGAGGGCCTTGAGGTCGTTGAACAGGTTAGATAGATTTGGCTTCCATCTGATACCTTCGGGCTGCGAGGAGAGGAGGGAGTCCCGAGCCGCGTTTCGTTTTCCGCCGGCTTCATGCTCCGCGTCAGAACTGAGACTGTGAAAGATCTCTTCTGAGCTCTCGGTCATGGGGCCGTTGGAGGAAGGATCGAGAGAAGAAGGGCCGGTCGAGGCAGGGGCTTCAGAAGACTGGGCGTTGGGTGTGGATGACTCCGGAAGTTTCTTCGTATAGTTAGTACCACCACTATGAAACTCGAGATCGGCAGCATCAAATACCTCGTCTACGATTTCGATGCCATCATCGTTCCTAGCCGGCGCGATCATACTCTCGGATCTGGAGATACTTGTCAGAGTCATGTTTGCCAATGACCTCGTAGAGCGAATGTATAGAGTGGACTGTAGAGTTGCGATGAACCAACGTTTGTCCTCACTTTGTGAAGACCAATACGAGCCATGTGCCCAGGAAGCGAGTGTAAGGTGGGCCATGTACTTACCGGCGCGGGACTAGAGTTGGAAAGGTGAATCCACCCTCCAGAAGTGAGTCGATGAGCTGATTGCCTCCGATATGAAGCATATTGTCGCTCTTCATATCTGATGTTGGTCTTGTTGAGTAGTATTCTTGCTAGGTCCACGAGTATGTTCCTTGCTAGGTAGAAGTAATGAAGTACCACTGTGATTGACCACTGGGGTTGAAGTAGTAAGTTGTAAGAAAGATGATTCTTTGGGTCGGGAGGAATCATTTAATAGTGCTTGGATTACTGGTCCGATAGTTGTCCAAGACAGATCTGGGATGGTTGATGGGAATTGTTCACTTTCTCAGGTTGGAAGGATCTATCCAAGGTGAAGTCAAATTCCTGGAAAATTCTTACTGAAGACACCAGCTAATATTGAGCATATCAGATCACTTTTATGGTTTCAAAGCTCTGGTACTTTACTTCAGTCTATTGACTTCTAAGATGCTATTGAATGATGCTCAGAATATAGACTTCCCAGGTTTGAGAATAGCAGGCTTTCCATGATATCTGAGCTCCATGGGACGTGACTTTTGAAGTGAAGTAAAAAGTCTGTAAATCAATTAGATTCCACACTTCTCATGGCATAGGTTCCAAGCTTAATGTGTGTATTATTATGACCCTCGGACTCTGGGTGCTCAAAACTAGCTTCCCAGCGTTCTTTTCGTAAATCTAGGCGCATGGGCTCAAAGTGAACCCATGAAAATAGTGATCCTGACCTGCAACAGCTTTTGCTGAAGTTCAAAACGGTCATTCATGTTGAGCATCATTTGTGGGGTAAACTTAGAGAACATTCGGCAGTATCGTGGTCTGTGCGCATAATATACTTGGATGGCTCTATGGTGATCGTGGCGGTTAGAGAGGGATTTTCAGCCTAGACAGTCCAAGAAGTGAATAGCTCGCATGACTGCGATGCCAAGGAAAGAAAATATCTGGGGAGCTCGTATCAGGTGCAGTCAGCTGAAGGAAAGTGAAACGGTTGAAAATATCTATTTCACCAGGGCTCAGATATGTATTGGTGTGAGGTAGCGTACCAAATCTATCATATCCTGGTCGATCACCGGAGTGATGGATTCAAGATAGAGGTATAAGAATGATGGGGATTTGAGCGATAAGGTACTAGCACTGACATCTGATGAACGAAGTAGAGACGATCAGATGTCCCACAAGCCAAAAAGGCCCCTGCGTCCCCAAACCACGTGGGAACTTACCCGTGGAGCTGAGACTTCACTTTGACCAGAAAATTTGCCCCAGTGCCTTCATAGAATGGTGAGTTTCAATGCGGATACAACAAAAAAAAAAAAAGTATGTACTATCTCCAAACAATGGATATTATGTCGCAGCAGAGAAAAACCGACGAAGGATTGTGAGGCCTCGTCGACTAACCTTGGAACTAGGCCCGATTCAGACTAGCCCGATCCTTGCCCAGAAAATGCCCAGCGGCGATGCTGATTGGCTGCCCCAGGTGCCATTCCACGGGCTGACTCTTTCATTCTTAAACCCCCAGTTTCTCCCAGCTCCCCAGCTCACTGCAGGTGGAGAACGGAGAACATGGCCACAACTACTACGGCTGCATCGGCCGCCGTCACAGTGCCACCCCAAGGAGGAATCCTGGAGGGTGGCAATCCAACAGAATATGACTCCAAGAATCCACTCGTGCTGTTTATTATCCAGGTATCATCAAACAAAGAGAAAATGAGTGCTCGATGATTAACCTCATCCAGGCGGTCATCATCATCGTGCTATGCCGGCTGATCCACTGGCCTCTGTCGAAGATTCGTCAGCCCAGAGTCATCGCAGAGGTGATAGGCGGAATCGTCCTGGGCCCATCAGTGATGGGTCGCATTCCGGGCTTCACAGATGCTATCTTCCCGACTGCCAGTATCCCCAGTCTCAATGTAGTCGCCAACTTGGGGCTGGTGCTCTTCCTCTTCTTGGTAGGCCTGGAGACGGATCTCCGCTTCTTGATCAGCAATTGGCGCGTGGCGTTGAGCGTCTCGGCAGCTGGTATGATTCTACCCTTTGGTTTGGGCGGTGCCATCTCCTACGGTTTGTACCATGAGTTCCACGGGGACCCAGGCACGAAGCCGATTTCCTTCGGGACATACTTGCTCTTCATCGGTATTGCAATGGCCATTACGGCCTTCCCGGTGCTCTGTCGCATCTTGACCGAGTTGAAGTTGCTGTCCACACGGGTCGGTGTGATCGTGCTGTCCGCAGGTGTTGGAAATGATGTTGTCGGGTGGATTCTGCTCGCCCTGTGTGTGGCACTGGTCAATGCAGGCACCGGTATTACTGCGTTATGGGTGTTGCTTGTATGCGCTGGGTACATGTTGTTCTTGACATACGCTTTCCGCCCTGTGTTCCTTCGCTTCCTGGAGAAGACGGGGAGCTTACAGAAAGGTCCCAGTCAGTCAGTGGTGGCGCTGACGCTACTAATCGCTTTGGCATCGGCCTTCTTTACCCAAGTTATTGGTGTTCATGCTATTTTTGGAGGATTTGTCATTGGCTTGATCTGTCCTCACGAAGGCGGCTTCGCTATCAAAGTTACCGAGAAGATCGAGGATCTAGTGGGTGCTCTGTTCCTCCCGTTGTACTTCACACTGTCTGGCCTGAGTACCAATCTGGGATTGCTGGATTCCGGAATAGTCTGGGCATATGTCGTGGGAGTCATTGCTATTGCCTTCATCGCCAAGGTCGCAGGAGGCGCTTTCGCATCTCGGATGTGTGGTCTTCTATGGCGTGAAAGCTTCTCTATTGGCGTGTTGATGAGTTGCAAGGGATTGGTGGAGCTGATTGTGCTAGTAAGTGTCCCACGCCAATCTTTTTGGAACCACCAGCTAACGCCGGTAAGAATATTGGTCTACAAGCCAAGATCTTGAGCACCCGTACCTTCACCATTTTCGTCGTCATGGCTTTGGTCACTACCTTCCTGACCACACCTCTAACGACTATTTTGTACCCGACCTGGTATCAAGTTAAGGTTGACCGCTGGAGACGAGGAGAAATCGACTGGGATGGAAATCCCGTCGATGGTAATGACCGGAATGACAGTGTTGCCCAGGCCAAGGATGATATCAAAACCATCCCCGTCCGAAAGCTACTCGTTTACCTTCGTCTCGATGGACTATCTGGGATTTGCACATTGGCAGCACTCCTCAGCTCAAACCGTCAGCCACTATCGTCGCGCATTCACCCAACAAAGGTACCAAAGCAGACTGAGCAGACAGTTGAGGAACCCATCATCGAAGAAGACGAAGATGCCGCGCTCCGTGTACACGGTGTCAGGCTCATGGAACTTACGGATCGAGACTCCAGTGTCATGAAAGTCTCTGTGGCAGGTGAACACGCGCTTTGGGATCCAGTAGTCAACACCTTCCGTGCCTTCGGAGAATGGCACGACCTATCTCTTATGGCAGGAGTTTCCGTTGTGCCTGAATATTCATACGCCGACACCGTCATCGGCATGGCACAGCAAGATACTGCAGATCTCCTTCTTCTTCCATGGAGCGAGACCGGCACCCTCGCAGAGCGCCAGAATGGGCTCGATATCGCAGAGACCAACCGTTTCTCGAATGGTAGCTACACAACCTTCGTTTCTGATATTTTGCAACGGGTCTCTGGTCATGTTGGTATCTTCATCGAATATGGCCCTGGTCCTACCAAGCGACCTGGTATGTCTCGAACTGCCAGTGGGATGAGTATTCAGACCTCTCTGTGGTCTCGCCAACCGAAAAGCAGTCGCTCTCACCATGTTGTCCTTCCTTTCTTCGGTGGCGATGATGATCGATTCGCCCTACGATTTGTCATGCAGCTAGTGAAAAATGATCAAGTCACTGCTACGATCATCCGAATGGCGTCAAGCGAGAGCCAAAAGGGCACTACTACAACCGTGACGTCGGCGTCAAGCTCCAATGGCGCTGTTGCCTCGCAATCGGACATTGTATTATTCGAGACATTGCGCGATTCTATCCCAGAAGAGGTGTCGGACCGTGTTGTTTTCACTTACCCAGATGCCAGTGACTCCATATCTGGTCCCGCCCAGATGGCGGTCGTGTCTGTCCGGGAGGAGCTGAAGCACACCCCCAATAAGGCGAATAATATCGTCATCGTTGGTCGACGGAGTATCACTTCTGACATCGAGCTTCCACTGGAGGAGGGTGTTGGTCAGGACACCCGTCAGGCCCTCGGGGATCTGGCCACCGCTATGGTTCAGCCCGAGAACAGGATTTACGGGAGCGTCTTGGTATTGCAGGCTGGTACTGGCGGATTGGCTGACTACTATCGTTGAAAATACTCCGTACGTCGGGAAGCATTGGGCATTATGTATGGAATGAATTATTTCAAGGACGACTTTTATGATATATGTCACGTGTGAAATTTTGGTATATGACCCCCAAACGCCAGCCTGTCCAGACTCCAAATATAAAAAGAAAGTGAATATTAAATCGGTATCAGGGTGGTTGGAGCATCCCAGAAGAAGTAGAAGCAGCAGGTGGTGAGGATAGATCATCCCAAAACCAAGGAGCACTATATTGCCGATGACTCGTCCGTCTCGACCCAAAATGAGAGGCATTCCCGGACGGGAAAGAGATGGCCTCATTGATCTCCCGCGCACTTGACGGCAGATCCTGAGAATCACAGCCGCCCCGCGCAACGGTGACCAATTTGCCAAGGATCGCGTACTCCAGTTTCAACTTGACACTGTACACTACCGGCTTGACCATGACCTGAACCGCATATAAGCCGACGTACTCGATGACGACGATTGCAATATCAAGGAGCAAAATCACGATGTTGATCACAAGCAACTGATTCAAGACCCCCTGCGGCCGACCCTCGGGTCGTAGTCGAAGCAATTTGATCGTCTCCCAGACGTAAATGCTGGAAATCACGAGTTCCTGAATACAAAACCCCACGAGCTGGATACGTTCCATAATTTGATATCCGCGCTCCCAGACGCCGGTCGGATGCGCCACAGAGCCATACAGGACCACGGCCGTGGGGACGTGGAACAGCACAGCATCGATTCCGATCATCCACCGCACCCCGTATAGAATCTTTGTGTTTTGAAGGACCAGATGCAGTCGCGACCATAGCACCATCGACTGGCCCGTTACCATACCCACCCAGCTGAGGAGGATGAGCGTCACGCATACCCAGGGGGTGACGCCGGTCGGAAAGAAGAGAAGGATATAGCCCAGGCAATGGGGGACGATGGAGGAGGAAGCGATGAGGAGACTCCAGAAGTAGGTGCCGTTCCAGCGTTTGAAAGAGACGAAGCAGAGGACGATGAGTTCGATGGCATTGTACCAGGCTACGGCGGAGAAGGCGGCGAAAATCCCAGTGCGGACGGTATCCGAGTTGCCGTAGTCGTGAATCAGAGAGGATGCAATGGTGGGAGGATCGGCCATTGGAGTAACATTGTCTGTAGGCGTGGGTGTAGGTGTGCAGATAGCAAAGGGCCTTAAAGCAATGAGCGCAGAGTACGGAGTAGAGATTTCAGCAAGGTTATAGAGGCGAAAGCTAGGGAAGCTCAGACCGTTTTTTGGGGTCCAATCGATGACAGTTGCTCGCGGGCCTGGTCCATGGATCGCCCACGCTAGGCGGACGGCGGTTGGTCAGGCCAAACACGGGGTTCCCGCACCGTGGATCACCGAACTTTGCGGGGTGCGGCGCTATTGAACTTCTTTTGTCCCCTGAGGATGCCTTTGAGGCAACGGAGTACTCCGACTTCATGGCCCCTTGCTTTCAAGATTGTGATATTCCTGGCAGATCAATGGACAGTACGGACAGTACGGACAGTACGGAGTACTGGGGTAAGACGTCGTGCGCAGTGGCTGCCAAGCAGATCGAGGCTATAGTATCGGAAGCACGGGGTAATCATTTTGAAGATGGGTTCACTGTTATGGAATAGGGGATGCCGATCAGCGCGGACGTTAACCTTGCAACCTTGGGAGGTTGGCGTCTAGACACAGGCTGACACCTCAGGCAGCCATGGACCCTGCAGCTGCGATCGGGTGACGTCACCCGATCGAGATCGAGATCGCGATCTAGCACTCGCATTCCCTGTTCTGCGCGCTTCCACGCTTCTCCTTTCTGGACATGCTCAACTGGTCGCGCGTCCTCTTCTCGTATCGCCCTGTCCAACCATTGTCGATTCGTATATACCGAAACCAATTCCTCCAGCTATCAACAATGCCTCCGAAAAGAAAGGCCGATACACCGGAGCCCAATGCCTCTCACACCAGCAAGAAGGGCCGGCCCGACCTGCGCCAGCCGCACCCCAACGCAAAGCAGGCAGAGGACTTTGGAATTGTCCTCCGCGAGTTCTATCCGCCGGAGATGAGCAACGAACGGTGTCACGCATACACCAATGGCGAACTGGAACGCCCAATTGAGACGTTGAAGAAAGCTTGCCAGGAAACCGCGGAGACGCGTCAATCGGTTGAGGTGGGCAGTGCCGTTGTGCACTGGTTCAAGAGCGATCTCAGACTCCATGACAACAGAGCTTTGTATGCTGCCTACGAGACCGCCAAGGAGCATCAGGTTCCTCTGATCGGTCTCTATATCGCCTCTCCTCAGGATTGGACCGCACACTCCACTAGCCCTGCACGTGTGGATTTCACCCTGCGGACCTTGCAGCGCCTGCAGCAGGATCTGGGGGAACTTGATATTCCCCTGTACATGGAGACTCAGGAGAAGCGCACGGCGATCCCGGGTCGCGTCGTGGAACTGTGCGAGGAATGGGAAGCCAAACACCTCTATGCTAATATTGAGTACGAGGTTGATGAGCTTCGACGGGAAGCAAAGATCGTCCGAGCTGGCGCAGACAAGGGAATCGATGTCGAACTCAGCCATGATACCTGTGTGGTGACTCCAGGTCAATTGGAGACTGGAGCCGGGAAGCAATATGCGGTCTATACGCCATGGTACAGATCATGGCTGGCATTCTTGAAGGAGAACCCTGATTACTTGGAAACGTCTGAAGAACCAGGTTCCAACCCCGGCAACGCGCGACAGAAATTCAAGGATCTATTTGACTCGAAGATTCCGGCAACCCCAAAGACGCATGCGCTGTCGGAGGATGAGAAGAAGCGGTTTGAGAAGATGTACCCTGCAGGCGAACACGAGGCTTCGCAGCGACTCGACAAGTTCTTGGAAGAGAAGGTGCGGCAGTATGAGGAGCAGAGAAGTACTCTGCCCGGCGAGCATACCTCTGTGCTCAGCCCGTACTTTGCATGCGGAGCACTGAGCGCGCGCACGGCTGTCGCAACAGCGAAACGGATCAACAAAGGACATCTCGACCGCTATGACCAGGGATTCATGACCTGGATTAGTGAAGTCGCTTGGCGTGATTTTTACAAACATGTCTTGGCAAACTGGCCATTCATCTGGTAGGTTTTTCGTCGTTGCAGATCCGGACACAGCTAACAAACCTAGTATGAACAAATGCTTCAAACCCGAGCACACCAACATTGAATGGGAGTATGACCAAGAGATTTTCCAAGCCTGGTGCGACGGGAAGACTGGGTTCCCGATTGTGGACGCCGCTATGCGTCAACTCCGTCATTGCGCCTGGATGCACAACCGTACTCGTATGGTGGTGTCCTCATTCCTGACTAAGGATCTGATGCTTGACTGGCGTCGCGGGGAGAGGTACTTCATGGAGAATCTGATCGATGGAGACTTCGCGTCCAACCACGGCGGATGGGGATTCGGATCCAGCACTGGTGTCGACCCTCAACCCTATTTCCGCATCTTCAACCCTCTCCGCCAGAGTGAGCGATTCGATCCGGAGGGCGAGTACATCCGGCATTGGCTGCCCGAGCTCCGTGATGTTTCGGGCAAAGCCATCCATGAGCCATACGCGCGGGGTGCGGCAGCCATTGCGCAGAAGAATGGTTATCCCAAGCCCATTGTAGATCACGCGGAGAGTAGGAATCGGGCGTTGGAGAGGTTCAAGAGTGGGCTGCAGAAATAATGTACCAGTATAATGTACGATAGGGGCGTCATGTGAGACTCGAATGAAGAATATGCCTCGGCGAGAACATCCAGAAAAGATCTCCAGCAGAACCCTAGATGCTCGCTAAAAAACGACAGAAGCGAACTGAGACAGCAAAGTTGGAGAAAGGCGGGTGAGACATTAGCGTACTTTCCCCGCAACATTCCCTCACCTTTCAACTCCCTCAGCAATGCCGTGAAATGACATCTCAAGGGGACCCATCGACCATCGACGTCGACCCAGTCGAACTACCAAATGGCAAACGACGCTGGCGCCGAAACAGAGTCGCCTGCGACTCATGCCACACCCGCCGAGTCCGATGCGACCGCGCCTTCCCGTGCTCGCGCTGTCTACGCAGCGACATAAACTGCGAATTTACCCGCGAGCGCCGGAAACGCGGTCGCATCGCGAGAACCAAGGCGAATAATGGCGATCCGCGCGACGAAGTCGAGCCCGAACAAAAGCGCCCACAGTCGCAGGCCTCGCCCGGGAATTCGCCCGCCTCCACCTTCCAGCGCTCGCCTGCCTCGAACGAAATCAGCGCCTCCGTGAGTGATGAACGACGCTCGGTGGTGGATGTGCTGCGTCCTGCTGCGAATGCCACGGAGGAATGGCTGGCCGCGGCGCATCTCTCGCCTGATTCATACGAACTCCTGAATGGGACAGGTGGGAGCGATGCGCCGCTGCCGAGGCTGATGGATCTTTGGAATTCGGTCGATTTGGGACCCCGATCGAATCAAAGATCTGTGCCGTTAGCCTCTGTGTCAGGGAATCCGCCACAAAGGCCGGCTCCGCGGTCGCCGTTGAAATATCCGGTGCTGGAGCCGGTGATGCCGTTCTTGGAGAATAATCTGCCACGGCGCCTGGTGTGCGATCTCCTGGAACTCTACTTTACAAGCGCTTTTTCCACACATATGCATCCTGTCTGTCATCACATTCATTGCTATGTCTTGCGCAAATCGTCTTTTCTGAGCGCTGATCGCCCGAGGCCGACGAGTCCCGCACTACTGGCCAGTATGCTATGGGTGGCGGCTGTGGACGACCGCGCATTTTCTTTATCTATCTCGCCCTTGCAACGCCGGAAGATATGCCAATTCCTCTGCGCTTTGATTATTCGGCTGTTGCGACCCTTGATCCACGTTTCTTTCAAAGACCAGGATCCCATGCCCGCGGAAAACACTACTGCAGCTCAAGACTTCTCCGCTTCCGCAGCCCATCATCCGTTTGAAGGCGTTGGTGATGACAAGGGGCTAGTTGGCCCTGCTGGATCCTTAGACGATGTGATTACATACATACATGTGGCATCTATCATTTCATCCAGTGAGCAGAAGGCGGCAAGTATGAGATGGTTCGTACCCCGGCCCCTACCCCCTGTCGATTTCCAGACTAACTCGTGCATAGGTGGCATGCAGCCTTTACACTAGCCCGAGAACTTAAATTGAACCAGGAGATGGAAATCACCTCGAATGCGGACCTCACCGACGGCTCGAGTCCGTCTTTTGGGTACGGCTTGGGCGGATGGCCTGGTTCTCCCGGTGGGTTGGGATTCGACTATTCCAATACGTCGCGGCCGAGTCTCAACTGTGTATGCGACAAACCCCGCGATGTGCACAGCAAACCCGTCACCGAGGAACACCGCGAAGAGCGGCGGCGAACATGGTGGCTGCTCTACATCATGGATCGTCATCTGGCCTTGTGCTACAATCGCCCCTTGGCTCTTCTTGACGCTGAAAGTGAGGACCTGCTTCTCCCCTTGGATGAAAGCGCCTGGCAAGCCGGAATCATCCATACCAACAGCCCTCGACCGGACGGCCCCCAATGCCTTCGGTCGGGAGATCAAAACAAACGCCGCGTTTTCCCCAACTTCGTTTGCCACGACCACTCCATCCTCGGCTTCTTCCTTCCCCTGATGACCATTACGGGTGAATTGATCGACCTGAACCAAGCGCGAAACCATCCCACTCTCGGTGTGCGCCTTTTAGGAAAAGACGCATGGGAGACCCAAGTGGCCGAAGTCCTCCGCCAGCTGGAGATCTACAAAGCTAGTCTCACTGCATTTGCGACAACCAGTGCACCGGACCCAGAAGCCCCATTGACGAACACGTTCTCAAAATCGGACCCCGTCGATCCTCAGTTGTCTCAGGCCTATTCATGGCACACCCAAACTGTGATCGCCTACTCCTCCTACCTCACCCACGTCCTGCATATCCTCCTGGTTGGAAAATGGGACCCCGTGTCTTTGATCGAGGATAAAGATTTCTGGACCTCCTCCCCCGCTTTTGCCTCCACCATCTCACACGCGCTAGAGGCAGCCGACTCTGTCGCACAGATTCTGCGCTTCGACCCAGACATTAGCTTCATGCCTTATTTCTTTGGCATCCAACTTCTCCAGGGCAGTTTCCTTCTTCTCTTGATCGTGGAGCGACTCCAAAAAGAGGCGGGCGAAGGTATCCTCAACGCCTGCGAGACTATGATCCGCGCCACTGAGTCGTGCGTGGTGACCTTGAACACTGAATATCAGCGCAGCTTCCGGCAGGTGATGCGCTCAGCGGTTGCGCAGGCCCGTGGTCGCCCGGTAAACCCGAGTGAAATTCGGCATCGCCGGAAAGCCGTGCTAGCTCTGTACCGTTGGACCCGAAAGGGCACTGGATTGGCCCTGTGACCCCGCATTATGTTCCTGCCGATCGTGGAGGAGCTTGTACATATTTCACTTTGGACTATGCAGTATCCATCTGGGCATTGTAACATGACGCGTGTATAGATATAATTTACTTTGACTTCGAGAGGCATTTCGCTCCGAGGCATTTAACTTCACTGTCATTTTTAGCCGAGTGTCTCTCGGTTCGATGCTTCGATATTAACCGTGGTCACCTGCGCCGGTCGAAAATCCCCGATTGGTCACAGAATCCGGGGAAATCGGTTAATTGTCTATTTGCCGAAGGAGCTCGCTTCCTCATGTTTTTGCCCCGGATTCTCCGCAACTCCGCAGCTCGCATGATCGTGTTTTTTTGTTCCTGTTTTGTTTTAAATTAGAGCATGGCCCCGGTCTGGGGAAATCTCTCTTTGCAAGATCGCGCAGCTGACCCGACTACAATTTGTTACATTGATCTTACAAGATATCAACAATGACTGAGTCTCAGTTCATGTATGAATCATGGCCAGTCGAGGGCTTTCAAGCTCTACCACAGCTGGATCAACCATTCATTGCTGGCGACTTTCCTCTCATGGAAGAGCTAGATCCAAGCTTGGTGGAGCAGTTGAACATGCCCAAGTCCAATTTCCAACCATACCCGGCATTGTGGTATGAAGCTGGTCTTGTTAGACAAGACTGCGATATGAATCAGGAGCCCAGGTAAATAACACCCAACTATGACCAACAGAGTGGCCTGAACAAAAAAAAAAGAACGAGCATGTGATTAACAGAATCTAGTCATTTCCCCGAGAATACCCCGACCCTCGACCAACTCGCAACCCAACGAGCGCTCTTCATGACCCCGGCATTCCAATTCCCAGCATCTCCAACCTCCGATACGCGCAGTTCTCCCGACCCAATCTCAACATGGGAAGAAGAGTCAGGACAATACAACTTCGATCTGAACATGGATCAATTCCAGTCCCCACAATTAGAGAGCCAAGCCCAACTCTCAGAAGACTACTTCACACCCCTGGAGATGCCAGACGGAAGTACTCGGCTGACGTCAAACTGGCTGCCCGTGGACCCCGAAGCCGGTTTCACCATCGCCGCGCCGGAGGAACAATTCCAAGATATGAAATTCGCCTTCTTCCCCTCGGAGCCGACGGCCTGGTCGTATGATCGGTGATTGGTTCGGGAGCTAAAATATGCACCTATATAAAATCCATCACCCACGGGGCCAGTCGCTGTGGATATACGGAGTACGATGACTGTGCCGACTCCACCGGGAAACAACACTTTACCGACCTCGGCACGGCGACCCTCTTACCCCCCGCCAAGCTGGACGCTTGGACTTAGTCCGTGATTGAGAATTGGTTTGACGCTTATAGCGCACCGAGACACTTGCGCTAGCGGGGATGCTGAATCGGAGGTCATGTGAAGGATATATTTCAGGTCTCGATGAGACAAAGAGTATCTTCACGAATAAATACAAAAGCAATAATCTTTTGTTTATGCTATGCAAGCAAAGAAAGAAATATTTATGACCTTGGAATCTTGAGAATCCTGCACGTATTGAATCCGTAGTTCGCAGTACCCACCACAGAATAGAAGTTCGATTTAGAACCAACCAAATCCACCGAATCCACCATGTCCATGTCCGTGTCCATGACGATGCCCAGAGCCAGGGGTCTGCAGAGGCTCGGGAGTAGCCGAAGGGGTAACAGAAGGCTGGGCACCGACGGTTTTCCAGCCCCAAGTGGGGCGGGGTCCGAGAGCAGAAGCACCAGGGCCAGCAGAAGAGAGGATGGGCAGGGTCGGCGCGAATGGGAACTCGCGACGGCGCTTGGAGCTGTTGCTCAGCTTTCCAGTACCGGCGTTGGAGAGGACGGAGGAGCGCACGCGGCTGGCTTCGATGACGTTCACGCCGGTCTCGGTGGGCCAGTTGCTTAGCACGGAGTCGTCGGAGGCGGAGAGCTTGCCGGATTGGACGAGGGTGTTGGCTGCACAGGTGCGGCCGAGGGCGGACTTGCAGCTTGATTGGGTGTCGGTGCTTACGGCGAAGGTTGCGCCGGGGGAGCTGTCGGTTAGCATTGGGGTGTCGACTTGGTGGAAGACGTTGCCTTCGATGAAGGCGTTGACGTTCTCGCCGACGTCGAAGGCGTGTCCAGTGTTGTTGAACCAGTAGTTGTTGTAGGCGTGCCAGTAGTTGGCGAATTCGAGCTTCGGGGATCGGCCGGAGGTGTGGTGGATGTAGTTGCCTGTGAAGGTGACGTGGTCACCCTTTCCGTAGCCGAGACTGGGAATGTCAGTATGGATGAGGGTGAATGGAGGATGAGCCATGACATACACGGTCCAGTAGTGGTGGCCGTCGCAGGAGGAGGACCAGCTTGTCCGGCCGTCAAACTCGGAGTTGGAGATGGTCACCTTGCCGGCTGGGATTGTTAGCTAGCTCTCGAAAGGAGTGTAAATTCAACATACCAGACTTGTATCCAGAGACGAACATCTGGCGACCAACGAGCGAGACTTTGACATGGTCAATCCAAATCTTGTCAGTGCCATCCAGGGTGATGGCATCTCCACCCCAGATGAACTGGGGGTTCAGCTCGGTGATGTGAATGTTCTGGATGATAACATTGCTAACGCCGTTCTTCATCAGCAAACCCCGGCCGCGAATAACACCCTCGCTGCCAACGCCAACAATCGACTTGTTGGAGGCCACGGTGATGCCCTCCAGACCAGCCTTGTCATAGGTACAAGTGGTAGTAGGGTAAGAGCCACACCAGTCAGAGTTGTCAATGGCATTCTGACCGGCACTGCCACAGGTGTTGGAATCGGGAATGCAGCACTTGCAGTCGGTACACTTGCCCTGGCTGCCGAGGTAGTTGAACTCCTTGTCGATGAGAATCGTACGAGGAGTACTGTCCCCGAGCCACTTGGTCAGCTCGGTGATATCACTGGGCGCAGCAGCAGCGGCATTACCGCCGCCAGTCGTGCCAGATGCGAAACCAACAGCGCTGCCAGTGACACCGGCAGCCTGTGCGGTGCCCAGAAGGGCAACAGCCGCAACCAGAGTCTTAAAGAAGGACATAGTATGCAAGCTGTGAAAAATAACAAAATGACTGAGCCAGCAGTCTAACAACAATAAAAACAATGGATCAGAAGCAAAAAAGAATGATTGCTCTGAGGATTAGACCCTGCGACGTCGACTTTTTTATACCCCAAGCACATCCCGCAAAGGAATGCGGGAGGTGGGTCGCCTTGTTTGAGCTTGAGTGGACAAGAGGCTTGTATGAAGATCAATACCCGTCCGCGGAAGTTTGCAACTGCGGATTGACGATCCTTGAGCGTTGTGATCGACATATGCCTTCCAGTTCCTGTTGCGCGCCCCACCGGCGTTTCAGCGTGGGCGAGATGTGCCTTTTCCATCTGGATAGGGGTTGGGGTTGGCTATGCTTTGCCGATGAGCACAGAGGGTGGTGGTAGCATACCTGTCGATCCGGCTGTTAGCGAAGGTTGAAGGGAAGGCACAAAGGAATGCCACTGAATGTCCCAAGCTTGGATCTACCCTGGAGGTTTGCATCGTCTGTTAACAGTCAAGTTTTCGAATCAGAACGTGGAGCTCTATACCAGTACACTGTTGGCCGTAGAGATACCTACCTACCTAGGTAGTATATCAGCCGCGTACTGTCCCTTTTAATATATGGAACAAATAAGACCATGTCAAGTAACTCGTGGACACAGCCTGAGCTCGGATGGTTATTATTGACGCACAATTCTCGTATGGCAACAATTTCTGGTTTTCATCAATATCAATCAAATGTAACCGAATTCCAGTTCTCTCGACAGCTCTTGGCCTACTAGTACGGGTACACTTTACCATGGACTTCCTGATGTATGTATGTAGCTCATGCTAGATGCCAGGAAAGCCCGAGGATACACCGACATTAAGTGGGCCTTCCCCGTCCCGGTCTTGTTTCAGCATAACCGGCCCGTAGGAAGTGTTATCTGATGTTCGACCAGATCCATAGCGGCTGAAGTGATAAATGCGATACAAAGGATTACGTGGGCTCTATAAAGACTTCTCAAGAGGAGAGCTTGAACTGCTGGAGTGTACAAGTATGATTTCAACTATGCAAGCACATACTGCACAGAAGCGACACATGCAAACCGTAGACCAATGTGATATCAGAACAGAAAGTATTAGTGCATGCAACCCTCAAAGTCTATCACGTCGACAAAATAGAGTGTGCTAGGTGGAGAACACAGGGTTCGCATGGAATAAAGCCGAACCCCTTAATTAACGGCAACTGAATGACGACGCACTGTTGACGTCTCCACCATCATACGTGAAAACTTGGGGATATGGACACAGGTAGCCCGTGCGGGTGCTGGAGGTATTTCCAACAGCCACAGCCACACCTTCCAATCGATCTGGGACTGTTCCATTCTCAACCCAGGCTCGCATAGTGTCGAAGACGGTTTCGGCGGGATCAAATCCATTACCGAATCCACAATGGGTGACGCCGGGCGCGAGGAACAATCGATAATAGCTGTCGACATCGGGGTCGAGGCTTTGCGTCTGCTCGTAATACTCGACAGAGCTATTCGTGGGAACTAGCTGGTCGGCCATGCCGTGCCAGGCTAGCATTTTTGTTCCGGTCTTTTTCATTTTCGACAAGTCGGGGTTTGAAGTGCCGATGATGGAGGAGTATTGCTCGACGGATTGATGGAAAAGTCGATCGTAGTTTTGGCGAGTGAGGCCATTGACACTGAACGAGCGGCTGCGAGCGAGGAACGCACTAACCCAGTCTTGGGCAATGGGGAATGGAACGATGGTACAGTTATTGATAGAAGTGCAAGTCGTGCCGATCATGGACGCAATGTCGGAATCATAGTGGAACCCATGCCACAAGGATTCACCATCTACTGATTCGGGCCCTTGCCATACGGCAGAGACCAGGTCAGCAATTTCCTTGGTGATAATGACAGTCCCGTTTGGATCGGTGCAATTCACTTCGCGACCGACAAGGGAGGATGCATCAAAGTCGCATTGGCCTGGGTAGGCAATAATTCCGTCTGTGACGCCGTCAAGAGCGTCACACTCTGCAATGGCCGCCTCCTTAACAGCTTCAATCACGCACACCGGTGGCTTGGTGTCTTTTGAATTTTGTCAGCAAAAGAAACAACACTGGAAGAGGGCTTTCGTCTTACTTGAAAGTTGTGCAATGAATGGTCCCCATAGACCCGCCGTGGCAAACTTATCCCAAGTGATCGCAGATGCACCAGCAACAATTCCATCAAACAATTCAGGGTTTTCCTGTGCCATAGCATGTCCTTGTCGACCACCGGTAGAGCATCCATGCCAGTATGAATACCTGGCATGCTTTCCATAGTACAGCTTGGTCGCGAGCTTTCCCAGAACCGCAGCCTCCGTAATTGCGATACTTGAAAAGTCGCGAAGATTAGGCCAATTCGTTCGTCCCTGGCTGGTCAGACCCCAATCTGCAGTTGATTCATCGGGTCTGTGCCCTCCATCGGTGGAGGAAGACGTGTATCCGAGTAATACTGGTGTTAGAATGCTGCTTTGACCACCGGCAGACCATCCACCTCCTCCATGCATGAGGAAGCGTGAGTTCCACTTGCTTGCATCCAGTGGGAGACCGATGTAGGTGTTAATAACATCGTTCTGGTGTGGGTGTGTATATGTTATAGAGATCAGGCAGATGTCCACAGTTGGGGTTTCGACACCAGGAATGTCAGGGATGACACCAACACCACCAGTCGAATTGCGGCCACTGGTTGAGAAGTTGCGATTGGCGGTAACATGAACAGACAGGATTTTGATCTCACTTAATGAGAGGGACTTGAAGGTTTTGGCGGAGCAGGCTGGTGTCTGTGGTTGTTTTGTTGCAAAGGTCCCACAGAAGAAGCCGCATAGCAGGAGGAACATTGTCGCTATATGAAATGCCATTGTGTTGGGTATCCGATTCAACAGGTACAATGTCTTTCAAAGACTCTTGCTTTCGGTTCGCTGTGTTGAGATATTCTGTCCATCAGGAGGAAGCCCCGTCGCTTTATATCCGATAATCCGAGCACGGTTCGACATAGCATTACTCATGGTTTGGGTACCTGGGAGTGGGTAGTACCTGTAAATCGGCCGTGAAAGCCGCATGTCAATATGATGGGTCAGACTGTTGACATTTCGTGTGTCTCGGTCCCCCTATGACGGGTACGACATCCACCTACGCTGAGTATAGTTCCAGAAGCCCAGCTAATGGCGTAAAACTTAAGCAAATTTCGATGCCTGTCGGGCTATGCTTGGTATCGACTTCCGCGGAGTGATCTCGTATAGCCACGATGGCTGGTGCCAAGCATCTGTGCCTGGGCCGTGACTGGCGGGCTGATGAGGCTTGGAGCGAAGGTGCATGCGGACTAGCGGATCGCACATTCCCATTCGGGTATATGGTGCTTCCGTCACATCTTTTGCATTTCTGTGCGGTGAATGCCCCGACGCTTTGATTGTGGGGAGGCTGGAGCGTCCACGGCAGACGCCTGGTGCTTAATTGTTCGGCGATGTATTTCCGAGATCCCCGCCCACGTCAGCGCGAAAACCAGCCTTCGACGTTGGGCTCATGGTAGGGTTTTGGGGGAAACGAGATGGTGGTATTCTCGTGGGTACTGTAGGTAGTAAAATCCCCTAAAATGAAACTGAGCGTGTTTCACAAGCCTTCAAATGCATCTTCTGCATGCCCCGATTTTTAACACACTGACGGAACTTCATAACTTCCAATGCGGTTGTACAGCCGTCTGCGATCTGTTCCGCGAAGACGACAGATCTGAAATCGACTGTTCCAAGGAACACTTCTTTCTCAAAGAGTGATGCCTTATTCGAATATGCTTCGTATGGGCATGGGATTCTGGATTTTTCGCCAATGTGATTGCCCCCTTGCCATCGCCATGAGTGAATCAATCAGGAGCAGCGAGAACCAGATGACATGTTGGGTAGTGAGTGCTTGCGCGACGTAGCCGTTGGGAGTTACAAAGCTTCGTCGGTTTGTTGAAAACCTGGGGATACAAAGGATGCATTCAAAAGACTGCAAAACAAGAGCTTAGTTTCCTTGAGAGTTTTCCACTGCTGCATTTGACGGTGCTGGTCGTGGGTGTGGGTGTCGGTGGGCGTAGAAGATAGTTTTACTTTCCCCCCCTCTCTTCTCTCTTCTCTCTTACAACCAAGTTGAGACTCATTTTTTTCGTCCCTACGTACAAAGAGTTCTTCGGAGGTTTCAAATCCTATTCGTTATTTCACTTATAGCTCACGGCTCTTTTCACGGGCCACAACTTAGGATACAAGGCCTTCTGGTTTACGCGTGCACATTGGTGAGAAGGGTAGCTATTTCTTCAGTGAGTCATGTAGTTGCAAATCTAACGAAAGTCTATAACAACAGTCTATAGTATAATAAAAATCTCACAAAGTTCGCCGTTCAGTCAAAGATGCTAGCCTTCATCGAGTTAGGCTGAATATACTCGGACGCATTCCGGAAGCTAGTGAAGCCCCACCGAATCTGACCGGCCATCGCGATCTCCACGTCCAGATCCTTAGCAAAGGCCCACGCAAGACCGGGGTCTCGTTGGAATGCCCGTCCCACGAGAATCACATCCAAGTTATCCTCCTGCAGGATCTTGTCAGCAAGGTCACCATGGTTGATCATACCAACGGCCGCAACCAGCATCCGATCTCCAACGGCCTTCTTTACAGCCGCAGCAAGAGGGACCTGGAAAGCTGGCCCACTTGTGATCTTCTGTGCTACATGAACACCACCGGAGCTAATATCGATCAGATCGATGGCGCCTTGCTCAGCAAGAAGGCGAGCAAAGTCGACAGTATCGTTCAGCTTCCAGCCTTGCTCGCCGGGCATGCTGTTTTCAAGCCAATCTGTGCCAGAGACACGAATGAAGACGGGCATGTTAGGACCGACAGTATCGCGAGTCAACTGCGCAACCTCGAGTGGGAGACGAGTACGGTTTTCGAAGCTACCGCCATACTGGTCGGTGCGGTTGTTGGAAGACGCACTCAGGAATGAGGAAAGCAGATAGCCGTGCGCAGCATGGATCTCGATGAAGTCAACGCCGGCACTCACAGCGCGCTTGGTGGCAGATTCCCAGGCCAACTTCAATTCCTCGATATCCTGCGCAGTCATGGCCTTCGGCACAATATCATTCGGGGAGAAAGGAATAGCGCTCGGGGCCTTGACGTTATCCACCCATCCACCAACAGCATTGGTAGCAGTGGCTCCGCCCATCCAGGGCGGAAGCGTGGACGCTTTGCGGCCGGCGTGGGCGAGCTGAATTCCAATTTTCTGTCCTTGGCTGTGTGCGAAGTCAACAACCGCCTTGAGTGGGGCGATCTGCGAATCGTTCCACAATCCGAGACAGCCAGGGGTGATTCGGCCTTCGGGGAGGACACCGGTGGCTTCAATAATCATTAAACCCGGTCCGCGCTGCGCAATTGATCCATAATGAGCTTGGTGCCATGGGGTCATTTGGCCTGCTGTGGCGCCTTCTGGAGGGGCACTGTATTGACACATGGGGGCGAGACCGAGACGGTTTTGGAAATTCATGCCTCGGACCGTCAAAGGTTGAAAGAGCTTGGGAATGGGCTTCCCGGATGTTTGGGGGTTGCGCGCAGTGCCGGCGGGTGGGCTTTGGGCCGGGGTGTGGAAGGGAACGCCTGGGGCGGCCTTGATGTGGACATCGGGCCAGTTGGTCATTTTGTTGATTGATGATGTTTGGGGCGCTGGAATTATGCAAAGGTATAGTGAGGCAATTGCTGAAAGAATTGATGAGTCTTATTGTTGCATTGGCTCAAGGTTCTTATATAGATCAGCGATCTCCTGGCCGTGGTGTGATACGCTTAGAAATTGATCGGGATTTGTAATGCAACCGATGAGTCCCGTAAAATCTTCAAATGCCGCGAGTACTTCTTAGTTCGAAGGTTATTCGCGATGTGAATGTGTCCGAGTCGACTCGGCAGGACATTGCACCGTATTGGTGCGACCCACCGACATTGATCGTTGGACACGGGCATTCAAGGTTTCGGGAACGGGCTCTGCAGCGAAAAATCCATCTTTTGCCACACACTCCATCAAGGGAATATTGGTGGATTTACTCACTAATCGCAACAGCCCTGGAGTCTGGGGTCTCCGGCTGTCGAACCTCTGAGCCCGGCACCTAGGACTTCACGGACAATCACCAACAAAGGTCTTACAAAGGTTATATAAAAGGATTGATCAACTTGGAAGCTCTGCTGGACTTTTTATCTGGTATCTTCAAACCCTATCTTTTCAAATAGAAGTAAAAGGGTCCTGTATCCCCCAGACCTTTACCTTCCATCAACCCAGCCAAAATGCTCTCGTTGACGTATCGGAAATGATCGAAAATGGGTCGATCGTCATATATCATCGCCGTAGATACAACCCCGTCGTATACCATCTCGCGTAGCTATATGAGATTCATCAGTTTCATCGACGGGTGTATGTCTCACTCGGAGAGTTGTCAAGAAACATACACTAGCGAACCCCCATTCCGCCCAGCTGACTCGTTCTCCATCTCGGTTGACGATAATCGGATCAACATCTTCGAGAGACTTGAAGGACTTTCCAACCCATTGAATTTCATTCAATTGGGCAGCGAAGGGGTGTCCAGTGTCAAAGAAACCGCCGTTCCAATCGCCAATGAGCTGGTCCGGTTTGACAGGAGGCAGCTCTTTGAATAGAATGTCCATGGTCTCTGGGTTGAATTTTAGGCCGGCGCCAATGGCGGCGATGTACCTATCTGACACACTACGGCAGTAAGTATCACACCACTTTGCCACAGATATCGGAGTACTTACGGGGCCATTGGGACGTTGCTTTCAGGTGATGGAGAACGAAGATCAATAACATCACAAGTATCCATGGTGGTGCCCTGCTGCACCCCAATCTCGGGATTTCGGGATCGCAGATTCCATCCCGTAGCTGTGATCTTACCCTTCTTGATTCGTGCAATTTGGTTCTTTAGATCCCCTCTTAAAACGGGACCCTGCCTCTCTTCTTCTAAGATCTGCCAAATCTCCCTTTGGGGCAAAGCAATAAGCTCAGTAATTTTAGCTATTTCAGCTTCTGTAAAGTGCCTAGCTTCATGGTATAGTAGTGGATCTTTAAACTCATGGTTATGGTTAGGGTCACGTACCCGAAGTTGCCATTTTGTGCTTTTTCCAACGCCGTATTTCAATTGTTTAGGGCATTTAGCATAAAGCGAAAATGGACAGCCCGTGCGCATTGACGGCCTGTTTCGTGGATGCGGGACAGTAGAAGGGGTTGTGCGCCGTTTTGAGGTGTCAGAGTGTTTACATCGAATGGTCATATTTAAACCAGGGTTTGAGCTGGCTTTCACAACACAATACCAATGGGAGAGTGCCCAATTTTGGACATAATCTAACACCTGCTGTGCCGAGTCAAACTCACCTTCGGGAGGGGGGTCAAGCGCACTTATCTGCCCGGGGTCAGTAGCTGGCCTAGGGGGAGTCATTGCCGGGCTCGTCGCGTTGTTCAAATCGGTCATTTTGGTAGGTTTGATGGTTCCCAAATAGGAAGTAATGCAGCTCGGTACAGATATCAAAAACGGAGAGATCTCTATAGAAGAAGGGTATACGGGCACAATAACTGCATTTTTTGACGTCGAAACCATAGGTTGCTATGGCAATTAGGTAGGTAGGGGGCGTAAGAGGGCTGGTCACCTGACCTTCCAAATTGTGATGACAAATATCTGCCCTGCTCCAGCGCACCAAAAAGTCTCCGAGGGCGTTTGTCAGTGAAGATTGTTACGCCTCACGCCCTACGCCCCACAGAGCTGAAATCTCATGCGGAACGGAAGGAATCACTTCAGGCGCAATGAAAATTGACAAGGCTAATTCTAGCTCAACCCTATATGCCATGAAATTAACATTACATACCTTCATCCACGGAATAGTGACATTATTGACAGGTGCTATTCCACATGGGTCCGATGCAGACATCTGGCCCGAAAGCCCATAAAAAACCATCTGCACTGCTTGGGTTGACCTATTTCCAAGTCGATTCCACGATGCCTTCGGATATTGTGACGGGTGCTACTGTTAGGTGGGAGATCCGATCCTTGGTCAGGTAAATCACATCTCAAGACCGGACCCGAGTGGAACGTCGTGAACAACAGATATTCCTTCAGTCATTCTCATGGGTCATGACGAATCATCCGCAGGACGCTTTTCACCTGGGAATTTTTGTCGCCTATATTCTCCCCATCGCTGCTCAGGTGAGGATGAGCTGCTTTACAACCAGATCTACTATAACAAACGTTCATCCCCGAGGGTCACAATGAACGGGAAGTCTATCTCTTAACGCCGATCTCGGGAGGCCGCAGCCCAGCCAATGGCAGAGTGTATCTGGCATCTGGCACTAGCCCGATTCGGTTAGTTTCTGGTCAGCATCTCGGACTTAAGCATTCAGCGGGCACGAAAGTGCATTTAAGGGTCTCATCGCCTTGGATAGCATTATCATATTCAGCAATCAAGCGATATTTTCTTTCAATATGCATCTCATCCTCACCGGCGCCACTGGTCTGGTCGGCTCGTCCGTCCTTGACGCCATGCTCGGCAATGCCGCCATTTCAAAGATCTCAATCTTAAGTCGAAGCCCTGTTCGAATGGCTGAAGATTCCAAGGATCCACGAGTCAACGTCATCCGTCACAAAGATTTCGAGTCGTACAACTCAGATGTTCTGAACCAATTGAAAGATGCCGACGGATGTGTATGGGCTCTTGGTACGAGTCAAAACAACGTTAGCAAGGAGTCAGTGAAATCGGAGCCATTGCATGAAGGAAGTCAAGGCTAATATTCACCAGGCAATATGAGAAAATCACCAAAGACTTCACACTGGCAGCAGCAAAAGCATTCTCCACCATCAAGCCTCCAAGTGCTCCGTTCCGATTCATCCACGTATCGGGCGAAGGAGCAACCCAGAATCCAGGTCGGTTCTCACCGATTTTTGCCCGAGTAAAGGGCGAGACAGAGTCTCTCCTTGGCAAGTTATCAGAAGAAAACCCACATTTCCGCGTTGACAGCGTGCGTCCTGCGTTTGTTGACTCCGCCGAACACCAGGCAATCAAGCCATATCTCCCCTCTGCCGGACTCGCTGAGACGGTAATGAAAGCAGGGGTTGCTTTGATCGCCCCTGGTATTCGATGCTTTTACAAATCAATGCACTCTCCGACGCAGAATCTTGGGCCTTTCTTGACGGACATGGCCATGGGGCGATATGAGGCTAAGCTGCAAGGCCCCGGCGTTTTCAAGCTGGGAGGTGGCTTTGTTGTTGAAAATGTGGGAATGCGAAGGATCCTTGGTATTTGAATTAAGTCTGCAACTTCTCAAATGTGTCCTTTTTTATGTAAAATGATCATGGGATTGCGAAGGGGGATCGTTGCGGAGTTTTTTTTTCAGAACCAAACGGGAAATACACACCACTCTTCTAATTACCGATATCAAAGTGCACGTATACCTTAGTTTTCGGCCGTATCCGAGGGGCGGGTTGATCTTCACCTAAAGAGGATGGCGGAGGATGGTGGACAAAGAAAGTCCATGGGCGGACCATGTTTTATGTCCTCAGGGGTATCTAGCGGCACACCATAATGCTAGCCAATGGGTCGGATTTCAACTATTGAGAGAATATCCCGACGTTATTGAGGCTCGTTTCGGGCAACAGACGACAGTTGGAGAGAGATGAGCTACTGGGAGGTTTCACCCAAGATTTTGCCATCACAGAACACTCCTTTGTCTTCATCGCAGGGAACAGATAATTGTCTGGCTCTGATCCAATCAATCGAATTACAAATACCTCCTTGTTGCGGCCAGAGCTTTCGTCGAGGCTAACAAACGTCGGATATGATACTGCATGTTTACATCAATAACAGAATATCCCCGTCTCAATAGGAGATATGACTCGGTCAACCGAGTGACTTTTTTAATCCCAGTTCGAGACGTGGTATAAGTAATTGAAGAGTTCGCCGTGAATTCGAGGCTCATACCAATTCACCTTACCTACTCCCAACCAGCCATGAAGTTCCTCTCCGGCAGCGCTCTCGCGCTTTTCAGCCTCCTCGCAACCACCGCAGTTGTCCACGCCAGCCCAGTCCCGGCGGACCTTCCCAAATGCAGTTCAAGGAAGCCGCTTTGGACCCCTTACTGCATTGGCGGAGATGGCGAGGTCCACGAGGTCGCCTAAACATCGCAATTTCCGTCTCACAAATACCAGCCGGAGGTCAGTAGAAGATTTGTGGTTCGACCGAGTGCGACCAGACCTTGACACTGACTGAATATTGAAAAGCAGCCTTTCTGATAAGTCGGAAGACCAGCTGAGATCTTGGGCATGTTTGGGAATTTCCTTTAATTGGGTTTCATATGACCGTTGAGGCTTGGCTTCCAGGTTGAGGCTTCGGTGTGGGTTTGAGGCACCCCTTCGTCCGCTATTATTCTGTTTGACACTTGGAATGCCATATTTGACTGTTATCTTTTAAACCCTTGGAAGAATGAACTTGTTTTTGGCATGCAGTTGAAATGCTCTGGGCTGTGACGGTCGTAATTTTGCTGTGGATTAGAATATGTTTCTGAACTCGGTGAGATCCGGGGCAACCTCAGAGGGCTCTTGTAGATAAGCTGGGCTAAGCGTACCTAGGTAGCATCACCTGGGCGCAATGAGGACCCTTCAGTTAAAATAAACACAGAGTACGGAGTAGGTAGTGTTCCATCCCGACTATATTTAATGCCACGGCCCCACTTGGCGCAACACCTATGCATTGGCGATAAACTCGATCTTTCGGAATTTTTTCCTCTCAAGAAATATGATTCATGTTGAGATGAATGCATGGGCGTCTTCGTGCTCAATTTACCCGAAGGATTGTTGTCCAGGTGCTTCCCCGCGGACTCTCGGTTGTGACATCCAGTCAGCCCTAGGAAGGAATCGCCGTGGATCCCTCCGGTCGACTTTACACCGACTGACCGGAGAATTCCCCAAAATCGGAGAAGAGGAGGCCCGAGAGAGCTAAAAGAGCATGGCTAGAATATTTTTCCGACTAGTACTGACAAGTGATCCGTGCCATTGAAACAACCATCCCCCCACATGGAATTGCAGGGGGGTCTTGGCAGGCCTACGCGAGCTGCATGGCCTTCGGTAAATCTGCACCCCTCAATCAACCTGCCGTGTGCTTATTTCTGCAGGGCACTAGCCTCTGCGCCCATTCTGCACAGGCTCCGTCCCCAACGCGGATATCGCGCGACCGCCAAGAACCCTGAAACGCCATGCATTGGTGGAACTATGGCTAAATCCAGTGCGCGGCGCAGAGCTACTCCGTATGCAGGAACGGAATGCCAGCAGCTGACATATCTCCACCTTTCAGCGTGAAGAGTTTCAGCATGAGTGTCGGTGATGTCCCGGTGGTATATAACCGGGTGGTCCACAGCTCGTCTGTGAAGAGAAAGTTGCAGGCTGATCTTCGCTGACAAGACAGGATGTTTTTCAAGTCTCTTGCCGTTGCCTCGCTGGCACTCTTTGCCGAAACGGCCTCTGCTGCTTTTGGTCTCACCACTAGCTCCTCCTCTTACGTGATTGATGCTGGATCTTCTAACCCGCTCAAGTTCACGGTCAGCCGGACCAACTGTGACATTACCTCGATCAACTTCTATGGCTCTGAGCTGCAGTATCAGTCGACGGGCTCGCATATTGGCTCTGGCCTGGGAAGCAGTGCTACTGTGACAGCTACCCAGAGTGGTGAGTTAAACCATAGCAATATTATCTGCCACGGAGCTGACGAGAAAAGGCGACTACATCAAGGTGACATGTGCTACGTCCACCCTAACACACTACTATGTTGTCCACAGCGGAGATCCGATCATCCACATGGCAACTTACACCACCGAGGGTCAGTTGGCAATCACGCCATCACGCTACATATGCTAACGATGAATAGAGCCATCCGTGGGAGAGCTTCGGTACATTGCCCGTTTGAATGCGGACCTTCTCCCCAACGAAGAGCCATTCGGTGTCGTGTCTAACATTGGAGGCGGATCCGTTGTTGAAGGCGAGGATGTGGTATGTTGCGTCGCAAGTGAATAGGACAAGACACAATCTAACAGATTCCAGTTCCTTGTTGATGGCCAGACTCGCAGCAAGTTCTACTCCAGCGAGCGTTTCATCGATGATAACATTCACTGTGCGTCTCTAATTGCTCTTAGAAGTCTTCATTACTGACACAAACAGGTGTTTCCGGAAGTGCCCACCGGGTTTGCATGATCTTGAACCAATACGAAACTTCCGCTGGAGGACCCTTCCATCGGTATGTCCTTCCAATATGTGAGCCGGGGTAAGCTAATAAACTTCAGTGACATCAACACAAACAATGTTGGCTCCTACACCGGTCTCTACTGGTACATGGTAAGTTGACCGAATATTGTCATCCGACCAAACACTCACTGCTCTTAGAACTCCGGACATGTCCAAACCGAGACCTACCGCCAGGGTCTGCACGGCCCATACTCCATGTACTTCAGCCGAAGCGGAACACCAAGCACAAACATTGATACGTCCTTCTTCGCCGACCTCGATATTAAGGGATACGTCGCTACATCTGGAAGAGGCTATGTCAAGGGTACTGCCTCCGGCGCTGACTCGTCCTTCAAATGGGTCATTCATTGGTGAGTCTGTCTGGGGTATGCAAGTACTTAGCTCTAACACTGAAATAGGTACAACTCCGATGCGCAATACTGGACTTACGCTTCTTCCTCCGGATCGTTCACATCTCCCGCTATGAAGCCCGGCACATACACCATGGTCTACTACCAGGGTGAATACCCCGTTGCCACTTCCTCGGTCACCGTGACTGCTGGATCTACCGCTTCCAAGAGCATCTCAGGCTCTGTCAAGACAGGAACCACTATTTTCAGAATTGGAGACTGGGACAAGACGTATGGACCCACGTGGAGTGATGGAATGCCCAGACTGACCATTTAATAGCCCTACCGGATTCCGCAATGCCGCAAACCAGCTCCGCATGCACCCATCTGACAGCCGCATGTCATCTTGGAGCCCGGGCACTTACACAGTCGGTAGCTCATCGCTCACTGACTTCCCGATGGCGTTGTTCAAATCTGTCAACTCACCACTGACCATCAAGTTCACTGCTACTTCTTCTCAAACCGGCGCTGCCACACTGAGAATTGGAACTACACTGTCCTTTGCCGGCGGTCGTCCCCAAGCTACGGTACGCACATTTCGCTTCACATCACCGGGTGGCTTTCTAATTAGTTCGATAGATCAACAGTTATACCGGCTCTACCCCGTCCGCTCCTACTAACCTGAACTCCCGCGGTGTCACCCGAGGTGCCTACAGAGGATTCGGTGAGGTTTATGACGTCTCAATCCCCGCTGGAACTATTGTTGCTGGAACAAACACTGTGAGTGCAAATTCCGAACCAAGTCAAGCCAGAATTAACACCGTCTAGATTACCATAAGTGTTGTATCAGGTAGCTCAGGCACTACCTACCTCAGCCCCAACTTCGTGAGTAGCATTCTGACAATATACTTTACATTGAGCACTTCTGACATCACTAGATCTTCGATGCGGTCGAGCTCTTCCAGTAAAGCCGGGCTAGCTGGACAATGGCACCAAAGGGAAGGAAGCGAGAGACAGACTACAGTGTACTAAGCTGCTGATAGTGGACTGTGCCCTAGGGTGAATATGCAGATGCAGAGTGGCCCGTAGTAAATATTCAACTATTGGATTCTATCTTCTAGTGTGCACCAGCCTCCCTCCAACCCAAACAGCCTTCACATTCCGATCGTCACCACTCCAGACCCACTTCTGGATTTTCTCCTCCCAAGTCTCAGTCCCGAAGATATCAACATTCCCTATGGGGCCCGTATGCACAAGATCCGCATCCCCATTGGAGAATGTCTCTAAAGGACTGATCTCACGTTCTCGCACACCACCAAGCTGAATCAACTGCACATCCCACAGCATCTCCCTGTCAAATCCACCAACCTCCTCCGCCATATCAATGACAGCCGCACCACCACGGGTAGCCAAGTAAAGACTTTCAGCAACAGAAAGCTTTTCCCGACCCTCATCATCCCCAGGATCAGGATGATTCTTCTGCCACTCCACTGTCTGCCCCAACAGCCTGGACACCAAGCAAGCCTGCCGCGCCGCCTCCAGAATACTGGGACTATACCCACCACTGACATCCGTACCTAGTCCAACCGTGATACCCTCATCAATCAAAGTCCTAACAGGACATATTCCAGACCCAAGCGCTGAGTTCGACGCCGGACAATGCGAGACTTTCGCATCGCGCGCTCGCACAAGTTTCCGCTCTTCGGCCGTCAGATGTACCGCATGGGCAAGTATTGTCCGTCGCGTCAGCAGGTTATAATCGTCATAGACGCCGGCGTAACTATCCGACTGAGGAAACAGTTCCTTGACAAGCGCGACCTCGTTCAAATTCTCCGATATATGGGTCTGGATATGTAGAGGTGGGTTGAACGATGCGGCCAGGTCACCTAGACCCTTGAGCGCGGGAGCTGAGCACGTAGGCGCGAATCGCGGGGTGACGATCGGTTTAACGAGGCGACCCGATGGATCAAGCGAATGGATGAAGTCGATTGTCTCGCGGGTTGCGGTGACGGAGTCTTCGGCTGAGGCGTCGCAGTAGTAAGTTGGACAGAACTTCGGCTCGTCCATACATACTCTGCCTATGAAGGCGCGCTGGCCGCGCGCGTGGCAGAGTGCTGCGAGGGCGTTGGTTGCTGGGATGTGAATTGTCGCAAAGTAGGAGGCACATGTTGTCCCGTGGGAGAGAGTGCGGGCGATGACTTGGTCGTAGACGTGTTGGCCATGAAGAGGGGTGTCTTTAGGGTTTGTTTGGGTTTGAGATCCTGTCTTTGGATCTGGTTGCTTGCCGAATCCGGATTCTACTGGGAATGTGTATGTATTCAGCCAGTCTAGTAGAGTTGTGGAGCCGAAGAGACCGGCGTTCGGGTATTGAGGTGCGTGGATGTGGGTGTCTAGTGGCTTGTAAGTATTGATGGCTCATTTAGGGGAACTTATTCAATTGAACTTAGTAGAATAAGCAGAAAACATACCAATGAAACCGGGGAAGAAGAACTCGTTTCTTTCTTCATTGGCCGTGATCACTTTCACTCCGATTCTTGGCGCGGAGGAACTGACGTTGGTAGGCTCGGCGGAATCAAGATCGACCCAGCTCTTTTGGGTCATCAACTTGCCGAAGTCTGCGTCTTCGTGCACTTCCCAATCCCATCCTTTGATCCGGCCATCGGCCGTTGAAACCCACAGTGCACCCTGGTTGCGACATAATATAGGCGTAGAGCCAGATGCTGGAAGACGATTTGTTTGAATGAAAGTTCCGCGATAGACGTTGAACGCATGCTCAACTGTTGAGCCCATTTTGTCTATGGAGTGCAGGAAACCGCACAATCAGGTTGTGCCTCTAGAACCGAGGTTGTGTCTCTGACGACACAGGCGTTATATCTTTGGATGACCTGTCGAAAGAATGATCTTGCAAGATTCCTATGCCTCTAGTGTACGTCTGAGCCGCGGCCGCAATTGTTGTAGATCAGCTCCACAATGTTGGAAATGGGAACCCTGCGAACGCTCCGATCACTTTAAATAAGATGGGCCCTCTCAGATCTGTGGGGCAGTGCCGGTAATACCCGCCAAGAGGCACCTGATACGAAAGCAGAACGGAAGATATGGCGATGTGTTCCAAGGCTGTTCACGCTCAGGCTGTTCAGGACAGATGAATAGCCGTGTTGATAGCGGCCAGCTCCGACATTGGCCCGTTACCGTATCGTACGGCGGGTGAGTCTCTTCCGCGCGAACGAATGATACGAAGTGGGTATTATATTGTACCAACGTTGAAATTGGTTGATGCTAACATAAACCATGAAAGTTGAATATCAACTCTGATCCATTCATTATGTATTTATATTACATTTTCCACGTTCAGAGAGAATGATGAGACCCGATGTCGACATTGGAATGGCATCGCGAGACCGGTTTCGCGAGGTTCACCGCCCGGCATAACTGCAGATCTTGGACGCGTTTGCACAGTTCTCGTCATCCACGTCTCCAGAGCGACGGGGCATGCTTACTGACAACTCGACATCCTGGTCTGCATCCTCACATGATCTGAGAGCTCGATGATGGAAGTGTCGCAGCAGCGCAAGCGTTGCGTTGTGAATCCCTGAAGCGCGCGGATGCACAAGAAAGGGATTAGGTCCTACCCAATCACACAAGGAAAGCGGCAGCAACAGCAGCTCCGCCGAGGATGACACCGTTTGCTGTAGCATGTGGCAAGCCCGCGTTTGGGGTTGAGGTGGGAGTGGAGGTGGAGGAGCCTGAACCCGCACTTGCACTGCTTGTAGAAGTTGCCTGGTTGGTTGAGGGGCCCGTGGTAGAGGCAAGAATTTTGGACGACGCCGCTGAAACCTGGGCCGAGTAATCGGTGGCCGTGAATGGGATTGAGGTGAAACAAGGGTCGTCCGTTACAGCGGAGATGTTCACTTCGGTCGTCGAAGCATCACTCGTGGAGTACGAATCTTTGATCGCTTGTTCCTGGTCCACCTTGTACACACAGCAGTAGGCGTCGGTGTCGTCAATTATCATGCCACCGTAACAGCATCTGGTTGTTTTGAAGGTGTTCTCGAGCCAGTTCTTCGGACAACTGGCTGCTGTACTGACGGAAGCCAGAGAGAGGAATGTGAGAAAAAGAGATTTGGATGGCAACATGATAGTGGGATTCAGGACGGGCTGAAGAAAAAAAATACTTTCAAACCTCGTTCCATGCTTCGCTCTTTAAAAGCCTAGTAGTAAGGCTAAATCTTGGGGACGAACACGGATGGGCGCGGATGGGGCACTGGGCGCTTCACTAGTTCCCTAACACACCAATCGGGGGCACCTTCCCCAGCGCTAAGTGGGGTGTCCCTGGGAGCAATCTTGGGGCAACCACCTAGTCAGATGGGGGCCAAACGTGGCAGGCAACTTGAAAGCATCACTCAACTGCCAACGGCGTGGAACTATGATAGTGACAAGATGGATTGTTGAAATGAAAATGGGGTTGCGAAATAAATTAAAATTGGAAAATACCAGTCAATTATAAAGCAGCAACACTATACAATTTCCACGCAACAATGGCGATGGAAAGGAGGGAACAAAGTATGAGAGAGCAGAGAGAAGTGACCCCAGAGAAGAGAGGTCCCTTGACCTGACCCGCTCACATTGTGTCTACCTTTCCCAACTCTCCCTCATGCACCACCAGTGACGACCCATCGGCCAAATCGAACGAACATCTCCGCGGAATAAAGCCCCTTCCCAAGGGTTCTCTTCGTGTCAAAGCACGTCAAGCTCGACACCACACAAGTACCCTCCATTGCTTTCAAGACTACATAGCTTCAAGAGGGCATCACCGGGAGATTGGGGTTGGACACCGCTCCGTCATCTCCGTGCCTGTTGCATGATGGACTGAACCAGGTCTCGGCGCTGTTGACGAAGGAATACTTGATGGCATGCATATCTGCTCGGCCATCACCATTCAAGTCGGGGAAGTAGGTGCAGGATCCAGCCCTGGCACCTTGATATCTCACGCCAATGTTCTGCCACTCAAATTGAGAGCCACTGACACTCTTCTCGCCCTTGTTCAACCAAACGGTGCCGTCTCCGTTGAATTTATCGGTGAAGATCATATCGGCTTTTCCATCGTTATCCACGTCCGCCCACTGGAGGTTGGCACGATCCTTCCCTTCGGAAAGCTTGAACTGGTCGATACGGTCCCATTTACTATCACGGTGCACGTACCCCGAAGAGCGGCCGTCTTTCTCCACGCAGATGTAGTCGGCCTTACCGTTACCTGAGATATCTGCGAAATGCACAGGGCGATCGAACAGGCCTAAGCCGCGCTTTTCAGAACAATGAAGATCCGGTGCTGGGTTGGAAACATATTCCCAGTCGAAGTTGCCCGTCTCTTTGATGCGGTTGCGCCACAGCTTGGGGCGGTTCTCATTATCAGGATCGGTCCAGATGATATCACAAGCGCCGTCGCCATCCCAATCGGCAAGATGAAGATCACGGCGATCCAGGTTCTTGCCAATACTTTGTTGATTCGGGTCGAACATCACGTAATTTTTGCCCCAGAAGTCAGGGCCGTCGTCCTGAACGAGAGTCTTGCCCTGATTCTCATAGACGCGCATTGTTCCCTTTGACAACATCCAGACATAGTCCATCATCCCGTTGTCATGGCCCAGCATGTTGCAGTAAGCGTTACCGTCGGCGCGCAATTTGGTTGAGCCACTGCCGGTGTTTTTCCAAACTCGCATGTTGAATCGGTGGTTTCCGTCATGTTTGACATGCTCCATGAAGACATAATCTTGTCTGCCGAGGAGGCCGAAGTCCTGCGGTTCGCCAAAGATACGAGCGAAATGAACCCGCTTGCGGAGCCCGTCGTCACCGAAGCCACTCATTCCATTATGGGTAGGACCCGATGTGGCGCCATTTTGGAAAGCCTGCCGCCATGCAACATTCAATCCATCGCCCTCCTTTCCTTTCTGGCAGCTGCGCGAATTTGTGTAGGTGTATGTCTTGCCAACATCGTCTAGCCAGAGCCAGTCATCTCGTCCGTCACCGTTGATATCTTCGAACCGTACGCCGTTGATGTCACCCATGTCTTTGCCGGAGAAGCGCTTTCCCAGGGGTTGCCAGTATTTTGGCACATCATCGACCCAGCCGTTGCGCCAGCAAGTAATATCACCATTTCCAGCCAGGACACAATAGTCGGCACGGCCATCGCCATCAATATCTGCTAGGCGGACACGGTCCTGTGGGTGGTCCTCTGAGCTTTTGATCTTTCCGATTGATTTGAAGGTGGGTGGCTTGGAGTCAGTGCCATCGCCTTGGTTTACAGACGCATAAGCAGTACCATCCTTTGCGATGCAGACGAAATCATCCAGTCCATCACCTGTCGAGGTATCATTAGTTAGTGCTGCAGTTCATTGCCTGTGACTGGTACATACCGTTGATATCGATGAAGTTGACACCCGCTTGGGCGCAGTTATCATCAACAGATGTATCCGAAATTTTAACGAATCTGTCTGAATCCCTGCCGGTGTTCCTCCAGGTTCCATAGGCAACGGTGCCATCGTCCTTCTCGAACCATCCCAAAAGATCATCCCGATCACGTCGGAACAGTCTGCCAAAGAACCACTGATTGCGATCGTATTCACTGACGACAGAGAGAACAGTTCCCTTCGATACGCTTGAGTGATGGTAAATACCATCATCCTGGCCACTTCCACGCTGTGTCAAACCACCAGCGTAGTCACCATCGCCAGTCTCCTTATTACAGGTCTTGGTACTATCATCCATGTCGGTCGCCGCCTTGATTAGGCCAAGCTTGTCAGCTTCTTTGACCGCCTCGTGCCATACAGATGCCATCTTAGCATAGCCGTTGTCATTAGGATGCGTGTCGTCGTACCTGTCCATGTCAGCATGCCAAAAGTCCTCCTTGTCTCCAAGCCAGTTGTGGCCAGGATCTGGTGACTCGGGGTCCATATCAGCGAGTACTATGGACACCCCATCCTTTTTCATCTTGGCAGCAAGTTGACGAATCTGATTGTTGATGTCTGCGCGATTCAACTCAATGTCGGAATTGGTTGATGGGATGAGAGTTGATAGGATGATCGTGGTCTGTTTCATGCCATCTGCATTCAGGAGACTGTTGATCAAAGACTCCATCCTCTCTCCGGTGGTTGAAATGTTCTTTCCCTCACGACTATCATTCGTACCGGCATTGATGAGTATCACATTCGGGCGGTATTTTAAGGACTTCTTCGCGGCCTCTTTAACTTGATCTATCGTGAAGCCAGATGTGGCTTCCACGTCCTGAAAAAAGAAATGTCAACTCTGATCAGATATAAAGAGGAGTGAGATTGAATTACATTGTCGGTCATGGTACCATGGTTTATACTTCCGACCATGTCAACTTCCCACCCGTCAAATCGCAGTGCATCGCGAATAAACTTGCGGTAGCCATTTTGACTCTCAGAGTAGAGACCCCATGTCAATGATGCTCCGAGGGGAAGAATCCGCAAAGGCACTTTATCTTCTCGCTTATTCAGGGAATAGATTTGGGAGGACGGGTCGTTATATGAAGTTTGACCTCTTGCAACAAGTGCGACAGCCGAGCATGCCCACAGCAAAGTGCAGAGCAAGATCGACTTGATTGAAGACATCTTCTTTCCAACTTGGTCTGGTCGATACTATCAAAAAGGCGACGATCCGACTATCATTTAAATAGTCCGAATACCACCCGATGGACCCGATGCTATGCCATTGATAGAAGTGACGGTTGAGCCTCCTGGCCCCCTTCTCTTGGCACACATATCATACTGATATTTAGCTAAGGCTGCGCAAATTTCCGGTTGGCAAAGCATGGCCCCCGAATTTTGTGGGGCCCTTGCTGACAAGGCCATTGTGCCCAAGCACAATTGGCGACCATGTGTCGCGGTGTTTACGCGAGACCCACTGTTCCTCTTTTAGACAGGGCTGACTGCAAGGCCCAGGACGCTATTCATGAAGACTGGTGGGTTTGGATCGTGGAGTTTGGATCTGATAACAACTATGTCTGTCGTCTGTGCATTGACGCAAAATTGCAAGGGTCCAACCTTGTCCTGAATCTGACTTTGGATGCTTTGAAATGTTTCAGTATCTAATCTTCCACTCGTTCGGTGTGGAGACATCACTAATATGGCAGTATTTTGTGCTCAAAGGTGCATCTCGATCATCTCCGACGGGGTGGGTCAGTTGGGCTCTGTTCCTCACATGGAACGAATGGCATCCGAATGCCAGGAGATTGAGCGCTTGGCTGCTATGTATTTCTGAGCCGTGTAAGACTAGCCTGCGGCGGTTGTGATGCAGTGCAGCTTTTCCATATCTCCCACGACGGATGAGGGTAGTGGCTCTAGCTCCATGGGGTATATCGCAGCCTTCTCGGAGCAAGGCGTAACTTGGCATCAATATCAAGACATCGATCTTACGATAGACATGATTGGCAGCTGATATCCGCCCCATAGAATATGAGCGTCATTTCCTCATCAAGAGGTCGGCACGCGACACACTTTGGCAGCATTTGCTTTGGGGAATAGTTTCTCTCACCCGGGCCTACACTCGATCAATCACTTTGACGAGACTTGACATCTGGAAGGAGAATTCGACCACCACAGACGAGAAATCATCTTCCAACTCGAATCAAATAGAACAACTCGATTTGACGATTTTTGCAATTTCCGATTCTCGCCAAGACGTCCGCCAAGGATGGGGCTGTAAACCGGGGGCCAATTCTATGGTGGGGTGGGTTGCATAGCCTGGGATTTGGACGGAAATTCCAAGCCAGACACGCTCTCTAAGGCACTAGTCGAGGGGAATGTGATCTTGCTAAATTGCGGTTACATTGCTCCAGGTCTGCCAAAGGCTGAGTGAAGCTAAGGCTGATGGATCCCCAGGTACGAGGCATTCGGCTGCCCAGGTGGCACTAAACACACGAGTCTAGTGAAACTAGTTCTATTATTTGAGTTTACAAGTTCTTCGAGGTCGACTAACAGCAGTGAAGATACCGTCACAATCAATTCCCACCTGGGCAGTTCGTAACATTATGCAGATGTACCTTTTACCTGTCGAGGACTAGTAAGTTCGCATGGCCCTGTGGGAGCCCTGCTAGGCTGAGACCCGCCTATGCATTCCCACAGGACATTCAATGCTCTATTGCCAAGCCACTGCAACTTGGAACAATCCCGTCCTTACGCTTTTCTGGCTCAGGAGCTTCTCAAATTGGAAGAGAATATTTCCCGCGACGAAAGGGGTATTGATCTTTATCTTTGAATTACTTAGCTATTTCACATTCTTCTTTGAGCACGCATAGTCTTAGAACCTTGAAAGGAATATGCAATGATTCGCTATACGATCTATGGGTGCATCATGCCCAGGTGGATGCAAGGGCAATCTTGAAACCTTGGAACTCTCCAATGCTGACAAAATAAAAGATCAAGCCCTGGAGAACGGAAAGCTCATATAAACTCACACTCATACGCTTGCCCCCCTTTCAAGTCTTGCGAGATTTGCGTCCTTTGCTTTTCTTGGTCTCCTTGACTTTCTTTGGGCCTGCTTTAGAAGAATCGCCTCGCGATTTCTTCGGCTGCCGTTCCTCTTCGCGACTCGACTCAGATAACTTTCTCTTCGGCCTCTTGATATCTGGGCCTGCTTTAGAAGAATCGTCTCGCGATTTCTTCGGCAGCTGTTCCTCTTCGCAACCCGACTCAGATAGCTTTCTCTTCGGCCTCTTGATACTGACTGCATTCTTAGGAAGAGGATGGTCATTAGATTCCAGATCGACTGGTGAGTCCAAAGGCTTCGATGACTTGCCCTGGTCCGCGGAAACAGGGTCGACTGATGAGTCCAAGGGCTTCGATGGCTTGCCCTGGGCCACGGAAACAGGGTCGGCTGGTGAGTCCAAGGGCTTCGATGACTTGCCCTGGACCGCAGATCCAGATTCGACCGCCTCAATGATAAACTGCATCTGAACTTCCTGGAATGCGTACCATGTCCGAATGCGTTGAATCCGGCGAGTTCCTCTCTCGAAAGCCCCGAGAAGCAGGCGGGCTACATGGGCTCCAAGTCGGGTTCCAAGCAGACCTTCAAACTCGGGGCTTCCATATTCCCATTCATACCTCTCTGTGATTTCTTCGTCTTGTTCAACAACACCGTTGGACGCGGTATACAGTTGCTCTTTCACGAATTGGAGCGTGCCTTCTTCCTGGACATCCACCATATATATGTACTCCAGGGTTTCGACGGGAAAGTCGTTTTCGTAGATTGCTCGAGATATCTCGGAGGAGTATGGCCCCGATTTCCTCTTGATTTCTTCAATAACAAGGACACCAGGACCCGTCTGGCCTTCCCAAACATTGATTCTCCGAGATTCGGCGTTAAAATCTCGATCTTTGGGGTCGTACTTCTTTGTGTCTAGTTCTTCCAGGCTGAATTTGTGCCATCGGCCATCTTCTGGCCCTTTGGTTTTGAGGTCATCCAGGTAACGTTCAATTTGGGGAAGGGCGCTAGGCTTCAGGTCAAACTCAACATCAAGTCGCTCAAACATCGTCAGGTCTTTCAATGCGAGCGTCGAGGCTTTGATCGGACACTCCTTTGTGACGGGGCTATCTTCTACTGGCTCCAGCCATTGTTGCAACAATAAGCCAGCCTTCTGCTGGTCACCATATTTCAGGGTCGTAGCGGGCTCTGCTTCTAGCTCGGTCATTCTTGGTAGACCTGTGCTCAAACTTTGGAGTGCTGTGAATAGATCTCTTTTAGGTCGTCCAAATAAACCTTGTCCTTCTAATCTTGTTTCGCCGAATGAGTGAGAACTTGATATTTGTGGGCAGGTTGTCCTCGACTACTTATATAGTTCAAAGTAAGCCGTCACACGCCTGCCATATTTAAATTCTGTGAGATTGAAGTCGATCTGTCTTTGATGCCCAACCTTGGAAGTGGTACGCTTTGTGGCAGCCAGGAATAGATTTTTGGATCGCAACAAGGCTTTTACAAAATTTGAAGTCAATGCTGAGATCAATGAGTTTCCTTGTTGATCTTTGATTCTTTCTTCGCGATTCTTTCTTTTTTCCCGGCGCCATATTCTCGAGGTTCCGTTCGAGGCACAAAGGACCTGAAACGACCGAGTGAGTTCTACCACCATGGACTTGAGAAAATATATGAAAGACACCTTTGGAGACAAAGGAAAGTCTATTTAATGACCACATCAACGTTAATTTTTGTGAAGAAGATCACAAAGAAATGTCAGATGGCTCCTCGGGTGCAGCCCTTTCTATGTTCCTGCATCAATAATTCCAGGTTCTTCAGCTCTTTCATTACAGAAGTCCCCTCGAATCGGTTGAAATCTATTACCCACTGCCTAAATGCAGGTACTTCGAGGTTAGATCTTACACAACGTGGCTGTGAAAGAAAATCCTTTCGAGGGCATTTTGATGTGTACCCTTTCGTAGGAACCTCACTTACTCACCGAGTGTGATCTGGGGACAAGGGGGTCTCGATGAGGCTCCAAGGTCTACAGCACTAACCTTCCAAGGGTTCGCACTGTAAGCAACCTGGAATGCAAAGAGCCAAAAGCCTACTAGGTAGTTAGTGAGGCATGATACTCAGTAAATTCATGTATCCCAGATATATTCAGAATTTTCGTGCCACAGCAAAGTCAGTTCCAAGGTTGATGAACAATACGCTCATCTTGCCCTTTCTTTAAAGACTTTTTGTACATACAGGGACTTCTACATGGCTAGCTCTTTAGGCTCAATTCCAGGACTGTAACTTAGGGAGATTTGAGTGTCGCTGCTCATTTTTAGATCCTCTCTGGCAGATCAGAGGTGATGGTCGATGGTAATATCTATGATAACATTTGTGTGTGTCGCTGTAGCTAGGGTCAAACTTCCACTGGGCAATGCTGGGAAGAAACTCCGATGCTTGGATCGACCACACCTCGAACCCTCTCAGCATCTCCTTCTTTTCTTTCTATCACTTTCAATGACTGACGACATGAGACCATGTCCGCCCTACCCCGTGCACAGTCTGTTGATATCATGGTATTTTCGACCCCAATTACCCCAACTCCGCTTACCCCAAATCGTCAATCGCCCGCTCTGATTGGCCCGATGTCAGATATCGAGGATTCGTGTTGGAGTCGACGAGGATTCGACGGGGTAATTTCCTATCACTTCGCATCTTATCACTCCAGAGCTTCAGGGCTGGGAAGGTATCGACAATAACCCCAACTCGGGCGGCAGGTGAGCTCAGCTTGACCAACCAGAGATGTTGTCAAGGCGATAACGTTGACCAGCAGAAGCAGGGGATCAGCCCCATTCAGCGGGGTATCACTTGGCACCTTGACAGACGTGGAGCAAGGCTCCTACTCCTACTCCTTACGGAGTACTGTACTCATGGCTGACCTACTTCAAGCCCGAAAGTCGGACTCGGCTCCATAATTTCTTAGGCATGGTCTCACTATGCCTGCATTGATAGCATACTGAAAGCCGCCTTCATCACTTGGGTATACCTCGGAAACCTGAGCCGACGCGACCATAGTTGTCCGGTATAAACTCAGATTGTTTCCTCCCATATCTCCACCAGGTCGAGTATATGTGACTAAGAGGGTTGAGTCTATCTTGTCTTACTCGGAACCAGTCGACGTCTCCCAGCACATATACATTGGCATTTCTCCCTCAGACCTCTGTATTGACCCAACTACCTAGTCAATTGCAAAAGGTCAGTACGATCGGTCAAAGACTTCCACTGTCGTCAAACAGGCGCTGAAAGCATCAGCAAGGATAGTTTCCTCGAAAAGTCCGCCAGAATGCACGATCCACTACCCGTCCCTGGAACAGTCCAACAACTGGACTTGGATTCCAATTCACCGTTGGGCCGTACCAGAGGCCAAAACGATATCGTTTTGATCCCTCGACCCAGCTCTCATCCCGATGATCCCCTCAACTGGTCCCGTCGCCGCAAAATGCTCAACACTACATTCCAAATGGCATGGTGTTTCTTCGCCGCCACTCTCATCAGTGGCCTCTCATCGTCTTACCTCCTCATATCTGAGGATACAGGTATTTCAGTCGCCGATTTGAGTACAGGGAATGGTCTCATGTATCTATTCATGGGCTGGGGGACCCTGTTGACACAAAATTTGGGGCAAGACTTCGGTCGTCGACCGATTCTGTTGCTCGGCATGCTTGGATCCTCACTCATGGTGATCTGGTCAGCCTACATACACTCGGTCGGTGAATGGTACGTCAATCGAATCCTCCTGGGAATCTTCATTTCTCCACAAGAGGCTCTCATCGAACTCTGCATTGCAGATGTTCAGTTTGCTCATGATCGAGGCTTCCACATGGGTATCTACAACTGGACTCTGTGGTGCGGTGCTTTCCTTTCGCCCATCGCTGGTGGATTTGTTGCCGAGTCATTGGGATGGAGGTGGATCCAATATATTCTGGCGATAATTGGTCTTTGCTTTACGGTCGCGACATTCTTTGGTTTCGAAGAAACCATGTTCTTCCGCCAAGTTAATATCCAGGACCCGATCGTCTATGCCCCTGAAAGCACTGAGGTCCCTTCCTCGCTTAAGGTAACGGTGGACAATGGAAGCGTGGACGATAAAAAGCAACGAGGCCTCGAAGTCACACCCGTCATCGCTGAGGCCCATGGGCTCAGAACATACCCGCAGAAGCTCAAGCTATGGGGATTCAGACATCCGGCCCAGCCATTCAACTTTCTGAGATCTATTCTGCTCTCATTCCGACTGTTGTGCTTTCCAACAACTATATTCTCTGGTCTTCTCGTGGGAAGTGTCCTCGCTTGGTATAATGCTCTTGGGGGCTCCATGGCAGAAGTTCTGGGTGGTGCTCCCTACTACTTTACCACAGAGCAGATCGGTCTTACCTACTTCGCCAGTGTAATAGGTGTCTCAATCGGATGTTACTTCAGTGGATGGCTCAGTGATATTCTTGCCATTCGACTAGCAACACGCAGGCAGGGAATTAAGGAGCCGGAAGACCGGCTATGGATGTTCGTCGTCGCGCTTATCGCACATCCGGTTGGGTGCATCCTATATGGCGTTGGCGCCAGCCACCACATTCCCTGGATTGGTGTTGTCATCGGAATGGCATTCATCTGTATTACACTACCTATGGGATCTGGACTGGCCATCACCTACATCATCGACAGTCAGAAGGAGCTGGCAGGGGAGTCAATCGTCAGTGTCATCTTGATTCGCAACACCATTGGTAGGTTGGAACGGAATGGCTTCACGGATATATCGGTCTTCTTGAAATCACTAACAAACCCCCAGGATTCGCATTCGCTTACGCAGTCAATCCAATGATCTCGAACATGGGGCTTCAGAATACCTTCATTCTGATAGCAGTGCTGGGAATCGTGCTTTGGAGTGGCTGTCTACTGTGGATCAAGATTGGCAAAGCGGCGCGCAGATCTATCTCCAAGTCTTACTGGAATATTGTTGAGGCTCACGGCCTTGCGGCTCATTGATTGCGGGCACGGATATACACCGCAAAATCATGGCTTTAGACCCCAGCATATAGACAAACCTCAGATACTACGAATTTAACTCAGACTAAAGGATCAAAAACGAGGAATCTTTACCGTTTACAAGGACTTTTATTTAGGCCCCCCAAACTAGTAGTAAAATTCAAGGGCCTCGTCGGCGTTGTCGAAGAGGTCGATGGGATCCAGCAGGTCCCACACAACGGGACCCTCTGTCTTCTCCTCTTCCAGTGTCTCCGCCTCTTCCTGGCCCGGCTTTTCCTCTTCCGGCACTTGCTCCAACTCTGAACCGCTTCCCTCCAAATCGAGGGCATCCTCTAGGCCCTCTTTCCCCTCCGAATCTTCCAGTTGACCTAGGATTCGCCCCTCCTCCGCTACCCGATCTTCGGTCGGGTGCTGGTCATCCTTAGGCCCCAATTTCCCTGTCATCAATGTTATCACCCGCGCTGTATCATGTCTCCAGTGTATACCTACGGTTCTTGACATTGGCCCGGTGGTGGCCAGGCCTACGGATCCGGCGCTTTTTAGCAGCCTTGACTTGGTGACCAGGATCTCTGGTCCGAGGCTCCACTGGTTGCTGTTGCCTCTTACGTTAGGAAACGATTGTAGCATTTCCACGGAATCTTCTAGTGGGATACTGACGACTGGTATACCGAGAGCCCGCATGCTTCGCCGAAAACTCTTATTTCTCTTTTGGCGAGAGTTCCCCTCTTCCTTTGTCAACCGTGCCATCGTGGTCTTGATGATGTGGGTAGTAGAAATGGTGAAGTGATGGTGAGATGAAAGTAAAGGAGAGATGAAAGTAAAGGAGAGGTGAATGGGAAAGTAAATTAGAGTGAATATCTACAAGTGAATACACTAGGCCTCATGTCTCTCTACTGCTTCAGCTGTTCTATTTTATTAAAAGCTGGAGCTTGTATAAGCATGGCAGCTACCTGGGCAGGGTACTTATAGTCACGTGATATAGGAGGAGAGGTGAAGAGATATTGAACTGAAAGGTATTATATTTCACCAAACCCGCGGTGGTCTAGTTGGTCACACAGGGAGCCATATCTGCACCCTGATCTTCTAGATTGCCGGGCCACGGGTTCGATTCCCTCAGACCGGAAGTCGCCGGGCAGATGTTTCGCCATTTCCCTGGCTGGGGTCGTGCATTTTTTTTTTTATCTGAAGCAGTGAGATGCTGACAAATTTTACTTTTTTTTTTGAGACCGCTTTTACTGCAGTGAGGCCCTCAATCCAGGAGGTGTCTGTTGGAGAGAGATTCGAGTGTTTCTGGCTCTACTGCGTCCACGGGTGTGTACTCCTGATGTTTTTGACGTTTCCCAAAGTAGACAGACTATTCCTACTTGGGACTAGTGTCAGGACCCACACCTGGGGAAGCAGCGATCATCCGCTCAACTGAGGATCCTTCAACTCAGATTGACATCCATGGATACCCTTCTCTACTTAACCCTGTTGAGCCTCAAATTGCTTCATAAATCTTGCTCGATTTACTCACTGTCCCGCGCATTTCCTCTTACCACATCCCTCTGTCCACACCCATTTCTGACATTCCCCGGATTCAACTCTGTCCCTCGTCATGACCTCCAGGGCTTCTACGTCATCTTGTGGAGATCTTTCGACGTCTCTCAGTCCCTGCTTTATGTGCCCAGGCGCATGGTCCGGCTAACCAGCCTCGATGATAGCAAGAGTACGATCTCATCGCAACGTCCGATTAGGTTTCAATCTACTACACTTTGCGGGGCACTTGATGGCATCTAATGCCACAGTCGAATTCTCTCGTGATCCCGAGCCCGTGCCTTTCAATTCTGCACAGATGGTAGCACCTTCTCTCGCATCCAGCTTCGGGGCGCCTTTGGCTCCCACCGAGTCCCACATCATACTTCATCGTTTTATTTGGCCTCTCAGACCAGTGGCTTTCTAATTCCAATGGCTCCGCAATATCAGCTCAAACTATTCGTTTCTTGCTATGCCATCTAATCATCTCAAGCTCGCCTGGTTCCTCGCGGCGTGGCTCTCTTCACTGCGTGCCGGAATTGATTGAAATGCGCGGAAGAACTTTCATTGTACACTATAACTCCGATTATTGGGCATGTCATTGCGCTCGTCGTGATAGCTGCACCAGATGAGCCATAGGTGAAGGTCTGTGATCACTCTCAATTGGGTTTATTCTCATGCGGGCTGACAGCACTTCTACACATGCATATTGCCTATCGGCTGATTGACGTTCCAGCCCACCCCCGGCAAAGTGTCAGTCTTTGCTACTTAGCTTCTTCTCTCTTTTTTCAAGCCGCGCGGCCAGACTCGAGCAGAACTTCATGTGCCAGTCCCTCGCGGAGATGCGATTGCGCTAGCTACGAGGCGGACACATCACTGCCTGGCGGATTTTTAATAATTTCATAATTTTATTTCCTTGCTGTCGTGGTTTGGGGCATAATATTAATACAAAAATAGCAAGATTCCTAGGTATCGAGTAAGCCACGGTAGTATGGATATAGTGGTACAGAAGGTATGCAGCATGGATATTCTCACGGGTAGATTGCAGGTCCTTGGCGGTCCAAGTTGCATGATAAGGTGTGCAGATGCCAATAACAGCTAAGGAATCCCGAGGGGCTTGCGGGTCACGGGAAGAGCTGCACATAAATTCTAGTTTGCGCAACATCAAATCCAGACCCGTGGACAGTGGTACGGAGTACAGACTCGAGTGACTTTGAATTGATCCATGGAACCCATTAAGCTTAAACTCGCGGTTATTTGACCTGTCAAATCCGAGTCGCTACCCGAGGAAAAAACGGCGAGTGTCAATGCCTTAAGTGAAACGGGTCCGACGAATCGGATGCGACGATAACCCACCTGGCCATAGCTTCATCGCTCCAGCTCCATCGCCTTAGTACCTTTTCGGCCTAGTGACTTTGAAAACTTGGAAAATATGTCGTGTGCCCGCCGATTTTATAGCCTTGTGCTTCAGACACACAGTGAACCCTGGGGGTTTCCAAAGATAACTGCACGCAATCGCACGCAATCGTCCACGGGTGCTTGTTGTGGGAGCTTCACATGATAATTGACGATCCTGGTACATAGTCTGGGAAGTTTCAAAACACTCATCGGAACCCCCCGCCAAACTCCCCTCTTCAACCATGTCTCTCGTCCAGCACTTGTCTGCTATCGATGGTGTGGACCGTGAGCCAGAGGCCGATGAAGGAGACGACTATATCTCCATCCGACGCAAGATCAGCTATGATGTCCTACAGCCGCCGAATGAGGGGATCCCGGTCGCAGAGCTGCGCCCCGGCTCACTCGCGTACGACCATTCTCCCACCAAAAGAATAAGTATGTTTCATCTACTATCACGGAGAGCACCAGCTAACAACTTTCAGTCCAGGTCATCGTAACCGTTCTCGCATGTTGGAGCGCATCGGGTATCGTCTTTGGATTTGCAGCCCTGAAGCCAGTGCTTGTCGAAGAAGGTGTTTATCGGGAGCGATGTACCCCCGCCGAGGTCGAAGAGGGGCTGGAATTATGCTCCCAGCAAGATCTGAGGTATGTATCTCATGAGAGTCTGAGCAAGCGGATCAGAGATCTGATGTCAACAGGTTGAACCTCTTCTTCACAATCGCGTCCATCACGGCAAATGTCTCCGCTTTGCCAGTCGGTACTATCCTCGATCGATGTGGCTCGCGCGTCTGCTGGCTTGCTGGAGCGGTTCTCCTAGCTGTCGGTGGTGTGATCATGTCATTCGCGTTTCACATTCCAAGCTTCGACGGATATATCCCGGGGAACTTCTTCCTGGCACTTGCTGGCACGTTCCTTTTCGTTCCTTCCTTCCAAATCGCAAATGCCTTCCCCAAGTATGCGGGCACGATTGTTGCCCTCGTCACGGGCGCGTTTGATGCCTCTGCTGCGGTTTTTTTGATATATAGACTCGTCTATGAGGCTTCGGAACGGAGGTTCACACCGGATAAGTTCTTCCTGGGATATCTCATTGTGCCAATCTTGATCATCTTCGCCCTGGTGACCGTCATGCCGAAACGGGATTATGTTTCGACGCTGCAGTTGGAGAATCGGATCGAGCGGGCGGAAGACGCAACGTACGACGTTCACGATTCGGACGATGATATTGACAGCCAGTCGGAATTGAACCGGATTCGAAAGAAGCGTGCGGAACTGCGGAAGAGGAGACTTCGTCAGATCGATGGTGTGCTCGGTGATAAAGATGAGAGACAGTTGCGTGCTGATCGGGAGGAGGATCGCCAGCAGACGAGTTGGGTCTGGGGTGTTTTGCATGGATTGCCTGCTCATCGACAAATGGCGACGCCTTGGTTTATACTGATCACATTGATGACTGTCTTGCAGATGATTCGCATGAATTACTTCATTGCGACGATCCGCTCACAATATGAATTCATGCTTGGCTCTGTTGTGGAAGCGGATAGAATCGGTGCTTTCTTCGACGTCGCACTCCCGGTCGGGGGTGTGTTGTTCACGCCCGTCATTGGGCTCCTTCTGGACCGTCTCAGCGTGCCGGCCATGCTAGGATTGATTGTGGTGTTCACGACCGTGATCGGTGTCCTCAATTCCATTCCAGCCGTATGGGCTGGATACATGACAGTGATTCTGTTTGTGTTGCTTCGTCCGCTGTACTACTCGGCAATGTCGTATGTATAACCTCGGCACCATCCAGTACCGGCACTAACTTTCGCAGGGATTACACGACCAAGGTCTTTGGGTTCGCTACATTCGGTCGCGTCTACGGTGCTATCATTTGCCTTTCCGGGATTGCCAACTTCTCCCAGTACGGTCTGGATGCACTGACACATCGCACTTTTGATGGGAACCCGATCCCAATCAATGCCGCCTTGGCAATTGCCGGATTCATCGTGGGGACCGCACTGGTAACATTTGTTCTCGTGGCTGTTAGGCAGCTTCGGGAGCAGGCTCGGGTGCATGAGGAGGAGAGGGACAGACTTCTCTTGGAGGAGGACGAGGAGGAGGATGAATACGAGGAAGATGGGTACCGATAAACTTGGGTCGGCCGAGGTTGTACAGAATAGTTTGTTTTGAGGTCATATCAATATCATTCTTTGGGTTGTCTCTACGCCTTGTCACCCCTTGTAAACCCGGTCAAGCCACCGCTCAGTGTTCTCGTGTCACATGTCACCAAACAACTGCCGGATTCATCTCGGTTCGGCATTCAATATAGTGTCGATATGAGCTGTTCTCAGGGTCTTTTGGCGCTCGAATTGAGTAGCGTTCGTAGGGTTTGCATATAGGCTGTTTTTACTTCCGACCTGCATGATATCACTTACTTCCAGGACTGGGATCAAAGAGCGACGATCAGCCAGTCAGGGAGTGCGGAGAATCCGAGCAATAACTTTCGGCATATCTGATCAAGGTTTGCTCTCCGACGTATCGGGCGGTTGGCTGTTAAAAGAACCTTTGTTCGTATAGCTCTCCAGCTGAGACTTGGCTGATTCTGGCCTTGGGGTTTGGACTCAGGTGATGAGACTCGTAAAGGTGTATAATGAACTGACAGGTATACCAGTAGAGTGCTTTTAGCATAGTTGAACTGCTAATCTTAGTGAGAGTGCCCTGTGCGCAATAATAGAATTCAGGGATAGGCCGTCCTGGAGATGCCCTAAAATGCCCACCTGGGCAGTCAACACTCAAAATCAACCATAGATGAAACACAAGAAAATCCGGGGAAGTCCCACCTGAGCATAACTCAAGGGTTGGCTTGTCCAAGCCATTCAAAGCAAGAAACCAAGCCAACCTTGGAAGTGACAAGGACATTTCCCGCCAAGGTGCCAAGGGTATTTTCCCCCGCATCCAACCCTCTTGCCCCCGGATTATCACCAAAACCAGCCGCCACCGACACTCAACAGCGCATATCCTAGCTGATGACTCGTAGATTTTCATCGGAAGTGGGGTCCCACCCCTCCTTTGTTTCGGACAATATTGCTACATTACGCAGAATCCAGTCCGTTCGATTGCTTGTCCCGAGGCACTTGGCCACTCGATGCCGGCTATTGCATTCTTGGACTATCTGGCGCTGGAGAATGACTGGGCTGTCGAAAATGGGTTGAAATTAGCGAGAGGCGTGAGAGTGTGGGGAAGAGATTGAGAATATATAGGTTTCACGATCCCTGCTCCAGTTTACAAAGACACGGCTTGATCTTGACTCCATTTCCTACCTAGTACATACACCATTAATCTTGCAAGCAACTCTTGAATCTTTATTGCAATATGGCTTCGATGGGTGCCATCGACGAGAAGCCCCCCGCGGAGCACCGCATTGAGGACATGGCGGGTAAATCTCCCAGCGAGGACGAGGATGAATTCACACCGGAGGAAAAGAAGAAGATTATTCGACGCATCGATCTACGCTTGGTGACAATGACCGGATTGGCATATTGCATCTCACTCATGGACCGCACCAATTTGAGTATGGCTGCTGTTGCTGGGTACGAGCTCGGGAGCCCTTGGATATATTTCTGCGGCAAAGGCTGACCGGTAGCAGTTTAAAACAAGAGCTGCACTTGGATATTGGAGAGCGCTATGTGAGTTTCCAAGGTTGTTGATTTCCATTCTGATTTCGATGGTACTGATTGAAATTGCTAGTCCATCATCGTGTTGATGTTCTTCGTCCCCTATATCCTGTTCCAGCCGCCGATGACGATTATTATTCGAAAGCTCGGGCCTACACTGTTCTTGTCGTCGATTATCATATGTTGGGCGGCAATCATGATTGTGAGTTCGAATCCAGTCTCTCAGGGACGCCGCTGACCGTTCAGGGAATGGGTTTCGTCAAAGATTGGGGCCAGTTGGTCGTCACACGTGTCCTGCTAGGTCTGTTGGAAGCAGGATATTTCCCCGGCTGCGTCTACCTGCTCTCGTGCTGGTACACCCGATGTAGGAGAAGAAAATCGCAACTGCATGACCAACGCTGACTCTTCGAAGTTGACGTCCAAAAACGATTTTCCGTGTTTTATCTCATCGGCTGCGTCGCCTCTGCACTCGCAGGAATCCTAGCCTTCGGTCTGATGCAATTGAATGGCAAGCACGGACTGACAGGCTGGAGATGGATTTTCATCTTGGAAGGCGTTGTAAGTGCGCAATCCTTGAGGCCAAGTCGAAGCTAACATCCCAGATCACCGGATTCATTGGTATCCTCTGTTTCGTCTTCCTGGTCGATTTCCCCGACCGTGCACACAAGTCCTGGCGCTTCCTCAACGAGCGCGAATGCGCTTTCATCATTCGCCGAATCAACGAGGATCGCAACGATGGTGACTTGGAAGCCTTCTCTTTGAAGAAGTTCCTCAAGCCTGCTCTCGATCCCAAGATTTGGGGATTTGCTATGATCTTCTTGTGCGTTTGCTGATTCCTTTTCCCCGGGCTATACTGACCATCTCAGCTGCATCACCACAGTTACCTACGCGATCGCCTATTTCCTTCCCATTATTCTGCGATTGGGTATGGGCTATGGCGTCGGAGAATCGCAATGTTTGGTCGCACCCCCATACGGATTTGCCGGAATTGTGATGTATGCGACCGCGTGGGTGGGTGATAAGTACCGTATGCGCGCACCGATTATCATTTTCAACTCCTTGCTGGCCATTATTGGTCTCCCGATGATGGGTTTCGCGAAGAGCGACGCCGTCCGCTATGTCGGCGTGTTCTTCACCGTGGCGGGCGCCAATGCTAATATTCCGGCTTGCATGGCATACCAGGCGAACAATGTGCGTGGACAATGGACGCGTGCATTCTCCAGCGCGACCCTGGTGGGCTTTGGTGGGCTGGGCGGGATCGTCAGTAGTTTGGTTTTCCGCGAGCAGGACGCGCCCGGCTACCGGCCCGGCATGTATGCAGCGATCGCGTATGTCCACCGACTCCCTTACTTCTGGGTGATTCTGATGCTGACCGACTTTAGGTGTAACCTGCTTATCATCATCATCGCCTTGGTTCTCAGTCTTTGGTTCCGGATCTGCAACAAGAAGGCAGACCGGGGGGAACGGGTGATTGAGGGTGATGTCGCTTTCCGATATACCATTTGAATACTCCGTAGTATATATGTAGCTAGGTAGTTAGCAATGAGATATGAGCTTTTCCAATGACTCAATCGAATCTGGTCGAAATCGGATCGGAGGTCTCCCTGCGGAGCTGATGGAGCTGATGGAGCCCACTCCATAGAAGTACAGAATTGCCGACGCATGAGCGACACCGTTTTCCGACGGGAAACTCGGCCTCGTTGGCCTCCGCGACGGGCGCTGGGGCCACTCCGCGCGGTGAGCGACGCGATTGGCCAGGAAGCGCTATCTTATCGCGCCGAGGGGAGTTTCCCGGACTCCTTCCCCGTCCGGCCTCGGGGTGGTACTGGCATTAAATATTAATTCGCCCTGGACTCATTCGTGCTTTCTTCTTCATCTGTCTTTGTCCAATTTGACGTGGGTATAAGACTTTTCCTATTCACGCCCTCTACACTATGGCGGCATCCTTATTTGCCCTCCGCGGCGGACGTCAACTGGCACTCCGCTCGCGCGTGCGCCTCCCCACCCCTAGAGCTTGGGCCTTACCATTGAATGCCCGCAGGCCTCTGCACACCTCTCAACCGGCCACTCGTCGGGGTGTGTATACCAGCTCGATCAGCGACCATGGCGATCCTCACCCCCAGGATATCTTCCAGCCCCTCGACACCTTCCCCCGCCGCCACATTGGTCCTTCCCCGGACGCTGCCTCCGAGATGCTCGCAGTGCTGGACCCACCTGTGGCCTCTCTGGATGACTTCGTGAAGCAGGTTCTTCCCGAGGACATTCTCTCCAAGAAGAACCTCCATGTCACCGAGCCCAATGCCGATATCAACCTGTACCGCTCTAGTGTGCAGGGCGGACTCGGAGAAACTGACATGCTGAAGCTGTTGGACACCTACCGGAAGAACATCGATATCTCCGGAAAGACTTATATTGGAACCGGATACTACCCCACCATTGTGCCCCCCGTCATTCAGCGCAATGTCCTCGAGAACCCCGCCTGGTACACCAGCTACACACCCTACCAGCCCGAGATCAGTCAGGGTCGTTTGGAGTCTTTGCTGAACTTCCAGACCTTGACCGCTGACCTGACCGGTCTGCCTTTCGCCAATGCCTCCGTTTTGGACGAGGCAACTGCCGCTGCCGAGGCCATGACCATGTCTTTCGCTACTATGCCCGCTTCCAAGCAGAAGAAGGCCGAGAAGTCCTTCGTGGTGTCTCACCTGGTCCACCCCCAGACCCTCGCCGTGATGCAGTCCCGCGCCGAAGGATTCGGAATTAACCTTGTGGTCGGCGATATTCTAGCCGACGATTTCAAGATCGTCAAGGATCAGAAGGATCACCTCATTGGTGTCCTAGCCCAATACCCCGATACCGAGGGTGGTATCTTCGACTTCCAGTCTCTTAGCGATGCCATCCACGGACAGGGTGGTACTTTCAGTGTGGCCACTGATCTGCTTGCTCTTACCGTGCTCAAGGCTCCCGGCGAATTTGGCGCCGATATTGCCTTTGGTACTGCTCAGCGTCTTGGTGTCCCCATGGGCTTCGGTGGACCTCACGCTGCATTCTTTGCCTGCGCTGACAAGTACAAGCGCAAGGTTCCCGGCCGTGTCGTCGGTGTTTCCAAGGACCGCCTTGGCAACCGCGCTCTGCGTCTGGCTTTGCAAACTCGCGAGCAGCACATTCGCCGCGAGAAGGCCACTAGCAACATTTGCACTGCCCAGGCCTTGCTTGCTAACATGACTGCCATGTACGCTATCTACCACGGTCCCGTTGGACTCAAGTCCATTGCTCAGCGCATCATGTCCATGACCTCGTTGCTTCGCGAGAAGCTCGTTGGCCTTGGATACGAGGTCCCTGTGCGCACCAACTCCGCTGATGGCGGTGCCGTCTTCGACACCCTTGCCGTTGAGCTGCCCACCGCTGCCGAGGCTGACGCCCTTGTGGCCAAGGCGCTGGAAGCCAATGTTTTCCTCCGCCGTCTCGGAGGCAGCAAGGTTGGTCTCTCTCTGGATGAGACTGTTGGTCGCGATGAGGTCAAGGGAATCTTGGATGTCTTCGCCGCTTACAAGAAGGCCTCTCCTGTTGAGGTTGATGGCACCCTTGGTGTCACTGCTGTTCCCGCCAGCCTCGAGCGCACATCTTCCTACCTGACCCACCCAGTATTCAACACCTACCACTCCGAGACCGAGATGCTGCGCTACATCCACCACCTCGAGTCCAAGGATCTTTCCTTGGTTCACTCCATGATTCCTCTGGGATCCTGCACCATGAAGCTCAACGCCACCAGCGAGATGCTTCCTGTCTCCTGGCCCGAGTTCTCCCAGATCCACCCCTTCATGCCCGCGAAGCAGGCCAAGGGTTACATTCAGATGATTGACGACCTCGAGCAGCAGCTGGCTGATATCACCGGTATGCACTCAGTTACAGTGCAGCCCAACTCCGGTGCCCAGGGTGAGTTCGCTGGTCTCCGTGTCATCAAGAAGTACTTCGAGGGCAAGGGTGATGCCAAGCGCAACCTGTGCTTGATCCCTGTCTCTGCCCACGGTACCAACCCTGCCAGCGCTGCCATGGCCGGTATGCGTGTCGTTACCGTCAAGTGTGACATGAAGACTGGTAACCTCGATCTCGAGGATCTCAAGGCCAAGTGCGAGAAGCACAAGGATGAGCTTGCTGCTTTCATGATTACCTACCCCAGCACATTCGGTGTCTTCGAACCCGGTGCCAAGCAGGCCTGTGACTTGGTCCACCAGCACGGTGGCCAGGTCTACATGGACGGTGCTAACATGAACGCCCAAATTGGCCTCTGCTCTCCCGGTGAGATTGGCGCCGATGTCTGCCACCTGAACCTTCACAAGACCTTCTGCATTCCTCACGGCGGTGGTGGTCCCGGAGTCGGCCCTATCGGCGTTGCCTCCCACCTGACCCCCTACCTCCCCTCCCACCCAACCAGCGAGTACCTTCAGGCCAAGCGCGGCGACAACAACTCGCCCCCTATCTCCGCCGCCCCCTGGGGAAGTGCCAGCATCCTCCCCATCACCTTCAACTACATCAACATGATGGGCGACCGTGGCCTGACCCACGCTACCAAGATCACCCTCCTCAACGCCAACTACATCCTCTCCCGCCTCAAGCCCCACTACCCCATCCTCTACACCAACGACCACGGCCGCTGCGCCCACGAGTTCATCCTCGACGTGCGCGGCTTCAAGGAGACCTGCGGTGTCGAAGCCATCGACATCGCCAAGCGTCTCCAGGACTACGGCTTCCACGCTCCAACCATGTCCTGGCCCGTCTCGAACACACTCATGATCGAGCCCACCGAGTCCGAAAGCAAGGCCGAGCTGGACCGCTTCTGCGACGCCCTCATCTCCATCCGCCAGGAAATCGCCCAAGTCGAGTCCGGTGCCCAGCCCCGTGATGGAAACGTCCTCAAGATGTCCCCCCACACCCAGCGCGATCTTCTCGTCGCCAAATGGGACCGCCCTTACACCCGTGAGCAGGCGGCGTACCCCATTCCCTTGCTTCTGGAGAAGAAGTTCTGGCCCAGCGTCACTCGTGTGGATGATGCTTACGGTGACCAGAACCTTTTCTGCACGTGTGGACCCGTTGAGGACTCGGAGTAGTTCAGATGATACCCTTGTTTGCGTTTGATTTCGGGCTCGCTTGTTGGTGCGGGTTTGTGTATACATTCAACATTTATGATTACGTCTAGAGTTTGGTTTCAACATTATCGTTTCATTAGATATTCAATAATAAAAGTTGAATCAACCTTATATTGATCTTCCAATCAAATCTGTAAGCTGGCGAATGCTCCAGGGCTTGTTTAGCAACCTTGGCATGAGTATATCTTCGACATCGAAATGTCTATGCCCCTTCGGTCAAACTGGCCAATGGCAGCTATTCAATATTCCAAGAAGCCCCATAAAGCTTCGAATTCAACGACCTCGACAAGTTCCGTGCTACCACGAAAGCCATATCAGACTTCCTCCCCAGATATTGCAGAGCCCGAATCGCAAACTCACAATTCTGTCTTACGCGATCAGACCAAATATTCAACTCAACAGACATATCCAAGTTATCTAATAAGATATAGCCCGCCTTCGCAAAGCAATGCACCAAAACTGCAGTCCACGGCTCCACCAAAAAAGCCACCTCATTCAAGGAATCATGAAAATCACGACCCATGAACGAGTCCTGGCCCTGAATTGAAGCCCTCGCCAACGCCGCAACAGCAAGTGCATTATTCGTGCGTAGTGTAGCGACAATATTCGTGGATTGTCTAGCCTCGCGCGCGGAATCGCACCCAAGTCTGCATTTATCGATGCTTTCTAGCACATCTGCTAGGAGCATTGCGGAGAGATGCCAGTGTCCGTCTAGGATGACGTACCAGGATTGGATGCGGGAAGGGAGAAGGTCGTGGTTAGTGACGCAGTCGACCATGAAGGGGCGGTATGTGGAGTCCCAGTGTTCGTAGACGGAGAGGGTTTTTTGGATGAGGGATTCGATGTGGGATGGGTTTGCGCCTCGGTAGATTAGGGTTTGAAGCTGGGTTACGCGGCGGTAGAGGAGGACTTTGACGGGAGTTGCTTCTGAGAGGATTGAGGCGGCTTCTTGGTAGGAACATGGCCAGCGGGGGTGGTATTGGGTTTCTTGGCGTTTGATTGAGGATTGGAGGAAGTAGTCGCCCCATACGTCTTGTTTCGTCGGGGTTAGGGATTGGTCCCATTGATTGGGGTAGGTGTTGGTTTCTGGGGTGGGTATTGATGGGATTGATGCGATCTGACTGTCTTCGTCTGACACGACGAGGGGGCGCTGATACATTGCAGCGCTTAGGGTATCGAACATGACGCCTAGCCAGAACATGAGTCCTAGCGTAGTGCGGTGTTCGTAGCTGGTGAGGATTGGATCGAGTTGGGAGTTGGAGGGTTGTGAAAGATGGTCATTGTGCGTGTTTGCAAGAATGGAGCCACCCCTAGCATCGCTCTTGGAGGCAGCAGCTTCTCGCTGTAACCTGGTGAATTTGTGCCGGAAGATAAAAAGCTGTCGGTTGGCCGCTTCCAAGGAAGTTGGCGCAGGATCATTCTGCAGCAATTGATCCAAAGTTGCCTCTCGGCTTTTGTCCAGTGGACTTTGCGTTAGAGAAAATATGATATTTGCGAAAGCGATGCGAAATGAAGGAATACCACTCGATTGCTGTAAGGCCTGGCGTGCTTCATTCCAAACATTCTCGCGAATCAATCTTTCATCTTCGTCAATTGCAGCAGGGACCGAAGCGCCGATTCCCTTCTCCGCATGTTGAGTCCATTGAGATGCAAACGACATAATTGCCAAGTGAAGGGCGCGGGCTGCCGTCTTATTCTCTTCTGCGCTCAGATCTCTACCTCGTATTGACGATGATATCCGATCTAGCTTGCAGACCCGTATGCACATTCTGTTCGACCAACTCGGTCCCCACTCTTCACCGGGAAGGACCTTCGTGATTGTTTCGATGTATGGGCAATTGTGCTCTGTGAGCCAGCATGATAACGCGTTCTCCATACTATCATGATATATACGGATGAGGTTGCGGGACATCGCCGCGCGGGCGCTTGTTTTTGCTGTGTTTTCGGAAGCGATGCAGAAACTCCATTGTGATTCCGATGACGAGCTTTGGTCGTATTCGCGCTCGGGATGGTGTTTCCGTCGACTTTTGCCCCATTCTGGGCCCCTTGGTACCAAGAGCGTGTCAGATACGCGGTCCTGTTGCGGAAACCAGGTTTGCGTGCTCTCGACAGAACTGGATGGTGAATCCATTACACCGCCCTGCATGAGCGGTTGGTATGTGTTGAGAGGGTGGACTGGCTTTGGGCTGATTGGCAAGTCGTAGGGAAGGCCCATCTCCCACGTAAATGGTTGAGAGTCACTTTGGCTTGGGAGAATGAATTGCGAAGTGTCACTCAAGGGTGCCTCCAGCTGTGAAGGAGACGACGAAGCATAGTCCAGGCTCTCTGGTGAAGCGAAAAATCCGGCAAACTTGAGCGCCTGCTCCTGCGCCGAGCGAAACACTTCATCCGGTTGCTCCGGATGAGAGCCCACGGCATTCGAATTCGTATTGCTCGGTCTCGCTTTCCTTCGATTCCCTTTCGACTCTCCCCGCTTCACGATCCAGTTGAAGGTGCATTGCTTCTTCCATCTCTTGCAGTTTGAGCAGGCATTGAATTTGCCTTGTTGTCGGTCTTTCTGGTATATGTCAGCTTCCATTGGCCCCCAAGTGAAACATGTCCATGACGAACCGGTGCATCGCAGCCTCTTTTACCCTTGCGACATGGGTCACAACTATGCAGCTGGCTTCGACGGGAACCCTCCATGGGAGGCAGTTGTATAGAGAGGTCAAGGGCAGAAGTACGTTGAGAACTCGAGTCTGGGGAAGCACGTGCACTGCGGAGGTGGGGTAAGCTAGGCGTTCACTCGGTCCAGTGGAACTCTCTTTCACTCTTCTCTACTCCGTTCTGAGTATACTGAAGCATTGAAAGATCCACTGAAGCATCAGTATAGGTCCCTCACGCTGTGTTACCCCAGTTGGCTAGGATACCCTGGGTGCTGCAGCTAGATCCTCAAGCGCAAATCTGACGCCAAGTGAATCTCGAAATCTGCCACATTTTTGGGATGACGCGAGCATCGAGATTGAAGCGGAAAATTGTCTGTCCGAGACCGGTCCAATGGCCTCAATTAAACCCGATCTCCCTGGAGACAAACGAAGCGGGGATTCGGGAACTGACCTACTAGCGGTGTCGATCACTGCTCGAATGGGTAATCATCGGCCCGGCAGGCGAGATTTGAGACCCGATGGGATCTCCAATGTGATCGGCCAATTATATTACAAGAATTTGGATATTTGCTTGTTCGGAGGACGGAGTCTTCCGTTCGCAAACGCTCAGTCCGTCATTTCATGTTTCTACTTTGGTCATTAAGTTGAAATCTCCTAAGGTTGCCGTGATCATTTCTAGTTTATATATCGCATTTACATCTTTCAAGGCCTGAAAATCTACATCAAATTGAACAGCTCAAAACATGTATCGCAACTATTTGCCGAAAAACCGAAACATCAAAACCATTCCACAGTTCCAAGTTGGAAAGATTGAGAAATTAAGACCGAGAAAGGTGCACCCGCACCGTCTTAACCTCCGTGTAGTTCTCCAGAGCATACGAGCCCAGTTCGCGGCCCAATCCGGATTCCTTGAAGCCACCAAACGGCATCTGGTAGTGGAGAGTGTTGTAATTGTTGACCCAAACAGTTCTGTGAAGCTGTTAGCCGAAATCCGCTCCGATAGAAAATCACAATCAACTAACCCAGCTTTAACAGCATTCGAGACTCTAATTGCGGTATTGATGTTTGTGGTGTGCACCGCCGCAGCGAGGCCTGCAGTTGTCAAGTCAGATTGTGCGACACAGAGCACCATGAATAAAACTTACCGTAATTTGTCGAATTAGCCACCTGAATGGCTTCTTCTTCGCTGTGGACCTTCTGCACGGTGCAAACAGGCCCAAAGATCTCTTCTCTCACGATCTTCATCTCATCATGAACATCTGCAAAAATTGTCGGTTGGATATAGTATCCCTCGGTGCCATGTCGATCTCCTCCAGTGATGACCTTTGCGCCGGCACCCTTTCCATCTTCAATATAACTCATGATCCGGTCATATTGAATCTGCGACACCTGGGGACCTTGGAAAGTCTCAGTGTGGAAAGGATCTCCGACCTTATTCTGCTCAGCGCGCTTCTTGAAAAGCTCGAGGAATTCATCATAGACAGCTTCGTGAACAAGGATGCGAGATCCAGCGCAACAGCATTGTCCGTGGTTGAAGAATATTCCAAGATTGACCCACTCAATTGCGTCTTCGAGGTTTGCGTCTGGAAGAATGATATTTGGCGATTTGCCTCCAAGCTCGAGAGTCACTTTCTTCAAGTTACTGTCTGCTGCAGATTTCATGATTTGCCGTCCGACCAAAGTCGACCCAGTAAAGGCAACCTTGTCGATATCCATATGAGCAGCAATTGCAGCACCGGCAGTTCTCCCAAAGCCTGAAATGACATTCACCACACCGGGAGGGAATCCCGCTTCTTTGATGAGTTTGGCAACATAGAGTGCGGAAAGAGGCGTTTGTTCAGCCGTCTTCATAACAATTGTATTGCCAGTAGCGAGAGCAGGGCCAATCTTCCATGCGAACATCAGCAAAGGGAAGTTCCATGGAATAATTTGACCACAGACACCGACAGGCTCATGGCGTGTGTATGTCAAACTGTTGGCATCGGTGTCGATTGTCTGGCCGTAGATCTTGTCTGCCCAGCCACCGTAGTAACGGAGGCATCCGGCAGACGCATTAACGTCGCCCTTTGCCATTGTGAATCCCTTTCCATTGTCGAGTGCTTCGATCGCGGCCAATGTCTCAATGTCGCGCTCTAGGAAGTCTGCCAGGCGAGTCAAGAGACGACCGCGCTCAGAGGGAGTGACATCCTTCCACTCTCCATTGAGTGCATTGCGAGCGACTTTGACTGCGATGTCGACGTCTTTTTCTGTGCCTTCATGAACGGCAACAATGGTTTTCTCGTTATGAGGGTTGATGGTTTCAAAGGTCTTTCCATCCACGCCCTTTACGAACTCATTGTTGATGAATCTATTGACTTTGTCAGCTTTCTTATGTTTGTTGGAATCCGGTCTGTTTGGGTCAACTTACAGCCCCAAGGGCTGCTCGTATGTGACCACAGGGGTCTCCAAAGTTTGAAACAGAGCCATGTTTGAGAAGATTAAATTGAGGATTGAAGCAAATAAATCGATACAGATGAGCAAGAGCAAGTCCCATATTTATAACATTGGCTCCAAGCTGGGGGACCCTGCGAGCGAGAAGCACCGGGGCTGTCGAACGCGGGGAAGCTGCCGGGTCGATAACTACCGGGCCCGATGTTTCTCGTTCTTCGTGGCTTTACGACCTTGTGACTTCCAGTTCCCTTTGTCCGAGTACGTGATAGGCGGAGGCTGTACCAGGTATGGAATTTGAGTTTCAGAAGGACTCATACTGCACGAGTACTGCATGAAGTACCCAGGAGCTCGCATTTTGTGCCATTCACACTATTGGGAGGGGTTGCTTCAATTCTGAGATTGCCGTTGGGGCAGGTTCCTCGAAGATAAATTAGTTGCAAGCATTGGTTCTCTGCATATGACCTATTACCCCAATCCCAATTACCGCCCGTCGAGGTCGCGGAAAGGGGTCTTGGGAGTCTGCTTGAGAAATCCGTTGCTCAGAGCTCGTCGTTTTCTCTTTAACCTCGGAGTGTGGCGTTCTAAACTATAGACATTTTACAATCCTCGGGGGTATCTCACTCATAGCTGATGTAAGACAGGTGAATGGTGTGTGCCATGAGCTCAAATCACGCGATTGGACTCGATTTTGAGACATACCAGTGATAATACCATGGTGAATATTGTATGAACGCCGGGATGGGGAAATATAATCGTAATCAAAGCACATCGTATTCGCTATCTCAACTCATAAACATGAAATTCCACGGGAGATTCGTGGCCTATGTACAACACACTCCTAAAGAATAACTGGCGAAATTTGTCTCGGTGGAGCATCTATTCAGGTAGCTCCAACACATAGCGTCCGGCAATCTTGCCTTGCTCTGGGTGGAGTTAGTTTCATTCTTGGCATAGAACGGTGAGGTCGACTTACCCATGAGCTCAAAGATCTTGGGAAGATCCTCCAAGGGGGCCAGCTTGAATGGGGCCTTGATCAAGCCCCGGGCGAAGAAGTCGAGGGCTTCCACGCCATCTTGCTGGTTACCGACATAGCTTCCCTTAATGGTGATCATGCGAACAACACTATTGAAGACAGGGGCCTTGAGGAAAGCATCTGGTGGCAGTCCAATTGCGACAATCGTGCCACGAGACCGAACATATTCCGAAGCTTGCTGGAAGGGCTTCTCAGAAACTGCCAATAGAATGACTGCATGGGCACCAAGGCCTTCCGGGGTCGCTGCCTTGACATCAGCGACGAGGTCCTTGGACTTTGTGAAGTCGACATATGCCTATATTGCGCTTCGATTAGATTCAATGTAGGTAGACGGTAGGGTCAGGTTTGGCTTTGCATACCTCAGTGCCTAGCTCTTCGCACATAACTCTCTTCTCATCACCGCCGTCAATAGCAACGACTCGAAGGCCCATAGCCTTCGCATATTGCTGAGCGAGTGATCCAAGACCACCACCCGCACCAACAATAGCAACAGTCTGGCCGGGACGAACACCCGACTCCTTCAGGCCCTTGTAAACCGTAATACCAGCACACAGAACAGGAGCAGCTGCATCAAGGGGAACTTCCTTTGGAATCTTAGCAGCGTGTGTAGCCTTCCCGACAGCGTACTGCTGGAAAGTACCATCAACTGTGTATCCGGAAAGTTGCGCATCAGCACACAAGGGTGTGTCGGCCTGTCTGCAGAATTCGCACTCCGAGCAAGAGCCATTAAGCCACTTGATACCAGCATGGTCACCGATCTCAAATGTGCTGACAAGGTCTCCCTTGGCTACAACGACACCTGCTCCCTCGTGACCGCCGACCAGCGGCATCTTGACTGGGAGTGGCCAGTGGCCCATCATGGCGTGGAAGTCGGTGTGGCAAACACCTGAGTAGCGGATCTTGACCAGGATCTGATCAGGGGCTGGCTTTGGGACGGGAATCTGCTTGAGCACAAGTGGGCCTCCGACCTTCTCGGCCACCTGCGCCCATTGAGTCTCGGGAATTGACATGATGAAGATTGAAGTATGAATTCTTTGGAATGGATAGAATTGTATCTGATGAGACCTCTTACCTGGACATGATGAGGTTTTTATAGCCCGCTGTCAGCGGACGATCACCATACGAAGTCCAGAAATGACCGCTCGTGGGGCGCTGTCGCTTCAATTCTCCCATTGTATTCGGACCCGAATCGCATCGGGCAACCGGAAGGCGACCGAGATGATCGATGATTCGGAATGCCGTGGGAATCGATTGGACGTCGGCGCAACTGATTCAGGAACCTGCAGCGCGAAATGACACTTAGGCAAGGTTTATGCGGGGGACATTTGCGGGGATCGTCGGTGCGGAGCCGCACAAGCGAGTGGTCTGATTGGCCCCCGTCGGAGGTGTCCTATTTACCCGTTGGCCCGCGAAGGATCGTCAGAGCGGGAGGAATCTGGGGCTGTGGGAGAAACTAAGGGGGATGGAGAAACTCGGGGGAAACGGGAGATTACCCACCTGGGCAAGAGGGTCACCAGCAGATCTCCGGTTGAGGGAAATGATGGCCCTCAACGATCTCGTATTTTGGAAACCATATCGGTCGCTGCCTGGCTGTTCTCATTATCGTTGGGAAAGAGATGATGCTCCCAAGGTCAGTAGTACTCAGAGAATTACCTAAGGGTATGAGGAGAAATCCATTTGAAGGTCACCGGACGCGAATTGGTTTCTTGGAATAGTATACAATTTCAAACTCAACATATGTAGTGTTCTATGTATCTGTAAAACGACGTCTGGCTTCTCATCCATCAGGGAAGAATGTACCCGACCATCCACTACCAATTGCGAACCCATAATATATCCTCTGATTTGGTGGAATCTCACAACCAGACGACTGGAAGACGGGTGCATCTCCCAAGAATTGATCCGATGTCCCTGCTTCACTACTTTCTGGCTCGCTGGATAACTCCTCCGACCGCCTCCAGTGCTCACCTCGACAGAATGGATCGGGCCCTTCCTCTCCCAACGTATCGGTGAGAGTCTGCTCCTCAAAGTCTGACCCCAGGTCAGCAGTAAAGAAGCAGTTTGGATCAATTGTTTGATCAAATATGTCCTCAAAGGGATCTCTTCGGGGGGTTGGAGCGTTTCCCGTATGACTGTTGTGCCTCCCACCTGGTGGCAAAGAATGGCTGTATCGCAGTTCAGAATTAGTCGATATAAAACGGTGGGATGTAACTTACGCATAAGATGTGATTATCCTGTTTCCCGATGCGGGATTTTTGTTTCCAGATGTTGTAGCATCTCGAGTCTTACGACTTCTCACTCGTTTTCGTTTGACCAGTGGCTCGAAGAGATATTTTGGCGGTTTGCGCTTTCCGTCTACGCATTCCGATGGCGATCCCCGCTCAACACATTGCCCACATGGCCTCTCATTTCCTGAATTTCATGGTTAGAAAGTAATTGGAAACCTCCTGCCACAGACTGTATAGTGATTGTAAGACTTTGGACATACCACATGTTTTGTGAGCTCGCTGGCAATACAAACACGACCGTCTAGCCTTTTTGCGTGGCTGTTTTTTTCGGATATCGGTGGGTGGCTCCATTTCTTCGCGATTGCTTCAATGTAAGTTGTAAGGTGCGGTGTTCAATGTTGGAACGAAGACGGTGTAAATGTGTTGCAGTATCTTGTGCAACTTCTTATAAATATCCACGACAGTGTGGTTAATGAGCCTAGCTTCAAGGGTCCCCAAACCCAGCTGAACACGAATGCGGAACTCAAACCTGTCATTATCCAGAAACTCCTCTAGCGCAGAAAATGATCATCTGGCAGGATCAAACTCCCTAAGCTTCGAAGGGTCGATCCTGGGAGCGGCTCCGCATTCTGCGATCGCCGATCAAAGAAGTATAGCTTTCAAGATTTTGAGTTTCTTCCCCAGAAAAGCAAAATAGCTCGTTTCCAAGGTTTCCTTTACCCCACACGCGGGGTAAACTATAAAGTTTCCAATATTTCTGATCTCAGCTCTAGGCCTCATGCGGTTCCGCATCGACTTCGGAACCGCATGGCCCAGAACATCCGCTCTTGGCATCCTTTACCCCAGATCCAAATCCTACCACATGCATTGTCGAATGAAGTGTTCAAGCCAAGTCCATGTTTCTCCACCTGAACTCCCGACTCGAGGTAAAGGTAGATCAATCAACGCAAGTCGAATGGCTGCGATACATGACTAGAAGCTAACTGTTTACAGCATAAGACAGGTTGAATTTTGAGTCAAACAAGAAAGGCATGCAAGTGGGCCCACTCTATATATGCAAATCTTGTTGAGTTCATATTTCGTTCGTGATGATCTGGTATGCTGCAGGGAAGAGCTTCCATTCCCGAGGGCTGATTGGAAGCGGTAGAAAGGAAGCCCCTTGAGATCTTCCTTCCTGACGGCGAAATGGAAAAAGGCTAAAACATTTGTTGTGATGCATGTCAGCAACATGACCTACGTGTGTGTTATAATCCCCGCATTCCCCATGTTGAGGAGTCTCAAGGCTTGCCTCGTGAATGATCGGTCCTCGTCGTATGCCACATCGATACATTCTTTCACATCCTCAGACCTTAGTCTTCTCAACATTTTTCATCTATTCTCCATTATCACCATGACGGACAGTGATCTTAGTCAAAATGGGGAGTCGAAAGTGACATTCCAAAATAAGGAAAACACTTTCCCAAATTTGACCACTGTTCCGACCTCAGTGACCCTGTCTTCTGAGCAGTTTGAGAGACTCTACCTGACACCCATGACTGTTCGGCAGTCTTCGGTTGCCAGGAAAGTCGGAAACCCAACACCACTGTGAGTATTCGGGTCTTTTCCTGATTCAAGTGACACACTGAGTCCACTGACATTGACTTCATTGATAGGGCACTGGGGGGGTTCGTCATCACGACAACTCCCCTCTCATGTTGCTTGATGGCATGGAGAGGTGCGAGTGGAAATGGAATTGCCTTCATGTAAGATTTCTCCACGTGTCATTGAATGGACTCGAGATCTGACCAAGTATATAGAGGACCTATTGTCTTCCTCGGTGGACTCTTACTTCTCATAACAAGCATTCTTGAGTTCATCATAGGCAATACATTCCCTTGTGTTGTATTTGGTACTATCGGTAAGTGTTTCATCTCGATTACCATGTTAATTCACCTCGCTAACTCTTCGCCTAGGCGGATTTTGGTTTGCGTTTGCCGCTACTATGATACCTTCGTTCAATGCAGCCGGTAAGCCCCCTTTGAAACCACGGAAAGTTCACATCGTTGTACTCACTAGTTCAAAGCACCGTATTCATCATCTGGCACCGATACAGCTGCCGGCCTTGCCAGCGAGAGCTTTCTCAACACATACGGTAAGAGGATCCTGGGACGTTGCGACTCAGTTATGACTGATGGATGAAACCAGCTTTCCTCTTCATTACTATGGCAGTCCTCATGGTTATATTCATGATATGCGCAACACGCATCAACGTGGTCTACACTTTCATCTTCCTCTCTCTACTTTTGGTATTCCTTTTCCTGTCAGCGGCGTACTGGCAGCTGGGCCAAGGGAACTCCATCATTGGGAATCGCTGCATCAAGGTGAATACTTCCCTTCGTTTCTTCGCCACGGGGTATTGTTACTAACGAGATCAATTTTTATCAAGGGAGCCGGAGGCTCACTATTTGTTGCCAGCCTACTTGGTTTCTATCTGTTGATCGTCCAACTATTTGAGTCTATTGGTTTCCCATGCTTCTTGCCAGTCGGGGATTTGGCCACGCTATGGGACCGCGATCAGAAGAGGTGACTTTCTCTAGAGCATTTGGAAGACCCTTTCTCACGAAGGCAGCAGGAACGAACGAAACGATGCTGAAGAACCTGTCACTGCTCGCAATCATTGACCTTTTGTGAAGGTTGTCATTGCGAAGTTTTCTTTTCTTTTCTTTTTACAATGTATGATGCGAGGTAAACTCGATGTCTCAGTAAATGTGGTCGTCATTCATTCATGCGACTGGCATTCTGTCGAACTCAAATAGTTTAAATTTTGTGCTCATTCATAGTGTACACAATTATGTTTGTACTGTTTGCAACGTTAAAAATAGCACCCATGCTAGGAGCTTCTGATTGGACGATGCCTGTTTCATATAGATTGGGGATCCACTTCACTTGGTCTGCTGCACGAGTCCTGGGCAGCGATGAATGTGAGCTTCATTAGAAAATATCTAGTATCCAAGTTATCATGGGGAAACAAGTGCTCCTGCTATTTTGCCCAAGTACTGGCTTGCCATAATAATCATCGATTTAGGTTATTATTACCCCTAACATTTGAAGGATCCAGAGCGGGTTCCTGGATCCAAGGAATGCCTACGGTCGCAGAACTCCGTCACTCAATCTCAAATCGGCAGGTAGACGTGGTTATCCTCTCGAGTTGACAAGGTGAAGTGGACATTAATATAACGATGGCCTGTTCCAAGTGAAATGACGTCGGGGCCCCGGGGAACATGCGCGACGCCAATGACGTAGGCCCGTTATATGTCACCCGGCGCTGGTTTCTTGTCCTCGCGATTTTATTCTCGGTCTTGCAAACATTGCTATCGCGCTTTCCTAATTATATGCGCTCGAACCTTGAAGACGAAGACATAAAGCACAATGGCCAATATTTCAATCAGCGCGCCAGGGTTGAGTAGCGGTGGCTTCCTCTATAATAATGGCAACAACAATGCGCGACTATGTATCACCGCGGAATCAGAAGAGTTCGACATGGACGTCATCAAGAGCTGGCAGGACGAAGGATTTGACGTGGTATACCTTCCCTACAACGGCGGCGGGAAAGACTACGGCCGAAGACTTCAGTCCGTAAAGGATGGTCTGGGTGTCGGTGAAAACTACGGAGTAGTTGGTATGATTGATCTGATCCCGCACTCCGCAACATACTAACTGTGCCAGCTTTCGGCGACGCCGCCAACTACTGTCTCGATTTCTATATTAATTCTGTGAACGCGAGTCGGCTGTGCGCGCTCGTGGCCTACTACCCCAGCCTCATCCCAGATACCAGATCGCGGTTCCCACTTTCCCTGCAGGTCGTCGTTCATTTGGCGGGTGAGAGTGTGGACGTCCTCGTTCAGCCGGTGGCGCTTGGACTACAGGGAAAGAAGCGCCGTCAGTCGCGGCCCATCAACGCTGGCATCGGAACGGGAGAGCGATTGGATCTGGCGTATCCGGCATTCACCTATGACAATGCTGTGCCCGGTTTCGCGGAGTCCGACTTGGAGGAATATGATCATCTCTCGGCGAACCTGGCATGGACGCGAACCTTGAAGGTCTTGCGAAAGGGATACTCACGCGATCCGGATTTGGAGCGTCGAGTGGAAGACCATGTTGAGGGTGAGTTCAGGACCTTTCATCTCGCTAGGCTGTTGCTAATCAATCCTCAGGCAAGTTCTTTTCGTCCAACACCAGAAAGGCCATGGACGGCTACATCCGAGACAAGACCCCAAGCGTCACCTATACCCCGACAATCAGCGGTGGAATCGGCAAGAAGGCATTGAACCACTTCTATGAACACTTCTTCATCGGAAAGCTGCCTCCGTCGATGCGCCTGCGCCTCCTCTCCCGCACAACAGGACCCGATCGCGTGGTCGACGAACTATACGTCAGCTACGAACACACCCAAGAAGTCCCATGGATGCTTCCGGGAGTTCCAGCAACGAACCAACGCATTGAGATCATCCTCGTCAGCATCGTCAGCCTCCGCGGAGGACGCATCTACTCCGAACACGTATACTGGGACCAGGCCAGTGTGCTCGTGCAAGTCGGACTTCTAGACCCGAAGTTACTTCCGAATGGAGTCCAAGGCGTCGATCGACTCCCCGTTGTTGGCCGTGAGGCCGCACGACGTATCCTCCACGAAGACAACGAGCTCGAGCAACAAGATTACCACAACAAGATGATCAAGCGGGCTCGTGCACGTGCGCGCCGGAACCAGAATATGAGCTCCCGTGCTTCGCAGGCGGATGAGTCGGGAGCTGATTTGAAGAGCGATGCCGAGCAGACCTTGCCTGATCGCAGTCGTAATAAGGGGAAGACGGTTCAGACGCCCCGGCCTGTGGAGCAGGAGGATGAGGGCGCTGAGACGGAGACTGAGTCGAGTGTGAAGGGAAAGGCGGAGAACGGGGATCGGTCGGCGTATGTTGAGGATGGTGCGGAAAATGGTGGAAATGGAACGGAGTCTTGATTGCAGCCATCTCCCTGATGAATATCAGGCAGAGGACAGCTTCCCCCCGAATGCTTTGTGATGGGAGTTTTCATGGTTTTCAATGAGTAATGCTCTTCCCGTGGATTCTGTTCAGCATTGATGAGCCTTAATTCAATTCATTACGAATATAACGAGTTTGACAAAATATACACCAGAGACACCTGGGCAGTGGTGTGAAGTATACAGAATTAGGAATTACCCCTTTGGGACTGACCTCACGCTGCTTTTGCGGAATCCCAACGTCATGGCCTGATCGCGCTTACCCCGACACTCCCAACTCACACCCGGAGCAACTGCTGTGGTCTAAGATGTCGCCCTCACTCAGACTGCATTCCAAGTCTCCCAATGGCGCGCCGATCGCAGTTTCAACCGGGGCATGAACCGCTAGAAGCTCGCTCTGACCTGACCTTGAAGAGCAAGCACGTAACAGGTACATTTGCTTCTCTCAACCCAACACTCGCGCACTACTCCCCAACCGGTCATCCACCAGCAGTTGAACCGGAGCAAGATCAAGTCAGTTCCCAATCAGACATCGAACACCTCTGGCGTTCCCGCGACAATAGGAAAGGTCGCCATGCTCTCCGCGTCAGTCACCGAATTTCTTCGCAAGACCATGTCACAACTCCACCACTTACGCGGTCCGCCCCGGCGATATGCAAGGGGCTACTGAACATGGCCACCTACGCACCCTACTGGGATGTGTCATGGCTAGTCGCGACGACATTCACACTGGGGTCAGTGATATGGGTCATCAATGCCTTTTTCGTTTGGCTACCCCTTGTCAGACCGGAAACCGATTTTGCGGGAGAGTCGCTGGTCGGAGGTGGAGTGACGGCGTTTATCGGTGCCACGATCTTCGAAGTCGGGAGTGTCCTTCTTCTCCTTGAGGCCGTGAATGAGAACCAGACGGGTTGTTTTGGCTGGGCGCTTGAAATGGTTGTTTCAAAGACCGGGGATCAAGGGGGACATGCGTGGACGGAGATTCGACCCGACATGCAGGATTGTCGACATCATCATGCGAATCGCCGATCTTTTCTACGGGGACGACATGGGAATGAGTCCGGAACTGCGCATCATGTTAGTCGTGTTGTTCCTGCCTCGGATGGAAGGTCTTTTCGATGGATGCCTTCTGTCAAGGAATTACGAACGCACTATATCCATGAACTAGGGTTCCTTGCTTCGGCAATCCAGCTGCTCAGTGCTTCTGTCTTCTGGATTGCTGGGTTAACGGGCCTCCCAGGCATCTACAATCATCTCAGCTCAGGCCTTGCGGACGGTATATATTGGGCCCCACAGATTGTTGGCGGGGCAGGATTCATCTTAAGCGGGCTTTTGTTTACCCTTGAAACCCAGTCGAGATGGTACAAGCCCGCTTGGCATGTACTTGGCTGGCATATTGGCGTTTGGAACTTCATTGGTGGCATTGGTTTTACTCTTTGCGGAGCTCTGGGTCCGGCAAGCTCTCATTCGGGCGTGGAGTACCAGGCGACACTTGCAACTTTCTGGGGCTCCTGGGCCTTCATGATTGGGTCGACTATTCAGTGGTATGAGAGTTTGCAGAAGCATCCGGTCGAAAAGAAGACTGAGTGATGGTGTGCGACCAAAAGGCTAACAGAACTGCCGTTTCGAATTCTGAATTCTACTAATAAGTCTATGCCGCATTTTGAGTTGAGTTATCATTATGCATTCCAGTTGCAAAGTTCGTTCTTGATCTCCATCCGATCCGTCACAATATCACTGTTGAACGAATTGCGTCGCGTGCTTCTTGTACAGAGTGCTGGAATCCAGAACTTCTCCAGTGGAAGACCTGATGAAGTCGACTTGCAAGTTCTGCTCATCCAAGAACTTGAGTGTGCTGTAGCTATAGTCGTCCGCATATGCAAACTCCGTGTAAGCCGGCTTGGTGCCCACATCACTCAACCCCTCGATATTGCCTGCTCCACCGGCAACAATATACATCGGTGCCTTCGGGTCCTTCATACCGTTAGGATCAGCAGTACCGTTCACAACAGGAAGGAACCGTTGAGAATTATGCACATGGCCAAAAACACCGAGATCAACACCGTACTGGTAGAATAGTCCTTCAAAAGCTTCCTGGCACGAATCGCAACCGCTAGATGAACCGGTCGAGTACCACGGTCTGTGGCCGGCAACAATGACCCACGGCGTAACCGTACGATCAACCGAAGCAAGATCGGCCTTCAAGAACTCGATTTGCTGATGCGGAGCACCGAAGGGTCCGCCATTCAATTTGGCAGATCCATCCGTCCCATCGGGGGCATTGGGGAAATCGGTTTCCGTGTTGATCATCACGATATGCGCCATACCATATTCAAACGAATACCAGAACGGTGGGTTCGAGAGACTGCGGGCTTTGCGCGCTAGAGCTTGCGCTGTAGTATTGGACGACGACGAAGCGAATGAGTGAGGCATGGTATTTTCGAAGCGATGCAGGAAGTCGGTGAAGTTGTTTTGTCCCTTTGGGCATAGATTGTTCAAGTATGGGATCTCGCTGCAGTCTGCTTCGTGGTTACCGGGGCTGGCCATGTATAGCTTGCGGCCTGCGATCGGAGCGAGCTGGTCGTAAAATTGCTCTAGGATGGATTCGTAGGCTTCTTTGCCGTTGAGGATGTTGGAGAACTTCAGATACCAGTCATCTGCGTAGGCGAAGTCACCGGGATGGATGACTAGCTCGTAGTCATCTACTGTTTCGGCGAGGTGGCCGATGGTAGTATGATTTAATTCTGGTTCAATCACTGGGATGGTATCCTTCTTTTTGCTGGAGGTTGTGAAACCGTCTTTTCCGTAGACGCCTAGATCAATCACGACGTCCATGTTGAATGCTGTTTTGTCGCCTGGTGTGCGAGGGCTAAGGAAGTGATCGACTGTGGAGTTTGTTGATTCGATCTTGTAGTAGTAGGTTGTTGCGGGTGTCAGACCGGTCAGGATGGCCACGTTCGACCAGGTCCGCGAGGTTGAGTAGGTAGTTGAAGAAGAAGAGCATGCCTTTGTGTCCAACTTGTCTGCCGATAAGCCATATTGAACACAGGGTTGGCTCAGTTGCTGGTATGTGTTCCATCCAACGGACACAGCTGGGTTTTATCAGTCAATGATTCTCCGAGACCGGGGCCCGCTGGCTTCTGGGTCTTACTCACTATTAGACCCGTACACTGCCAATCGCTGTTGGAACGGAGTAGTCAGATCTTTTGGAATCACCGGATAATTGACACCAGCGAGAGCACCACCGGCGCAGAGCAGCACGGCCACGGAGTAAAGTCCAACCATGACCACAAGTGGAAGTTGATCGACAATGTCTGAAATGCCGATGCCAAATAGGAACTGAGCTTAAATTCCAGAGTCGATCTGAATATCGAAACCAGCCTACTCAGCGCGGGGTGAGTAAACTAGCAGAGCTCGAAACAAGGAGGTTGGGTTTCAATCGAAGTATCGGAATGCTGCGTCCACAGATGAGTCTTTCTCTATACCACAGAAGTCGCGCTCTTGAGCTCTATATGTACTCCCATGCTTCGGCGCAGGCACCCGAATCAGAATCTAATGCTTTCTACTGGTGTTGTTCTTAGAGCCAATCAAGTTCACCAAGCTCCCCACGGCTCGCAACGTGCAGATCAGTTCCTCGACATTGTTACCTGGACCCACTTTGTTCGTCAGGTACATGGGTCGCTAACTGCATTTCAGGGTTACCTCCGCGATGCAATATAATCTAGTATTCTCCGATATGGTCAAGCTTTCGCATACTGTACCCGGTGGACATGTCTCGGAGATTAGACAGTCAAGCACGTGTGGATGATCGACGCATCGGTTGGTCTTCGGCGAAACTGATTTCATTGCGCATCCTCTGATTGGTTCTTTAACTCGTTTGTTCGCATATGGATCTTGAGGTACGTATTGAAGTAGGAAGAGCGCCGGGCGCGCGCGGCGGTCCTCGAACAAAGGAGACAGGACGACCTCGGTGCATCTGGACCTCGGGGTGGGGCACCTAGGGGCTATGACCCAAGGACGGTGGTGGGTGACGTCTCTGGCCTACCCGTGGACGGCGCCATGACAGGAAACGGAGGCCGATCTATAAAACAGTGTAGAGATTGCTTGCTTGCCTCCGACCGCCCGGGCGTAGATCTGAGGCCTAAAATACCCCTATGACCCAGGCTGATACGTCGGGCCACATACCGGTGGTGTTTGCCCAATACACTAGGTAATAATTTCGATGAATATAACACCTCTCGCGCAGAGTCTTGAATTTACCATCTTTGCATGCTTCTTGTTTCGATGCTGCATATTCGCTGAAGACACCTGAGCATTCTGTCAAAGCAAGACACACCAATACGCACATAAAACTGCCACCAACCCAACCAAAAGATAACACATTATTGAGACTGACCCAGAATCTGGAGAAAGATTCTTCACGCCAAGGAAGCTGGATAGCATGACGGGAGAGGGCCGGGAGGGCGTGGAATCATTGGATCGCTCCGTCCCACTCCCATCAACATTTTGCGCAAGAAGCCCACCGACGATTTTCCTCAATTCTTTCATTTCAGAGGTAGTAGAGGGAAGGTTTCGTTCGCAATCATGTAGCACCTGGAAGACTCTGTACCTTTGATCTGGGTGCAATCCATAGTGAAGACGATCTTTTTTATAGCAGGGCTGGCATAGTCTCTTCTGGGAGCAGGATTCATCCACAGGAAGCCAGTGATCAATGGTCTGGGTACAGATATCACAGACTGTCTTGGAATGAGCGGGGTCTTCATTGAGGTCCATCTGAAATAGACGTTGGGCCTTGTCCGAGTCACCGACGAACAGTAGATAGTGACCCAGTTGCCGTACAAGTGGCAGTGGAATATCGAGCTGAAACTGAAGAATTCTTTGTGAAATCTGGATGATAGATTGACGAACAGTAAGTTGTTGGATTTTTTGGGGCGTTGTAACAATTGAAGGCCAATGGTTTCGGATCTGGTGTGCCAACACTTCATTTTCAATTGCCCAGTCTAGGGAGTTTCGGCCATACCCGTCTGAGAGAGAAGGATCGGCACCAGATTGAAGGAGAATTGTGGCAAATTCGTCGTGTCCGAGGCAAATAGCCAGATGAAAGGGGGTTTGGGAAAGCATATCACGTTTGTTGACAGACAACAGGAGCTTCGGGAAGTGATGGAGAAGATCGAGGGCATTGTGTAAGGCCGCAAAATGGAGAGGAGTTCGTTCAAACTCATCTGCTACCAAGGTGTTTGCGCCGGCGCGGAGAAGAATCTCAGCTCTCTTAATTTTACTAACACAAAGCGCCCCTGCGAGAGGTGACCCATATTTACCACCTCGCGCATTGACATGGCCCCCAGTTTCAAGGATTAGCTCGAAAACACCACATTCTGTCCTCGACACAGCGGCAGCCTGCCAGGCATTGCCGTATTTGCCACCCTGGGCGTTCACATCGGCACCAGCGTCTAGGAGTACCCTGATAGTATCTTCTTTGCCACATAAAGCAGCAGCCTGTAGGGCATTGCCGTATTTGCCACCCTGGGCGTTGACATTAGCACCAGCGTTCAGGAGTACCTGTAAGATATCAACGTCTGTGCCAAATGCTGCTGCTGCTTGTAGGGCATTTCCGTATACACCACCCTGGGCGTTGACATCGGCGTCAGCGTTCAGGAGTGCCTGTAAGGAATCAACGTCTCTGCCAAATACTGCTGCTGCTTGTAGGGCATTGCCGTATAGACCACCCTGGGCATTGACATCGGCACCAGCGTTCAGGAGTGCCTGTAAGGTATCAATGTCAATGCCAAATGATGCTGCTGCTTGTAGGGCATTTCCGTATACACCACCCTGGGCGTTGGCATCGGCACCAGCGTGTAAGAGTAGCCTGGTAGCATCTCCTGCGCGACCTACAGCAGAAGCCTGTAAGGCATTTCCGTATACACCACCCTGGGCATTGACATCGGCACCAGCGTTCAGGAGTGCCTGTAAGGATTCAAAGTCTCTGCCAAATGCTGCTGCTGCTTGTAGGGCATTTCCGTATACACCACCCTGGGCGTTGACATCGGCGTCAGCGTTCAGGAGTGCCTGTAAGGAATCAACGTCTCTGCCAAATACTGCTGCTGCTTGTAGGGCATTTCCGTATGCACCACCCTGAGCGTTTACATCGGCACCAGCGTCTAGGAGTACCCTGATAGTATCTTTTTTGCCACGTAGAGCAGCAGCCTGTAGGGCATTGCCGTATAGGCCACCCCGGGCGTTGACATTGGCGCCAAGTGCGAGCAAAATATCAACAACCATCTCATGTCCTTCCAATGAAGCTGCATAGAGAGCACTCTCGCCTTCTTCCGTTGTCGCTTCAAGGCCAGCCCCACTATGCACGATCCATTTGACGAATTTCACATTTCCAAAGCTAGCCGCTTCAATCAATGGCGTCTTTTCAAATATATTGCCTGACTCGCAGTCCGCTCCTTTCCCGCGTAAAATGCGTACCCCGGTGATATGGCCGTGTCGTGCGGCTAAATGGAGCGCAGTATTCCCATCTTCGTCTTTGACAGACAGTGTCTCTCTTTTGGGGGGCACACGCTCTAATATATCAACCAGGTTTGCGGCTGCAGCCATGTGAAGGACAGTAGTGCCGATTCGTGGGCAAAGATCACTCCACCCTTGGAGAGTCTTGTATATCCAGGTCCAGTGGCTTATAACTTGCGCGAGGACACCTTGCTCGTTGTGTAGTTTGAAAGCACGGAACTGAGCAGCTTTTCCCGCATGGATGAATAGGTTGGTTGTGGCATAAAAAAGGAATGGGTGGTTCTGGATCAAATCGTCCTGTGATTCCGGGCACTTTCTAGAAGTCTGGCCTCGAAGGTGGTGTATGGCCAGATAATAAAGACAAGATCGGTAGAGGCTTGCTTGAGATTGGAAGACTATATCTTCAGCTTTGGCACCTGGACTGCTGGCGCCGATAAGATCACTTAAAACGGCTAGCCCTTCCTTGCGCAGAAAATCGTTGACAGACTGGTGAATCACCTGAACGACTTCCTTCAGGCCCCCGCTTGATATCACTTCGGCCAAACCACCAGAGAGAGCTTTAATTCTTTGTTTCATGACTGTGTCACTTTGAATGAACCCAGAGGTGTCCTCCATGGCCTTTGGGGTACGTGTTATCTGTGCATTCCCAGCTGCCAGGGCATACCGCATCTCCGTCACGGTCAGTGGCCGCTCAGCTAGAGACAGCCACTGAAATAGCAGGAACGACTCCTGCAGGTTCCATACTTGGATCACGTTCTTCAAAATGCACAGGTACATATCTTCCAGGCCAGTTGGGACATTGGATATCCAGCAACATATGTCATCGAATGAAACTCCATCCAAGATTCTTTGCTGGGTGAGAGGAATCATGAGGTGAGCCCATTGGAAAACACCATTCAATTGCTGGATTAGGCTTTCCATCAGCATTTGGTGCTGTGGCTTGTCTTGGCTAGGGCTTGGATCCATATCTGTCCCGTTGAGCGATTCCTTGATATATGAAGCGATATCTTCATTATTGTGCTTCTCGACATGTATTTCCACGCTCTCGGAGTTCCCTGTGTTGGGATAGTGTCGACATGCAATGCAGATTCGAAGCGAGGTTTTTGCTTTCTCTGCCTGTTCAAGAAGTCGATGGAAATATTTCACGAGTTTTTGAGCAGACTCAGCCCCAGTTTCATCAAGGGCATCAATAAAGACCGTCACATGTTGTCTACTGGCGGATGCTAGGATTACATCTGCAAACAAGTCTTCCAGTATGTTTTTCGGCCATCCCCACAGGCCTTCCCCAGTCCCAGACCGTCTGCATTGTTCCCCGTAGGCCTTGCGTATCTGAGGACCCACTGTCGGGTCAAGGCCCAATATTTGGTTCAGCAAAGACCGAAGCATGCCCACGGGTGTTCGTTGTAGCTCTACGCCCCGGGCAGTAAAAAAAAAGTCGAGCCGGATACCCTGATTGGGGCTTTTTGAGAGTTCACTGTGTAAGAATGCCATCAATGTCGACTTGCCAGCGCCCGGTTTGCCCTTAATCCATAATAGCCCACGAGGCTCACTCGTCCAGGACCGATACCTTTCCAGGTTCAAAATCCATTTGCAGGTGTTTGGATGACATGACTCGACGTTTCCTCTCCGATCTAGCATCTGGGGAAATGCCAGTGATCTGAGTATCTCTATCGCAAGAGTAAGTACCAGCTTCCTGGGACGGGATGAAATTAGACAAACCGTTATCCATCCTCTTCTGTGGGCTTTCGGTTTGATTTGCCCCTGAAAACGGATTTGAGTCAGCTCAGCCCGGCTCCAGACACCTTGGACTCGAGGCTACATGCCTCGGGGGATGGGCGTGATAAACCTACCAGATGAAACGTTGATAACGCCATTGTTTATTCCAAATTGAGGACCCGAGCTTTGGTTTTCAAATGAAACTTGATTCATATCGGCAGATGGCGCGAAGCGCTGGTGGCTATCAAGGTTCAAGACCTCAGGAAATGAGGGGACTTTCAGCTCGAGGATCAGGTGATTTCAGCCCCCGAACCTTGGGAAGGATGCCCTTTTTAAGCGCCATCTTAGCGCCAGCGTGTAGATCTCCCGAGCTGCAGTGAGTTTGGGGCCAATGGCAGCAAGGCTGAGACCAGATGAGCGAGCATCCATTCGTTTACCGCTCAGATCTCTTTGCGATCTGTCGACTACCACATTCGCGCTTCCAACATGGACGCTGGAGCAACTGACAATCAGGGTTCTGCGCAAAACCATCCGTGCATTAAGACCAGAGAGAAGGACAAGCTGAATTTATGAGACACCCATGGTCCATGGATGTCCGCTCCAGGGCTGCCACAACATTCAAATCACGTGACCTCCAACAGACCCCCGGGGCCGTGGACGTTTTCCGGACGACGCCCGGGCAATCATCTTTGCTCCCAAGTTACGGGGAATTGTTGGAGGGGAATATGCCTACAAACGGCTGAGGTATTTCCTGACATATCTTTGACCCAAAGTCCCAGGACACCGGTCAAGTGGGAACCTTGAAAGCTGTACATCATGTCTAAGCCATGGCCCATGCCCAGGTGTCCAGGTGCCCAGGTGAACATGGCCTCGGGACGGCCCAAAGGCTCAATGTCCTCACCGCGTGTTCGCGTGTTGCACGCAGTACGGTGTGAATGTGCTGGACACCGAACTTAGTCTTTTCTTTGTGCGCCAAAAGCGCCGATATCTTCACTATGTTTTTGATTTGCCGTCTGTTCATCGGTAGTTGAGCAAGACGGTGGTATATGTCGTCCGTCAGTGTCTCATCCGACTTTACTTGGGAGGTAAAATGCCTCCAAATTTATTCCTTGGCAGTCAAGTCAAGATCCGGGTAGTGCAACGTGAGGTGAATTCGGCTTTGGAAAGCGTGATCAATTGCGTCCGCCCGGTTAGTTGTCATGAGCATGATGCCGCGGTAATACTCGAGCAATCTACTCCGTACGCTGACCAGATTAGGATGTCGCTAATTGCATGAAAGGGGTAGCACCAACCTCAAAAAGACAGCCACAATCTCTTTGTGCGCCATATTGCTCGTTGATCGCTCTTGTAGGAGAACATCGCACTCATCGAAGAGCAGGACGGCATTCCACTTTTCCGCGATTTCCAGTACTTCGGTCAGTTGGCTCTCAACACTCGAAGCATCTTGACCCAACTCTCCTGCACTCAGCACGTAAAGTGGCTTCCTGACCCTGTCGGCGACAGCTTCGGCGGTCAAGGTTTTGCCTGTGCCAGGCTGACCTACCAGCAGCATGATGATGCCCATTCCTTTCCCCTCGATTATATCATCGAATTGAAGCTTTTGGTCGTTCTGCGCTTCTACAAATGAAAATATCAAGTTTTGATATCCGCCAGGGAGCATCAGCTTTGAAAAAGCCTTATCGTTCCAGGCGATATCTTTGATATTGTCAATATCAAAGGAGACCCACTGCTTGAACTTCAGAGAATACCCGCGTAAGCGTGTGGCACAAAGCAAGAGCTGCTCTTCGGTGAGATGAAATGCTAAAGCAGCATTGGTCAACAAGATCTTGAAAGGCCAATCGATGGGTTTCCATTTTTATAAATTACGGTCCTTCTCCAACTCCTCATCATCAACTTCGTTCTTATCACTGTTTTGCTAATGATCGCTGTGCCTGTTATCCGCGAAGCTCAATTTCCTCGTTGAGCGGCGCCTCGAGTTCTACCGCACCTCCAATCGTCATAGTGATCGACCTCTTGATGCTCATTGTCCTTGACGTCGATGTAGGGCCCAATTGAATCGGAGCTCAGGCTCGTGAGCGTCTTGGACTCATCAGGATTGGCATGGAAAAAGGACGATGCGTCCACGACGACCCGGCCGTCAATCTTTCGCAGTGCCTTCGTTAGTACTTTCTTCACACTGGGGGTCATTCTCATACAATGCGCTCAAGTTCGCGACGGTAGTATTTAAACCACACCAAGCCCGAATATGCTTTGTATTGAAGGCCGCGAAGATCTTTCCATCGTTGCCTCCGAGTAATGGCTTTCGTTCTCGCCTCCTCTCGAGAAGGGTTGAGGTCTGCCGGGTATGTGCTCAGACTTGTCAAAGCCTTGGTGCCAGCAAACGAGGAGACCTCAAGAGTCTTGGTCGAGCATCCGAAGCTTTTCCCATCCCAATCGACAAATTTGACGCTGATTTCCAGGCAATCTTTCTTTTCATTGTATTCGATTTCTTCCACAACGAAAAACCGCTCATGTACATCTTCCGTTGTGATAACCACCACACCCGGTTCAAAGAGGGCCCAAAGCAACTGATATATGATGACACCGTGATGAAGGTGATCCTGAAACTCGGCCATCACGTCACCCAGCTCCTTGTGTAGCTCATCATAGAGGAGTGCAGAAAAAGCAGCATTGGACGGGTCCTCGCGCTTTTGGCGCTCCACGATTTCCGTGAAGGCTCCCCAACGATGATAGAACGGATGAGAGGGCTCCTGGAAAACCACTTTTTTCAAAGATGGTGTGATTCCGCTGTATCCCTGGAAAACCCCACAAAGTGTGGTTTGAAGAGAATCACTGTTTATCACGATTAAGTCGAGGGCCAGCGCTTTACCGTCATCGTGGTTCTTTTTTCCATCCCTTTCACGAAGGCTTTCTATTTCATGACCCGCATGCTAATCAATTCTTGTTATAGTTACGTGCACGGGATTATGGACGGAGAATACATACAAGCTGAGCGGGGCCCAGGGCGAGAGACAAAGCGAGAGGATTTTGAGACATTTGCCATTATTGAGCTTAAGCCCACTAGAAATCACAACCTTGGAAATTAATTGAAAGCTTCTTTCCGCGTTGTTGTTGCTCACGGAGGTCTTGTAACAGCTACAAGTCAGACAGGCCGTGTTTCCATCCACTTTGGCTGTCAGAAACACATGTAGTAACTAGGATTAGTTTGACGAGAATAAAGACATTGAGTCAACCAAAAAATAGCACAAACATGTCGGACAGAGGGTAATGATCGCTAGTGCCAAGCCCAGCCAAACAGTGCGGCTGATGAAACGACCCGAGGTCCCGAGCCCGCAACATCTGTTATCTTCCCGACACACCTGCACCAATTTGATCAATCGCAGTATGTCGGCCAGACTTGCCCGGAGCCTGCCACAGGTCAATCGCCATATTTTCGCCCGACTCTCCTCCCGTGCGAGACCTCTTGCGAACGTACGTCATGCCGGCTTGGCGCGCAATGCCTGGAACCGCGCGCCTCTCGCACGCGTAACACAGCCCAATGTCGCGCGATTCGCACATACAGATGCTGGTGCAGCGCGCCCTGGCACGGCTATTCTCGACGCTACAGGTTACAAGGGATCGACGGTCACTGAGAAGCATTGGATAAGCCAGGATTTGCCAATTGGTACGGTCTCGTCACTACGTCATTGTCACCCGGCTAACCAAACCAGTGGACGCATTGATTGAACCGCGCGCGATCTTGCATTTCATCGGATTCATTACACAGGGCTGGTTGCCGAATGGGAAGAAGACTGATCTTCCTTTGGTTGATCAAGATGAGTTCCCTCTGTTCATGACGCCCAGTGCCCAATGGGCGCCTGCGCCATTCAACCAGTCCACGACCCCCATCGTGGAGAAGGCCATGGCACGGATTTCGGGTACTGAGGACTTGAGCGGACTGTGTCAAGTTGGACAAAATATTCACTTCCTCAAGAGTCGTCTCTGGGGAGGCCTTGACCCCGTTCCCGAATCGCAATGGCGTGAGAAGGACCTAAACAACCTGGAAAACTTCGCCATCGCCCACGAATATTTGACCTCTGTGATCGCCGTCTTTGAATATCTCAACATTCCTCAGATCCGTACGAACATGCGCGACACATTCAACAAGATTTCAGGTGACTTCGAAGAAATGCAGAACGCTTTGAACGCACGCCGCAGGGCCCAAGGTAGCACTTCCCCTGATATCAATCTGACTGCCCTGTGGGAACAATTCATTCGCTCTCAGTACGAGGTCATTACCAGCACCGCCCATTCCTGGATCCTTGCTCGTACTGCCGAAGTCCGTGAACCGATCTTGAGCAGCCTGAGTGCGATCCCCAACGAGAACCATCAACTCCCAGAATCGAAGGCTCTCATGCAGAAGTGGGGTGACCTCATGGCCGTCAACTCGATGGCTGATTTCACCATTTGGATCTCCATGGATGGATACAACGGTTACCAGGCACCCTCTGAAATCGTTGCCGGGCTACACAACCCCGATCTGGCCAGCCAAGACAAGGACTACGGGTTTGCTGAGCTCCTGATGAGCCAACTCACAAAGGTTATTGAGACTCAGAATGAGGCTGCGAAGGTCGAGGGGCCCAGCGCAGTGCAGAGCGAGGCGGCTCGTCGTGAGCGCTTCTCCGTGAGCACGGTGGTACAGGATCAACTGCGGGAAAAGATCCGTGGTCAGACACCATCACCCCAGCCACCCGTTCAGCCTTGGATCCAACAACTTCTTCGGGGACAGGAGGATATTTTGGCCATGGCCCCGAAGGAGAGAGAAGATCTTGGTTTCGGATTGGCGATTTATCGCGCCGCACACAAGTTCTCTGATGAGGAATGGGAAACCTTCAAGCAGCGCTTGGAATCTCACCTGTCGGCGTGGGGAGAAGGACTCCAGCGTGCGGACGAGCTGAAGCCGCTGCTTAAGCTTCACTGGTTCGATTGCCAGGAGCTAGGCTTCGAGACAACCAAATCCATTCCTGAGGCACGAAGGTTCGATATATCCTTTCCCTGTTTCACATACGCAGACTACTAACACCATCGCTAGACACTTCCAAGGACTTCAGGCTCTGGACGAGTGGAGCTACAAGCTAGCACCATCTGTCTTCCTTGTCGCTGATAGCATGGGCGTGGCCTCATACATCGAGGATGGCATCTACGCCTCCTACAAAAAGGATAAGGGTCTCCTAGACGGAGACTTCCAAGGCCACGTTCTGGCCATCGACCCTGCGTTCGATGAGAGCACCCTTGCAAACGAGAGTGGAAGTGAAAAGACCGAAGACTCCCAGGACAAGGTCCTCCAATATCCGGGTCAGATGCGCATCCACGGTAACCTCGTGTGGAGCGAGCTCTACCCTATGCTGATGCTGCAGTCTGTCAGACTTGAAAACCTCTGGTTGCAGGCGCGGGAACATCCCGTCAAGATGTACACCGGAATGACAGTCCCGAGTCAGCTTGAGCCATGGAGGGAATGGAATTCGCTGAAGGGCGTTATGATGGATGGCTTTATGGATTTCCTGAAAAAGAAGGATCCCAGTCTCGCAGGAAACTTGCAGGATATGAGGAAGAAGGGAAGTATTTAATTTGTAGATTATCTTTCTCCTGTACAACAATCACCACTCTCGGCTCTGCCGGTTGCGCGAAGAGCTTTTTTCAATCTCTTTCTGTATCCTCATGTCCCAAAACTGCAGCGGCGTTTATTTTGCACATGTTTACCGCTTTCTGTTCAGGAAAGGGCCGTGCACGCAATTCCTCCCCTAGAGTTTCCTAACTTGATCATACCGTTGTTCAAAAATCCTCCATTTTCCTAGTCATCGGGAAAGCATCGGAATACCTCGGCGAAATTCCAGTGGAGTGGGATCTCCAAGCGAACGAGTCGACTGTGGGTCAGAGTGGTCGGGCGGAGCGTGTGGCTAGTGTCTTGTCAGGGGAGCAAAGGTTGGCCTCTCACTTCCCGAGGTCCCAACCCACTTGACTCCCAACCAATCGCATCCGCTCATCATCCTCTTGCAAAGCTTCAAGACTGCTCCAACTGCAGAACCTGGGTAATCGACAGGATGTCGTCAACTCCAGAAAAGGTGAGCTCCTCTGTGCCTTCTAGAATGGTTTTTTTGATACTTATACCAAGCTAGGAGCTAGACCGAAAGCTGAAAAGTTACACACCACTTGAGCACACGGACAGAACCAAGGACTTTTTCCGCGACTTCTTTAGGGTTCTTTCTCCTGACGGGAAAAGAAATCTGGCGGAAGACGTTTCAGAATGTGCAAACGATGACAAGCTTCGGCAGCTGGTCCAAAGCATCAGAGTTGGTTTATTGATTCCTATGAAAGCACAGGGTGGCCGGACTCCCACTGAACTCACTCCGTCTCCGCGAACTGGCATTGAAGATTCAATCGAGAATCTCAAGAGCCTAAACATTGAGTCTCAATCGCAAGTCCGATACCACTGTTTAGAAAGAGATGGCTACAAATGTCTTGCAACGGGGAATTACAGTTGCCGTCACCCCCATCCACCCAAAGTACTAACGACCCATCTTGAAGCTGCCTACATTATTCCATCCGCATTTGGATCTTTTCGCGTCAATGACAGCGACGTATTGGACAGACATGCAAAGATTTGGATCAACCTAAGGCGCTACTTTCCAGCTCTTCGCAATATTTCCTTTACCTCCGAACAGATCAATTCGGAAAAGAATGTGCTAACGCTAGACTCCAATCTACACAAGGAATTCGGTGAATTCAGACTCATCTTTGAAGCCACCGGACTTCCTCATCAATACAGAATCAAGACCTTTTCCGATACCGCCACAGGGCCATTAATTTTTTTGCCTAGAAATCGGCTTGTCAAGTTCAGGGTTCGCAAAGGAAGTTGGGAACTTCCAGATCCTAAACTTCTCGAAATTCACGCTTCTATTGGAAACTTTCTACATATGAGTGGCCAGGCGGAGATGATTGAAAAGCTCCTGGGACGTTTTGAAGACTGTGGCGGGCTTGCCCCGGATGGAAGCAGCAACATTGAAGAACTTTCTTGCAGCCAGCAAGCTTTCACTTCTGCCCTCAAACGCCAGCGAAATGCCCGATCTCAACACCTGCTGATGAAGCTATTGAAGCGACCTTTCACCGGGAAGGAAAGATTGATTCTCCTAACCGAGAGAAAGAAGCAAAGAAGGGTAAAGAGAGGAGAGCAAGATATCTAGGTAATGGCCAGGATCATCTCACCGCGGCTTCACCTCGCCGGGTCTTCACAACAGCTATAGATCAGCAAAGTCCTCCCAAGAAGCAAGTCGCAGCCAGCGGACTCTCACTGCTACCCTCAAACGTTGACGAAACGTGATGAGGCTATTGAAGGAAGCTTGCGCCGGAAGCAAAGCCTAATTCTCTGCCGACAGGGATACGAATAATGGGAAAACAACAAGATGCGGAGAACGCGTTATCTGAGAGCACACGGTCGCCTAACCGGGTGTTCACAACAAAACTTCCGGTTTCCAAAAGTCTCCAGTGAAGTGAAGCAAACACTCACGGAAAAGCGAGAAGGCCATCCTCTGGTACTGAGAACAACTCATGGGCAGGCTTGCTAGATTGGATAATCTGGGAAACGGTCGCAATTACATTCATAGATGTAAAGCAAGATGAGGGACCGGGCCTGTCAAACTGGGTCCGCCTTTGCGTATCTTTACTTGCTTTTCCGGGGTGACACCACGTCTACGTTATTCAGTTTCTCGGCATTATTACTTTACTCTGCACCATGTTGTGCTGCTTGCTTTGGCGTTCCTTGCGAATAACAACCTGCTTCCATCCAAGTTTCCGCCATATATCACGTTCCAACTGCTACAGGACCACTTTCTTTAGCTTCCAAGCTCTGGACTCATAAGCAGACAACGGAGAACCCTGGAGATCTAATGTTATTGATTCGGCTGCTCGTAATAGTCGCTAGGCCTGGAGAACCTTGGAAAACTTGAAAGTTCCTTTGCGAGAGATATATCCAACACCTCCCAAGGTTGGAATAATGGTACGTTGAGATTTAGAAGCCGTCTTAATTCTACCCCAGTCGATATCCATGATAAGTAAGGTATCAGGTACCTAGACAATTAACCAAAAGTCTTAGGTGCGGTGTTTAAGGGCTCTCGGGGCCAATACTCGATTAGACCGCCAACCTTGCCCGCAGGTGGAAAATCTGCTTTATTCATGAAAAAAGCCAACTCTTGGGAAATATTGTCATGTTTGTAATGTTTGGAGCCCAATGGGCCCCGGGAAAAGCCATATGAGCTCCGGCCCAGAGCCCAGAGCCCATTACTGGGCCCGACCTCGGGAGGACCAGCCCAAAACCCAGCCCAGTAATGGGCTCAGCCGGGCTGGGCTCTGGGCTTTCTAGGCCGCGGGAGTCTAACCACATTTCATGTCAAAAAGGGTGGGAATCGGATTGCTCTCTTTGATATAATGGATTATGACTTAAGGACATTTGTATCTGCTACTGATGAGTGGGACACGGTCCTGTCAAACCTTGGGAAGTCAATAAGAGCTTTCGTTCTAAGGTTTCACAGTTGAGTCGACCCATGTTGACTCTGAAGTGCATAATTTCCAACAAGCGTTTGAGGTCTCCGCCACTGGCGGTTCGCTCATTCGTTCTGATGGATATACTGCTTCCAAGGTTGCCTAGGTGGCGGGTGAAAGAGATGCCGGGGACCTGGGGATGGAATTGGCTGTCGCCCGCGGCGGCGCTCTAGCCAGAGCCACCTTGGCAGCTTGCAGGTCTGATCTCAGAAGGGTTATGGTATTCCCATTGTACTAGGTACATCGTCATTTTTATTTGTCTCTTTGTTGATGTTTACTTTCTGGGAGGTTTAAACCTTGCAAGGTTGGATTTGAGTGTTCATTGTGGCCTCGAATTCAGACATATACATGCCCTCCGTGGGGATATATCTCGGGCTGTATGTTCTCTGAGTCGCACCTAGGCACATTATCAAACAATCGAAAGAGGTTAATGTTCCAAGCCAATCACAAGCCCTTCCAACGCTCAATCACAGCAGGATCAGCCAAATACCACCTGGGCAGAGCCGACGGATAATTCCAATGTCGCACACGGTGGTGTTTCATTTCGAGTCCAGATCTCGCACAACATGATCTTCACGGGATACATTGACATCCATCCTGGTGTCCTGGCAGCTCATATGTTCGAGTAGCATTATCGGTTGACTTCTTTGCGTAACGTGGTGTCTCAGGGGAGACAGAAACGTGAGCTCAAGTGCTCTGTACGAGGCTCATGTCATTGAGGCTGTAGAAGATGTCAGTATTCCAAATAGTGAGATGCTGCGGCGGGTGAATGTTCCAGTTGTGTTGCTTTCGACATTGATATCCCCCGAGTCTGCTCACAAGAGGTCCTATATCCTATACTCACATCAGGAGCCAAGGTAGTTGTAACCTTGGAAGTCTTGTTCTGACATGTTGATATAAGCGCCTAGTAAGAAATCTGTTTTTGATTTTCTCTGGGGGCCTTAGGTGCTTAGAGTGATGCTGACAACTTCGTTTGCTCTGCTCAGTCTGCGGTCTTTGGAACTCAACGGTTTTCCTTTCTTCTTCTCTCTCCTTCACATCTCTCTTTCTTTTCACCCTTCCACTTCTTCACTCTCTTTGGATATCCTCTCCTCAAGATGGTGAACAGCTTTGTCGGCACTTCTGACCTGACCCTCGTTGAGGCTCCGGTCACTTGGCGCGCCTATCTGATCTGTGGCTTCGCCAGCTTCGGTGGTAAGTCTCCAGCCTTGCGAGGCATTCTTCACTGGCTCACATCTGCGCGTTGATAGGTATCCTCTTCGGTTATGACTCTGGATACATCTCTGGTGTCCTTGGCATGGACTATGTCAAAGAGCACCTTGGTCACGCTGTTCCCAAGGATAAAGATAACCCTACTGGTTTTGTCATCCCCACCTCTCGCAAGTCTCTGATCACCTCCATTCTGTCCGCCGGTACCTTCTTCGGTGCTCTGTTCGGCGGTGCCTTTGCCGAGTGGCTAGGTCGCCGTTTTACTATCATGCTTGCTTGTCTGATCTTCTCCGTTGGTGTTGCCGTCCAAGTTGGCACCACCAGCGTCGGTGGTCTCGTTGCAGGCCGTCTCGTCGCCGGTCTAGGCGTCGGCGGTGTCTCCTCTGTCGTGATTCTGTATGTCTCGGAGATCAGTCCCCGCCGCGTTCGTGGCCTTCTGGTGTCCGCCTATCAGTGGGCCATCACCATTGGTCTCCTCGTTGCATCCGGCGTCGATCAAGGTTGCAAGAATCGCACTACCAGCTCTTCGTATCGGATTCCTATCGGCTTGCAATTCATCTGGGCTTTCATTCTCGCCGCAGGTCTCTTCTTCCTACCTGAGTCTCCTCGCTGGTATGTCAGCCGCAATCGAATGGATGATGCCCTCGCTGCTCTTGAGCGAGTCCGCGGTCAATCTGGCACTCACCCCGCCATCCAGGCAGAGTTGGCGGAGATCAAAGCAAACTATGACTATGAGATGCGGGTTGGAAGTAACTCGTGGGCCGACTGTTTACAAGGGGGTCTCAAGCCCCAGGGCAATCTACGTCGTGTCCTTGCTGGTGTGTTCTTGCAGATGTTCCAGCAATGGACTGGCATCAACTTCATCTGTAGGTTTCTCTCACTTTTCTCTCATGCTTGCTTCCCTCTAATGACCCACCTCGCTTCGCAGTCTATTACGGAACCACCTTCTTTCAACAGATTGGCATCAGCAATGCCTTTCTGATCTCGGTCATCACCAACGTCGTCAACGTGGTGACAACCCCTGCCTCGTTCTACATGGTTGAGAAATTCGGAAGGCGCAGCCTTCTCATCTGGGGCGCCGTCGTCATGTGTGTCTGCGAATTCATCGTCGCAATCGTCGGTGTCAGCCTCCCTGCCGAGGCTCGCGCAGCGTAAGTCCAGCAGTCCAGCTCCATGCAAGACACCTAAACTGATCCGTATCTAGTAACATCTGTCTCATCGTCTTCGTGTGCTTCTACATCGCCGCCTTTGCCACAACCTGGGGACCTGCCGCTTGGGTAGTCATTGGAGAGATCTATCCTCTCCCAATCCGAGCCAAGGGTGTCGCCCTCGCTACAGCCTCGAACTGGCTATGGAACTGCGTCATCGCCGTCATCACACCCTACCTCGTTGACATGGACTATGGAAACCTCAAGTCGAAGGTTTTCTTCGTATGGGGTAGCGCCCTTTTCCTCTGCCTTTTGTTCGCCTACTTCGTCATTCCTGAGACAAAGGGTCTCACTCTGGAACAGGTCGACAGAATGCTGGAAGAGACTAGCCCCCGGACCAGCGCCAAGTGGGTTCCTCACGAGACCTTTGCGCATGAGATGGGTATGGTAGAATTCGGACCTAGCGTCGAGGAACCAAAGTCTACTGTCTTTATGGAGCATGCCGACGAAACTCCTGTGGAGCCTCACCCTGGTGTTCGTCCTCTCGGCCATCGCGCCACTGGGGTTTAGATCCTGAGCGATCAATTGGTTTCGCATCGGCCTGACACTCACGCCAGCCTCGTCGAAACCTAGGATACTTTGCAACAGCACGACAATCTGAAGGATCTGAGGCATTTAATATCTGGACTGGGAACAAAATGTTGAAAGGACAAACAAGGCGAATGGCGGGCGGTAATATCGCTACCGAGTATGGAGTACATCAGCATAGGTTCGCCCTGAGGGCTGTTCTATCCCATAGTTCATGATCAGCTAGTTTAATGAAGGTTTTAACAAAACTTTTTGATTCGCAAGACGAAATGTAGAAGTAGATCATTTGGTATTGAACAATATTTTTGGGTAAACATATACACACCAGCTTGGGGCGTACACGGGTTGCAACGTTGCAACGAAGGACCAGGAGACAAGACATATAAACGCCAGACCCATGCACTACCATAAGCGCCGAAACCGATACAAGCGATACTACAAAGACAGAGCAGTTCATTCTCCATCGGAGACGTCCTTGGACTTGCTCTTCTTTTTCTTCTTCTCTTTCCGCTCGGCAGCGTCGGCATCGACATCTGCCTCGGCCTCGCGTTTCCGCTTGCTCTTCTCCTTCTTTTCCTTCTTCTCCTTCTTCTTCTTCTTGTCCTCCAAATCGGCAGGTGTGTCCTCCTCGGGCGCAACAAAGTCCTTCTCGCGCTCGCGCATCTTCTCCTCCCGCTTCTGTCGCTGTCTCTCGACCACCTCCTCCTTGTGCACGCGATCCTTGGCCTCCTTGGACAGGAAGTACTCTCCAGACTCGATCTGCAAATCGACCTTGCTCTTCTCCGGCGCCGGAGGGAAGGGAGTGTACACCTTCTTCTCCTTGTCGGTAACCTTGAAGGGCACGTGACGCTTGGAAAGCGTGCGCTTCTTGAAGTTCGGCAGGAATCGGTCCCATGACTCTTCCGCCAGTGTCGGGTCCTTCGCCAGCTCGCGCTTGATCATCAACTCCTTGATATGGTAGATCGGGTGGATGTTCGCCATGCAGTCGTCGATGATTCGGCGGATCTCCTTCAATCCCTTGAACGGTCCCATCACCGCCACCGTGTTACCCTGCACCATGATGTATGTGCTGGTGAGAAGCTCGAGAGCCTTAAGGGTGGTACCGTTGGGACCGAGGATACGCTGACGGCGCTTGACGAAGCGCTCTTTGTTGCGGACCTGGTTGCGGATCTTGATGATGTCGCAGGCCATGTCGTCTTCGAGGATCTTCATCGCTTGGGTGACGGGAACACTTCGCGACAGCAGCTTGATTAGATCGCGCGCCTTCATAATCGCCGCCGGGTCGTATGTCTTTCGAGTCGTTTTCACGGTCATGCTACCCTCGACCAAATCCAATGTGCAGGCGATTCCGAGCTTCTCAAGGGCGCGCGTCACACCGGGCCATGCCTCCTTCAGGTACTGTTCACGGTATTTGGGGAAGAGTGTCATGAATGACGACTCCTCGGCGAAACTGCCGGCGGCATTGTGTTCGGGCTTGAATTCTTCGATCTGCAGGTTGTTAATATGCGGAAAAAAGACAGCGAGATCAAAGGTCTCTGACCTTCCACTTGTCGATATCATCAGTGTCCCATGACTTTTCCTTGTTGTGTGTTGACGGCATTTTGCTGGTTGAAGAAAAAGAAAGGCCGGAGCTCAGAGGAAAATCCGCGCCAACTTTTTTTCTCCCCGCTTTCCCCCTTTGGGTAGTCTTGATGCCTCGATAGTCAGGCCACAACTCCCCTTCAGTTGGCGTTTCTCTTATCGTTCATTTGTTCACTTGTTGTCTGTTTGTACACAATAGCCTGGAGCTATGCAGGGTTAGCTACCCCTTCTTGCCGGAATATTTCCAAGTGTGAATGCCTTTGGAAAAAAAATATATCCTTGCGGCTCAAATATAACCTGTCATAGCGGCAGGGATTCATGAGCCCCTTAGCTTGTATATTCCCAGCTCTCTACTAGAATAGGGCTATCGTATCTGCTGGTCCCACTTGTTCTGAGACGCTGAAAGGAGTTGATGAGGCGCCATTGCTTAGAAATCATATCAATCCCAACATTGGAACCTTGGAAAGTTGGCGTTGATTTCGTCGTCTTCGTATTGGCCTGAGGAACGCGGCTGGCAGCTGTCATAGTCGGGTACATGCCCAGGTCAACCGTTTTGCCGTGTCTCTTCGGAAAATCACTTCCCTCTCTACCCTCCGGGCCAAGACTCGGTGATTTTTGGGTCCCATGACGGTCCGTTCCAAAGGGGTAAGGTCGGATCGGGCTCTCGGGCATCGATACGATCTCCAACCGTTGGACGCCCCCTGCTCACAAGCGTTTTCCAAATCGGTCCCTGGCCGCCAGCATCACAGGTCTAACGTCTCACGTCTCACGGCCCAATGCGACCCTCCCCGGTTGACCATCCTTCCAGCCCACATTCGCGTCTGTTGTGACGATCCGGACCTCAAGAAGAGGTTAAACAAAAGCCATACTTGGGTGCATGTGGGCAAGATAAGCTGCAGTGGAGCGGGTCGAATATCACACCGGCTACGAGGGCTCTCGCTCGTCAAGTCAGCTGGCTTCGTGCGACGACGCACGACCCTCGAGTAAGCCACACCGGAGACTTCCGCTGGCCCACTGGACCGCTGGAAACAGGCGGTTGAACACAGCACAATATGGCAACAAAAATAGCGGAAATGAAGCGGCACGATCAGGGAAACTCATTCGACTAACCATCTGTCCGCTAACTCGATATGTCTATGCAAATGCCGCGCAAAGAGCAGGGAAAACACTATTTAGTATGCAGAAATCTGAGGATCGGTTCTGTTCGTCGTCGATTCTCGATCGTCGAGCGAGGTTCGAGGCTGCTCTCACCTTTCGTCGTTATCGGTTCCTTCGTGTCGATGCGTCACGGTTTCCGGCCGATGCAAACGTACCTATTCGGTTAGACCATTTCGATTGGATCTGGACCCAGGTACTTACAGTGGGAAGTATGCCTTCAATGTTGGGTCTGCAGCCTCTCGTTGTGCTTGGGCTACCAACGAGGTGAACACTTCGGGTGGCATGTGCAGCCGCTGGGTCAAAGGGTACAGTGCTAGTGACTGAAGAAGTTGCTGGGCGTTTTCGTGATTGGATTCACCAATGCCCTTCATCCTTAGATCTGAGATGAGTGAGTTAGTCACAGTGATCTCCCAGAGATCTTTGAAAAACCAACCAGTCGACCACGCAGAGAGAGGAAGAGGAATCATCTTCGTGTCCACCTCGACAAAGCCGGCGTCCGCCATGAGGGTTCTCAATTTCGACCCAATTCGAAGATCTTTCTTGTCCTCCAGGGCGCTGAGATATTTGGTGCTCCATTTTCTCAAAGCATGCTCATCAGTGATTGAACCATTGTCAGACTGCACATTGAAGTATATTTCAACCATCTGAGCCCAGCCTCCTGGTTTCAAGACCCTTGAAAACGTCTGGTGTTAGTCTTGGGTCTCATCTGAAAGCCCTTTTGCAGGGGCGAGGGCATCCTCAATTCGATTGGCAGGGGTCGCACCTGACTACGTCGCGGAGATAGGATGGCCATCGGGATCGGTTCAGGCCGGTCGCAAGGAGTCTGGAATGGACAAAATCGAAGTGGTTGGTGGGAAAGGTAAAGCGGCGATTCAGGTCATCGACCTGTTCCGTGACAAATTAGCGATCGTTCAGGAAGCCCTGGAGCCGAGCCAGACCGTCTTTTTACGAGTAGACGGCACAGATCTTGCGGACACACGACTAGCCCTGAAGCAGCGGAAGGGTTTTCTCTTGGCCCAAATCACTTGGATGTGTGTGACAAAGTGTGAAACTCACTGACTTACCTGAAGCCATAAGTTATTAGGCACATCCTCTGGGTTCATGTGCGGGGCAATGTCCACGCCGATGACCTATGGCGCGCTGGGCGTTAGGTCGTGGATGAACATCATTCAGGAACATCTCACCTCGCAGCCAGGATACTCCTCGGCCACGTCGACGGCCCAGGAAGCCGATCCATGACCACAGTCGAGCACTCTGCGCAGTTCACGAATTGGGGGGAAGATCAAGCGGTTGTCGAAAATCCTCTGGAACACCTGCTGCTGGTCCTCGAGTCGTTGGGCTTCTTCCTGCCCTGACAGTTAGAAAACGAAGGCCTGAAACTCCACTATTCTTACCTCATCGACGGGCTCAAAGTACGTCCGATGTTCCAGGGAATATTTCTGATATTCACGACCCTGGACAGTGACAGTATCGAGGTACTGCCGGTCTAGTTCTGTCGTCTGTGCATCTGGGTTCCTGGAGACCAATACCAAGGTCAGTTACGTGTTGCACTCTCACACACTGGCAGAAACAAAACATCGACGGAGGGATTGGCGTACGCCATGGTCACTGGTGCAGCGCTGTCGTGGTACGAAAAAGGAGATCTCAGGTGGCACACTTTGATTTGTTTCGTCAGGGTGGGGGGTGGTTGAATTATCCGTGTCTAAAAGCCTGCATCGAGTCACCGTATCTGAGCGAAAAGGGTGAAAATTCGGTGTTTGGCAATTTTCATGGAAGCGATCGGGTGCAGCCTGAAGACGTCGGTCCTAGACAGGATGGCGGCTTGCGCGAGGATCCGTGGAGAGCTGGAGGGGTCTCTAATCATACAAGGTACGTACTAAAATGTACAGGGGGGAAGGAAAAGCCACATGAACCAATTCAAAGGCTTCGAAGATCCTCGGGGTGCAGACGATGTGCGCAGATACGGGGCTTAACGGTCAATTAATTAGCGATGGGGCCGTGGGTAATCAATTAGGATGCGAGTCGTTCGCGTGGGACCCCCAAACGCTCCCAGCCCATGGACGTGTGGTCTGCAGCAACTCGCTGTTCCGACAGTCTGGTACATCAATAGATGTCTGAAGAAAAAGAAAAGGGAGAAAAAGGGCGGGTCGGCCAAGCCGAATGCACGAATGACACGATTGACACCTACAAGGACCTAAACCATCGACACAACCCCGTCTGGCCGTTTAAGGCCGAGCTAGTTGGCCTTGGAAGCAGCAGTGCCTTCAGCTAATGCACTGTCCGCCGTCTCGCATCGTACCTACTTGATCTCGAGGGTCCAAGAGCGCCCGACGGGGTGGATAGAGTCCACGAATTCGCCCCTGCTGAGAGATCCTTGCCAAACACATCCCGAGGCTGATCACGACGTGTTCTCGAAGCCTCCCGGAAACTCAATGCCTGTGCCGGCTCCACGGAGCACGAACATGCTCACCTGGGCAGCGAGTGATGATGTACCAGTACTAGTACGAAGTGCTGTATGAGTATAGTGCACAGCCTGTACGAGTACGCTGTGAATGAAAACTGAACGGTGAAAATGTCGATATTGGCATGAGGCTGAACAGACCTCTGAATTTCCAGTGACACGCGCAGCCGGAGAAAAAAAAAAAAGAAAAAAAAAAATTCATACCCACCATGGGACCCATATCGAGACAAGAGCCGGATTCATACACCCTTGCGTACACCCTCGGTTCTACGTTGCGACTTTCCAGAGCAGACGTCAAGGGATCCATACACCCGCTGTCAAGCCGATGAAACGAGGAGACTGAGAACCCCCTGGCGCTCAGCACGGGGACAAAATATCCCCGGAATGAGGGCGCATTCAGTACGGATCCCGTACTCCATACACAGCGTCGTACATTGCATGCCAAGTTCCCAGTCTCACCAGCGAGGCAGAGTGGGGGTCTACGGGGATCAGCATCCTCCTCGTTGGGGCATCCAGTCCCTCGGGATGGTGGGTTTCATTTTATTTTTGCCCCTCTTCTTTCGTTCTCACCGCTTGTCTCGGTTTTTCTTTCCCTGGGGATTTGTTTGACATGAGTTTTGTCCTCGCCACCACCATCCCGAGATGGCCATTGCTCGTCATGACCCTCTGGAAGACTCTTCACAGTGCGCGGAAAAGGTTTCCATAGTTTGCATCCTGCTGTGGGTTTTCACCAGTCCGGGGATCCACTGTGCATCCACCACAACATTTGGAATTGATGTGATGATCCTGGATTCTCATTATTCAGTACCGTACAGTACAGACACAGCCTCCCTACATACAGTACGGAGTAGCATAGTAGACTCGTAGACTTGTAGACTGTACAATACAACCACAGTGTCGGGATCTGGACAGGGGCTTACCCGTCCGGGGCTCCGCTCCCCAACCCAGCACCATGGTTCGACTGTCGGGTATCCAGTGGACACGCTACTGCTACCACACTAGGCAAATCGCACACTTTCTAAGGAGTAGCCATTCTCTCGGGTCTGCATAGACCGGTTGCCTGGTCGATACGTCGATTCATAGTCTCATTACCATTATTCCAAGGTTGGACGCATCCCAAGACAGTACTAGTACGGAGTACAGATGGTCGATTTACCTAACAGTTTACATACTACCAGAAGACATCCTTGCCGAGGGTCAGTGCAGACCGACGAAATCCATGCATAGGACCAGGCTCGAACTCCCGTGAAAGCACCAAAACTAAATACAAGAGTGGGGTATATAAATTGCAGACAAAGATAGACGACAGACAGGCTTGGCGTCAGCATCCCATCTCCCACGGGCATGCCTCCGTGCAGCTTCAAGGCTGCAGCGTCACCGTGAAAAGCCGCTTCACCGGACATCTTCCCGGCCAGTCATGAACTTGACACTGGCCGACAAAATCTGCATGACGGTTTCGATCTCAGCCTCTGTTCGCGGTGCATAGATCAGTAAGTACTCGGCAGGAATGTCAGGCCGGGTACCCAGTGAGAGAAAAGTCATGGCAGATGACCCCGAGAAAGCATGACGCTGGCCCCATCCCGCCTCGATGATCTTGATACCTGTGTTCGCATTAGCGTTGTCGCCAGCATGGATACCAATATAGAAACATTACTTACAATCAGCCGGCGCAAGCACCATATGCAGGGAGTGATCATTCCCAAAATGAACATGAGCAATCTCGCCCTGCATAGTCCGCGCAAGACCCGAAGCAGGAAGATGATCCGCCAGGAAGATCCCATCGGCATGGCGTTCCAGATTCGACCGAGCCAACTTAACAAGATGATGATTCCGACGAGCAAAGGATTCAAAGACACCACCCAATTTCTACCGATCTATTAGTCGAACCTCAACAAAAGACTGAAAACATACCTCCATCACCGCCTCATCGGGAACCTGCGTCAACTGCCTCTGCGGCACAACATGCGGCCCGACAACCGGTCTCGTCCCACGCTCCTCCGATAACACAAGGAACCCATCATCCCCTTTCCCATGACCCTCTGCCGCTGCAATGCGGCGCACATACTCGTCCGTGCTAAGCATCTCCCGCCCAAAGGGCTGGAAGAGCACGCGCACCAAAACCCATCCCAGCGCGTTATTCGGCACACCGCCCGGTCCGTACGATTTGAAGATCCGGTAGTCGCGGTATGCGGGGATAGCGAGGGCAGAGGCAGCAACGGCGAGTGCGACGAGTGCGAAGCGCTCAGTCGGGATGCGCGAGGCGAAGGCAGTTGCCATTTCGTGAGATGGGAGACAGTGCGATTTACGATTTACGGGCGTGGTTTAGAATATATGGAATATGGAATTGCTTGGGGTGAGGCGGAATGATCGGGTCGGATTCGGCTGACGCGAGGGGCGCGATTGGCTGTTCGCGATCATACGAGCGACACTATACGGCTTTGGGGGTGGATGATTCGCGATACTCGTATTATCATTATGTCTAGCGCTGGGTTTAGCACTGGGTCTAGCACTGGGTTTCTCTGCTACGGGGTCTTCGGGTTGACTCGGGCGCGGGAGCGCGACATGACTCGTCAGGGCTGGGCTGGCCCCAGGGCCCCTTGGGGTTGCGGGTGTAGTCCGGAATCCGCGACTTGGGACCGCTGCGAGGTTGGAGTATGTCGGAGGGGAGGTTATGCTAGTACTGGGTCGGGCGGCATTATTGGTGCCGTCTGTTGCGATAGAAAGGTTTCATGGGAAACAGAGCAAGACGCTTCGCGTGCTCAGTCTTCCTTGCTTTCCTCTCTGCTGATAGCGGTCAAGGAATGCGCCAGCTTCAGGAGAACCACGCTCTCTGTAGCGGCAAAGTAATTCAGGCTGTAGGGCTCGGGTCAGCATGTTGGCTTGGAGTCATGAGAGGAATCATGTTCTTACCTGTCCATCAAGATGCGGAGATGGCGCGAGAAATGATCTTCGTATCGCTTGAGAGTATCTTCCAGCTTTCCGATTCGGCTGGGGTCATATCCACGGGCGTCAGCACCGGGAACTTTGCCCGTGGCCAAATCAGGGTCGGCTGATGCTAGTGCCCTTGATAGTGATGCGGCGGTCCAAGAGGCAAACATAGTGCAACAAGTGACTAGCTTAGAGTGGATCTGGGGAGTGGGTTAGCAAGTCATCGCCAGAGATCATTTATCCAACTTACTTTCAATAGCTTCGCTTGTGTAAGCATGCACTCCTTGAGACATGTATCTAAGAAATCCACATGATCCTGCATCAGCTCATCAACCGTCCGGTTGACTGGCTTCATATCACTTTCCTCCACCGCGGACGCATCTGCATCCACACTGTTTACGCGATCCATCAGACCCACCCAATTAGGCTCGATCACCTCCGCTGTGCAGAAGTACAAAAGCTGTTGGACGAAAACCAACATTTTCGCGCGCAGGTTCCATGCGCGGCGTTTCCAGATCTCCAATCGACGATCAGAGGACTTGTGTCGCCAGCTAGTCGTCTTGTTCTGATCCGCCCAGGACGTGACCAGCAACGTCTCTAGATGGCGCAGCGAAAGGAGATGCCGGAAGATCAATTGATATCGCAGCACAGTCTTTCGGCTGATGACAAGTGAAAGAGGGAAGGGAACCTGGTAATCGAGCTCGAGTGCATCGAATCCCACAATATCCTTGTCCTCATCACCGGATGCATGTTGCTTCTCTGCTTCTGGGCCGTCTTGATTGACACCCGACACATTGACGACTTGCATCAACCACTTTGTGAGACCGATCTTGTTCATCTTGACCTTCACGTCCTCCTTGAATGGATCTAGTGCTGCGACACTGCCAGGCTGCCGAAGCACAATGTCTAGTAATGATTGGAGCTTGCCCTCGTTGACGCTGCGCGCCGGCTTTCGTAACTCCGATGCACTCAGCTCGAGGAAATATGAGAAGAAATCGGAACGATCCAGAAAGAAGTAGTGCTTCAAGGAGCGGAAGCGGGTCGTGAGGGAATTTTTGGTGACAAGAAGGTTCAATAAGGACGCATTGGCGTATGTGTAGGCGGAATTGACGTTGTCCAAGAAGCGAGGATCGTCGAGTGTCTGCGGCACATCCATGACTTCTTTGCTAACATCCACACCACCACATTCACGAACAACATTCAAGTATTTTCCTGCCAAGAGAACCTTGTCTTGCATACTTTTCAGCTGGGGTGGGACTTCATTTTCGCGAATGGTATACCGCTTCTCCCAGTATTCATCGGTGTAGTCTTCCTCGAGCTTCTCGCGTCTGATCCATTTTTGTTCCTTCACCAGAAACTCGGCATGAGGGTCTCTGATACCTCCGTGGTGCAGCCACTCGTTCAACATGGTCATATACGGTCGACTGGCATCCCGTAGCAGGGTCTGAAGCAGGGTCTTTGTCGTTGGATCTCCCGAGAATGAAGCCAGGCGCCCTGTTAACAGCCCCAGAATGTTCCCTCCTTTGCACATCTTTTTCCTGGTCATGGACCCAGGGACCAGATCTCCTCCTTCTTTCAGCTGCTCGAGAATATTGTCAACGTCTTCGTCAAAGTCATCAATAGACTCTTCGATTTCTTCATCCAAGAGGCCATTCTTGAGCAATAGCTCCTGGCCCATTGAGTACAATTGAGCCAAACATTGGCTGGTTGGCATGGTATGTAGGTGGAGAAGATGCAAGGTGAATGTCGGATTGTTCAACAGTTGGCCTTCGAGCTGAGCAATGAGGATGAGGTAGTCTTTGAGAAGCTTTCGAATGGATGCGCACAGCGAGTGGCTGACGGCGCCACACTCGGCGCGACTCTGGATTTCCACAAAAGCTTCCATAGCACTATAGTGTGTCGCCATCTTCAACATGGATTGTGTGAGGTCGCGCAGGGTTGGATCTAGCCCCGGCGCGATTTGGAATGCCGGTCCCGCGAGGCGGTCCTTCTCGACCGATGGATCATAGTTGGCATAATGAACATATTGGCCTTCAAATCCCATGAACACAAATAACAAATCCTCCAGGATGGCCGCTTCCTGTGCGTCGGATGACAATTCTCGTAGTGCTCGCGGATGAAGGGATTGTGGAGCTGCCGAGGCTAGAGGAGGAACAGAGACTCGACATGCGAGGGGGGCTGTCGAATGGGGTATCAATGATGCTTGGGGATTCCAGGGTACTGCGAAGCCAGAGAAATTGTCAGATTCGAGACCAGGTATAGCAAACGGCAAGCTACGCAGGGATCACTCACACGCTGTCGGGGTCTTTTCTCCATCTCGCGCGCTCGGATTGGCGCCATCTGTCTGGATAGGTTTTCGAGGTCGATTCTTCTCCCAATCGCCTCGGTTTGGCGCGCTGATAGAGTCCTTGGTCTGGTTCCTTCGCACTGATCTCTCTCGTGTTGTGATGCCTGGCCGCTCTGAGCGCTTTTCCGACATGCTCTTCTGATCCCGGGAAACTCGATGGGGGTGACTTGAGGAGCTGTTGCGCAGTGGATTCTTGTTCTCGATTTGCATTGGCGACAGTCCGCGGGATTCGGCATCGACGCGATTGGAGACGGCGCGGGGTCGTGGAGCGCTCATATACGCGGCGCGGTCATTGACAGACATAATCCCGCGAGGGCAGCGAGACGATCATGTAGCATAGGAAGTACACGTAAAAACCGGTCGAATTGCACACCAAAAGCCAGGGATTGTTATGGGGAGAAGATGCAAGTCTCCAAACAACTCCACCTTGGCTTGGGCAGCTGGATGCCTCAGGCCACAAACCCAGGCACTCACCTCTTGCGTAGAGCTTCCTTTCCCGAGCTTCACCTCTGCTCTACTCTTTCATTCCCATACCCTCCATCGTCGTTTGATATTCTCTGGCTTATTTTCTCTCAACCCTTTTACCTCGATCAGATAAATCATGTTCATCGCACGCTCAGAATATGGTAAGCTTCGTCATCTCCCCTCACCGCGGGATCAACTAACAGCGCTGGCCAGACCGTGGTATCAAGTATGCTTCCCAAGCTCCAGATGTACTCTCGAAGGAACTCCCAGTCTGACAATGATTCCTCCTCAGCACCTTCTCCCCTGAAGGTCGTTTGTTCCAGGTCGAATACTCTCTCGAAGCTATCAAGCTAGGCTCCACGGCGATCGGTGTAGGTCACACCACACAATCCGTATCGATGTCGCATTCGCCCTAGGGATATCTATCCAGCAGCTCTCCGAGAATGCGTGATAACGGCAGATCCAGCGGGGGACAATGCGGTTCCGGGGACATTCGGCTGACATCCATCTAGGTCGCAACCTCCGAGGGTGTCATTCTTGGTGTTGAGAAGCGTGTCACATCCACTCTGCTCGAAGCGTCATCCGTTGAGAAGATTGTCGAAATTGACCAGCACATCGGCTGTGCCATGTCCGGTCTCCAGGCCGATGCCCGAAACCTGGTTGAACACGCCCGTGTCGAGTGCCAGAACCACGCCTTCCACTACGCCGAGCCCCTGCGGGTCGAGAGCACCACGCAAGCAATCTGTGATTTGGCTCTGCGATTCGGCGAGAGCGGCGACGATGAGGAGAGTGTGATGAGCAGACCGTTCGGCGTTGCGCTGTTAATCGCCGGTTATGACGAGGATGGTCCTCAACTGTAAGAGCTGCGGTCCTGGTTGATTCTATTGCAATGCTAATATTTGTCTTCTTCTTAGATACCACGCTGAACCCTCTGGCACATTCTACCGGTATGATGCTAAGGCGATCGGCTCAGGAAGCGAGGGCGCGCAGGCGGAGCTGCAGAATGAATACCATCGGTCTTTGACTCTAGCAGAGGCCGAGACATTGGTCCTCAAGACCCTCAAGCAGGTCATGGAGGAGAAGCTTGATTCCAAGAACGTCCAGCTGGCCAGCGTGACCAAGGAGAGGGGCTTCCGTATCTACAATGACGAGGAGATGGGCAACGCTGTCGCACAGCTGGGCGGCAACCAATAAGCGCTAGAAGTGTGAGCAATATGTTTTGGATAAGCTCCCCAGTCTTGAGTTAAGGCCGGTGTTTATGTTTTGGAGCAGTAGAAAAATAATGACGATGCCCGTCCAACGCCTACATGCTTTCTTACAGACACATATATGTTTCGATATAAGATTTCATGTAACAAATTGGGAATTTTGAGGGCATAAACATATATGCGGGTAATCGTGGCCATGCACAACGGCCAATTCCAAGGTTGGAACCATTTAGCGGATCTTATAGACACATGGCTTGAGGACCTGAGCCTCCTGTTCAGCCGACATGCCAGCCTCTGACGCAGGCTGGCGGTCAACAAAGCGTTTCTTGCTGCCAGGAGCGGGCGCACTGAGGGCTGAGGCATGTTTTCCCTTAGTGGGGGGACCTCCCTGCTTAACAAACTCCATCTTCACGAACATCTTATTGGACTTGTCCACGGTTTCCTGGCGAAGCATGAATCCGCGAGACCGGAAGACCTCCACGAATGCTGAGATATCAGTCTCATCGGTCTTATCCGAGGGCCGAGAATCTTCAGCGAAGATATCTCCTTCTTCCGCATCAGAATCCTCGTCCTTGCCGCCCTTCTTCTTGGGCTTCTTCTTGTCAGCCTTGCTACCAGGCCTCTGAGCACCGATCTGAGACTTCTTGCGGGAGACCTTGCCAAATCGACTCTTGACCTCACTGACCCAGCACTCGCCCTTGCCATCGCCACGCAGAACACGCCAAGCCTCCTCAACGAAGGAAACCCAGTTGGTTCCCATCAAACTCAAACAGAAGATGGCAACGTCCACTGAGCCATCCTCCAGAGGGAGATTCGAGATGTCAGCTTTCGTGATCAGCGCATCGGGTGCTTGCAGGTCGTAGCTGTTGAGCTTGATGTTGAGCTTCTTGGCAGACGGGGTCAGCGAGCGCGCCAGCTGGCCGTCTCCACAGCCCAGATCGGCGAATGTGCAGAGTCCATTGGGACGGCGGGGGAGCGGGTAGCCCTTGGCGGGGTTGTTGGGCTTTCCACGCTTGGGAAGGGGAATGGCACCGCGGGTTCGGATGGTCTTGATATAGGCATCGACTGGGTTGGATGGCCAGGACTCCTTCACCTGACGTGCGAATCCGGCGTGGTATTCGTCGAAAAGCTCGGGGTTGGCATTGAACAGTTCCACGGCCTTCTCGGAGGGGGTGGTGTAGAGGGTCTCGTTGAGGTGACGGAACCGGGAAGACACAAGCTTCTGTCGCATCGCCTGCTGAAGGGGCGTCAGGTTTGCGGTAGGTGGCAGCGCAGGCGCAGCGGGGGCCGGGGCAGCTTCTTTCGGGGCCGAGGCGTTGTCTTTCCCGGCTGGTTCCTCTGCATTGGCCTTGTCCTTGTTCTTCTTGTTCTTCTTCTGTTTCTTCTTGGGTGTCTTGTCCTCGGCTTCCTCGACCTCGGCCTCCGCAGCGGGGGCCTCAGTTGCTGGCTCCTGGGTGGTCTGTTCGGGCTGCTTCTCTTGCTTGCCCTTCTTTTCCTTCTTCTGCTTCTTTTCTGTCTTCACGGTGGCGTCTGGACCAGCCTTCTCGCCCTTGGGAGCTCTGGTGTTGCCCTCAATATGCTTGCGATACATCTCATCCACGTTACCGGCGGTGACATTGGCACGCTTGCGCTTGTTGCTCTTCGCATCGGGAGTCGAAGCATCCTTGGCTTGGGGCTCATTGGGCTGAGCATTCTGAGTCTGCGACTTCAGAGCCGAGGTCTCAAGCGACCATCCTGGAACCGCGAACATGATGAAATGTGGGAGAGTCCTTGGAGGATGAGATACGTTGTGTCGGCCAAAAAAGAAAAAAGCTCAAAATTTCGTTATCGGTAACTGTGCTTATCGTAACCAGTAATTTACAGGTACTTCTGCCTGAGGAATAAACATCGTCTGCCCTGCCCCAGAGGCTGTTTCACTTCCAACTGTTTCAGGTGTTGTTTTTAAGACTCTGACAGAGAGCAAGAAGACTCTGTTCATCACACAAAGCTCAGACAAATAAGAATGTGTGATTGAGGTTGTACATTGTCACGACAGGCAAAAGGGCCTCGTCAGCCGAATCCAGGGTTGCAGTCGCAAAAAGACTCTCAACTGGGAAAGACCTGCAGAGACGCAGACCTGCAGACCTGCAGCGATGCAGCGATGCGGCGATGGCAAACGCAGTGAACGTCCAACCATAAAACCGGGTCTAGATCTCGGGTGATCTTCCTCGGCCGCTTTACCCCCCAGAGCCCTCCCGCCTTTCTCCTCTTTATGCTTCTGCTAGCATGTTATCGGTCTCTTTCCTCCCTTGACATTTTGAAAAATGGAGACTCAAGATACTGGGGGCGATTCCGCCGTCCGTCGACACCCGAAGAAACGAACCAAGACCGGCTGTCTAAGTATGTGGTATCCCCATTCCCGTAACACCCGTTGACCAAGATCAGCATGTCGCAAGCGCCGGATTAAATGTGGCGAGGAAAAGCCCATTTGTACCAATTGTGTCAAATCTAAGCGCAGCTGTGAGGGCTACGCACAGCGCGTGGTGTTCAAGAATCCCATCGGCATCTTCGGGGCTTTTCATAACCCCCACAATCATGATCCGCAGATGCAGCAGCAATACATGGGGCCACCACTGTACAGCGATTATGGATCCCAGCTTGCACCCCAGCAGGCGGCCGCTGCGGCGCAGCATCCAATGCTGGCACCAAGGCCTGTTGACCCGGCCACTCTGGGATATCGCTCCATGCCAGCGCAACCAATCCCGACGGCTCAAATGCAACAGAATAATAACAACCAATTCCATTATCCTGCTCCGCCTTCCATTACACAGCAGCCGCAGGCGGATGTATGGCCTACTCAGCATACAGGGCAACCACAGAATACGCCCGCCTGGCCACCGGTGCCCATGAGCGATTACTCACAAACACAACCGCCAATTTACCCGAGTCAGACTACCTTGGAACACTCGCAAAGGAGCAGTCATAGTCCATCAATCACCAATCCTATAGGTCAAACTCCCGAAGAACATGCCCCCAATGTCTCCCCACTGCCGAACCTAAACGTCGGATTTGGAGCCTCTAGTCGGGACAATGACTTCATCCCCCAAGTATGCAACTGCCATGGCTCCATTGTGCTTCCGGACCAAGAGACTAAACTCAGTTCGCAGGTGACTCAACCCTTACCGACGATATATCATTATCAAACACAGCCTGGACAGCTACCCCAGCCGCCTAGACCTCATGAACAGTTTATCCCCCATCAGCCATCTCAGGTGGTATACATGGAGGATGAAAGCGAAGACTATTATGATGTAGACTCGGACGACGAAGCAGGGGATCAGTCTCAAGTCGAGGGATTCAACCAGCTGAGCCTCATCATGGCTTCCGCCAACTACGATGAACGAAAACTCCGTTCCTTTACGACGTACCTAAACGAACCGAATGTCCTTGCCTCGTACCGTCCAACACTGGGCTCCTCTCCCCTAAACAACCCAAAGACAGCCCGCATTTTCGCCCATTTTATCCACTCAACTGGTCCTTCTTTGTCAATCTTCGAACGGCATCCTACTGATTCATCAATTGTTCTGGGGGCTACGGTACCCTCTGCGCAGCAAGGATTGTGGATTTACACCCTCGCTCTCAAGGCGCTGGAACATCCTGCCTTACTCCAGGCAATCCTTGCTGTCAGCAGTTTACACATTGCATATCTACAACATGTCCCTTCGACCGTGTCTCTAAAACACTACCACTATGCACTGAAACGGGTCGGTTCCGCAGTCGGACTGCCTCTTCGGCGTAAGCAGGTCGGTACACTCGCTGCCACTCTGTTGCTGGGGTACTATGAGGTGGTATCCGCCGATCATTCCAAGTGGAACAATCATGTAGCTGGATCTGCTCATCTGATCCGTGAAATTGATTTTGCTGGTATCACTCGGGATCTGCGAGCTCATCGGCGGAGGATCAACAGTCAGCGACAGGCAGAATGGTCAGACTCGTGGTGGGGGATGCCCGGTGATGTTTCTGAGGATGATCCGTTCTCTGAGAAAGAAACCAACGTGAATGAGGATCTCATCGGCACTCTCATGGGCCGTGTAGTCAACTATGACTACTTTGGAGGGATCGAGGATGGAAATAGGCCTCCTTCCAAGAAGCACTTTACTCGAAAGGATATTGAGACCTTCCGAATCCAGTGCGATCTTTACTGGTGGTACTCGAAGCAAGATGTGTTCCAGAGCTTCATTGGGGGAAACAGATTGCTGTAGGTCTAAATCTGCTGCTGGGTAATACAACCCCATCTGGTTATCTGCTAATGTTCGTGTTTAGGACGCCTTACTCTCAATGGGGCCAGTGCCCACCTCGAGCGGGCATTGGTCGGTTAGATGCCATCTACGGCTCTGCAGACCATCTGTGGCTCTTGCTTGCTCGAGTGACAGACTTTGCCTTCCGTGACCGTAAACGCAAACTGAAAGCTACGGGAGGTGGGAAAGGCTGGAGACCCGGCCCTGATATGTTCAAATTCATGGGTCGATTTGCTGGCGGCCCACCTGGCCAGAGATCCGGACCACCCGGTGGTCCAGGTCCAGGCCCCGGGAGACCCCCGGGGGGTGCCCCTGCCCCTCATGCATCCGGCCCCCCTGGCAAACCCCCAGGAGCTCCCCCGCCAACCTCGCATCCACCAAACGGACCAGCGTCAGCTGACAGTCCTCCGATGTATGGGATGGTCCCACCGCAACCTCCACCTCGTCTTCCTACCGGGTTCCAAAATAGACCTCGTGGGTCGACACCCGACGAGGATGAACAAATGGAAGATGTAAGTTTCAAGGAGGCAGAGCAGGAATGGGAAGATATCCTGGTTGCAGCAGAGACATTTTCACATGCGCTTGGTCGTGACTTCCAGCCTTTGCCGGTCGACGTGGCCCCTCAAATCTCCACGCCATTTGGTCCGGCCCTTCAGTACCGCACTCACACCATTGCTGTGATCTGGGGCTACTATTATGCTCTGCGGATTCTGCTCAATCGGATTCACCCCTCTCTGCCTCCAGCCATCATGATGGCAGCCGGGGTGGCCGCCCCCACCACGGCGGAATACGCCCAAACGGTCGGGAAGATCATGTCGGGCGTCTACTATCCACAACGGTACAATCTCGAGGCCGGGAGCCTCAGCCCGAACCTGGGATCGGCCCTGACGGAAATGACAGTGCCGGTCTTTTTCGCGGCCGTCCAATATACTGATTCAACGCAGCGGGGTTGGACCATTTCCAAACTGCGGGATATTTCCCGATTGACAGGGTTCAAGAGTGCAGAGGCTATTGCAGGTGGATGCGAAAAGGCATGGATTGGCGCTGCCAGTCAAGGCCGGGGCCCACCCTATCAACGGTCGTTTGAGACCGAGCGAGAGCGAGAACTTGAAATTGCACGCCAGGTAAGCATGTCCATATCAGACCTTCCCGGGCTATAGTATACTAATGCGCCACAGAGTGAGGCTGTGCTGGAGGAGGTGGATGATCGGCGATTTGTGACTGTCAAGCCCGATCGGGCGCATTGGGCTATGGGTATTTTGGAAGACATTGCCAATTTGGAGGTTTAGGATTGGATGGAGTTGCTTTGCCTTTGCCTAGTACCTACATTAGGAGTCCATGACATACAGTAGTGCCCGACCTACAGCCGAAGTGTGGCGAGTGACTATACTTGACATCTGAGGGGTCTGATCTGATTATTGGCTTCTGCCTGACGCTTTTGCCTCCTCTTTTCTTACTCTTTCTTTTCGTAAGGCTGACTTTGAATTTTCCCTTTCCACTTTGGAACTTTGGAGGCTTGTGCTTTGAGGTGCTTTGAGGTTGTCTCTTCTAGTTGACCTCGGGAGTCTCCCATAGTCGAATCCACTGTTCCCTGGGTCCACACCGTCAGCCGCAGGTCATCCCACGGTTCAGGTCATCTCTTGTTTTCACCCGTGACTACCTGAGGTATGTCTCGCTACGACGACTATCGTTCTTCAACAGGGACCCTGGACTCCCGCGATCGGTACGATCGTTATGCACGGGGTCCCCCAGTGGCCGAACGACCCCGCCATGCCGAAGAACGCTTCGAAGACCGCTTTGAATCCCACTTCCGTGACGAAGACCGATATGGCCCCCCTGCACGCGCACCGGGGAGGCTCTATGAAGATGACCACCTAGACCACCCATACCCTGCTGGCCCCGTTGTGGCGCATGACCGGCGTCGACGCCGTGACGATAGCCCCTCCTTTCGACGACCTCAGCTACTTAGGCGGCAGTCGTCCTTGGACACCTTTGACCGCATACCCCGGCGCAAGATGGAGACCCTCGAGCCTGCTCCTCGCGCTCCTCGCGCTCCCCGCATGCCTGCACTGCCTCGTCATCATCTCTCGCCCGGCCGTTATCGTGAGCGCGAAACGTACGAGGATATTAGAATCGCAGAGCCCGACTATTACGGTGATGAGGAGTTTAGAGACTTCCGTGATCGCGACATGGTTGGTCACCGTCGTCGCTCCAGCAGCAATGCTCAGAGACACCATGAGAAGCCCTACCCACGCAAGGGAAAGACCCGCGTGCCTCGTCACCTTGCCCATATCCACGCGATCCTGGACCTGGGCTACCCGTTCAAGGAAGAGGTCGGTGCTTCGCTCTCGTGCTATCCTCCCGTGCTGTGCTTCACGGTCACTGACTAAAATAGGATGATGTCATCGTCATTCAGAAGGCGTTGTCCAAAGAACAAATCGACGAAGTGATTAGCCTGAGCCGTGAATTTAATCGGCCCTCCCCCGTGGAAAGTGAGTGGCGTCGAATTGCGCATCCCCATCCCCGTACTCGACACAGGATCCCTAATCGATTCCACCGCACAGCCGAGTTCATCACACGAGCTCGATCGCCCCCCATGAGAGAGATTCCTCGCGAGCGGGTGACGACCGAATACCTGCAGGTTGAGGCACCTCCTCCCCGTACGAGTGGAGCCTTCATTGTCGAGGCATCGCCGTCCCGGCATCGGTCTCGATCCCGCCACCACGTCGATCACCACGAGGAAATCCTCGAGCGGCCTCGAACTAACGGAATCTCCCGTCGTCGAGCAGTCTCAGTTCATGACCCTTCATATCGTCAGTTGGCTCCGGTGCAGTACATCCAGGAGCGCGAGTCCGATGCCGTTCGTCAGGGCTCCATGGTGCTTGTGCGTCCTCGGGATAGCGATCCTGACACAAGTGACTACGTCCGTCAACTAGAAGAGGAGATGAGACTTCTTCGCATGGAGCGCGACGGTGGAATCGAGATCACCCGCCAGCGCGAGACGGACATCATTGACGATAGGGGTAACGCGCAGGAGGTCACTGAGATCCGGCGACAGGAACGCAAGGGTATGCCCTCGTCACTATCTATGATTTACTGTAAGATACTGACTCTTTCAAGAACCCAACTCTCGTCTTATGCGTGCTATGATGGCTACTTTGACTTGAGCTGCTATTCCACTGCTTTGCAGCTTTCTGCTCATTCAACAGCATGGATTTACGATGATATGACATTATTTCGGGTTCACAGGGAGATGTTCCACATGTATTTTTTAACCCCCAATTTGCCAATGATACACCTTTCTGCAGAGAGACAAAAGTAGGCAGTCCAGCGTAGATCCGGCACGATAACAAGTGGCGGTGCAACTGAGGCGGTGCAAAGGCGGGACGAAGCCTCGACCCTCGTGCATGTGGTTACCTAGTCTTGTTTCACTTTCTACTCCCTACTCCTTTTTTCCAAGTTAAATCACTAAATTCACCAATCATGGATCGAATGCAGGCATTCGGAAAGAACTTCAGGTGAGTCTAGCGTCATGTCCGAGTCTCCCTGTTCCGCAGGCCCCCAATCCATGACCGGTCGCTTTACTAACATCTTCTTGCCTTGTGGTTTTCTGACGGACAGTGCGAGCTTCACGCCTTTTGCGCAGCGTACCCAGCAGATGATCAAGGAGCAGCTGGGCCAAGCCGAAGACAAGACCCAACTGCCCGATGAATATATTGAGCTCGAAAAGCGCGTCGATGCGCTCAAGCTTGTCCACCAGAAGCTTTTGCAGGTGACGTGAGTGCACTCCAGCTCACTTGACATGCAATACCGCATGGTCTTTTGCTCCCTACAGCCACTGACCGGCGCCACCTCTCCACAGCTCGCAATACTCCAACGAGGCCTACGACTACCCTCCCAACATCCGCGAGTCCTTCAATGATCTCGGCCGCACCATCAACGAGAAGGTTCAGCTCCTGTCGCAGGCTGGCTCCCCTGCCGAGGCGCAAGCCGCCCTGACTGCTCCTCCTTCCGCCAAGCCCCAGCCCAAGACTTTCAACCATGCCATCGCCCGCGCTTCGCTTGCCGGTTCGCAGACCCTCGCACAGAGCACTGAGGGTGAGGACCCTCTCGCCAATGCGCTGGAGAAGTATGCTCTGGCCGAGGAGAAGGTCGGCGAGGCCCGTCTCGCTCAGGATGCTCAGATCCAGTCCCGTTTCCTGGCTGGCTGGAACACCACCCTCAACACCAATCTCATGTTCGCCGCCAAGGCGCGCAAGAATGTTGAGAATGCCCGTTTGATGCTTGACTCTGTGAAGGCCAGCAAGAAGGCCGCTGCTCACGGCGATCTTGATAACCTAAGCGAGGATGCTCGCGCGGAGATCGAGCAGGCCGAGGATGAGTTCGTCGGACAGACTGAGGAAGCCGTGAGCGTGATGAAGAACGTATGTTTGGATCCTCGAGCCCAACTATATTGGTTGTGGTTGTTATCTCACATGGGCTCTCTGGTGCTAATGATATTCCGCTTCAGGTCCTTGATACTCCCGAACCCCTGCGCAACCTGGCCGATCTTATCGCCGCTCAACTCGAGTTCCACAAGAAGTCCTATGAAATCCTCAGCGAGCTCGCCCCTACCGTGGACGCGCTGCAGGTCGAACAGGAGGTAAGTTCCCAGTGACCCCGGCATCTGTTCATCGATCTAATCACACCATGAACAGGCCAGCTACCGTAAGATCCGCGAGGGCGCATAAGCTATTTCTTAATGCCACGTTTGTTTTGTTGTCGCCTGGTTACGACATTATTCGTTACTTCAAGCCACGGCCTTGTCTGCTGTATCTAAGCCCTTTTGCCTCTTATTTGACTACGGATGATTCAATCTGAATTTTGGACTTGAAGCCCACGTAAAATTAGCCAAGCTACCCGTAAGACATAGTGATTCAAACAATGTCAAGGTGCATCGATGTAAAGATGTCATTTGCGGACGACCCACCGCCTCTGCCTCAGGCGCCAATGGCCCGCTAGCTCCAGGAGCTCCGACATCAGATATCCCAACTCCGATCAACTGTCATCCAGAACGCAGAGTACGGAGTACATGAATCGCAACTGATTCTTGCATACACTAACCTCCAGACACATACCTTGACTCTGTTGTCGACCCGACATCAAGCGCGCCACGCCAGGTCGAACCGTCGGCCACTTGTCCATCCGCATCGCCAAAGCATCCGGCCTTCTGAAGCGATTCGTACCGGTCCTGACTTCGCCTGCAAACGATCGAACCTTCGGATATTAACGAAACTTTTGCCTCGGTCATCGCCATACCGCATACCACGCCGAAGGATACTCGCTCTACTCTGCGCTTTCATTCGACATAACGAGGATCATCACACAAGATCGACAACATGGCAAACGGGTATGTCATCTCTTGTCTATGGGCTGTGGGGGATATGCTTTCTATCGTATCCGCAAGTCTATGAGACTGGATTCCTGATTCCCGCGTTGATCCAAATCCACATGTCCACGGACTCAATTTACATGGCCGGGCCGGTTCAATCGCTAACATTTGTTCGTACAGATGGAGCTTGCTTGTCGGGCTCATAATCATTGTCGCACTTTCCACTGCAGCATGGTTCCTGAGCCCCAAGGGTGAAAACCAAACGTGAGTCGACCTCTACTTGCACCCCGCAGCAGCAGCTTTGGACTAGATCGTGAAAAACTGACCCTTTCTTTCAGCCTGTTCCGGAGTACTATGATCCTTGCTTTCGTTTCTTGTTACTTGATGTGGGGTATGTGCTCTTCCCCGATCGATATACTCACCATACGATTCACGACAGCTGCTAATAAGACTCGCATTTAGCTATTGTTTTCCTCTCACAATTACATCCCCTCATTGCGCCAAAGCGCTCAGACATCCGACCGGATCGCGTACCGCAATAGAGATATCGTCGTGTGTATTGTTATCTACGGCCCTGTCGAAATTTTCTGCGAGTCCTTTCCTTGGGACCAATTATCACCACCGGGTCGCTGGGATAAGATGGTGTCAAGTCAAGGCATGAATGGGCACCATGGCTACAGCTCCTTTGGCCGAGTCCGAGGGGTTTATCCACTGCTTGCATTGCAATTTTGAAACGATCGAGTCATCTCATTCCTGGTTCGAGTCTGGTTAGCAGGCTCTTGATGTTTTTGTATAGCTTTTTTCTAGGGTATCTGGTCCATGCCCTGGTGCTTGGTAGCGTTTTCTGAATCCTCATTTTTGATCGAGATAATATTTCCCGTCGGCTACTTTCACCTGGGCACGGTTGCGAGAGTGACTTATCACAGTAAAGTAATTTTGCCTTCCGCATGGGCAGCGTTGTATTCATGGACCTTGGAAGCACTTGAGCATGGGCAGTCTACATCCATGATATTCACGGATGTTGTTCACTACTCCCGAGTCTAGGGCTAGTCTTGGAAGTATGGGCCCAGGTGCGCCATGATCTCCCGCCCTAAATCTAGAAAATGTTCACGGGTGGTGATATATCTTCATCGATCATCCATCCAAAACCTACCCATGTAGTAGGAATGCCAGACCAGAAGCTCCATGTCTCGGTCATTTCAAGGGTACTTGTTGACCAAGCACAACTTCAGAAAATCTTGGAAGGTATTATTATTAAATTTATACATGTACTGTCCTACAAAGGTCAACCAACCCCAACAGCACCCAAAATCACCTTCTGCACCGCCCAACGAGCGACCTGGCCAGCAACCGCAATCGTCACAGCGCGCAGATACCCACATCCCAGTAGAATATAGATTGAGACAATATTACTCAACAGAACAAGGTGCGTATCAACCACACCCAGAGAAAGCATCGAAGCAAGCAAATCAAAAACACCAGCCAAATAACTAGTCGGCCCCGAATTCCGAAGCAGCGAAGCCGTAGCCGCAACCCACGACTCCCGGAACGAAACAGGTGCCGCCCCCGGCGCGCGAGCAGCAGCAGCGGACGAAAGCACGGATTTCGTGCGCGAGTTCGAAAACAGGGTCTGGTGGACCGCGCTCGGCATCGTGGCCGGCTGTCTGGGAACTCGGATTTGCGACCCAGTCAACCCGTGCGTGGGGTTGTCGGAGAGGCTGCCGCTGCCGTCGGCGCCCCAGATTACTAGGAGGATGGGGAAGAGCTTTGCGCAGCTGCTGACTAGTAGGGCGGTGCTGATTGCTGCGGGGCTTGCTGTTGTAGGGGGTGGGAGGGGGTGGATATTCTGGATGGGAGCTGTAGATGCTCGACGAGGCGGGGCTGGTCGGAGTGGTGCCATTGTCGAGCCTGGTGTGGGGGATAGATCTGGCTGGGAGGTGGCCTCGGGATGGTTTGGGATTGGATTTGGCTTGAGGGGGCTCCCCGGGGGGTTCAAGGGGGTCTGGGACTGGGTGTTTGCCGGGGTCGCGGATGGTGAGGGTTGCAATGTTGGCGTGGATGGACCGGGAGGCGGAACCGTGTCTGGGTGGAGTGTACTGGTGCTGACATTCTTGCTTGGGTCTGGTCGAGCGCGACGAGACTTTGGGACCAGGACTGCGGCCAGCAGGCGAACGGTGAGGTGGTGGGCTAGTGTGGCGGCGGCATTCAGACTGAGGAAGAAGAGGTATTGTACAATGATGGGCGCGCGCGAAAGGAAGGTTGTGGCGAGCGATGGATCCTTTTCTATACGTGCCCAGGTCAGGTAGACATCGAAGAGGAGGAGCAAAACTCCCAGGCGGATAATTGATCGCTAGAAGGGCATCTTGTTAGCTCGAGACGCATGGTCTTAGCTTGATTACCCACGTCAAACTGGTTGTCATCTCGCCCAAGTCGATTGAAGAGAAGATGCCGATAGACCTGGATGCCTGTTAGCTAGCCCGATTTTGAAGACGTCAGTGATACTCACCTGGGGCTTGATAAGGACTAGATCAATGAAGAGTACCACGAAGTCATGCTCGACATATTTGTCGGCAAAACGCTGGCACCGCGGGCACTGGGTCAATCGAACGCCTTTACCTTGAGAGCGGTCGTCGGCACGGCTGTAGGCGCTGTATAGGTGTGAGACTGGATAGGAGCACTCGATGCAAATGGGCATCGTGGCATATGAACAAGACCAAGTTCACCACGCGGCTCTCCTATACGGGATATTGAAGGCGGTGAACCCCACTGTAGAACGGACTAGGTATGCGGAGTATGGAGTACTAGCCTGTTTGATGTTCCGCTGTGGGAATTGCCAAAAACTAAAAAAGAAACTCCGATAGGGGGAATCGAACCCCCGGCTGTCGTGTGAGAGACGACGATGTTAGCCACTACACCATATCGGACGGGTACGGTGGAGTCTCGATTTAGTTTAGTGTTAGCCTTTGGGGTTTAGCGTCATCAGTCTCTGTGCGTACCCGTGCGTGCGCTTTGTATATAGTCTCCCCCTCACCCACTTTTCGAGCATCCCAATTCTTTTTTCCCCCCCTCCCGCCTCCCTATACGCGCAGATGAGGCATTTTTGCCATTGACTCGAATCGCCGAACTCCGCCACCCCCTCTCATCTTTAGCGTGATCGATTGTACTCGTCGAATCTGCTCCACACCAGCAAGTTAGAGTGTTGGCAGTCAGACTGTCAATTACCTCTTGCTATGTCCAAGGTTCTAGGCCTGTATGCCTTGGAATCAAATGGCGACCGCGGGCTCGAACAGTCTGAAAGGCCTTCTCTTAATCTCCGTCATTGATTCGCGGCTACTAAACGTGTCCAATCAATCTCATAGCTAATGATATTAAGATAGTTATACTCGATTCTCGTGATCTTGACCCTACCTCGAACTCCATTACCTAGACATCCACCCCATTTGCTCTACGGCCATGCCGGTCTCAGATACCCTCGGATTGTGGTCTTGAACACTTAGGCACCATGAACCAGAGCTCTTCAGCCGCACAACCGATTAGCACACAGCATAAGGCAGAATACTAGAGGGACTTGTCCTCGCGCAACAGCACATGCATCCTTTGAACAAGGCACACAGGGCCGGTGGAAGGACTGGATGGCAGCGTCCGGTGGAATTGCTTCGCGTTACAGAGC